GATATCAGACCCTCTCGTTTGGATATCAGACCCTCTCGTTTGGATATCAGACCCTCTCGTTTGGATATCAGACCCTCTCGTCTGGACTAAACCTCAATCCGGCCTGCAAGAGATCTCTGTCTTAGCAATAGAGGGATATGTACGCACACTGCGACGGACGTTCTGCGTGTCTCAGTCCGTCACTTGTCGAGGACTTTCACGAGAAAAGGCTCTCGCTGATACCTCTCGACAGCCTGATAGCCCCTGGGAAAGTCACCGAGTCGCTTAGGCTGCAGGCTGTATTTCAAATATTGAGGAAACCGACCCGTCTCGCAAAGTGACCGGGAGCATCATCAGATTGATCCTGTTTTGATACGACCAGGCCCCAGTGTAATGTATGCTGGGAGAAGGCAATGGTTCCCTGTGCCCAGGCTTTCACAGCCAACGCTTGCATCAGTCAATTCAGCCGTCTGCGATGGTCGAATTTCCTCAGCTGAGCCTCGTATCGGGGAATGGAAAATGTTCCCCGCATGTTTACTGAACGGCACGTCGCAGAGGCCGGGTTGACTAATCGGCCAGTGTAAGCACGCCATCGCCTCAAGACGAGACCAAGCCAATGCACGACAGGATGAGCTCTGTCACTGACCCGGCTTCATGAGGATGATGCTGATGATGCTTCTGTTGCTGCTGCTGCTGCTGATGATGCGAGAGATGCAAAAGTTGAGTGATATTGTGATTGTTCAGTGATACCAGAAGAGTAATCTCAAACACACCACGGGCCATTCATATATATCTTGCTACTACGCGACAGAGACCTGTAGAGGAAAGACAAGAACATCTCCAAGCCGCAATCAACATGTCCGCAATTCAGAAGAACGTCGAGGCCGCCTCCGAAAAGTACTCGTCCTCTTTCACCAAGGGACATCTCGCCCTTCCACCGGCAAAGAAGTATCTCGTTCTGACGTGCATGGACGCTCGCATCGACCCTGCACAAGCATTTGGGATCGAATTGGGCGATGCTCATGTTATTCGAAATGTGAGACTAGACTTCCTTACAACATCTCCCGACGTCGTACTGGTTTTTCTTGAACGCCAACAGTTCCAAGAGCCTTGTACGCTAACATACATCACATTGCTAGGCTGGAGCTTCAGCCCCTGATGCGCTTCGTAGCATCATCATCTCCGAGCAACTTCTGGGAACTCACGAAATAGTTCTAGTCAAACATACCGGATGCGGCATGTTGACGTTCAGTAACTCGGACGCGTATGGTTTAGTCGAAACCAACCTTGGGTATGCAGCATGGCGCCATCACATGCGAGAAGACATACTGACAGACCTGCAGTTCCGAGGCCGTGGACGAGCTCAAAACCCGTAACTTGGATTTTCTGCCGTTTTCAGATCTGGAGGAGGAGGTGAAGAAAGACGTCAAGTACTTGCAGGATGCAAAACTCGTGCCGAACAATGTGGCAATCAGCGGGTGGATATATGAAGTTGAGACTGGCAAGACTCGACGTGTCGTGTAAACTCCATTCGCCCTAACGATCACCGCGGGTTATTTGGTAAGCAAGTGGTGTAGGCGATGTGTGGGTGATTTGTCGGGTGTTTCGATCCGGAAAGGAGAAACAGTGTGGTCAGGCTGGGACGGGTTTAGCAATACGGGCTGCTCGCGATAACAAATGCCCTTCATGTTGCACGCAAGAGAACGAGAGGGTAGGGGCCCACTGAGAATCCATTTGTTGACCATGGCCCCAGCCTTACTTCAGCCTTGTACACCTCGGCAGCTGGCCCATTCGTGGCGCTGACATAAGTGATATGAGACCGTGAGCCATCGACTGGTTGGTTCTTCAGACTGACAAGGCTGTCATGACGTCGAGATGTCTCCATGCCAGGATTGAGTACTCCACGATTCCAGGTTTTGGCGGCACCAAGAGTAGCAAAGTTTCGCAAGTTGCGCACGTCGTACTGTCACAATCGATAAAGTGATGATCCTCTGATGTGCTTCTTGCGTCGGCCGAGATTCTAGAACGTAATTCCACCACCCAAGTGACAGTCTACCCGAAACCATGCATACACTCACTTGCCCCAGTAAATATTTCGTCTCCTTCTCTCCTACATTGTATCCCGAAGACAGCGATGACCGCAACAGAGAGTGTGGTTGCAAAACCTAGCAGAGCATCTGTACGTCAGACGAGACGGTCAAGACCTTCTGACCATGGACAACCTGTCAGGCACATTGATACGCTGCAGCATGTTTCGACCGTGGATAGCAGCAACCCTTCGGCGAGCTCAAGTGACTCGGCCATGGTTCGCCCTCTAGGCCTCAAGTCTGAGAAGTTCAAGTCCTTGGCACACGGTGACAGAAGACGACGTCTAGACGCTCCTCCGCCATTGCCATTCGACCTTCGCGACCACAAGATATCAATAAGTATATTTGTCTTCCTGGCACTAGCGGAGTGCTGCTTTCTCCCGATCGGCCTGTACTATGGTTTGATCTATGGATCGAATTTGCGAATGGGTAAGTGCGTCATATCTTGATACATGGTGGTCACAAACCAGAGTCCTAACGCACGCCACTAGGTCTCATTTTTGCAATCATAACCAGCTTGTTCGGATTTGTGAGCGGCTATGAATTCGGGTTGCGATCCTGGCGCATTATGCGGTACGGCGACGACTTTCGGCCATTATATGGCAGCCAATACTTCAGGGGTTTCGATGCGACCCAATATGTGCTGCTTACTCCTTTCACGGTTATGACCATCATCTTGATCATCTTCAGCATTCCACATAACCCATCGGTCAAGGCACTGTCATTGCCGATGCCTGTTGGTATGATTAATTTGGGCTTAATGTTTATCGTTAACGGTGTAGCTGCGCAGCGGCGGTGGAGACTGATGCATTTCCGACTCAGCTCCCACGTCAGGAATACCGTATGTCCACCACTGACCTTCGTTTTCATGGAGGATATTTGTGCTGTGGATGGCAGGGGCGGCAAAAAATATCGCAAAGCAGCTCTAGCGAGGTACAACGCGTCTCCGCAGTTCCGCACCTTGCTCATGGAGGTGCTTTGGTTTTGGTCAATTTCAGCAGTGGTGATTGGAGCAGCTCTGGCAACAGTCATATGGTTCGTCAGCGATCATGTCGCATGGAGCTTAGGTTGGGGTGTGCCTTCGTTGTGGGCTTTGGTCGGGACGTGGCTGACAATCCTCTGGGTCCAAAGAGGACTCCGTATTGAGAAGGCGACCTGGACACCAGTACAGGCAAACCAAGTATAAGATGCAGACTGGACAGCATGCATAGTGTTCAAGGATTTCGATTGTGTGAACCTGACAAGGTGGACGGTGCGAAATTCGCAGGATCAACCTGTTGTATCCATTCCAACGCTCGTTGGATGTACTTGTCCTCTTTAGACTGATTTGAAGCGGCATTTTGTTTTTGAGTGATTGGTTGTAATACCGATTCGACAACTTCTATCGTCACAGCACGAGCCTCGCCTGCCTTTTTTAAGCAGATTTCAGGGTCTCCCAGGTACATACCCTCTGCCGACTCGTCGATTAATTCAGAGACATGACGGCTCCGCTTGAGTATCGTGTCCAATTGTTTGATCTGAGACCTTGACGCTTGTTTCGACAGGTCCATTTTCTCGAGCCTTTGTTTGATAACGACGTGAATGCTTTGAGGGATACGGTTGAGAACCTTGAGCGCTTGCTCTTTGACCCCGGCAGAGATAGCAATTCTGTCAGTGTCGCTACCCTCCTCCAGGTTCTCCTCCTCGTCGTCGTCGCTCAGCTGCTCGCCAAAGGGGTCATCATCATCAATATTCTCTGCCGGATCCCATTCTTCGAACTCTCTTACCGCATCCTTCATCAAGTCAAGCCATTCCTTGGACTTTCTGACCACATAGCCAGGCACGCCTTCCTTCGCTAGGGGTACTAACTTGTCACAATCATCCCAGATGCGTCCAGTGGCCTCGGTGAAAGCCTTCTTTCGCACTCCAGATAGTTCTGTCTTTGGTTTCCCCTCTGTACTTCGCGTTGCTATCAATTGCAGCAGTCCTTGAGTATCCAGGAGAGTAGTCGCGGCCAGAGAACGACACTCGCCAGAAAACGAAGCTGTAAACAACTCGGCCGTGGTCAGAAGCGCCGCCGTTACGAGGGACGTCAGGATTGACTCGTTCAGTGGTTTGAGGCAGGTCGTGATAGCCGAAGCCGTGAATGGAGTTGTAATAGCCAGCAAGGATAGCTTGGTGACTTGTGATTTTAGAGACGCAGCGGCTGCATCAGCTAGAATGAGCGGGGATGGTGAGTCTGGGTTCGTGGGAGGCAAGTCGATCGCAGCGTTTGGCGCAAGAGACGCCGCGAAACGTTCACAGAGTGAGATGGAAGTCTGCAAAACGGCAGCGAGACTGCCATTATTGGACACACTCATGTCTGGCCCGTTGTGATATGGCCGAGTAGAGACCAGTTTTTCGACATCTAAGATCTATATTGCTGGCGAAGACCGCACACTCTGGAGAAGTCGCACCGCATGAATTTCTGCGGCGTCGGATAAACTCCGGATATAAAATCATCCGGCAGCCTCGCCGAAGCCGGTGAGACGCACGAGGCTGTTGAACCGTCAACACAGCAGCTGGCATCTCAACCTAGGTTCGCGTGCACCTGATAACGCTGCGTCTTCGACCTTGACTACTGCTGGACGCTGAAGCATGCTCTGATGTCTATGGATTGTCTCCGCCTTCACTGCGGCATCGAGATGAAGTCACACGGCCTGGCCCTGAGTTCCGAAGCGGAAATGAACGAGTGCCGATACCCATTGATAGGGGAGCCGGTCAGCATCTACGAGTACGACGTACATACGCATCGCTCAGCATAGTCGTCTGGCTGTACAATACACCCCGGCTTTTTGCCAGATTGGCACAGTATCTATGCTTGATAGTGATCGAACAAACTTTCCAGCAACCTTGGGTTTTATGCTTTGTGTGATAGTGATCCGTTATCCAAACAAGCGATAATGGCCGCAAGCACCTGGGAGACCATCGCTACAGAAGCCCAGAAATCTCTACTCGCTTCTATCCCTCCAAAATGGCGTCTACCTGGCCCCGTCAATGCAGGAATAACAGACGTCCGCTCGATACCACGCACCTGCGGGTTACTAACCGAGAAGCAGCTCGAGATCACCGAGCAAACAGCCAGCGAATTGCTTCCCAAGTTGCGTAATGGGACATTATTATCAGTCGAAGTTACTGAGGCTTTTTGTGCCCGAGCAGCTATTGCGCATCAATGTGTATGGCTTTTGATCTCTCTTTTGTATCCAGAAAATGACCATTTGCAGGTGAATTGTCTCACAGCATTCTTCTCGGAAGAAGCCATGGCGCGCGCCAGAGAGCTGGATGACATTCTTTCAAAGACAGGAAAGCCAGTGGGTCCTTTACATGGACTACCTGTTGGCATCAAGGTTTGAAAGACACCATACTAGCAGCCCAGCTACTGTCCTGATGGCTACTAGGACATTTTTCACATGAAAGGCAAAAGATTGACCATGGGCTATGTCGCATGGCACGATAATGAGTGTACAACAGACGCCTCGGTCGTCCAGATTCTCCGAAATGCAGGTGGTACGTATGTGTCTCAACACTCTCCGTCCTCGCCTCCCCAGGGGCCATCTCAATGATTATGTCTCAGCCGTCTTCTTCGTTCGCACCGCAATGCCCCAGACCGGCATGTTTCTCGAAACCTGGAGCAACCTCTGGGGCCGGACAAAGAACCCCTTCAACACGAACTTTTCGGCTGGCGGATCATCCGGCGGTGACGGTGCCCTCGTCGCCATGCGCGGTGCACCGTTTTGTCCCTCAACGGATATCGGCGGAAGCATTCGTGCTCCGGGGACATTCAACGGGCTGTACGCCATACGACCTACGGCTGAACGCACCGCGAAACGAGGCATGGGCACAGCCGCTCCAGGACAGATCTCCATCAAGGTGTCATGTGGGCCAAACTGCCATAGCATGTCGGATTTGAAACTCGTCACTGAGATATTACTGACACACCACGGTCTCCCTTTCGAGGCAACGGCAGTGTCCATGCCATGGAAGCAAATCGAAGCTAAGCAAGGTAAACTCTCGTTCGGGCTAATGACAACAGACGACTGTGTCACTCCTCATCCACCCATTGCTCGTGCACTGCAGGAAACTGCGGCGAAGTTAAGAAGCGCTGGGCATGAAGGTATGTTGTCATCCTATCTGCTATCTCATAAAGTCCATTCTACGCGTTGCGTAGTTGTTGATACGCTGACTCTCTTCTGCTGTGTAGTACTCGAATTCAAACCTCCTTTTGACTGCTGGGAAATCGCACATGCAACAGTACGTATACTTGCAGACTCTGGTGACCGACTCACACACTCACAATTCATGCCCACTTCTCCGCCAACACGTCTATTCTTCTATACACACCTCAGCCCCGCGTCCTCTGTCTGCGTTCTGTCCAACTGACAAGTGTGGGTGGGCGCGACTTACAGTGGCAACTTTGGTTCCAAACTGGCGCAAGGGAGACAATCGACCTTGTCAAATCGTCAGGCGAACCCATCTACCCGACGTTCCAATGGTACTTGGACTTTTTCAGGATCAAACCACTAACGGTACCGGAGCTGTTCAAGGTAAATATTGAATGCCCCTGCTCCGCTTTTGTGAACGCCCTGGAAAGGGGAATCTTTCATGCCCCAGCTTGACACATCTTTGAGTCCTTGACTGACACGCGACTCCCTTTTTTCTCGTACCGGTAAAAGCTCAACACCAAACTCGCCGAATGCCGCTACGACTTCACACGCGCATGGCACGAAACGAGCGCGCGCACCAGCACCTCTCGTCCCATCGACGCACTCATCGCCCCTTGCGCACCTTCGGCCAGTTTCCCCCACGGCCACCCTGTATGGTGGGGATACTTCAGTCTCTGGAACTTGTTGGACTACCCTAGCGTCGTGATGCCGTTGAAAAACATGCGTGTCGATCCGGAAAAGGACGTCAAGGACACGAATTACACGCCAAAGGATAACGTGTTTGATAGGATGAACTGGGAAATTTGTGAGCTGCCCTGCACCCCCCTAAGGCTGAACTGCAGAGTCCTCGCGCCTCCAGGTTTTCCTCACCTCATCAGGTCTCGCGGGAAGCCGTGCAGAAGTTACGGGAGACACATGGTCGCGGCGATGCTAATTCGACGTTTTGTAACCTCACAGATGATCCTGAGCTGTGGAAGAATCAGCCATTGACAATTCAAATCGTCAAGCCGCAATTCATGGATGAGGAGCTCATATCTGTCGCGGAGACTATAGATGGGATATGCAATGCCGATGCGTGAGTCTAGTCTCGACTAGCCAACTTGCATTTTATCAAGAAGAGGTGGATAGTTACATTTACGAAGACGAAGAAGACGAAGACGAAGAAGACGAAGACGAAGAAGACGAAGACGAAGAAGACGAAGACGAAGAAGACGAAGACGAAGAAGACGAAGACGAAGAAGAAGAAGAGGAAGAAGAAGAAGAAGAGGAAGAAGAAGAAGAAGAGGAAGAGGAGGAGGAGGAGGAGAATAGATGGCTCCAGAGCGTATATGATTCATGAATACATTCAAATCCGTCTCAGTCACTCAGTCGCTCATTTCCCTGTTCTGCGAGGCAATGCTTGTTGTGCATCTCAGTGGCCCGAAGAAGACACTGCTCACTTGCCTACATAAGCTGATAGATACTCCTGACGTTGTTCCATGAGTTAGTCAGCTCTTGATTGGGATAATCGAGCTAGTTGGACTCGTATCATACCTAGTGAACTTGTGATCTTACGGTGGCTGTGATACTTCCAGTGGGTCTAGGAATCAGGGAAATGGTGGACCACTTTACAAATGACAATAAGTACGCGTCTGAAGCTTTTCAATTTCTCCGAGAAGAAGTTATTACTTTAGGTAATGCTACCATTGCCGTTCTTGCCTGCACGAATCTGAGTATTGAACGGCCATTTCGAGTCGTGTCGTCGTGTCGTCGTATGAAATTGCATGGTCCCCTAGAACTCCCGTATTCCAGGATCCGTGAAAAGGATACCTCCTCGGAGCCAACATCTGCATTCAACCCCAGGGCAAGAAGGAGCCGTTGTTATCTGCTTTCCAACAGTTTCACGGCCATGCGACCTCCATATTCATCAGTCCTAACCATAGTAACCAAGGTCGTAATCATGAACCTTGGTCCATCGTAACCAAAGTCGTGAACCTCACCAAATCTTGGCCATCAACCACCACAACACACTCGTCACACTCATCAACCCCCCTAATCCTCGCAACCATTCTCATCGCACCTCGCCATCATCTCGTCCGCATCCAAGTATCCATCACCGTTTCGATCATGCCACAAGAATTTTTGAAGGATACTTTGTCCTTCTACGGTCCTGGCATGTAGCTTCGAGAGGCCGAAATGGCCCAAGTACTGGTCCTTGGAGACGACTCTGGTCCCATTGACGATGAGTCCGGCACTGAGGTCGTCGAATATCTCCGTGGAGCTCTCATCATCATCCATCTCGTGGAGCTGAGCAGATTCCAGTCTTGGAGCCACAATCTTCGCGAAAGTCGTCGGGGCGGGCGTTGCTATGGCCTTGATGAAATCATTAACATCACCAAAGTCACTTGACGTACGTGGTAACTCTATAGCGTCAAAGATAGGTGAGTCACTGGCGTCCTCAGGGTTTGTAGACGTGGTGTATGCGAAGGATTCGGCTGTTGGGGCTGGCGACGGAGGAAGTGGTTCCCATGTGGTGATGTGCATAGCACGGCATGTCCATGTGGTTCCTCCTGGCGCGGTGATGGTACTGGTAAAGCTCCACTGAGGCGTCGCGGAGACCGCAATCGGCTGAAAGATGACGCGGACTGTCAAGAGAGATCCCAATAACGTACATGTCAGTAACGATGATGCTGGTGCGGAGTACAAGATTGTAAAACTGTTAAAGTGGCCGAAAAGCGGCCAAAAAGCTTTCGGAAAATCCATCCTCCGACATGGAAAACTGGTAAATAGCAACACAATATGAGAAAGGAGAGAATAAGAGTGACGCTGACCTCCTTTACATTTACAGCAGAACGCATTACATTTATCGTATCCGCAACAAGGTGTCCCTTTAGAATTATCGCCACATCTTCCGAGGAGGGTAGTCCGCCGACAGCACTTGGATTCCACAGGACGGACCGTCAGAGAGAAGCAGACAAAGAGAAGAATATTTAGCAACACAAGAGGATGCATGATAGGCAGGGCAGATTGCTTGTTGTCTGCTTGCGTGATAGAAGTATAGTCGCGCGATGGGAGGAAAGTGTGAATGCGACAGGGGTGATTCGGTCGCTTTATACGTGTGAAGCAAACCGCGGTGGACGAGGTGTGGGTGGATCTGAAGGTCTGCTGCAGTTTTCTTGAAAGGCAAAATACGCTTGATCCAAGTGTACAGTTGGAGATGAAATCTTGGTTGAATCAAGGATGCCTTACGAGACTGCTGAGCCGGTAGTAACCTGTGGCTGTGGGTTAATGATGTGGGTTGTGGAGTTGAGAGTAATGCTTTGCCAAAGCAAAGTGCGGACCGTGGTGAATCCGTTTTGCCTTCATATTGGATGTGGTTTCTGGTGGATATGGCCTGTTGGGAGGTCTCCTGTTCACAAGGAATGAATGGTACATAGTATGAGTCGGACGTGAAAAACCTAAGAGTAGACTTTTACAAGGCAAAGGTAAATAGTTCGGGAGGAAAACTGTTGTGTAATTGGTCCGCTCCACGTGTGCCCAATTCCTATGCGTGATTTCTCATACCGGACAAGGGTGTAGTCAAGGCTGACTTCAGCCTGCGTAGATCAAGAAGTTAAAATGTCGATCATTTCTAGGCCGAATGGGGAGTAAAGCTTCATGCCTCGGGAAAGGAGCGCTTGCCCACGATGGGGTGAAACTCGCGTCAAGCGGAGAATACCATTCCGGACACCCATCTTGAGATTTCACTTTTCAAGACCAGGCCAAGTATTCATCCAGTCATCTGTGCTGATGGACTGGTGATGATGGGAATAGGCAAAGATATCTTCCCAGTTGATCTCGTTCAGAGCATTGATATCAAAACCTTCCTGCTGAGCGGGTGGCTGCTGCTGGTCTGATATGAGAATTTTGAACTTGTCGGCAAGGTTGGTGAACAATTTCAGTAGCCCATCAGCATTAGGCCAGTATTCTGACAATGCAGTCGCAATAGGAAAGACTCGCTCGAGATCTCTGACGTGATTTAATGCCACCAGTACGGCTCCGTTGGTGATGGACCGCTGTATCTCCTTGGACAGGTAGATGGCTGCCGCTGTCAAAGCCATGACACTGGTCGAATAGCACTGATTCAGAACATCAGTGGCCGCCATCGTCTCAAAAACAGATAGAATGGCACGAGTCGCACCGCTGCACAATTCGACACTGTTGATGGAGCCCAGTCCGAAATCTCCACTTCTGCTATGCAAGCGGAACAGATGTAGGACAACACAGTGATAATGAAGCTGCAGTTGTAACGACCAAAAGTCAGTGGTCATTGGAAGACCTATGGCCCAGTTTGCGAGTCTCGTTTGGAAAGTTTCCAGGTCTAATTGAGAATCCCTTTTGAGGATACCTGGCGACGTCAGCCGCAGCAAGTCCACCACGATATAACATAATTCGATATTCCTTGCACAGTAATGGATGTGCGTGGCGAGAGTATCCTGGGAGCCCTGGATTTCATCGAAGTCTCTCGCATCAAGCGGGCCCTGGTCAAAATCTTCTAGGCGTATCATGGATGGACGGCCATGTTCCAGTGCTGACATAACCTCAACCTGAAACAACGTCCACCACGTACGACGGTAGAGGCGTCGGTCCCTCCATGGCATCCGGTCTGGTGTGTCTGGTTCCGCCAGAATATTGCGGTGCATACCTATGCCGTAAGCTGTACGACAAGCAACCCCGGACCAGTAGTATGCGTTCATACTGACAGTATCTGCATTCTCGAGATGCCATGTGAACAGTAATGCAGCGGCGACGAGGTGCTGTCTGTCATTCTCGTGACGCATGTCAAAGAGCCACTTTCCCCGTTTGAAGAGGAGTGACTTGAAGGTGCATCTCGATCTTTTGACCTTGGCATCTTGGGATACGTGAGCACCGACGAGCATGATGGCGTAGAGAAGCAGAAGAGGTCTTTCATCCTGTGCCAGGTCGTATTTGGAACGAAACGACTGCTCGTCAACAACGGGAAAAATCGGATGGACCTTACTGAAGAAGGACTCGATCAACTCACCTCTCAGCTCTTTGCTGAAGGGGGCATAAATGTCCTGGGCACTATCTTGAGCAGCAGACGGGGTGTATGTTCGGCTCGTAAGTGACGGTGAAGGATGGATTTCAGGATGTGGATATACCAAGAATGGCCTGGAAGACTGGTCCAGGCTAATGAGGTGACTCAGGTTGGACACCTTTGTCCCAATATAGACTATTCTCATTCGATCAAGCGTATTGAAAACGTCCCATTTTGAAGAGGGTAGCCCATGCTGGAAGAACTGGGACAGGCTCGTCCGGGCTAGTCCTTGGGAGGCCAATGCTTCACTGTCAAGGCCTTCTTGAGACTCATGTGTTGATTCATCCTCGTCTCGAGCCTTGTGCGCCGAGCGTGTACTCGTGTGGAGGACCGATTCTGTCACATCATGGGTGTTGGGGCGAGTTGAAGCGTCCATCCTTCGCCGGATCGGTCGTTTCCAGGCCATCGTAAACCTGAGAAGGATATGGTCAGTAGCCATCAGCAATCAACTGAGTGACTGCGTTGTAGAAGAATTGCGCTTTACCTGCACTCGATCGCGGCTCGTTTACAGGCGCTGCATGGCTCTTGGTTTACCGAAGTCCCTCGAACCGAGTCACAGCGGATCTTTCGACGTCTGCATGTGTCACAAGAATGCATCTGCTGTCGCCGAGGCGAGCCGCTAGATAACGGCGATGTCGCCATATCATCGAGGAGATGCTGAGATGCTGGACAGTCACATCAGGACTTTGATTGTCCCCGAACTTACTAAGTCATTGACGTTGCCGAGCGGCCTCGGCTGTCTGACCAAAAAAATACCAAGTCAGTCCGGAGTCCGGTTGGCGTCTACAGCTTTTGATGAGCTCGTCTGACAGTGACAATTTGGTCTGCAGGCGAGGGGAATAGCTGTGTCTACGATATCGGGCCATCATTGCTGCCAGAAGCTTCGGCCTCACCTTTGCCTTGACAGAATAGTGCGTACCTCAAAAGGGACTTCAGGGCTACAAGTATTTGTACCGGGCAGGTCTGTACCCTGGGATCTATCACCACTACAGCGCCTTGCAAGTCGTTCATGACCCGGACTGAATCGTGGAAGATTGAATCAAGATAAGTTACTGCATGACATCACTGGGCAACAGCAGCAGTGACGATAATGTTCGAATCTGAACTCCTGGGTATCTCGCTGGTGATGATCTGTTAACGTGGTTGTCGACGGAATGCCCAATGATGGATTCCCAATTACCCATCCTCTCTGCTATGGGCCTCGACATCATGACTGGACTCCATGATCCGCTCAATCAAACCTGGACTATGTCGCCGCACCAGTCACGCCTCTCGGATCTTACTTCCACATCGTCAAGATCTTACAGACGAGGGGTGGACGCTTTGTCGTGACGTGACTGTTGATACTCCAAATGAAGGACCAGCGCAGCGAGCCCTGGTGACGAAAGGTAAACAAGCGAGGCTCTCCCTGGATCCAAGAGGATGCATTTCCTGCACAGTGAAGACATGAATCTCCGATCATTATCTACCTGGTATGATCTCCCCTGCACGCGGTGTGCGTTATATCAACGGTGTTTCGTGTCAAGTGTTGCCGACCAGGCTGAACATTCATACTCACCCGTACTCACCCCGGCGTCTAGACTTGCGGCCACAACGCCTACTCTTCCTTCGTCAAGCGCCCAGTGCATTCTCCACGGGCGTCAGAGTCAATTCTTCACGCCCTGCAGCCATCATGGACGCCATCAAATCCACAATCGCGGAGAACATGGGCGGCATCGCGCACAAACTCGCCGACGCCAAAGACCAGTTCGACATCAACAAAGACGTTCCCGACCAGACGGGCAAAGTAGCCCTGATTACCGGCGGCAGTGAGGGAATCGGCTTCGCGACGGCGTACACACTGCTCAAATCCAACATCTCCAGAGTGTTCATCGTCTCCGTATCCGAGGACGTAATCGACAAGGCAGTCGAAGAGGTCAAGACGAATCTCGGGGCCGAATACTCGTCCAAAATCACCTGGCTCCAATGCGACATGTCCGACATAGTCGCTGTGGCCGGAGTGGCCAAGCAGGTCCGCGAGCAAACCGACCGACTTGACATTCTCTGTCTCAACGCGGCGCGAGGAATCATGACGTACCAGCTGACGGACTCCGGCATCGACAGGCACATGGCCATCAACCACATCGCGAACGTTACGCTGACGTCGCACCTTCTGCCTTTGCTCAAGCAGACCAGCGGCGGGGGTCCAGTGCGGATTCAGATTCAAGCGTCCAACACGCACCAGATATCACCCAAAGACACCAAGTTTGCCAGCCTGGACGAACTCAACACCGACCTCGGCCCACAGGTTCAGTATGGCCGTTCGAAACTCGCGGCGCTTCTATACGCTCGATACCTGGACGCGCATCTGCACAAGGAACACCCCAACATCCTCATCAACGCGACGCATCCTGGCTTCGTGGAGACCAAGATGTCGGTCGACGACATTCACGAGCCGTACCCGAAGGCCGGGTACGCCATGTCAACAGCCATGAAGCCCTTCAAGAAGGACATCTGGATGGGGTGCGTGAGTACGGTGTACGCGGCGACGGCGACGACAAAGTCAGGAGAGTACATCTGTCCGCCCGCTATTGCAGAGCCGGGGAGCGAGTTGGCCCAAGACGCGCAGTTGGGTGAGCAGCTCATGAAGCTGACGAGGGACATTGTGAGGGAAAAGTTTGCGAGCGAGAGTGTAGAGAAAGGGTGTCCCTTGAAGGATTATTAGTTTGTTCCTGAGCGCTTATCCAAGCACATTCCTTGGGTAGGAGTGTTTTTCTCCCCCATATGAAAGGGAAGAATGGGGGATGAGGAAATAAAATGTGATCCCATGACATGATTAGAATTGCATATCCCTTGAAACATCCTCAATGAAACACATGGGTCGAATAAAGAATATCTTTAGTTCATCCATAAATTTTGTCACGTCTCTCTTTCCAATGGCACTTTGACCACGGTTGTGGGAGCCCTCCGCCATCTTCCATTGCTACTACCTACCAAATGCTCTCCCCCCTTTCCCCCTTTTTCGAACGATGTCTTGAGAGCTGTACAGCCACTCTGCACCGACATCGCACACTCTTCACCCTCTTCACCCGTTTCGGTGTTGATTCGCTCGGGACCCCTTCCCCAAATCAAGTCTCGAACACCTCAATCCTGCATTCGAGTGAAACCTCCTAATCAAACTTCTTTCTACCCAAATGCAATCCAACACCGTGGTTGTACACGAGCGTGCCACCAATCTTGGCGCCGAGCAGCAGCAGTGGCAACAACACGGCGCTGATGAGCATGTTCGTCTGCGTGGGGATCTTTGCCGGGTTCGGTGCCGCCTCCTTGTCCTTTCGAAGGTACCAGCTGTACAGGTTCGCGACGAAAACGACATCGTTGACGATGGCGTGTGTGATACCGGCCTTGATGCGTGGCACCATGGTGCTCTTTTGCTTCCCCTGGGCGTCCTTCTCCCACGGCCCACCGTTCTTGCTGATCATCCCGATCAACTGCTTGTTTCCGGACATGATGGCCGGTACGGTGGTGATCAGACCGGCGCACAGGAGGAAATACGACAGGCGCGTGATGTCGAGCAAGGTCGAGGCCGAGCCGAAGCGGCTGGTTAGGAACTCGGGCTTAACGTAGACCGTCGTCAGGGCATAGAGGATGTCAAGACCCCATGCGAGGACGTTGAAGGCAATGGGGAAGTGGACGAGGGCTGGATGGGCGGGGTGGCTGCGCGGTTCACGAACTGTCAGCTTGGAGGAACCCGCATCGTGTATTCTCGGGTATAAGGTGACGGAAAGGGTCGTGAGATGTTTCGATTCCTTGTCTGGAACGCTCTTTCACGCGAGAATGGTGCAGAGAACATGGGTGTGACTTACTCGGTGTTGAACTCAGGGACGGGCTCACCGACCTTGTGAGCGAACTTGCTCTGGAGCGTGGTTGCGTAGACCATGGTGCTGATTGACGAAGAATGCAAGGACTATGGGACAAATCTCGAAGACTGAGAATTATACGGAGTCAAGCAGGAAAGAAACGAGTGTCTCTGTTAGTAGTGTGTGGGCGTGTGAGAGGGAGTATAGGGAATGGGATACGTGGTGGTAAGTGAGGCTGATGTGTACAGTACGGGGTATATTTAGAAAAAAGGAGCCACGGCCTGGTTGGCACTAATGCGGAGTCCGATCGAGGTTTGCGCGCGACGCCTAAGAAAAAGGTACCGGTAGTAAACAATGACGGGGAGGACGATTTCTGTACCGTCCGAGGATGACAGGGGCGCGATTTAAGAGGTCGATGATAGGACGAGGAGGGATGAACATCAACACGGCCCCCCTGTTAAATCCCCTAAACTACCTTAGTCCACCAACGTTAGGGGCAGAACCACCTAAAAAAGACCCGCTGCCCAGGCGCCCAACCACTGGGAGCACGCCTAACGGGAAAAAGTAGAGGCAAGACCCAATCATAGCAGACTCGGTGGTAAGCAACCCCTTGCCAGCAACATCTACAATACCGTACGAATTATCACGAGTACGCGGCAAGCAACCATCGTGAACGAGCCAGCTTATGTTCCTGACAATCTCAGTTCCTGGGTAGATATATACCTATTGATTCATCCATCGACAAGAGTTACAACTACAACTTGGCCTTGCCCATCGCAGCCAGCACCTCCTCTGCACCCCTGTCTCCCGACCGTACCGCGCCGTCCATATATCCCTTCCACTCGTACGCCGTCTCGGTGCCAATGAAGTGAACCTTGCCGTGGGTCGACCTCAAGGCATGATCATACTTGGTCATGATTCCAGGAGGTGAAGCCGGACAAGGGCATCCCTGAGCCCACTGGTCCTTTGCCCATTCATGTTCCGTCACCACAAGAGGTTCCGGCACGCTGTCAACGTACGGTCCAAACATTTTCTTGAGATGGTCCAAGACAGCCTTGTGTCTCTCCTCTTTGGTGAGAACAGACATCTTTCGGCCAAAGTCGCCATTCGAGAAGCAGGTGAGCGTGTACGAGCCGTATTTATCGTTGCTGGAGTCTCGACACGTCGTGATCGGGCCCTTGAACGACATGACGGCACCCGAGAGTCCTGACGTGCGCCACCAGGGTTCCGAGTACGCCACCATGACCTTCAGCGTGTATCCGAGGACATTTCCCTCGCCGAGCTTGGCTTTGGCTTCGGGCAAAGGTGGCTCGAACGTGATTTCCTTGTACAGAGGCGTTGGGACGGAAACAATGACCCGCTTACACTTGAAGTCTCCTCGCCCAGCTGACACGTAGACGCCCTCGGGCGTCTGTAAAATGCGGCGGACCGGGGAATCCAGAACTACAGACCCGGGTGTGAGCAACTTGGCCAGTTCGATGGACATCGATTGTGTTCCTGCAATGCAAAATCAATCGTCAGTCAACGGGCTTCAGTGGTCCCATACATAACAAAAAACGGTCATTGGTTTGTGTCAGGAAAAAAGACATACCCCTGACGAATCTCAGATGCTGTCCTCCATGCTTGAAGTCCGATCTCATCAGCAAAAGGCCGCCGCCACTCTTGCAGTAGTTCAAGAAGTACAGAGCGCTCATCTCGGCCGGTTCAAGACCCAACATGGCTCGCGTCCACAGCTTCACCGAGGCCAATGCCGTTTCGGACCCGGTCACGCTCTTGCACCACTCCTCCAGAGTCATCTTGTCGTACTTCGCACCGGTCCCGACGGGGTCGCGGATGTCGAGTTCCTGGCACAACTTCTCAAACAATTCACGTACGTACACCAGACTCTCGACTCCGTTAGGTTCTGCCATGGCTTTGGGGGTGCCACCGTACTCGAACAGCCCCAAGCCGCCGCCGATATCCTCCTGGATGATGTTGCCCTCGGTTCTCTGTGTCACCATTTCCAACCCCAGAGACTTTGCGAGCGCGTAGATCTCGCTCTGGTTGGTGTCGTTGATCCAAGCGGCCCCGACATCCTGGAACTTTCCCTGGCCCAGCGGATCGACCGACCACGTCTTGCCGCCGACGCGGTCTCTGGCTTCGACGACGACGCAAGAAACACCGGCCTTTTGGAGGTTGTAGGCTGCTTTGAGCCCGGACAGACCAGCCCCGACGATGACCACTTCCGTCGTCCGCAATGGCTCCTGGCGGACCGCGGCATACGCTTCGATCTCGAACTTATAGTCGGGGAAAGCGAGGGCGGGAACGGGGACCAGCGTGGTCGCCGGTCGATGACCATTCAAGAACGCCTTGACGTGTTTCGTGTGTCGGCGGTTGTTCGGGTCGTAGTCGACAATGTAGTAGACGAGTTTGTACACGTCCGTGACCTTTGCCCCTGCGGCCTCGAGACACCGGCTTAGATTCGCCATGGCCAGGGCGATTTGCTCGTCAATGTCCTTGGGGACTTTGCCATTCTCGTCCGCCCCGACTTGCCCCGCCGTAGCAACGACGCGGGCAGGTCCAGACGATGTCGCGACGTGAGAGAAGATGGGCCGAGTGTCGGATAGTCTGTACGGATCGATTGTGTGCACGCTGGGCAGCAATTTGTCAGAAGGAGGCGACATGTTTGTGGCTCTGCCCTGCTCGGGTCTGCTCTACTCTACCCTTGGGAGTACACGAGGTGTCGAGTGATGGTAAGTAAGGAAATTGCTGCGTGTTCGTCCCGCGAAAGATGTCTAGACCCAGGTGTCTTTGCATGTACTTATTCATTTCACGGATATGCACGACTTCTTGAAAGCGCCAACTCCTGCCTCGGGGAGGGGGGAGACCGGGACGCTTGCTTACCTTACGGTACATGCACTTTGTCGGTGCTTTCGCATCTCACAAGTCTGCCCGCCCTATCAGTTCTTGTAAGAGCGATGCGGAGATGGTCTGTGACGGCGGAACTCGCTGATAAGTGACAGGGGCTTCGCTTCCGACGTGCATCGAGTCGACTTGAGCGCACTGATAGGGCCGGTGGTGAGCTAGTTGGACGGCAAGCCGTGCCGTGGGTTGCCATCTCCGCCACAAACAAAGTTACAAAGGCGCAACTAACAAGTTAGCATCGCGTCAAACAGCGAGTCACTGCCCTCATGTCAGTAGGCGATACGGCCTCCCTACTGCGTGAACAAGATGAGGAAGACGATTCTCTGTTCTGTGAAGGCAAAGGGTGCTAAGATATTGTACCTGACTGGGTGCCACATGCGTGGTGGGTAAATACACAGCTTGCCTGGGACTGATCCCATTCACCATATTTACTAACCTCCTAGGATGTCTTGCTGCTTGTACCATGTGCGACGTGCTATGTACTTATGAACTATGTACTAGGTACTATATACTATACACCATATACTAAGTGCTGCCTATTACAAAGTATTTACATGCCCCGTTTCTCAATTTCAATCGCCTGCTTCACAAAGTCCACGACCGAAGTGCGGAACTTTCTATACGTGATGCCCAAGTCTCTAGCAGCTTCCTCGCCGTCGAGAGTACACGTCTCGTCAAACTCCTGGGGTGTATCGTATTTTGCGACTCGGTCCCTACCCCAATCGAACTCTTCCGCGATGATGTCCGCGGCCATGGTGCAAGTGTACCTCTCCGGTGCCGCGATCGTGTACCGCCTGTTCCCACACTGCGGTCGCAGCAGCGCTTCCACGTGCGCGAGGGCAAGATCCCGAACGTCGATGTAGAATGTGATACCCCTGGGGATATCCTGACCGCTTGTGATCTTCCACAGCGCCTCGCTTGTCTCGTTGAGGTCCGATAGCGTCGTGACTGGGTGCCGCATCGGGCCGAACACCATGGGCGGACACAGCGTGACGATGTCGAACGTGGGCTTTTCCCTGTCGATGAAGTTCCAGGCTTCCAGCTCCGCGAACTTTTTGGACCCTCGATACGCCATTTCAGGACTGGTTGTGGGATCAATGCTCTCGTCGTATGACTGTGGGTTCCAGTCTCTGCCTGTGTACGTGAACTTTGTAGCTTCCTTGCGGCCGTCGTCGATGACTGCGGCAAACGACGAAGTGATGACGATGCGTTTGACTGATGGTTCTCTGGCGGCGGCGTGCAGCACCGACTTGACTCCTTGGATGGCTGGGAGGACCACGTCCTTCTCGTTGTCCCCGGGCTTGAAGCTCAGCGGGCTCGCGAGGTGGACGATACCGTCAATGCCCTTAACCGCGTCAGTAAAGGAAGACGTCGACGACGACCCCGCGAAATCTGCCACTTGCACGAAATCCAGTTGGTCTGCGTACTGCGGACGAGCGTCTTTCATTAGCTGCGCCTTGCCCATGTTTCTCGCCGCTCCCCTGACCCTGCAACCGCGTTCGAGCAGCAAGTCGACGACATGAGCGCCGATGAATCCTGTCGCGCCTGTAACCAGGACGTAGGGCTTGTCAGTACTCATCTTGTCCGCGCACCGGTACCTGATATTCCAATTAAGAAATCCTTCAAGCTTGCGGAAAAGAGCCCCTCGAGGGCCATCGAAGAGGCATGCCAGGAGCTAAAGTAGTGTCTGCACATGGCTCCTGGTGGGAAAGGGTTCATGCTCGTGGGGCAGAATCGGACCTGGACGAAGCGAGGATGGAGAGACGACTGTGGGGTTGACGAGGCCTCGATTCTCTACTGTACGACTCCCGAGAACTCAAGGAGTGGCTCGAATGGGTTACTGTACCGTGGTGAGGCTTGACTATATTCATGGTGGAGGGTTCAACGCCACAGTGGCTGGTGCTTATCACAAGCTCGTGGCCCCCAAAGCCGCGTCAGCGCCACAGGCACCAACCCATGAAGTCAGGGTACCTTAGGTAAGGGTGGCCTGTCCTTTCTATATCTTCCCTTCCCTTCCCAATGAACATCTGCATGGCAATGTAACAATATCTCCCGACTCTCGAGACGATGAAGGTGTTCAGGATCACCACAAATGGACGAACCTGATTTCTTAGCGCCACCACCTGCAGGGCCTCCGCCGCTCTTGTCGGATCAGCAGCTCATCATCTTGGCTCGCCAAGGTTGGCTCTGTGTTGATCTGCCGGATTCACTGTCACGCAGCCTGCAAGATGTCTTTGAAAGCTCCCTCGAATTCTTCAACGACCCGAGTCAGCCAAAAGCCGAGTTGTATCCGAAAAAGCTAGGTACCGAATTCGGCTACTATCCTGTCGCGAATGAAAAAGAGTATCTCACGTTTCGATGTCATGTTCACGGCGGTTCCAATGCCAGCTCAGCCAGTTCGGCTTCAGAAGCATTGGCAGTAGCATCAGCGGTAGCCCTTGAAGCAAAGGTCGCCCAAGCATGGCGAGAGGCCGCACTCTATTTGTTCCGGATCCTGTGCGACATTTCTAGGGCAAGTGATCTCGACTTGTCGGTATGGAACGATATCCTCGACGGAACCTTGACAATGCCGAACTCTGAACAAGACATGACGCACACCTTGATGCGTTTGTTTCGGTACTTCCCTACGACCGGCTTCGCAGGCCAGCATTCCGATCTGGGATTGCTCACCTTATGCGTCGGGAATGGTGAAGGTTTGCAGGCGTTGGATCGGTTTCAGTCGACGACAGATATCCCCGCATGGGTGAATGCTCCTGTGGGTTCAGGCAAGGGCATGGTATTGATCGGCGAGACTCTGAAAGCTCTCTCGTCCAACACTGTCAACACCGGAGCCCACAGAGTCGTCGGCAATCCGCACGGCCGGAGCAGTGTTGTTTTTGCTCTCCGACATTCGACCAGACATGACATTGACTTTGGCCTTTTTGGAGGAGAAGGTGTCATGAGTCCGAAAGAACTGTGGAAAAGTGTACAAGTCGGCAAGATCAACATCAACAGCACCAAGGAGATCCGGGAAAAGCAGCGCGCAAAACTTTATGCTGATAGGTCAAAGAGTGAAGTCAGCGATACTCTTACAACTGGGCAGGGGTAGGCCGGAAGGACAAGGTTACCAAAAAGAGACCAGTGATTTCAAAAGGTACTTCTATACTTCACCGGACACTGCTTCCAACATTGCAGCGATGGACCGCCACTACCGATTGAACATGGCATGGCCTCCATTTGCACTTCCAGCTCATGGCTCCGGCGCTTACATCTTGGTGCCTTCTCAAGGTACTTGATTCCGTCAGCGGCGTCATTTACACAGGCCACCACGGCGGCCAGCAGGGAAGCCAGAGTACTTTGGTCATGATATTGCGCAACATCAAGATATCTAAACTTCTAGGAGCAGAGATCCGTGGGCTAGAGTGTACACTACATGTAAAACCAGACCAGTCGACCACACAGAGTTTCGGGACCGTGGAAGCTTTGTGTTAGGCATTGGAGAACAGCAAGTCGAGCAACGCACTGGCATTAATTAAATCAGCGCATAGCCGCAGTCAGCAAGGCATGTCATCCGCCCGCCCACAGCAACATCAGAGTATCCCGCCGGCATCCATCAGCTACCATATTCAGGGCATATTTCGCGAGGTATGAGAGAGATGGACTATAAAAAGATCTATTAGAAGTTAGATGATTCAGTTCACCACCATCTCTACCAAGGTACGTGGGTAGACAATCAGAATCTACAATTACAACAACAACAACGGTTAATATCTACACACTTCCGCTATAACTTCTCCTTCTCCACACTCACAAACAACCCATCCGCCTTCGCAAGCACGACGCCCTGCTCATTGACAATCTCGCCCTTTGCAAAATGTTTCCGCCGTTCAATCCTGTCAATCCTCCCCTTGACGAGCACCACACTCGGCGTCGGCACGGGCTTGACGTACGTGACGTTCAAGTACGCCGTGACATTGTCTCCCGTTTGACCCTGCGATCGCCCACATACGGCCACGAGGACGCTCAGGACCTCGTCTAGGATCGTGGCCACGATGCCCCCGTGGCACACGCGCGCGTAGCCGTTGAGGCCCGCCTCGAGGCTGAGAAGCGTGTGCACTTCGTCTTTCAGTGGTGCTAACGCTGTCGGTCGACGGTAGAGTGATATCCAGCCGCGGATCGTGTCGTCGGTCTTGAGAGTCTGGCCGAGCAGGGCGTCTTCCCGCGTCGAGTCCTTGTGGATGCGAGACTCTGTGGATTCGAGTTTGTAGTTTGGATCGTTGAGAATCGCCTGGCACCATGGTATCGATTGGAAAAGGTCGACTTCAGAGAGGTTGTCGCCTGTGGGGCTGTTGGCCATGGCGGCCTGTCCTGGTCTTGTGTGGAGGTCTCGGCGGTGCTGTGATCCTGTTGTCTTGTTGGTGATAGACGATAGTGATGAAATTGGCCGACTCTTGCTGGACCGGTGAAGGTGAGAGTACTTTCGAACGGGCGCGCGTGTGAGGGTGAGTGTAAGTGTGGCTGCGAGACTACTGGATTTCCGCATCGGTCAACGTCTGTACACACTCGTAGAGGGACGTTGAAGCTCCCATTAATCTACTATTGCTTGAGTCTCAATAGTGAATAGATCTGGTTCTCGGGGCGAAGTTCTTGGTGTGTATCTGCTACTCGTACTCGTACCTACGACGCTGTTCACTGGCATGAAGGAACTCGGTACTCGTCGTCGTGCCTCGGTTAAGTGGCCTAACTTGGTTCCTCTAGGGAGATTTCGGCCTAGTGCTCGGTGTTAGACGCCTTAAGCTCGTTCGGTTCGAATTGCTGGCAAGTGTGACGAGATGGTGCTGCTGAGTGACTTAATGTTTCTTCGACGACCGAACCATCCTCGTCAGTGTCAGTAGTTTTCGTCACAGTAGTATGTATTCCTCAACTGCGAACCTGCTTACAGCGAGATGAAATCTTCATGGGCGCGTCAACACCGATAAAATGTGACAGAAGCTTCTGGCCCAGCTAACAATGTTCCGGTCCATGTGCTGACTGACAGGGATAAGGAGGCACATGAAACTATCGCCATTTCTCAAACCTCAGGAGCTGAGCTGATCCTTGCTCTTTTGCATAACATCGACGGGCATGTCTGTACGGAAGCTGCTCCAAAGGCCACCATGCTCACCACTCTCAGCCACATTCCCATCCTGGTCTTGTTATTGGACGCCGAAAGGCTGGGCGGACAAAGGGCCTGGGGACAGATCGCTTCCACCTTGTCGGCCCGGTCAGCCTGGTGAGCCTAACCGTGGTGACAGCCTCGTATTTTCCATGGCTGGTGCGGCTGAATGCCTCTGACACTTCAAACTTGTACCTGGCAGCCTGCCCTCTGCTCTCTGGCCTTTGACATGTGAAAGTCCGCAAGCTGAGACGTAACGAGCTGATATTTCCCCTCTACACCTCTCAAAAAACTGATGCTCATGATAGACAGTATCACTCATCATCAACGCCTCGACTGTTAACTTTTCACGTCGACTCCGTATCAGCACCAACAAAAACCAAAACCCCAACCCCTACTCATCGTAACCGGCATGGCTGTACGCTCCAAACCGGTGCCTTATACGGCGAACCCATTGTATCTTATGCTCAGCGACCTTTGGCTTTTCGCCAGGATCACATTTACATGGCTGCTATCAGCAGGACTTCCCAGCATCATCTTACCGTTGTGGCCAACCAAGTTTCTTGACGAGTTGGCCTTCACTCCAGCAAATGTATGGGCTATATTCTTACACACCCTGCTCATCATCAGCCAAATTGTTTTCTTGGTGTCTCTCATCCCGTTGGCATTCGGTTTGTTACCAATCTTGTACTTTCTCTACATCATTGCTTTCGTACTCGGAAATCAACTTGTATCTGTTCTCCTGAACGGACGGCGACAACACGAGCTCATCTCGTCGAACGAGAAATGCGTAGAGGGCTGGCCGTCCCATCCCAACGAGAAATGGGTCTTTATCAATGGTGTTGCTGTTGGGTAAGTATTTGCGTATCCAGTATGAAGCTATACTCTGACAGTGATTGACTGATGATGCAATAGACGGAGTTGGTTGCAGGCTAACTTGGATCGCCTCTCCATGATATTCAGACGACCAGTCTACGCAATTCACAATCAGACGTGAGTAGTTCGCCTATCCGGACACTCCTGACATTCCATGCAACCAATCACTTGCTTCTGCGCTAACGGCCTCATTTCCATTCAGGCGAGGCATCATCTTCGACGTTCTGGAATGCATCATCCAGCGTGACCTGAACTATGCCACTCTGGACATCCGACAGGCGTACTCGGCGCTCACAGAGATCCTCTCCGACAGTAATGTGCATAAAGTCGTTCTGATTCTACACAGCCAGGGCGCTATCGAAGGTGGAATGGTTCTTGACTGGCTGTACTCTAGTGTTTCGGCGGATGAAATCCGGAAACTCGAGATATACACCTTCGGCAACGCCGCCAACCACTGGAATGCCCCGGCCAATGGCGGCCATTCGAGCGGCAACACTGCGAGCAATGCTCCCAACGGTGATGAAGAAAAATCCCCCTCCCAGACCCAGAGACTCATCGAACACATCGAACACTACGCGAATACAGGGGACTATGTTGCTCGATTTGGTATTCTTCATTTTCGCCCGAACGAAGCTGCGGCGGCGGCGGCGGTGGTGGTGGAATCGGCGGCCGCCACCAGAGCCAACGAAGAGAATGGCTTTGCGGGCCTCCTCTTCAAACGCGAAGGGTCAGGTCACCAACTCAACCAGCACTATCTGGGCCACATGTTCGAGATGGAAGGTGTCGACAAAGGTGACCTGTCCGAGGGCAAAGTCAAGGATAGGAATGCATTTATGAACTCGATTGTCGATGTCGACGTGCTGACGGAGTGGAATACCGTGCAAGCTTCTCCGTTTGCGGGCAAGCATGGTCAGCAAGTTTGGGAATTCAGTCGGTTGTGGAGGTACCGGAATGGCGGGAGCCCATGATATTGAGCCGCTCAACAACGCGGCGAAATCAAGAGGGTCATAATCGGAAGAAAAGACTACATGGATAAAGATACTTGGTGAGAAGAAGTGAAACAGCATATGGACTGTAGCAGGGGACATGGTCCTTCACGGCAGAACGTACTATTTCAATCTTTATCCAACTTGGCGAGGCCTATGCTCGTTTTCCCACTTCCCCTATTCATCTCTTGTTTCTTTTGGGCCAAGTTGATTCTTGTAGGAGGCCTCTGCTATTCTTCAAACAAAGCCATCGACGCCATTCGCGAATCTGGCAAACAGGTTCAAATCAATCGACTCGGCCAACAAATGATAGCCGGCCTCATTCGGATGCAGGTAATCTCCCGACTGCAATGCATCCGCCAACTGACTCGGCACCGTATCGTTTCTAACAACGGCGTCAAAGTCCAAAACAGCGTCAAACGTGCCCGAGTGGCGAATAAAGTCGTTCACTTTCTGCCTGGTCTGCTCGCGCAACGCACTCGTATAGGGCTGCAGCGTCGTGTTCCCGCCGGGCGCCGAGAACGGCGTAATCGTCGCGGCGAACAATGGGATGTTGAAGGCGTGGATCCGCGTCGCGATCTGCTTATACGCCGCGATGAGCCTGTCGTATGTGATGGTCAGGTTCGCGGCGGTCTCGTCCGCAGTGCCGATGTCGTTGACGCCCTCGAAGATCATGGCGTACTTGACCCCGACGTGGGAGAGGACGTCTCGGTCAACACGCGAAAGAACGCTGGGACCGAGACCGTCCTCGAGAATCCGATTGCCACCTGCGGCTTGATTGGATACGGCGATGGAGGCGAGCATTGAATCACCGCTGGACTGAAGACGTGCGAGGAGCAGGTCAGGCCATCTGTTTTTGACACACATGAAAGAATCTCAGCAACAGTCCGCGCCTCAAGGTAAAGAGCAAGGGGGAAAGAGAAGAGATAGAGGGTTATGTTACCGATTGTTCATGTCCGTGTCACTGCCTCGACCGTCGGTGATGGAATCACCTATGATGGAAAATGCATGGACGGTGGGTGGTGACCATGCTTCGAGGGCGGACAGAAAGTACCTGCGAATTATCAATCAATTGACCCTCAGCCAGTCAGGACCGCTTCATCCTGATACTGGGTCGATAGTTGGGGAAAGCATCCAGGGCCTTGTCGAGTTGCACGAGGCTGAGAGCTTACCAATGAGCAGTACTATTCAACTCCGGCCCCGTCAGATTCGTCGCCCCGACCTGATTTCCCACCGTCATCCAGCTTGTCGTGCGACTGCCCGGATGACTGGTGATGTGTGTCCCTTCCTGTCCCGCGGCGAGGTACGTGGTCACGCTGATCATAGATTGAGCCTCGACAGGGAAATCCAGAGGATCCGACACGCCCAGCGCCCCATCCGGGATGACTATCGACTCTTCGCCACCACTGAATGTGACGGTCTGCAGCGTCGACGGCTGGATCGCACTCGTCCCAGCCGAACCATTGTACGGCAGAGCGATTGTCATGCTCGTGATGGGCAAGTCGGTCAAGCCGAAAGCGTTGGAGATGCGGATTCTGATCTGCGATGCGCCTATGGATGTATGCAGCGTCTGACGAATCGTGCTGTTGTTGAATATCACCGTCGAAGTGTTCTAGGTTGAGTCCGATGTTCAGCGATCTACCGAAAGAACCTCTCTTCCCCGGAGGCCTCAAGAAGAGAATTTCTCACAACGTACATATGGTGCTGGTGGCAGATTCGTGTACTCTGTCAGTTGCGGCATGGCCGTCCACGTATCGACCCAGTGGCCGTTCGGGATCCCTGGTGTCGTGACTAGAGATCTTCTGCTCAGTGCACTGCATAGTGACAGTATGTACGTGCTGAGTACAAGTATGGCAGCGCCAGTTTGCTGGAAAGGCGCCATTGAGGGAGTGTGTAGCAGTACCACACTGTTACAATCTTACTTTTCCGTCGAGGTCTGGCAGGATTGCAAGTTGCAATCTGAATGGTCTAGTGAAGCTTGTCATTGCTTGTTCTTGCATTGATCTTACTATTTATACATAACATCGTTGCACTATTCGCATTCTGTGCGTCACGTTAAGGTCTCTGGAAGGGGGTACTGTCGCTTCATGTCAAGTATTAGGCTAAATGCTTCTCCATAAAGCAGATCACTTACTCTTTTCACCTAGTCAAGCCGTTGAAAGGTTTGACTTCCTCCGCATTTCTGGCGCTCCGGCTGTTGAGTGATGGCCATCGACGGGTCCGGGGAGAGACTGTTGAGTGGGAGCTGGCTGAATGTCATACTTTTTGCTATTTGCGGGTCCGGTGGCTCTGGTCCCAATACGCCTGAAGCCAGCCATATCAAGAAGCACAACCTCAATCACCTCAGCGAACGCAAAATACAACATGATAGCGTCAAGAACGACGTCGGGGGGAGCACTGGCCATTGAGACGAAGGAGATCGCTGACTCCAAAAGGTCACAGTACGCACACACCGAAGCACACCTGGCTTTCATTCCTTTCCATTGCCATCTGTTGATGGAATACTACATCCTCTGGTTGCCATGATCATGACACGACCGGCGTGTTCATGATAGCCTTGCCCACAAGTCGGACAGGCGTCTTCTCCTACCACAGCCCCAACCACGATCCCATCCCCCTCAACCACCCCCCCGGTCTTCCTCTTTCCTCCCTCCTCCTTCTCCTTCTCCTCCTCTTCCTTTTCCCCCGGCGTTTTCCAGTCATCCATCTCCTGAGATGGCTTGGAGGGGCACGCAATCTCATGGAAGATCGATGGCTGCTTGGCTCCCTTTCCAGCCATCACAGAAGATGGAGCTGGCGCCGAGTTGGCCTCAAAACTGGCCATTGCGTCGCCAATAATGGTCGACACCTTCTTCTCCCCCTCCCCCCTTGTTCCTCCTCTTCCACCCACTTGTCTCGGCAAGGGGCGCTGTTGCACCCTCGCTCCTCCTCCTCCTCCCCCTGCCCCCATCAGCTCCTTCAGAGCTTCATCCCTCTCCCTCGTGACCTTTTCAAGGTCACTCTGCAGCGATGCCTTCGCTTCAGAGAGTTCATCGGCATCCCGCTTCCGAAATTCCTTTTCGAAGCCGATTTCGACCTCGAGGCCAGAGTTGCGCTCTTTGAGCTCTTCACACTCTGCCTTTGTGAGAGTCAGAAGTGCTTCCGACTCAACAAGGAGCCTCTTGTGCTCCTTGCACTCTGCCGTCAGCGATGTCTTCGCTCTCTCGAGTTCATCGACATCGCGCTCACGAGAGTCCTTCTCGCAAGCAAGTTCGGTCTTCAGGGCCCAGTTGAGCTTTTTTAGCTCTTCACATTCGTCCTGGCTCTTTTTGAGCCGCCGTTCCAACTCGTTCTTGGAGTCCTTGAAGGCGTTGTAGATCTCTAGAACGTCCATGTGATCCTCCCTGGAGGTGTTGAGGAGGGACTCCGCCGCGTACAGGTCCACCTGGAGGTGGAGGTATTTGTCTTTGAGTTTGGCGTTCTCCTTTCGCAATTCACGCACAACGGCGCTTTCGTCGGAGGTGACGCCAGAGAAGGAAGATTGAGAAGGAGGATGAGTTGGTTGTTGTTGTTGATGAAGAAGGACACCACCGGCATCGTCGTCGTCGCTGGTATGCTTGTCGCCCTTGAAGGCTTCCTCGACAAGGGGCACATACCAACCCCACAAGGCACCGACAAGGTTGAAGAGAAGGAAAAGGAGGAAGTACATCAACAATGACGCCTCATCGTTGACGATGGTGGGGAGGAGACCGATGGAAACGCTTGCGTTCATTTTGATGTCGTTTGGAATCCCGTCCAGCGAGATGAGTCGACAGAAAAGAAGAAGTGGTAGTTGCGGTGGCGGTGGTGGCAGTCGTGCTAACTAGTGGCGGCGGTGGTGGTGGTGGTCGTCGTCGTCGTAGTGGTCGTCGTAGTGGTCGTCGTAGTGGCGGTGATAGTGGTTGGAGATAGAGAGAGAAAGAAGAGAGAAGAGGAGGGAGAAGATGAAAATGAAAGATGGCATTTTTGCTCGAGTGCGTTACAACATCAATCAGTGGGAGTGAAGTATTGTTGATGCAGAGTTTTTTTTCCTCCTCTCCATCTCTATTCAAGTACGTTCCCATTCACTTCGATTGACTTGAGCACCATCAAAGTTTGGTGGGTTCAAGAATACCTTCCTTTTATTCAGCGAACAATACGACACGATGGGGTTGACTCGGTAGTCAGGGCCAGCCAGCCAGCCAGCCAGCCAGCCAGCCCGGCCCAGGTATTGAGGCTTCTGTCCACTGAAAAGGCACAGCGAGGCATTCTCGATACGAAAGGCACGATGGTATCGGCTACACGATTCCCATTGAAGCCCCCCCTCCCTTCACCCACGGTGATAACAATGGGGACGGGTGGGTGAGTGAGTGAGTAGGCAGTGCCTCGGTACGCTCCCTCGCAAGGCTGAGGTCGGAAAAGGGGGTACGCCAAGCCTGCCTGTACGGGCGAGGCTGGACGCCCCGTACAGCCGTGCCATCCTCCTTCCCAGTACCAACGATCAATATGTACATAGGTCCGACGTGCGTAGTCCCCAGTCGACGAAACTGTGTATCGAACGTAAATTTTTGAGAAACAAACGAAGTGTCCTCCCAGATTTGACGTGGAAGTCCTCGGCGTGAACTGTCAACGGTCTACGGCAGAGAGAGATCTGTCAGCAAGGATGACGGAAGAATGTGTCTAGAATCGGTTTCGTTGGTCGTGTCTATCTGGCTACCACGAATCTCCCTTTGGTATCGAAGCTCGACCGCACGCATTCATTCATCGGCCAAGACATTTCTGGTCCGCCGTTTCGACCTGTTGACTTGGAGACTCGAGCGTACAACAACAGCACACCGTCGAGGTCGACACTCTGAATCCAATAATTCAGAGACTCACTCTGTCGCCGCCGTCGTCATTGTCGATCAGGAACTTCGCTTTAGAGATCACCTTCTGGCACTTGAGCGGTAGGAGAGTCCAGGTGGCACAATCCCTTGAAGGCAGATCGAGTTCAGGGAGTATACCCTCCAGATCTGGATGACATTTCACCATATCACGCCTCAAGTGTAGCCACGCACTTGTGTTCGGTCGAAAACTTGTCCCGGCCAAGCTCCGCGCTTATTCCCTCCTTTGCTTGCGACCCAGTGTAATGGCCCAACTGTGAAAAGATGAAAAGATCCCCTTCAGTATTTCCACGTGGTCCTGGTGAAGACGTTCCAATTGCCTGACATCTTCAAGCCCTTTGCCATCGACCTGCCCAGATGCGCGCTGTTTCATCTGCAGAGCAACTCGTTCTTCGATTAGCACTCTACAAAGCTCTAGCCCGAGTCTCTTCGGCAAGATCCACGTGTACAGTTTCAGGGAGAGGTATGCCCTCCATGGGTCCGTCAAGTTCTCCTCTTGCCGTGGTAGATGTCCAAGTACGGCCTCGCTAAGCTCGACGGCACATAAGTAGGCTACGACGCGATTCGCGGTAAGATCATCCGAGAAAATGGGGGCCCAGGACCAGAGGGGGTTTCTGAGGAACCAAGCGCTGATCTCTTTGAACTGTGGCTCTCGCCGGCCATGGATGGCACAGAAGGATTCGGCATCATTGAGGGTTGCCATGGGCCGTGATCTCATTTCATGCTTTGTACGATCGAGTTTGAGGAGCAATTGGTTCATGTCGCCGAGAAGTCGTGGTATGGGACTATCCCCGGGATGTTTGTCGTCCCTGATGAATCTTTCAAGGCCGTATAGACTTTGATGGAAGTGTCCCTTAAAGTCGGCCATCACCCTCTTGGTTTCGACCTTACTCAAATCAATTCGAGGCATCGTAAGCGTAAGCGGCCTCTATGTATGTTAGACACATGCTTGTCAAACGACGAGAAGACGACCTATTACGCACCGTTGATTTTCGAAACTCTGGGTGAGAGTTGCTGATGGTTGAGAAATGGACTTTCGAGATAGCAACGGCCGAGTGAGGACCTGAGACACGCAGTAGGATTGAGATTTTGTTTCCAGGTGGATGGATCCATGGATGGGAGTGAAAGTGCGCTGCCTGCGCCCGAGACATTGAATACAAAGATACAAGTGTCCAGCAGGGCAATCCACCACACTCGCGATCTTGCAAACTTCACACTAAAGGGGCATGTCAGGGAACTGTTGTGGACTCTGCCTACTCCTGTACATGAATATGTGTCTTGGTGACCTTCTTTCCATCTCGGTACGCGTCCAACACCTCATTGACCTTCTCTGCGCTCAAGCCCTTGGAGACGGTAAACTCGGTCGGTCTGATCTTCTTCTCGACCAAGTACCGTGGCAAGTGCTCCCAGAATGGCTTACACAAGTCTGGTCTGAATTCACTACTTCCAAACACATTATACAGCTGCCATCCTTCTTTCTTGGGCTTGACGAAAGCCTCGTTTACCGGGCCGAGAGGCAAGAGACGAGCAAACTTTCCTTTCTTCGTTGTCGACAGAGCATTGACGCCGACGACCTGCGTCGCGGGTGGATTGATGGCATCGTAGGCATAGATCAACTCGTCGCCCACGACATCGCGGATCCTTGCCGTCACCTCATCCGGCGAGCCGTGGCGGTCGACGATGTGCGTTGCCCCATACGACTTCAGCTCAGCTTCGTCGCCGCCAACCACGACGATGCGGCCGACACCGGCCAAGCTGGCCAACTGGACCCCGAATCTGCCACAGTTGCTTCCCCCGCCGAGAATCAGGACCGACGCTTTCTTGTAGTCAAAGGCGGACGCCTCGGTCGTCCAAGGTGCAGGGATTCCGAGTCCCTTCTCTGGGTCGAAAAGCGCAACCAGCGGGGCCAGGATGTTGGTCGGTAGAGTGGCGGCGTCGTCGTCGCTGATCCCCTCGGGTAGCTTTGCGCTATGATCTAGGTCGAGGACAGCATACTGCTGTAGTCCGTTCTGCTTGTTCGGTACCGCAAACCCCGCCTGGTAGACGACGTGGTCGCCCAGTGAGTATTTGGTGACACCTTCGCCGAGTGCCGTGACCTCTCCGACGACGTCGTTGGTCAAGACAGCAGGGATAGCATCCTTGATGAAAAGCCCCTGGTCTCGTGCTTTGCGGTCGTGGGGATTGATGCCGGCGACGACGACTTTGACCTGAGCCTGTCCTGGCCCTGGCTGCGGAACAGGCCAGTCATCGACCAGAGTGACTGGCTTACCGATCTCTGTGACAAGGACGGCCTTTTGTGTCTGTGGGGAAGTCATGGTGGTGGTGGTGGTCAAGAAGGGGAATATCCTCGTATCCTGGGAGAGGTGAGTCGTCTGGTAATGGTAATGGTAATGATAATGGCAGGATCCCCTTCTTCATAAATACCAGGCGATTAGAAATGTCGACATCCGAGGTCAAAAGGTGGTTTCAATGGCGCTTTGAAATAGCATTCTACCTGGGTATTTATAAGCAGATACCTTATGCATCAGTGCTTGAAAAGTCAACAAAGTTTTTGTCATCTTCAGCACCAGTGACTGATGTTGTACCACCCCGGATCGCGTCTTCATGTCCTTTGGGAAGAATAGCCTCGTCCAACCCTGATCGCCCTTCAAGAGGCACCTAGCCAGTTTGAGGAATGACTTCTGGTTCTTTTTCCGGCCTAATCAATCACAGCCGGTCAGTTCCTCAGGCCACGGATTCGGTCCGTCGTACTGACAAATAATAACCGGACGCAGAAAAGAGACGGGGTGGCGAGGCTCGTGACACGCCCGGGTTACCTTCCTGTCAATAATAGTTAGGTAGTACATTCCTAACATGCATTAACTTAGTATAGGTGGTTTTCCGGGTCCCTCTAGGCTTCCCATCCCTGGGTGGGTACCTACGGAGTACCTAGGTAGGCTATCAAAATAGGCACTCAGACCCATAAAACTCCCTGAGACGAGTTGAGACTAACTAACTTAACTAGCTAAGGGTATTTCGCCTAGACCCTTACAGACAGTGCTTATAGGCGCCTAGCCCCTAAATCCCTTGGAGCCTTCTCTGCTCCCTTAATACTTGTTGGTCTTCACCTCGACAAGACATCTAACCTCAGGTAGGTACCCAATATTGCAACACATTCTCCAGTCAACTTTACTTTGCCTCGCTCTTTCTACCTAGTTTCAATTGTCGCTTACAATAATTGACCAGTTTTCGTCTGTTCTGTAATCACCGCCGCCCCCAAAACCCCATGACTACTAACTAAACCAAGACGAGTGATCCGTTGGGCAGAATATTTGTAAACATTGTCGCTCGTGTCGGTGTTCTGGTACTACGGCAGTCGTGAGTGATGATGCTACAGCAATGCAAAACGAGTGGAGAGTCGACTGGGAGGGACTGGAGACTGGACGCGGAATCATTTGTACGAAAAGAACCTGTCAAGTCCAAACGATTGATACATGCCTATGTTCTCCGAGTTTCGCCCACGGCTCGATGAGAACCTTAGATGGCATGTGGCTTGTCGACTGTGTTTCTATACAGGAACCTCGACTGACTATAAAACACGCAAACTGATCAACAGGTCCCGCTGGATGCCAAAGAAAAAACAGGAGGAGAAAAGAAAACAACAACCAGAACTCCAGTATGTATTGTATGATGCAACTAGCTCCTCGTGAATCATTACTACCAAGGTTTTGAAAATCCCACGTTCTACCTCGATCTAGTCGAACCCATCTTTCTCTTGCCCTTGAGCAAGTGGGCAGGTAGGGAGGCAGTCTCATGGCGATCAGCTTCACCTTGTCTCGCCATGCGGTTCATCTTTCTCTGACTCAACTTCGCCATGCGAGAAGCCTTCTCCCGTGTCGCTGGGTCCGTGACACCTGTGGCGCTGGCACCTAATCCATCCGTCAACCGGTTGGTCTTTGGTGCCCTTGAAATGGCCTTGACTCTGGCAGAAGGCGTGTCGATTTCCATCTCGTCACCGACCGTGGAGCGAGCAGGAGCGTTGCGAATCTGGGCTCGAGCCCGGTCCGTAGCAGACGAAGCGTCCAGGCCGATAGAGGTGAGATGTTTCTCCATCTGTCCCAACGTCCGCGACTTCTTCGCTCTCGGGATTTGTGCTTTGTTCTTGAGACTCTTCTTCATTCGGGCCTCGTTCATAATCAAGGTGCGCTTGTTGCGGATCAGCTCTGCCTTCATGTGGATCTCCGCATCTTCTTCGTCGTCCATGCTGTCGCTCTCGTCGTAAAATCCTTCTTGCGTCAATCGTTCTTCTTCGGCTTCAAGAGCAGCCAGTTTCTCCTCGATATCAGGGTCGACATAGTCTGCAACGTTCTTGCCGTTGAAGAATTCTGGAACCTTGTCATGCTTCCATTCTGGATCTGCCAAGTCGTAAAACTTCTTGAGGTCGATATTGTAAACACCGGCACCGCCTTCTTCTTCCTCGAGGTCGCGTTCCAGTCTCTTTCTCTCCGGGTCGGACTTGTCGTATCTCTTGTGGGTGCCATTTTTGACGGCTTCGGGAATGTATGTTTCGCTGACTGCACCTTCCATCGGTCTCGCAACATGGATCCTGGCGAGAAGATCTCCAAGACGACCGGACGGAGCATCGGCGGTGGCAGATTGTGAGGCTTGACCGGCTTTGAGCTTGGCTGCCACGCGATCGGCAATCAGTCGATCACAGACAGTGTTTTTCACTTCTTGAACGCCTTCATTGGTGATGCATGACAGTTGAAGTAGCTCGGTGTTGGAGTTCTGCGTGAGGAGGTCCTGTAGCTGGCGTTGTAGTTCTGGGTCGAGATCCTCGGGCTTGGTCACATCGGTCTTGTTTACCACGATGAAGACCAGTTTGTTGGCAAACAGCGGCTTTATTGAGGTGAAAAGAGCCATCTGTGCCTGGACTGAGTATCCGCACTGCTCTGAGAGATCCATAAAATACAATATGGCCGACCTCAAGTGGGCAATAGCTGTAATCGATTGCATTTCAATCGTGTTCATTTCTTCCAGGGGATGATCAAGAATACCGGGAGTATCAATGGCTTGGAAACGAAGGTACTTGTAGTCGAAGTGTCCAACAAAAAGGGACTTGGTGGTGAAGGCGTAGGGCTGTACATCGACATCGGCTCGGGTAACCGACTTTAGGAAACTGGACTTTCCGACATTTGGATATCCGCAGATGAGGAGAGTCCGGGTATTAGGGTCGATGCTGGGCAAACGTCCCAGATGTTGTCGCACTTGCTCCAGATACACCAAGGGATCCTTCAATCGTTTGCAAATTGTTGCCATGCGGCCAAGAGCCGCCCTCTTTAATGACTTGCATTGGAACAAAGATTGTGCATATTTTAGCAGTCTCACATAGTCTCTTGCCACGGTCTCAATCAAGCGCTTGGCTGTCGACAATGTACCCAATGCAATTCTAAAGTGGTCGGCATCGTAGAGGGTATTCAAAAGATCTTTGTGAAACGGGTGGATGTCTTGAAGGCGGGGGAATCCTTCGAGAATTGCTTGCAGCTTTTCGCAGAAGGTCTCAGAGGTGAACTTGACTTTTCTGGTATAGAAACCTGAGGAGCGATCAGTCTAAAGAACAGTGATTTTCGCCGTGAAAAAGTTCTTACCCCGAATCCTGCTGATTTTGAAGCCGGCTCGAATTTGCGTCGGCAGCCGTCGCTGTGTCCGGCTGAGAACGATATCAATAAATTCTTGGGACGTTGGAACAGGAGCGATGTCCTTCCAAGTGGTCTTCATCTTGTCGACTGACGGAAGAAACAGGCCGGGTTGTCGCAGTTGAAGTGGCGGGATGCAGAACAGAAATGCACCGCTGCCGTATGGACCGAGACAAAATTTCAGAAGAATTTCTTATCGGCTGCAAGGAAGGTAAGCCGATATCGATGCCGCTCTTGGCACGCTAGCATCCGCCATCTGGCTTTTCATTGGCTGTCCACGCGCGCTAGGAAGCTACAGTGGTATTTGAAGATGATTAAGGCTTGAGTCACCGGTGAGTTAGGAAGTACTTTGATCCTGTCCTTGCTTGCAGTAGTAGCTTAAATACAAGGAGGGACTACTGGGGCTTCTCTACCGAAACCATTCGATATTTGATGTACTCAACCTTTTTCTTCATGCAACCAACATGAAAACAACTCGTCCTATCTTCCCGGCACCGGCACCTCCCATCAAAACGCCTCGTCTCCTTCTCCGTCCCGTTCGACAATCTGATCTTTCTGACTTTCACATCTTGCGTACTCAGACTGAAGTGATGATGTGGACGAGTTCAGGCAAACCAGATGTGGATGAGCAGGCTACTCAGATTTGGTTGAACCGGTTTCTCCCTCCAAACGATGCTACCACTTTCAACTTTGCCGTCGAAGAACTCTCAGTACCAGGGAAGGTCATCGGCGTTATGGGGTGTCATATCGCGGAGCCACCAGAAGTTGGCTACATGTTTGTCAAGGAAGCTTGGGGGATGGGTTATGCCACTGAGGCTGTCCAAGCTTGGCTGCAAGCATACTGGCGACTCCCCCGAAAAGAAGTGGTGATCGGAGACGATGTGAACGATGACACTTTCATCCCAGAGACTTTGAAGGCGGATGTCGATCGAGGAAATATGGCGAGTGTGCGAATATTGGCTCGGTGCGGCTTTCTTGAAACATCGGAGGAATTGATTGAAGAGCATGGGCAGAAGGTCAACGTCGTTCATCTCGCTCTTCGTCGGCCAGAGTGAACATAATGTACTCAGAGTCAGACAGCAAATTATTTCTGAGACTTGGATCTTCTCTCTTCTGCTTGCCGCCTCATTTCTGTGCGCATCTCATCTTTGATTCGTGAGACAGTGCCAACACCACCGTAAACTAGAGCCGTATATACCATGGCAACGCTAGCGCCTGCGTTGAGCACATCCAGAGCCTGCTTTCCATTGGTGATGCCGCCTGTCGCGAAAATTACTTTTGGTTCATCATTCGAAGCTAGATGAATAGGTTCTTCCAGGTTTTCAAGCGCATCCCGTTGGTCTCTAGGAGGCAGGCGTTCTATGGCAGCTTGGATTGCTCTCAGACGTTCCGTCTGGCTTTGTTGTTCACCAGGGGAATCGACAGGCGCAGAGTTAACACCTTCGAGAGAGTCCTGATCCTCCTGAGGTTTATCGTAGAAGCGTTCTTGGGGCAACTTGAATAAAGGTTGCTTCTCCGAGCTCATCTCCTCAGCTACCGGGGTGGGTGGGATGACCCCAGTATCTACCGAGGTCGTAACGGTGTCCGGGGTTGAATCCTCCTTGGGCCCGGACTCGCTTGCTAGTTCATTTTTTATTTTCGCAGCTTCGGCTTGCAGTGCGCTGGGAGGCTGTGGCACGGGTTCAAGCTCGACAGGCTTCTGCTCGAGCAGCTTTCTGTATCTCTTTACCAAAGACAGAGTCTTGTCAAAAAGGTGCGGCCCAGAGAAGCCACCAGTCTCGAGTAGATGTTGCTCCTCTAATGGAGACAGATTCCCTAAATGAGGAATTGGTGCTGGCCGTAGGTTGGTGGTGTTACCGACAATAACGCCGTCAACTCCGGCTGCCCAAACAGCGTCGCATATTCCAGCGATCTGGGCATCTGAATCTTCATCAGGGCTGACCTTGACCATGACGGCAGGTCTGGTCTTCCTGTCTACCAATCGCGCAGCATCCACGACACCCGTCAAGATCTTCTGGAGTTTGTCACCTTGTTGAAGAGAGCGAAGCCCCGGAGTGTTGGGGCTGGAAACGTTGACAACCAAGATGTCGGCATAAGGGCCCAAAGTGTTTACGCAATATACGTAGTCCTTGGTGACGGCATCAACGTCGTCTTCAGGAGTAGTTTTATTTTTGGCGATGTTGATGGCAAGTAATTTTCCCGGGGTCAAACTTCCAGGCGGAACACCAGCAATTCCGTCCAGTACTGCGTGTTCGGCAGCTGCATCATGGCCCAGACCAAGACGGTACGCAAACTTTCTGACTCGGTCGCGTAGACGCATAGCAACATGATCTGCCCCTTCGGAATTCAGGCCGTATCTGTTGATGATGGCTTGTTGAGAAGTCAGGCGGAAGACTCGAGGCTTGTCATTGCCAGGCTGTGGCAAAGGAGTCGTTCCTCCGATCTCAACAATGGCTGGGCCGGAGGCAAAAAGAGGGTCCGGAATATCAGCATGTTTGTCGATACCGGCCGACGTGGCTATCGGATTGCGAATGATGCGACCGAAAACTTCCACCTCGAGATCGCCAACTTTGTCAGGATCGCCCCGCTCTCTAGGATGAAGACCAAAGTCCCAGAGGGATCTCAAGACCTGGTTGGCCGCATGATGAGCTTCTTCCGGGTCGGGGTAGATCCATCTCAGAGCTGGGATGACAACGTATCGGTGGACACTGGCTCTGGTGTCGGTGACGTAGACAAAGATGATCCCCAGACCCAGCACGAGGGTTGAGCCGTAAACGAAGTTCAAGAGGCGCGAACCACCGGTCGACCCAGTCTGAGCGGTGGAATTATGTCTTCGTATCGAATGTGCAGTGAATTGGGGCTTAGCGAAAGTTGGTCGAGCTATTACTCGACCTGGGGGAGGTCTGAAAAACACCCTAGACGTAGGGAGCTTCATGATGGGCGAAGCAGGAGATATACGTCCAAAAAGAAAGAGCTTGTTGGTCACTTATCAACCCCTGGACTCCCTTGAGCAGCTGGAAGAGGGGGTCCTCGGCATGGACTGGGCCGGAGCTGGTGTCGAGTGCTCAAAGCTGTTATGAGAGCGAAGAAAGAGAAAAAGTTGCTGCCGTTTTTGGAACCGGTGGCAACACGTGACCGTGCTTTTAACCCGTGCGGCCGAGGCCCATTCTGGCTGTGTCTTCTTGGGATGCAAAGGAGGAAAACCGTCCGCCATCATGTCTCTGCACCGACATCATGAGATTCCACGATCTTCTGGTCGCCAACTATGCCACAATATCATGATGTGAGGGTCAGGTGGAAAAAGGGCGGGTCTAGGGCTCTTTGGGCGAGGCTCGTGTCTGGCTTGTGTATTGCTTGTGCCCTGTGCATGTGGTGCCGAGGTGCCTCTTGTTGGTCTGCCCAGTGAGCCCCATGTCTTTTCATCCTCCTCGACCCGGGATCGCGTCTTGCTGCATCCGAAAATCCGGGGTCAACTGGAAAATGTCGCACCGCCTGTCTTCCCTTCAAGCGCTCGCCGACCATCCCGCAATGCGGATACGTCGAGGACGCCCAAGCCATCTTCAGGGACCCGAAGGCCGATTCAATGCACCTGTGAACCGATCTGTCTAATTATACAAACCACCATCTCCAATCATGTTCCGCCTGTACACAATACGAGTACGGTAGCCCTGGCCTGAGGATCATGTGACAACAACGAGAGATGGCATCGCTCGAGATGAGCCTCACGAGGCGGACACGAAATCCATTGCTACTTCAAGAACTTTCGATCAGGTTCATGTTTATATTGAGGACTCTCGCCCTGTGATCCTCCCGCCAGATCCATGCTTCGCGGTATTCCGTAGCAACATCCTGCATATCGTGACTACACCGCACATTCAACGTGCCCAAAGCCTCAAACATCAACAAAGCATCAGATCAGGCAGCCCCGACGATATTTGAATGGCCAGGGTTGGGTCCAGAACAAGCTGAGACCAGCGAAGACCAGCGACTAGCGACTCGCAACTCGCGCTGACGCATCATCTCAACTCATCAGCATCAGCTTGTACAACTGCTGAGCCCTTTTCCGTGCGCATCCGAGCCGGCCAACCAACCACCAGTCAGCGCTGCTCACTCCTAACATTCGACCCCTTAACTTATCCACACATCGTAATTGTCCTCGCAAGTGCATCCCGGTGCACAATTCTTCATATCCTTCCCAGGTCAGCTCCGAGTTTACTGTTTCTGTTTACTTTTGCCCTCCTCAGTCCTACCCAAGAGCCATCCCCCTCACCAAGAGCACAGCTCAACACTTTTGAAGCCATGGCGTCTACGGACGGAGATATTCTGCCTTCATACAACACCCTCTTCCCCGAGGATGAGCCTGCTGCTAACCAGACCAATGGCGGGCGAAGGCGTTGCACCACCATCACTCTTCGCGAGATATACTACCCCAGCGGCTGCCCGTGCCACCCCGGGGAGAAGAAGGCCGACAAAAAGGGCAAGCGAAAACAACAAGACACTGCCGCTCCGACCAACCAGTTCCGCATTGAAGACTCCCTTGATCTGCCACAATGGCTCGGTCACGGCCGCCCAGCGCTGACTCAACGGACCAACAGCCAGAGCAGCGGCAGCTCGAGCTCGAACAGCAGCACATCAGGAGATTCGAGATCCTCAAAAGCACGACATTGGGACTCGTTTTTCCGCAGAACCTCCGGCTAGAAGTCGTCGAAGTCGATCCTGACACACGTGAGCAGGAACAGGAACACGACACGGCTCGACCATGCTTCACCACCAGCAACATGAAATGGTGGAAGAACAAATTGATGCTCCCACCTTCTTTCGACATCTTTCCTTCACCCCAACAGGGTACATGGCATGAGAGTGAATCTTCCGGCCAAGTGCAAGGCCAGGAAAGTGCCGAGAAGCCATATCCTCTCGCCCACATCGAGTACCCGGGCTGGCAAGGCGTGACGCAGATGACCATCAACTTGACATTGTACAACATCACTCGAGAAATGCACTACGAACACAATCACGACCCCGCCGAGCCGCGCTCACTCTGGACGGTGTCTCGCTTGGGCAGCAAGCGGGAATATGTCATAAAGTGCACCACTGATCGCGAGTTGAATGGTTACAAATGGCACAGCATGTCCTCGTCGGAGCTCACTTCGATTCCAGCCCTCGATGACGGTCATTCCTGGGCACACGGCAACCTCGTCTTGTCCGGCCCTGACGATCGGCTCGTCGCCGCTTACAGGCAGCGTCGGGATTATCGGGTTCTCGGATCTCTTACAATCTTCACCGACACTTTACATCACGACATCGGAACGAGACCCGTTCTCACGATCGATGCTATCACTGCGAGCTGTCTGTCCATCATCCTCTACGAGAGAGTCGCGTGGCAGAATCTGCTTGGGAACTGACGTCGCTCGACACACAGGCCACGTATACACACATCTATAGTTGGGTACCTATTTCGTGGGTACGGGCCTGTAATGTCCTGTATCAGTATGCATGCGAATACGGGGCGGGGACTTCTTTCCCAGATATTTGACATTCGGGGTCAAACGCAGGTGTACAGCAGTCAGATTGTGATTTGAGATTGACCGCCGTTTTTGCACAGCCTCACAAGTGGACTGTGAAATACTAGACTCTACTCCTACTCGTACGGACCCCGGGGAGTTGCTGATCTTAGTCAGAAAGTGTGTATTGCAGGTGCAACCACAAGGGAAGATCAGGTGTTTGATCTTTCGGACGAAATACATTGTGGTGTTTTGCTTTCTCTGCTGTAGTCTGTGTCTCTTAATTTTGTACCCATATCATTCGTTCTCCAAGCATCAGGCGTCCTCCACTCCCCGGGGTACCAGTTCATCCCCGTCACGGCTGCGTTGTCGGAACCATCCGAGAAAGGTGGCGGTGTGTGACGACAGCAGAACAGGAACGGGGAGGTCAGTAAAATAATGATGCTTTGCCTGGGCCGGTGACGGCCTGAAACTAATGCGAAACCCGCGAGCCACCACCACGCAGTATGTCAGTGTTGATTAGGCATCATGGCTGGCTGCCCGTTGCAAGGACAGCGAATACTAGGTCAGTACATAAGGATAGGTAATCGCCAGCCCGCGAGGGGTACGACAAAGGCAGGCTAAAAAAAAAAAAGGGAGTAAGCCAAACTCTCTGCGTCACCTGCCTGCAGGGTTGTGACGCTACGGTATGCGTTGTACCTCAGGTAGGGTAGGCCTCTACCTTATTGGGGCATAGGGGAGGGGTGGGGGGAATCCAGATCGTCGAGAATTCGTTTAGTATTGATCGGAATCATCCATGATCCGAGGAAAGTGTTGATGATTCCGCCATCCGTCATCCGTCGTGTTTCATTACTCATCTGGTCACTTACAGCAGTAAGGTCCGCCCAGCCCACACCCCGTACGAGTACAGGCACATGTCCAGGGGACGGAGTACAATACATCATCCGTTGATTAGTCCCGAAAAGTACAGGGACAAGGGTACCGGGATGTACTGTATATATCGTGTCTAACAAGATGGGTACATCGTCTCTGTTCCCCCCTCCACGCTGCTAGAGTGCCAACTCGTACGCTGTAGCGACTGACTTTCAGGTCTTTCATCGTGCCCGGTCTCCCCGGCTCATCATGGCGCGCTCTCGTCGCTTCCCATATTTCAGTTTAGATGTGTAGACAACAAGGCACGACGACGGCCAGACCTCGGTGGACGGAATATGCTGCAAGGTATCCCAAGACACAAAGAAGTAAACGGTTCAACCGGACGCTGTACAGACATGTTCTACCATGGTCGTGTAGTACCACCAAGCATGCTCGGACTTTTCTCCTCACCACCGACCGACACAGACGCAACATCCTTACTTACCAACACTCCACACTCTCCCGGTCGTATGTAGGCGCCTCGCTATTGTCCGGGAGCCCACGTCTCCGGACGAGGAAACTCGACGTACCCCTTGCCCTCGACGAAGGTCTGCAACCAAGGCCCCTGCTTCGGATCCTGAGCCAGCTTCAGATACTGATCGGCATGGGCCGGACCGCTGAGGCCGGTATACATTGGCGAACCGTCTGCGTTGCGTTGATCGCCGTAGTAGAATCTGCGCACAAAGAGACACACGTGGCGCTCGTAAGTACTTTGCTTGGGGAAAGTGTCGGCCTCAAAAAGAAGGGGGTGACCACCGATCTCTCTCACGCGTTCATACTCATAACTTACTTGTACGGTTTGTCATTGTAAGCGACCAAGGCGAGATGTTGGATCAGATGAGCCGACGCGCTCTTACCCATTCCAAAGGTCAGAAACCTGGGTGCGACCGTGGTGTTGAACAGGTTGCCGGTGAAGATGAACGTGGCACCTTCTGGACCTAGGCCGGGGCCTGTGCCTTGCGCACCACCACCACCACCACCACCACCACCAAGAATCTCCTCGAACCCCTTGATGGCCTCGCCGGCAGAGACCCAGACGCTGGTAGCGTTGACGTTCATGTCGCTTTGGAACAGGTCGATCTGATCCGAATCTACACCTTCAGCCAGGTGATCTGAGTACGCTGTGTTTGGGGGGAGGGGGCTGTGTGTCAGCGAATGGCAACAAATCCAAAGACAAGAAAATCCCACGTCTACGCTGAATCAGGAGGGAGGGGACGGGAAGGGAGGGTTGTATGTATATGGATGTTGGGCAGTTAGTTACCATTGTACACCACCACGCTGGGTACCCCGATACTTTTCCGGTCGTTGTTGAACAAATCCTTCACCGTCTCCGGCTTGGACGCGTCAAACGTGAAGTGCTTGTCCGGCGAACCAGCTTTGTCTGACCTCGAAGCCAGGGCGATGGAGTATCCGGCTTTTGCAAAGGCATCCGCTGTCGACTTGCCGACTCGCGAGCCCGCCCCGATGATCAAAGCCGCCGGCATGTTGACAACACTATGTATTCTGGGCGACGTTTCTTGATTACGATCGTAAGATAGGTACTGTGAGTGCAGAATGGGGGTGAGGATGTCGATACCAGTCGAACAGAAATCACAGCGGCACTTGAGCTCTTCATTAATGCTTCAAAGAGACTCGGTCTCTCTGCCGTGGAACCACGGTTGTTGCCATGCTGATTTCCAAGCGACTTTCCCAAAGGCTGGCGAGGCTGAGATAATCATTCTTGCGCTCACCAGGGCAATTTCGCAAATGTCGGTCCGCGGCCTTGGACGAAAAGTCTCCGAGACGTGGATAGATGCAGATCCTGATTAGTAAGATGGGTGGTTATACGCACAAGGGGGTGGTGGTGGTGGTGGTGAGGCTGAAAATGCCAAAAAGTTGAATGACACTTTCAAAGTCTTCGCTCTATGGATCTGTGCGCGCAATTTTACGGTTGTACTGAGGCACGAGGTACCTAAGTAGTAGTCACTTACTAGGTAGTTGATAAACTTGTTGGTCTGTCCGGACCAGATTCGGGGGCGTCCAAAAGCCTATAACTCTCACTAACTAGGGGCCCTCTTAACGTAGGGCATTGACAAGGGTGTCTTTTGTTTTTGTAACTGCGGCGCCCCGTCCGGTGTCACTGTCAATATCTACCTGTTGGGCCTATACCCGACGACAGGTCTAGGCGTGGCCTGTAGTTGGTGAGAGCCCTTCACGCCGACAGTGCAGTGTTCCTTTCACCTACGATCCGGACCTCAATCTCCCTCGAGTTCGAGATGACTAGCCCGCCCCCATACTACTACTACCCTTGTCCAACCAAAATCAAAACTGTCGGATGTACGGATACATACACACTATTACGCTGCTCCAGGTACTTACCCAGATATCTCCCTCCCTGAGATATCCCCATCGGTCGAAATAGCATGGCAACTCTCGACAGCTTAGTAACTCGAGGAACTCGACAAGGCGAATCGCGATCGGGACTTTGGTTCAGGAGAAAGCTATACTGTACTGAATCTCTACAATTTACATCCGTGTTGGTTGGTGTGGAAGCAGCCTTCCAAGCCCCAAGGCTACCCTTAAAAGGGGTTCGGGCCGAGTTGCGCAGAGAGACATTATTGACGCTATCCGCGTCAAAAAATGTATATACAAAGCTCAATGAAGGTGCTTCCACAAACACAATTACAATGATAACTGATTACTTTGTCTACCTAATTTTATACTGTCTAATAATTGATAGCAATGGCACACATCACCTTTGACAATTTCATGCCCAGTGTGCGCATCTTAAACAAACTACCTCGTAACCCCTAACCCGAGCACTTTCTTCAAGACCCAAAATATGGCTCTGAAAACCCACCCGACAATTCCAAACAATCCCAGAACAATTCCCAATACTCTGAGAAAGAAGACGCCCACTGCTGCAAAGACGACCAAGTACAATGCACTCCTTGCACAGTCAATGACAAACCCTCCAGCTGTCTCGCCTTTGGAGACTTTGAGCTTCAATTTGCCAGTCTTTGAATAAACAAAGACAAGAGCCCAGAGTCTCCAACCAGTCGTTGTCATGATACGACTCATTTGCCAAGCACGTTCCAGGATCTCCCATCCCACCTTCATGACCTGTGGATGGTTCTTTATCCACATCTTTGTCGCTTCAAAGGGGACCAGAACCAAATCGCTGGCCGCTCCACCCCCGAAGAACCCAATTCCAGGCACTTGCACCTCGATCGTACCAATACTGGTTCCGCTGGTATTTCGACTTCTGGGTTGACCGATGCATGATATTGCGAGCCCTGTAGGAGTGGGAACCCGGAGGCGAGAGCCACCGGGTAGCCTCATACCCTGGCTGGTGTTTGGCTTCGGGATTGGACTAGCTGATCCGATAACTGGGGAGCTCCGGCTTCTTTGCCTCTTGTGCAAGCCTGGTACGGCTGACTTCTGCTTAGACTGTCCTACAGCCCTAGGCTCTGCAGCATTCTTGAAGGGAGTCGCAGGCGTTCTTGGGTGAGCTGAAAGCTCAATGGGAGACCCTCTTGTAGGTCGAACCTTTGAGCGCTCTAGACATGGCGGGCTCTCCTTGGTGAGAAGGATATCAGGCGGCGGCCCTTCATGCTTGTGGTTCTCGACATCACCCCATTCGTCGCTCTCACCAGCACTGCTTGGGCTATGGGATTGAGACCAGATGCTCTTGTTTGGGCTTGACACGGTGCTCGGGCTAGAATGTCCAAGGCAACTACCATGTACATCTTCCTCTTTACAGCAGTCAGGGCAGCAGACATCATGGCCGGCTTCGTGATGGCCTTCCTGGTCCTGTTCATGCCCATGAAGACGAACATCAACTTCGGACTCCTCCGGTAACCCTGGAAGCGGACTGCCAGTTGGATGAGTCTTTCTCAATCCATTGTTTACTTCATCACTATTCTTTTGAACACCACCCAAATCGGGACGCTTGACATCCACGAACCCATTGTGACAGCGACTGCATTTCCTCGTCAAACCAAGACCGTTCACTACTGCGATTTCTCCTTCTTTGCGTGTATCTTTTGCAATCAGATGCTCTTGGCCTGACAGGAGTCGTGGTCTTAGGGGTGGGGGAACTAGGCTCCGCTCTGCATCGAAGCGACTCCTCGTTCCGCTCTCTTGCCACTCTGTTTCTCCCCGCGTCAGCCTGGATTTAGGGTAGGTTGGGTTTTTGTGCTCGGCTATCATCCTCGGAATGCCGTGCATGTTTTCGTCTCGCATGGGCATTGGTTGACGTGGTATATCTCTCGGTCTGACCCTAGGAAGCATTATCGGCATGATCGAATCGGCGCTCATATTCATACTAGTGTTCATGAAAATGCCGGGCGTATCTGGTGTAGCTGGCCTTCTGGGAACTCGAGGGCGACCAGCGGTCGTAGTACGAGGATCTGGCATCGAAGGTCTTTGTCCCACAAGTAGCTGTCTGGGACCACCCGGCCGGCTGATAGTATTGCCTGTGAGTGTGGAAGTGGTAGTCGACAAGAGCTCGTGATCGTCCTTGACCCTGTTCGACGTCGGCATCACTGTTGGTGGCATTGAACTGACCGGTTTCGTTCTCGCCAATATGGGCCTCGTCGAGTTGGGCTGCTGGTACTTTGGTGGATTGTCGTAAGTAGGTACTGGCATCGGTCTCACACCTAGGAGGTCGTTGGCCTTCCTTGTCTGCGGCGGCGGGTGAGTTTGTCTCGCGAGTCGTGTGAAGGGATACGCTGAGTTTCCACCCCGCGGACCCCGAGGACCCCCATGACTTTCAGCTGGTCGGCTCATGGCATTTTCGGGGCTGGTGAAATTGTTCTTGACAGTGCCTAGCTCGAGAGGTGTCGAAGCTTGTCTCGGCCTGGATGGGCCATCACCCTGCGGCAGACATGGTAGATCTTTCTGGGCTACAGCAAGGCGATTGTTTTTTTGGCTCATTGGATTTGGACACTCGCTTACGTCCTCTGTTTCCTCCCGGCCTAGAAAAGGGTTCTGCGTTGCTATGACCTGATATTCTTGAGATGGGGAGCGGGGCGTGTCGCCTGGTAAGGTTGGCAGATCTTTGTCGACATTGCAAAGGCCAAAAGTGCGCAAGGGCGCAGGTATGGGAGCAGAGCAAGATCTCAGATCAGTCTCAAATTTTGGAGGCAGTAACACGGGATCATCGCTTCCGTCGAATTCTGGCGAAGCTGATGTTACATGGTCCGGGTTGCCCTTCGGTGGTGTTCCTACTGGCTTTCTCCGTACGGCCGGCTCTCCAGATGATGGATTGTGCCGCGCGTGTGGACTCGTTGTCTTGATGGGGACTTCGCGAAGCGCCTCGATCGCCCCGATCTGCTTGTGGGAAGCAAATGTGTCTCCGTTGCTCGACCGTGAATTCTGTCCCAGAGGCTTAAACGGAGTGCTGAATTCCCCTAACGAGGAGCCGCGGTCGCGCGGCACCAATTTCGGCGGGAGTCTCAAGCGATGATATGGTGCTGAGGGCCTCTCTTCGTGCGGTCTTGGGATAGCCGTTTCCTGATCGAAATCAAAACTAACCCACTCATCCGCCCTTTGACGCCATCGACCATGAGGAGCAGAGCCGTGGCCATCAATTGAACTGCTAGCACTGTGGGAGCTTGGGGTTACCACTCCGGTCCGTGGATTAGCTCCTCGAGCAATCAAGTAGTCTTCTTTGTTGACGGGTCGATGCATATCCACGCAGCTTCAGGAGACTCGTAGATATGTTCTTGCTTCTGGGTAAGCTAGCGAGCGAGACAATTCTTCGTAAGGAATTTCGAACGCCGGACCGATGAGAATGGCTGCCTTGACTGGTCCAAGGGGATGGATCTCGCATCCACCCCCTGAGGTGTTGTGAACGTTACAGCTTCGTCACCTGGAACCGGGGCTTGGGTAATATACAACGCCTTCTTCTGTATATATCAATCCCTGGTGGCGTTATGAGGCGGCGAGCTCGGTTCTCTCTGCCGCGTCGAAGAGAACGGCAAGAAAGACTGTTTGCTGTGGCGGAAAGCTAAACGCCGGCTGATTGCTGCATAAATGTTTGATTTATTCGTTGGTACGCTGTCGTGTGTTACCGTCTTGGTTGAATGACTGCGAGGCCACCGCCGCTTCTGAGAGTGAGATGAAGAACAGCTCGAGAACAAGATTCTTCTGTGAGGTCGAGAAGAACGTGGAAAACTGGGAGGATTGGAGGATCTAGACAACATAGTAACCGTAGGCGTGGTTGCTGTGATATGTGTATGGTGGTGGCATATACAGGTCTGTGCATGAGGCTGGTGCCGAGGACACGCACCCAGGGGTGCGTAATATCTGTTACCCGAGGACAACGCCCCACGAAGATTGGTATTTCCTCGATTTCCAGGCTCTCACCACCCAATTACATTATTTATCCAGGCAGAAGACAGTGCACAGCTGACAAGAAGGCACGACCAAGCGCCCACGTGAGAATCACAGCATGAAAATGGTTTGGAATGCAGCCATGAAGGTGCTCTCTGATACACTAGCTAGAACCGACCGCTCTCTCGTCGATGTCGATCAGGTTTCAAATGGCCCCATCTTTGAGATGCAGCCATGGTGTTTATTCCTCCTGCAGGGACACTCATCCGTTTATCAGGACTCATTGACCGTTTCTCGGGGCTTTGAGTGAGACGGTCGCGTGAAAAATTGGTTGAAGCACTCTTTCTCAGAGGAGAGGCAGCATGTGAGTAGACACCGAGACTTCCGCCATCACCACCAGATAGAACTGGACGAAAGTTTGGTTGACGCATAGCAGTCAACGGTCTCACCGAAGAACTTGGCTGTATAGCTTGCGCAGGGGACTTAAAATCAGGGGTAGAGACGCGGTGTCGCAAGTTGCTCGAGCTGGCCCCGTCTGGATCAGTGTACTGAGAGTAGTTGGGGTTGGCGTGCGTGTTGAAGCCACGATTAATGACCACCATTGGTGTGTACACCTCCACCGTGTTATAATGCTCATCACGGCTGGCGCTGTAGGAGGCATTTTCACTGAACTGTGTCGCAACATCCCTGTAGATTGGTTGTGTACGTGGTCTCACGTACTTCGTATCATATTCATGCATGACCTCTTTGGAGATAAACGCTGTGTCTTTGGCCTGAGTAGAAAAGCTCGACTGAAGATGCCACAGTTGGGCTGACAGAAGAATTGCGAGGAACATGGCAGTGACAATGGTGACGCTCGGTCGGGGATCAGAGGCCAGCGTTGGCAAAAAAAGCCAGTAAATCAGGATATGACCCGGGCTGAAGTAGCAGAATATGCGGAGCGCTAAGGGCAAGGGGTCCCAAATTGCAACTTCCCAGACATCTCGTTTCGGATCGGGATGTGCTCTTGACTGGGCGGACTCTGTCCCGAGGATAGAGGAAAGGAATCGTAAGGGCGAGGAAGAGACAGGGGAAGAGTCAACTCGCACTCGCCTTGCCGAAGGAGTGCTGGGGACTGTGTCGATGGAATTTTCGAAGAGTCGGTAGTGCTTTTTGCGCGAAAACGTGTAGGCTGCGTTTACAAGACAGAAACCGGTCAGGAAAAGAACTACCAGTCTGCTCTGTATAGATCGTAAGTATGGAACGGAAATCAGTTCTTTCGCACCTACCAGCCATGCTGTCCATGCCACTTGAGGCACATCTCCAAACACATCGTCATAGCTACGGGATGTCGCCCTTGAGTTCGCCCGGGCAATGATGAAGAACACATTTAGCAGGATACCGATTGGTGTAGCCCATTCCTTTTCAAGTTGATCCCAGCCATTTGACTCAATCTCTTCCGAGAGCCATAGAAGGAAGTCGTATGGGTTGAGGGCGGCCTTGACTCTGTCAATCAGCGGCTGACGCCTCACGAACTTGGGCATCGTATGGAGGGAAGGATATCTCGAAATGAGTCTATGATAGACATCTCCCGCACAGAGAGATGGACCCAGAGGGAATCAGGATCGAGGTTGGAAACTGGGAGCAAGGGTGGGAGGGTAGAGTTGTCATGAGGTAACGAAGAATTGTCTACAAGACAAAGGCCAGTAATAGACAGACCATGGCTGCGGAGAAGATGGTAAACAAAGGCAGCAGCCACTTAGAGATGGAAGCTCGATAAGATAAGGTAAGCTGCAGGTACCACCAGGTGGGACGGTCGAGATACTGTTCACTTCAATTCCACAGCCTGCGCCCTGGAGTATCACCGTTTCTCTTGCGGGCCCTATTGCTGCATCCCGCGGCACTCTGAAGCTCGACTGTCCGGAAATACACAACTGTCTCTGCTCAAACCAACCGTAACCACACCCTGAAGTTGGGCTAACTCGAATTGAGAAGCCTTGCCCACCATGGCTGCGCCGCCCTCCGCCTACAAGGTACTTGGAAGACTCACGCCTACGGCACCAATCTGACAATCATATCCTAGGACCGGCAATTCCTAGCTGTTATAGGCGATGAAGAGTACGTTAAATGAGTCTGTCGCATAATTCTTCTCTAATGCTTGTTCTGCAGCTCCGTCACAGGACTATTGCTTGCTGGCGTTGGTCACATTACCGATCCTCCAGATTCGCAAAAGAACTTTCTAGTTTGCGATGGGAAAACGGAGAAGTCTACGATAGAGCAGGCCTTCAACAGATTCACAAAAGAGCGCAAGGATATTGGTATTGTTTTGATTAACCAACATGTATGTCTGCTGGTCCAGAGGAGAGGACAAGCTGTTTAGTCTGCGAAACTAACTGCTGTAATAGCTCGCAGAAGTGATCCGAGATACCGTCGACAAGTTTCAGGACCCCTTCCCTGCAGTCCTGGAAATCCCAAGCAAGGATCATCCGTATGACCCAGAAAAGGACAGCGTACTTCGAAGAGTGAGAAGATTATTCGGCGAGTAAAACAGTGCGTTTGGAGAGCGGGTGCTGGGAACTGGGTTCCAGGAGTCTCCTAGGAGCATTTTATTGCCAGGGCAGAGCTACTTGACTGGGAATCAGAAAGCACACTTCTGATACCCGGTTCGACGATGTGTCTAGGTGGATTTACTCGTACGACACTATTGCGGCAAATGATGCCTGGTGACCGGTGTTAGACGGCGTTTGCAGCATAGTTGCTACCAACATTGACATTGAAGACTCCAGGATGATCATCTCTGGAAGGTCAGCTGGAAGGGTATGGCCATGCGTGGATTACAGTACGTGGGTAGAACGCCAAAAGGCATCCAAAACCCCTGAAGAGATTCAACAACGGCCACACTGATACTCAAAGTCCTCCACTCGTTGGCACATGTCTCGATAATCTAATATAATGCTCTCAGTGGAGACTCTGGCTTCGTCTGGACTCAGCTCCCAGATGATATGTTCTGGATAGTATCGCGTTCATCTAGTAAGCTCCACAAGCTTGTCTGGAGGCTTGATGACCGTCCGTAGCTGTCCAAATCAGACATATAGATCCCGCGGGTCTCTCGTTTCTTGAAGCATTAGAAGCATTACTCCCAAGTTTCGTATTCTGCAGTACTCGTAGTGTTGGTCTTTTTGAGCAGGCGTATACGGTACGCATTGCGCAGATTTGCTCCACCGTATGTGTCCTGCTAGTGCCATTTTCTCCGACATCAAGAAGCGTCGTCTACTCGTAATGAGTACAAGCTCCAAAGACCTTCCCTTGAACCACCACCGCTTCTGATTTCGTCCGCTCAAGATGCGTCCGACCTCACGCCTGTTCGCGACCGTGAAGTCGGCCAAGAAGTTCCTCGAACCGAACACACCTACCGGCCTCACAGGTCTAACCACTCACCCATCCCCTCGACCAGCTCTCATCTACACATACCGACAAACCCTTAAAAAACTCGAACAGATACCCAAAAGCTCCGTGTACAGACAATCCGTTGAGGCGTTGACGAAGCAACGGCTCGAGATCGTCGAAGCCCAACGACCCGAAGGGTACGAGCAATGGCTGGAACGAGTGCGGAAACAGATCGCAGCCAACCCGGCTGCGTACGCTAAATTCTTGAACTCCGACGGAAGTTTGGGAAGCGAAAAGGCGCATGTTACCGCGGTGGACAACTGGGACGGCGTCATCACGCGGCAGGATGCGCTGCCGGAGGGACCCAGCACTCCCGCGGAAGCTGAGAAGAAGGCCAGATACGTCAATGCAGAAGTGCAGACGGTGGACAAGGAAGCTGCCGAGGGAAAGCTGCCCACGGTAGAAGACTTGGAGGTCGAGCCTCCCTTGACGAGGGAACAGTACGTTGTCCCATTCGAATCCTACAGCAGACAGAGTCTATTGCAGACCAAGCACAACAATACGCACGGCACAATACCGGATTTCTTAGCTGACGACGTTTATCTCTCACAGGATCGAGACGATCGAGAACAAGATTGGCGCTGGGTTGATTGAGGAAGTCATCCAGGTTGCAGAGGGTGAACTTCAGCTGGTGGATGAGATGTTGGTGTATCAACCGTACGTTCTTCCGCTTTCCCCGGGCTAAGCCCGCTACTCGCTCCGGATTTTAAACCTCGAGCTCGAACATAAATCTGAGCCATTCTGAACTAACACGTTTCCACTCCACTAGGTGGGAGGAGCTCGAGGAGAAAGCGCCAACTGGTCAATGGGTCTACTTTGAGCGCGGCGATAGAGTGTAGAGAACCGCTTGTGCATGCTGAGGCCCGGCGAGCTTTATACATATCCATGATACCAAAGACGTGGCTGAGTTCAATGATACTGCAGCTGCTCACCAATGCTACTTTTCCCCGAATGTAAAGTGCACCACGAACCTCTCTTTAAGTCTCGTGTCCTTCCTGCAAAGTCCAGACATGGACGCTATTCGTATGACGAGTGACCCCTAAGACATAAAAGGTGACTCCAGAAAGGGCTTGTGCAATAATGCGTTCTTGATTCTTGAAAATTGTGGATTTCGGCTGTGCTTCTACAGGTAAGTACCTGAGCTGGGGTCCTCAAGCCCCACGCAGGCATTTTGTGTCTTCTCGACATTTGACCGCAGCTCCTTCACCCCAGTTCACGCCATGGTTGATATATACATTTGCGATGGTCTTCTCCAGAGCACCAACACCAAGCTCCACGTCGCTTCCCTTTTCTTTTTCTTCTCCTCTCCGAGCGATGTTTTTAGAAAGGATTATCCTCAGGCGGAATCTCTCGAACCCAATAGTCACCAATGACCGGGACCTTGGACAGAATATCGTTTCGGATCTTGGGGACCTCGCCGAAGAAGAAGAGCGCAAAAGTACCTGCTGCGACACCGAATCCGGACGCAATTGTTCCGTAGCGAAAGGCCTTGCCTAAGCTCAGACCCATGAGGTTAGGAACGTGCTTGGTTCTGTAGCAAAAAGAAAGTAAGTCGTTAGCTCCTTGATGTCAATTCGCGCGTGGTCATAAGCAACGCCGCAGCAGCACTGGGGGAAGAGCAGGGGCTAAGTCTGTGGGTATTGTTCGGGTTGTCAAAGACGTACTTGGGTCCGTAAGGTGAAATATATGTGTTGTACGTGGGTTGCTTGTTGTAAACTCGCAGGGGCGTGCGCCCCGAGGACTGGAAGCCTTCTTGTGAGAGGGCCATTTCGGTGTGTAACGCGACCGAAGACTGAGCTGTGGTGTTCGTTGTGTGAGAGTGCTGGCGAAAACTGTCTCGAACTCCGTTTCAATGTCGTTGATGTCGATAGCTTGAGGAAACTTGGGAAAGCTCGGAAACTGCGCTACGGCGGATCATGGTGACGGGGAGAGCAGTTACGGGAGATGTCGCAGCAGTCCAATCAGAGAAGAGATATTTCATAGGTTGTACAAAGTACAATAATTAGCAATGGGTACGGAAGCGCTGTTACGCAGTAGACGACGGCGGTCTCTGAATGCCCGTGTCTACTCTGACCTGTCCGATTGAGTACAAAGGAGTGGAAGCAGCAAGGCTGCTAGACATTCTCGCAACATCTGCCCATACACTGTGATCATCCAAGTTTTAGCTCGTGTGCTCATTTGCTGGTAACCCTGGCACCAAAGGCACGATGCCTGAGACGAAGACAGATGAACATGTCCTCCTTCATGAATGGCAGTTGGCCGGCAACTAACGCCGGCTGGAATGCGCCCTCGAGGTCTCTCTGCCGAACAATCGCTGGATCCGGAGCATCTTTGCTGAATAGTCGTAAGTTTTCGTCTACATGTTACGTGCTGGGCTCGTCAATTGTGAGTGTTCCTGGATACGGAAAGACGCCAGATTTACACGATTCCGCCAAACACGCTGCATTCTTGACTCGATTCAGGTCTCTGCGCCTGGAATCCAGGCCAACACAGCTTCTCTCCAGCTCTTAAGCTGTGACAACCACCATTGACCTGACCCTGGCGGTGCAGCTCCCCGAGAATCAGCCAGCTCGGTCTCGGGCGCTGCAAAGCCTTCGCCCGCAGATGCGCTTCCAGCCCGAACGGAGGAGGGTGCTTCATCGAAACTATACACCATGAACATTTGCTACGACGCCGAAATGCCAGACGGGCACCCTTGCAACCCTCCGTGAACTCTGTGCAATAGCGGCCGATGTCTATGAGATCCGGGAAGAACAATGACTCCGCCAAATGTTGGGAACCACGCCTCCCAGATTTTGGTCGTTTTCAGGAGGTCGTTGTAACCCACAGCTTCAAGTTGCCCGTCAGGCACGCGGTTTCGCCGGTAGCATTACTGGTTGCACGTACGAACCTGCACAGCCGTCAGCGTGGCAATGCAGCAATCCTCCAGCGAGCCTTGAATGCCGATTCACACTTTATAGGTCTGGTGCACAGTGCTCCCCGACAACGTATCAACTGGTAGCTGTCTGTGTTGCGCAAGCGTTTCTGGGTCTTGCCGGAGAGAGCCAAGTTTGCGCCGTCGTCTGGAAGACTGGCTTGGAGGGGATGTGATAGGCATCGATGCATTCGTCGATCGTCATTTCTAGCCGACCAAGCATAACTGCTATCAGCCTGGCACATCTAGTGACCATTCTGGACTACATTCTCATCACACGAACACGCCAGTTCCCGCCCCCCAAAAGTTCATATTATTGAGCAGCCTTGCTGGGTGGATATGTCACGTTAGCTGATCGGGAATCATTGATAGTGCGCTCTCATCGCCGCCGTCCAGTGTGAGCCTGCACAGGTTGTTGCTCGGCACCGCCAATTCCCTAGCACTTGAGCAAAAGTTCGGATAGAGTGGATCACCAAACGCGGAGAGCAATCGAGTCCAGGCCGACAGCAGAATCCGTCATGGTCGTCAAGCCAGCTGCACACTAACCGCTGCTTGAACAAGTTGTAGCCTCGAGTCTCAGCTGAAGCTGGTGAGGCTGCACTACTGTACATGACTGATTAGACTTGAATACTATCTAACCAGAATAGACGACCTACCAGGCGACAACGCAGCATGTTCACATTTCCCTACGGCACACTGGGCGCCAAAGCCATGTATGCTAGAGAAGTTGAGGACAATTCAAAACACCACTTGCTTCAACTGAATCTCCACTAGCATTGAAACAAAAATTCGCCCACTCGACATTCCGAAGCCTTCGACTCGTGACTATTGTATCCCTTCGTTTTCACCCCACATTACCATGGTCCGTCAAAGACAGACGTCTCCTCCAAACCCAGCCCACATGGAAAGTGAATTTTTTGATCCGTGGGGAGAATTCCCCCCGGAAAGCAACAAATGAGAAGCTGATATAAGCGAGAGCTAACCCGTTATCCTAGTTGGGCGATTACTCCACCTCTTCCCTTAGGTGAGGCAAGAAAACCGCAACATCTACACCAAATCGCTCTCACGAAGGACCTCCCTCGGATGATGCGTCGGCTTCAGCGATCAAATCATCAAAAATGCGCCACGAAACCCCAGCTTGAGGCAAAATCCAAGCTCATGATCACCCGGGGTAGCCCTTTCTTACCTGAATGATAAGCAAGCGGCGCCTGGGGTTGGGGCGCTTCGCGTGGGGTTTTGTCCGATGGGCACTTATCCGGGGCATGGGCGACTTTCGGGGGCGGGCGATATAGACTGTGAGAGGCGATGTACAACAATATTGCCCGATTTGGAAGAACGAATCCAATAGGATCAGACCCCCGATGTATGTGTGTGGACCAAGTACAAAAGCAGGCGATGGAGACAACAAAGTTCCGCCTTCGATAAGACTGACTTGATCGCCCTCGCCCATTTCGCCCATTTCGCCCATTCCTCACCGTTCTACTCGTATCTCACCACTACTTGGTTCGACCTTTTCAGCAAAAAGGACCTCTTTCTCGCTTGCCTCGTGAACGACGCCAGCGGCAGGTGCTTCAGCAAACATGACGGCCGAGGACAAGGAGATCGGTGACCCCGCCACCTCGATTGAAAACGTGACGGAACTTCACGAATTCGAAAACAAGGAAGGGTACATCATCGACGCGACCGATTCGGAGCATGCCAACCTCAAGCGAGCACGCGATGGTCATACTATCTTGCTTCCTCAGCCTTCATCTGACCCCCAGGACCCCCTCAACTGGAGTTGGGCCAAGAAGCACTTGATCCTGATCATCGTCTCAATGACTTCCTTCCTCCCTGACTACGGCAGTGCCACCGGCGCGGTCACGCTGCTGCCTCAAGCTGCAGTTTGGAACATGACTCCCGACCACGTCAACCATTCGCAGGTGGGCAATGTCTTCATGTTGGGAGCTGGCGGTGTCGTTGTTGTTGCGCTCTCGGCCTACTTCGGCCGTCTCCCTGTTCTGTTCTATTTCCTCGTTCTGGCCACTGCTACGGCAGTGTGGTGCGCCGCTGCGCAGTCGTTCGAGTCGTTTATGGCCGCGCGTATTCTGAATGGATTCTTCAGTACTGTCGCTCAAGGAGGCGGATTGATGTTCATCTACGACATGTTCTTCTTCCATGAACGAGCCAGAAAGATCAACATATGGGCCGCCTTTATCATTTTGTCGCCATACTTTGGTCCTCTATTTGCCGCTTTCATCATCAGCACGCAATCCTGGAGAGTTCCATTTGAAGTGTACATTGCTGAGGTTAGTACCGTTCACTTTTCCGGATACCTCTCACGCGACTTGACTTGACTTGAGATGATACGACTGACGCTGTTCACATTTAGACTGCCTTGTGTCTGGTCCTGGTAATCCTCTTCGTCGACGAGACATACTACGACCGCCGAATCCCAGCATCATCCCAGCCAGCACGCGGCAGCAGAGTCGCCCGTCTTCTCGGTACCGCACAATACCGATCTCGTGGTCTCCGCAACACTCTAGGCCAAGCACTTATGCGTCCGGTCAAAGTCGCACTCAAACCCACGGTCTTCATCTCGTGCTTCTACTACCTCCTGACCTTCGCATGGGTAGTGGGCATCAACACGACGCTCGCAATCTTCCTTACTCCTCTGTATAACTTTGGCCCTTTACAGATTGGCTACTTTTACTTCACGCCCATCGTGGCTGCTCTGCTAGGTGAGGTCTGCGGCCACTGGCTCCATGACTTCATCGCCACCAGCTATATCAAGAAACACAAGGGCCAGTTCGAACCCGAAGTCAGGTTGAAGGCCATTTGGGTCTCGACGCCCTTCATGATTGCCGGTCTCGTCGGGTTGGGTTTTGCTCTGGAAGACGCCTTCCATTACATGGTCACCAGTGTCTTCTGGGGTCTGTACGTATTTGGCATCATGATCACCACGGTCGCCCTCAACGCCTACAACCTCGACAGTTACCCTGAGGCGTCTGGTGAAGTAGCTGCTTGGATCAACTTTTGCAGAACGACGGGCGGATTTATTGTGAGTCCCAACAGCCCGTGGCCCTGCGTTTCGTTGTCGTGTAAACCCACCACTGACACCCGACATTTCCCTTTTTCTGCAGATCTCGTACTTCCAAGTAACGTGGGCAAATGCGCAAGGAACAAAGACGTCATTTGGTATCCAAGCTGCGATTTGCGGCGGCGCCTTTTTGTTGATTGTCCTCTTGCAGTGCTTCGGAAAGAGGTTGAGAGTCAAGTCTGGAGCGCTGAACTTCGCTACTGCTTGAGTTACGAATGAGACCGAGAGAGGAATAGAGAGTGAGAGAGTGTGTGGCTGGTACGTAGCTGTCGTGCTGGTGGTCAGAGCTATATATCCTCCGGACCGAGTGTTACTCGATGTCTTTCTTTGCAGTACACTCTACGGGATATTTCCTATGTTTACGTCGTCACAACTCAGGGTGACTTATCGAAGTGAATATACCATTCGACGGGAGTCGGGTATAGGTGCCATACCGACGCAGTCGCCATGGAATAACTTGGTAGCAGATGGACAAACGTGTCAGGACCTTCACTGAGAGAAGCCCTGTAAGGAAACATTGATGTAATGTGCCTATTGAACAGTCCTCTGGCGACTCGTCACTTGACAGATTTTGAACTGCACCTCCCCCCCCTCCCCCCCTCGAGACCACTTTTTGAAATCTTCCGCGAGACTTGAAAAATCATCACTCTCTGATCAATATTATAGTGAGTGAGACAAGGGTAGTATAACAAGAGTAGAAGGGGAAAGCACCAGGTGCGCAGGGGCTGTTATCAATCAATCAAGTGGTATGGGTCGGGGTTGAGTCTTTACTTGCGAGGCACTCTCTTCGCAGTGTACAACATCGATTTTTGTCTCGCTGCACTCTGCTGATCGTCTTTCAGGGCTGTTCTTCGCTCCACGTTCCCAAGTCGCAGCATTTCACCCTGCTCCTCCTCCTCCTCCTCCTCCTCCTCCTCCTCCTCCTGGGGTGCAAAACAACCTCTGCACACTTCTTCTCATCACAATGGTTGCCAAAAACTTCTTCACCCCTCATCTCTTCATCTCTCTCTCTCTCTCTCTCTCTCTCTCCCTCTCCCTCTCTTTCTTGAACCTCTTAAAATGACCAATCAGGATAGGCCACCGGCGGGTCATTCCAATCCAATGTTTTTTTGGTCTGGACCGTTGCAGGTGTTGTGATATACCCCGAGTATGTAGGATGACCTCCTTCGCGAACCATAACTGAACGTACTCTGAGGTACGGACTTATCTTGGTACAGGTCATCTTGTTGACCCAATCATTTATCGGTGTACCGAATGCAGACCTCGTCGCAGTTTTAGTCAGTTGGCATTGACAGGTACCCATGTCTGGCCCACCCGATATGCTTTTGTGTGTTTGAAAGTTGAGTTGGTCAGCCGTCTTGTTCGACTTGAACGGCGGGCTCGTGTAAATCTTGTTCACGTCCTTGATACCTATCTGCTCGGTAGAGAAGACATGATTGTTCACGGTGACGCTGGCAGCGATCTTTGTCCCTTGGCCGACATAGTCGCAGTAGACGTGAAGTCTATAGTATAATATCCATTCTTGGTCCGGGGTGGTCCAATAGTCGCAAATAGAGCCGTATACCGTAAAGGTGTTGACGGCCGTCGAGTGTGGAGGTACCGGCATCGGGGGGATTGGAGACGCTGGGGCGGCCTGAGCTAACTTGGTAGAACGCGCGGCCACAACTATCGTGGCGAGAGTTGAAAATCGAGACAAAGACAAGGACTTTATGGTGCTGTCGATAGACGCGGTTTGGGTCAACACAAATTGTTTAGTGTTGTGATGATTGGAAAGGTAGATAGGTCACCGCTGAAATCATGGAAGTAGCTGGATCTATTTATCCGTACTCAATACCTTTGAAAATCTGCCCAGCTCTATTAGACTGCGTCATTTTGAACTGTCTTGATGGAAGCCAATACGATGGAGGACCGGCCATCTTCGGTCTATGTTCAATGTTATTTCTCTTTTGGAATGTACAGCAACTGGCTTAAATAATTCAAGAAGATGAGTGTAGGTCTGGACCCTTGAGAACACTTGGCAAGGGCCCGCGGTTTTGGCACTATCGCACTGTACACGGCGCTCCAAAGGCGCACTATTTTCTCCTAGAAGAATGGTTAAAATGCTTTTGTCTTTGTTTATCCAGAATAGATCTGAGTTTGCCAACTTGAGGCGGAACTCAAAAGCATCACAGAGTTCGCTTTCTAACCTCCTTACAGTATAAGTTTCAGACTAGTCTTCCTCGTGATTCTCACGGCTCTTTCTGACCTTGTTAGGGCGTTTCTTCTTTTTCTCCGTACTGGCCTGATGTTGGATGAGGATGGGGGTAAAAGTGCCAGATGTTCTAAGAATGGCTAACATACATCCACTTCATCCGTAGTGCGTAGACGATTCGACCGCTCTGCTCTGCTCTGCTCACCTCGGCTCTTTTCTAGTTGAAGTTTGTAATCCGGGTGGCAACAAGGAATCGGGCTTGTGAACACGGGAGAGAGTGTCGTTTGAGGAGGATTTTATATAACCCGACGAGAGGTTGGCCTGCTACGTTGTGAAACGTGCCCTTCACTTAGATACCTACTATTATGTCACATCAGCCATCGGTTTTCGGCTCCATTTCAGCTCAGGCTGTGACTAAATAAGTTGGGATGTCACTCGCACTCAAGACATGATTCTGATATATAGAGAATGACAAAATGGATGGGTCGAGGTGGTGACATCGGTACTCGGGCCTGAGGAGCGCGCATACAATATTTCTGTTTCGAGACCGAGAACACCTTCAATCGCAAGACACAAATTCTGTTGGTGATGGTCTAGAGGTCGTCCTGTTATCATGAATGAATCAACAACACCTGTTTTCTTCTGAGGATGATGGCAGATCAAAATCAACCCTTGTTGGTCGCTTTCTTACTGGCCGCCTTTGCCTCTGTTGGAGTTGCAACCCTACCCATGAGCTCGTTGGGTTTCGCTTCTTGCGATGGGTTGTCGGTTTACCATCGTTCTCTGCTCCCTTCTGCTTGGCAAGTGCCGCAGTATCCTTCGCGTTCTGCTCTCACTCTTTCTTCTCCTCCTGAAGAGTTTGGATTCGGGTTAGAGCCTTCATTCCAAAATGATGTGTTCCCGGATACGCTCGAAGGTGGCAGAGGCATCACCGGATTCCGGCTCGATCTCGTCATCGGATTCGCTCTCGTCATCGGATTCGCTCTCGTCATCGGATTCGCTCTCGTCATCGGATTCGCTCTCGTCATCGGAGCTTCGCTTTGGTGTCTGCGTCATCAGCGGTTGATGGTCGAACGGTAGAGCAGAGACAGACACAAGTCAGGAAGACATACTCTGAGTTGGAGTCTATGGGGCCGCGGCGCCAGCAGTCTTGACAGCGTGGGGAGTCGGCTTGCGACGGGGCGGCTTCGGAGACTGAGGCAAGGACTGTTGGTCGTATGTGTGGGAACTGCAAGCCAGGCATGTTTCTCTATCTGCGCCTATGTCTGTGAGGTCTCTAACCAATATCAATCGGTCTCGCCGGACCATTGCCTCGTCCCTGAATGGTGGAGACATATCGTCGCCCCCAAAGCGCGCCCTTTGTGTTATGTGTTGTAGCAGTTCATCTCAGATCGTGCCATCGGAAGACGACACACCTTTACGTCGTTGGCGCCCATATCCCCCACACCCAAAGGAGGAATTTGGTATTCAAGTGCTGGGGTACCACACCTCTCTTGCCGGGCTCCTTCAGTACGACCTGAGACTTCCTCTGCCCTGCCGACCTCATGGAAACCGTCTACAATACCTAGACCCGTAAATATACAAACTTTTTAGACCGTTGCCCTCCGAAACAAGATCGTGGGAGAGGTTCCTTAAAGAGACGAAGAATCCTTGTCCTGTCCTCCACGATGACTTCCAGGGGCACCTACAGTACATGTTTACTCTGTAGGCCAGTGGACCGTGAGGCTGACTGATTGGTAGGTCGTCCTAGCGTCCTAGCGTCCTTCCATTAGCGTCATCATTATGTAATCTGCAGCCAAGATGATCCGGTGAAGCACAAAGCCTTCAACCGAACTCTTGGCCGGTGACGCAATTGCTCTACTCCGTACTCCGTATCCAAATGCGAACTAGTGAACCTAATGGGCCGGCGACCTGCGACCTTTGACCTGCGCCACAGAGCAACCCACCGGCCGTCCAACCTCCATCATATCTCGCACTGCTCGTCTCGTATCTTGCTTCCCCCAAAAGATAGAGAGATCTCGTTCCAGACCTTTCGAAGCCAGCGAAGCTCCCTGCACCTCCTAGTCCGACAGTCTGTTCGCACGGCGTCGGCACCATGAAGGTCTCGGCCGTCATCCTGTCCCTCCTCACCGTCAGTGTCGCATCATCACGATCTCTCTTCTCCGTCGGCGGCAAGCAAAGTGCCCTCATCACCGACGCCGAGAACCCCGTCCCCGGCAAGAACCCGTTGAACGTGAGCCACCCCAGAGCTGCTGCTCTTCTTCTCTTGTTCTCGAGGAATAACCCGTAAACTGACACAACAACTAACTCGCCGACAGTTCTGTGCCGACCCCAAGGACTACATCCTCGACATCGACTATGTTGACCTCTCGCCCAACCCTCCAGTACCGTACGTCCACACCCGATCCCACAAGCCTTCTGCTGCCTTGAGGGCCTTCCCTACCTTACCGCTGGAGTTTTTTTTAATTTTGCTGACGTCGGAACCCCCCTGGTTAGAGGCGAAAAGTTGACCATCACCGCCAAAGGAACCTTCCACAAAGACATTGAGCCTGGCGCCACCGTATTCCTACAGGTCAAATACGGCCTCATCACCCTGATCAAACAGGAAGCCGACCTGTGCGACAACTTGCCTCAGATCGACATGTCCTGCCCGATCAAGGAGGGTGTCCTGACGATCGAGAAAGAAGTCGACATCCCTAAGCAGGTCCCTCCCGGAAAGTACACTGTTCTGGCCGACGTCAACACCGTCGATAAGGAGAAGATCACCTGCATGGAGAGCACCGTGTTCTTCTCGAGACAGTAGCTTGGGTTTAGAGTGGGTGTCAGCGAAGACGTCAGCGTCAAGCTCCTAGGGGATCCTTGGACGCACCGGCGCCCAGAGACGTGGGAGAAAGAAGAACGGCTAGTCTCCACAAAGCCAGTCGATCGAATATGGCATGGCATGGCATGGCATTTTTACTATCATTTCGTCGTTTTGTATGGCGCTGTTCTTGGGGTCTCTGCTTTTGTTTTTGCCCGTTCCCGTCGCCGCCTCCTCAATGACGTATAGCAAGGGAGAGATGCAGTATGTCTTGCATCTCCGAGATTAATGAATTATTATGGCAACCCACTGTTGGTGACGCTGTGCGAAAGATGCTCCAAAATTTGTCCTTTCTCGTGTCGTTGATGTTTTCTATTATCGGAAGTTCTGCCTGCATGTGTTTTGTCGCGAATGTTGAAGTGCACATTCTTGAATTTGCTCCGTACAAAGAAAGGGACTCCAGAATGGCCGTCTCTCGTGTTGTCGTTTTAAGACTGTTCTGGATACATTTTCAATTACTAGGGGAATTCACACAGTCCTACTCTGGATTCTGACAACTGATATTTTGCGCGAGAGAGAGAGAGAGAGAGAGAGCAATCACCTACTACAGAGTTGAACAGTTTCGCGCCTTCCAAAGCCAATCTAACTACCAACTGACAAACTACCTAGTATGGCGTGCGTCACAGTCTCGCACGAGCGGTGATTGTAGGCGATGATGCCACCCGGTCCCAGTCCTCCTTGATCATGTCGGCGGCCTTCTCGGCGACGGCGTAGACGGTGGCACAGATGTTTCCCGACACGTTGTTGGCAAACACCGAGGCGTCGGCGACGCGGAGGTTCCGCACGCCCCTGACGCGCAGCCTCGAGTCGACCGTGTCGCCCATGGCGCAGGTGCCGCAGCTGTGGTACTCGCCCATGCAGTACTCGCGGACGGCGGCGCGGCGCCGGTCCTTGGTGTCGAGCGCGGGCACGACTCGAGGCGGCGGGCCGACGCGCGGGCCTACCTTGCCCTGCAGCGCGGGCGAGCGTGCCATCTTCTCGACGAACTTGAGGCCCGCGGCGAGCACGGCCACGTCGGCCGGGTGCGCGAGGTAGTTTGGGTTGATGTCGGGATGGTCGTGCGGGTCCGACGACTTGATGTGCACGTGGCCTCGGGACACGGGGTACTGCAGACTGATGCCCAGACTCATGCCGTTGGGGGCACTGGGCTCCGACGGCGGCGCCATCAGCTTGCTCTGGTCGCCTGCTCCGTCGGCCAGGTTGACCGTGGCGTTGAGGAAGATGAGCTGGAGGTTGGCCGAGCTGGCGTCCTTGATGTGCGCCGCGACTTGGGCCCATTGCTTCTTCTGGAACGCCGTCGCCGGCTTGGTCGTCTCAATGGACCGGACGACCTCGTTGAGTTCCCCTGCCTCGAGCACCGTCGAGGCAGCGAGGTAGCCTTGTACCGATTGCACGGCCGTCAGGGGCCCACCCTGCTCCTCTATGAGTTGTTTCTGCGCCGCGGCCATCACTTCCGGGATGAACATTGCGTCGCCGGACATGTTGCCGGGGGTGAGTTGGTATGTCACCGCCGACCCGACGTGGTCTTGGTAGTTTGTTCCCACCGGCGGGAGTGGGACGAGACACTGGACGCCTGCTGCGCCGAGGATCTCCGGGTCGCCGATCCCGCTGAGCTCCAGGATCTGAGGCGAGTTGATGACGCCGCCGGCCACGATGACTTCGCGAGTAGCTACGACGGTGTGGCGTGCGCCGTCTCTGTGTTGGAATTCAACGCCCCGTGCTACGGTGTTGGTGTTGTCCAGAAGCACCCGGCAGACGAGGGACTCGGTTATCAATTTGAGATTGGGACGGTGCGCGTTGGCTTGGAAGTACCCCTCTGCCGCATAGGAGCGTTTGCCCTTGTTCGGCCCCGTGCGTGTGACGGAACCAAGGGTATTATAGAAACCCATGTGGTTGCCAGACCATGGGTCCGTGGGTTTGATGCTGGAACCAAGGGCTTGCTCGGCAGCCTTGATAACGTCGTCTTCGATCGGCAGGCGGAAGTCGTTGAAGGACGTGTGGATGGGACCTGATGTGCCGTGGTTTTCGGCAACAACAGGCATGCACGTTCTGTCTGTGATGCGCTCATCCACTGGTTCGAGAGTCTGGTGCTTGCGCATGTAGTGCTTCATGTTGGAGGAAGACCAGGACGGGTCATCGGCGAGTCTGGCCCAGTTGTCGTAATCTTCATCCGATCCACGCACGTACCTGTTTACGTAGTCAGAAATGAGGCAGGGAGCGAGGGAATATGGTCTGGTCACATCATGTAGTTGATCCCACTTGAGCCTCCGAGCAATTTTCCACGAGGAACATGGTGGACTTTGCTCTTGTTGCCTTTCTGTTTTTACCAAGTTAGCACCGCCCCAACTCGTCATGCAAGGGAGCAAGATACCTGGGGAGTGGTGCGGAAAGACCAGTCGTATTCAGGATCGTTGAGCATCTGCAGGAGCGCCGCAGGAGTGTCGACAAGAGGGTTCCCGAGATGATTCGAGCCAGCTTCAATCACACCAACAGTGACATTTGGGTTCTCGGACAAGCGAGCAGCAATAGTCAGGCCAGCAGTACCACCACCACAAATGATGTAGTCGTACTCCCTCTGGACGAACTCATCCACGGTGACATGAGCTGATCTTTGAGATTCTTTCGAACCCTTCCCACCATCCATGGCTGTGTTACAGGTCAATGGGGACCCTGTGATCCAAGCTTCCGTGGCGCCAAACCGAAGTTGTTCTTTGAAGGGAAAGTTCGTTTACGTGCACACACTCGTCAAATCTTCACATGTGCGTAGACTTTCAAGTGTCCTGATAGCTCGACAACGACTATCCCTGAACGATTATCAAGAAGTCTCCCTGCCTGGGTAGCTCCTAGGCGATCAGTCTTCAATTTGACAACCTTCACTTTTCAAGCAGGGTTCTGCTCAGAGACAGGCACGGAGGTGGTTATCTTGAACAGAACGACGCTCGGCGAACGGAGAGGGGAAAGCCATATCAGGTACACTCACAGCACGAGCCTAACGGTCCTCACAGTGTCGGGAGAGGGTGACCTCCACTACAGCCGTTTAGCTGCATCGTAGCTCCTCCGCGAAGTCGACGTGGTCCTATGGGAGACGGTTCGGCGATAGCAGACCGATGCGGGACAACACACAGACGACAAAGGTAGCTGGCCAATGTCGTCTGCTGAACTCTTCGCTTTTTCAGACTGCACCGGTCCGCTTTGACGGTATCCCCGGGGTGCACTAAGCGGCCATATTGGCAACGCCTAGGGCCAGTATCGGAACTCATCGCGGAAAGCAGACGTTGTGGATGGGGCGATTGGGCGATTTAAGTGACGATTTTGACGGAGATGTCGAGGGAGGCGCCGCGACATGGTGACAGCGTATGGGCTGAGCCTGGGACGCGGCGCATAAAGTGCATGAACACGGATCGAAGTGGAAGCATTTTCCGGGGGAGCAATTGATCCTCAACCAAGCGATAGCTACGGGGGTACAATTACTGTCACATCGCCATTGACCCATCCGAAGCCGACACCTTGACTCTGCGAACTGGGAGACAGCAGATGAGGTGGTTGAATGAAGAAATCTAGTTAGTATGGATACCCAGTCGCCATCTTCCTCAACCCTTACGTGACTCCCGCACGACCCACTCAAGGGAGCGATGCCTGGCATTGTAGATAAGTGCCCGGCATCCAGGATCCAGCACATACCAGGCCCCCGACGCTGACTTTCATCATCTTGAAGAGAGTCTATGTTGTGGCGTTCAAAGTTTCCTCTACATGGATCCATTGAATCAGAGCGAATCCTTGTGAGCGTTGGACACTGGGCTCACAAACTCGCCTCGTTTCATCAAGATCGTGAGGTCGCCTGCTGAGGTCAACGAACCTGCTGGACATCCATACAGTTGGCCCTTTTAGTTCATCATCAACATTACAGAATATATCCACCCTTATCCTCAAAATTTTCCATCGTACCCAATAATGGCTGCCGCAAGCCCTCTTCCTCCTCACCTACGCAGTGATCGCGAGGTTCACGTGGTCATCTCGATCCTGTCCGGGCAGAGAAAAGCCCAGGAATACTACGACGATACGCTCAAGCCGTTCTTGGACGGCCACCAAATCAGATACAGCACTCATACGACCAAGTCCTCCAAAACCATCACCGAACTGACAACAAGTCTGTTCCTGCCCAACGCCGTCAAGGGCGTCAAGCAGACCATCATCCTTCTGTCCGGGGATGGCGGCGTCGTGGATGTCGTCAACACTCTTACATCTACTCTGAACCGGAGCAGCGACGACATCCGAATGCCGTCGGTATTCATGAAGCCGGCGGTCGTCCTCATACCCACGGGCACGGCCAACGCGCTGGCCTGGAGCTCCAAGGTCGCCGGGGACCCGCTGGATGCCATGTTGACAGGAACTCCACGGCCGCTGCCAACTTTCCAAGCGAGGCTCAGCCCGGGGGCGAGGCTGGTGGTGGACGAGGGCCAAGGCCGGGAGCTGCTGGCAGCCTCGGACGACGCCGAGACCGTCACGTACGGCGCGGTGGTGTTCAGCTGGGGTCTGCATGCGAGTCTCGTCGGTCTGAGTGACACGACAGAGTACCGCAAACACGGCCTGCAGAGGTTTCGGATGGCGGCCGAGCAGCTTCTCAAGGACGACCACAAGTACAGGGGGAAGGTCAAATGGAGGAAGGCCGGCGGAGAGTGGACCGACGTCCGAGGGCTCGAACACTCGTACGTGCTTGCTTCCCTGGTCTCGAACCTCGAGGAAACGTTTCGGATCTCGCCCGCTACGAAACCGGTCGACGGGACGCTGCACCTGGTACACATCGGCTCCGAACCTGCCTCGGAGATCATGCGCATCCTAGGCCTGGCGTACCAGGCGGGCCAACACGTCACGGATCCAAAGGTCTCTTACGAAGATATCGAGGGCCTGAGGATCGAGTTCTACGAAGACGACGAGCAGTGGAGGCTGGTCTGTGTGGACGGCAAGATCATCGCCCCAGCCAAAGATGGATGGGTCGAGGTGACCAAGATTCCCGGCTCAGGTGTCGACGGACGAAGAGTTGTCGAGCTCGTATGTTGAGACACCGTCGCGCCTGGCTTCCAAAAAATAGCTGGCGACTGGAATCGTGATAGTAATCTCATTAGATGATCCGCTCGCAGTATGTCAACTTGAAGAATCGTGCTCAGAAAATAATAAAGCTAATCAACAACGTCCGAAACTCCAACTTTGGTCTTTTGATCCAACACTCGTATGATGTTCGCTCCCAAGCCCAGCCCTAAATCCCTTGCTGTAAGCGACATTACTCTGGGGAATCCAGTAGTTTCGCAGGGAGGAATACAAATGTCCAATCTGCCTGGTGAATCTTCAAGCCAGACCGATGCAGTTTTGCTTGGGGACCTGGGATGTAACTCCCCTGTCTCTTCTTTGCGTATGTAATTTTTTTGATCATCTTCACCTCGTGTCCATACAACTCATGACATGTTCTCTCGGAAAACGCTCTTTCTCGTACTGATCGGACTACTACTCCCATCTCCACTGCCCTGAGTGTCCAGACTTGGGTTGCCTTTGGTGTGTCCCTGACTGTCTCCCTCTGGTCTGGGGCTCACACTCCTCAAACTGGGCGCCTCGTTCTGATCACCGAATGGGTCGAGACCACCGGTTCGCGAACTTCGCCGGCCTCTGTCCATTCCATCCGCATGATCCGACGCGTACGGCTCGCTCTGCAGGCCCGGAGTTGCCGCTAGTCCAAGTTCTTGTTCCTCGTAGCCACCGTATCCAGGGCCCGGAGCGTAAGGATCATCGTTGCCAACACGCGTGTCCCAAGCATCATCCTCGACGCCCCGACCTCGTCTCGCACCGGCGTATCCGGTCTCTCCGTCGCCAGCTTCCTCGTACGCTCCGCGCGCAGTGCGACGGTTGCCTAGCTTTGCAAACTGGTCTCGAATCCATTCGAGGGGTCCGGCATGACGCGGTGCAGGGTAATTCGATGAGCCTTGCGTCTTCATAAAGGGAACATATGTCTTCCATGATTTTAGAGACGGCGCAGGCAGGCCTTGTTTGCGCGCTGCCCACTGGGTGTAGCCTACCCATCCGCCGACAGCAAAAATGAGCAGGAGGAAAAGTAGGAAGAAGAAGAGTCCTGCGCGAGTGAGTGTCAGCGAATGCGACCATCATATCACAGGAGAGGACCAACGCACCCCAACCACGCATTGTGAGATTATCTTGCTTGTTTGTACCGTTGCACAATATTCAGAAAGGTGAAAACAACGCTGGTGCCTTGAGGAGAGGACTTTGTTGCGGAAGTCCAGCGGTCAACCGATGTTGCTGATGTTACTTTGATCGACCTTAGGTCATCGTTGCCGTTCTAGAGAGAGGCAATGCGATCTGTCTGTGGACGGGATCACAATTGAGGGTCTGTGTGTAGTAGTAAGACAGACTGCGCAAACGTCAAGTATCGCGACAGAGGAGCTTCTTCCTGCCTGTCGAGTAATCTGATTGTAGTAGTGCCCGATGAGGCCGGTGGTCAATGGGTGAGTGGCCTGCCAGGGATGGCTGGAGAGGCTTGTCAGGGCCAGACGTCAGCGCAAGCGCATGCTCGCCTTAGTGAGACGTAAGCGCTTCGCATGGCAAGTGAGCCGAAGACCCCTTCATGGCCAGCTTCAGCCCAGCCTTGTACAGCCTTGTCCCAGGCGGGTGAGCGCCTGCAAGTCATGGAGCTTAAAGTGTGTCTAGTGTGATACTCTCTATAGAAGTTACAAGACAACTATCTGGGGTTTGTTGTACAGCGTCTCAGAGATCTGATATGTCAGTGCTCCATTGACCATGTACCCTCCATTCTGAGCTCCGCCCCAAAGCCTCGTCCAAAGTAAGCCTTTGATATCGAGGGCGAGCATCCGAAACCCTCGCATATATAGTGGCAGGTGGAAGAATTCGGCAAACGGTAACCTATGGCTGGCAGGTTGGCCAGCGGGTTTGTTATACGCAGCTTCTAGAAACTCTTCGTAGGTTTTCTGGCCCTCATCCCACCACACTGCCTCCTTTCCATGACCTGAATGGACATGGCCAAAGGCATGTAGTGTAGGCTTCACGCGCCACACCTCCTTCAACTCGAATTCATCGCCCATGCCGCCACTTTCTGGGAGGTCCAGATGCCACTTGGGAGGATTGTGAGTAACTAGTACATCGACATCATCGGGTACGGTATCCGTCCAAGCATCTTGACCTCTGATGTATTGGAAGGCAAACTCTTTCCCACCACACTTGGGTATTTGAGGAGCCCCATAGACTTTCAAACGACGATCATCTGGAAATGGGAGTGTGACGGATGAATGCTGGAGGTAGATGATCTTGCCCCAGTCGAGTTTGCGGCTGGAATTGCGTTTGTCATGGGCACTCCGACTCCGCTCGTCGAAGAAGCTATCATGATTACCGGCTACCACGACAATGTGTCGGAATCCATCTGAGGATCCGTACCAAGGTTTCTGAAGTGTCTTGAGCCAGTCTATAGATTGCTGGATGGAGGCCAAGCTGCCCGTATTGGTCAGGTCGCCAGAGTGGATGAGGAGGTCACCCTTTGGAAGGGCATAAGAAGGGATCTTGGAGTGTGTGTCGGAAATGCACACCACTCGGATGGGAATGCGGTTTTTGGGAGGAGCATAGGGAGGCCCGCGAAGGTAGACGAAAAGGTGGTGGAAGAAGGTGAAACAGGTCGTCAGTGGGTGGAAGATGAGCTGGTAGAGGAACGATGGAGGAGCAAAGGGCGAATCTGGCGGCGAGAAAAAGCCCATGGCTCAAGCTTCTCGTCCTGCAGACACCTGAGACACTCCTGATCTTCTCCTCGAGGGCGCCGGGTGTAGTTGTCACCGACGGGAAGCTGGAAATTGACGTTTCATGTTTTCGACGGTGAGAGTTCGGCCAGGTGCAACAAAAATTCGTTCGGAGCTTTGAAAAGACAGACGGCAGCACCCACTTGAGGTGTTTTGCTTCGACAGACGTAGCTCCTCCTCCGCTGCGAGAGCACCGACGGAGGCCTTAACAAAGCGTCAACATGGCCGAATTGAGCTGGATCGAGCCATTCCTCCCATGCAGCACACAAACCGTCGGTCGCCTACGGGATACAGGTCCTCGTATTCCGTGGGACACTCTGCGTCTTGGGATGGCGCAAGTGGCGCCTCCTGTCGCTATGTCATCATTTCCCGCGCAGCCAACACAAGCACTGACTCGGTCGAAGAGCGCAACGCTTGATGAGAAAGCCGGATGCAATGGGTAACAGACTCGAATCAAGGTCACATCAATGACCCTTGGTGGATTTCTGGTCTCTAGGATCTCGTAGACAACATAGATTGCCCAACTTCGCAGGTCCCGTGTGTGCCTCGCTTCTTCGTACATCTATCTACTGTATCTTCGCTGTTGTCCATTTTGGACATTCAGATACATACATCACCACTGCAACTGTCCCAAAACCCCACCATTGATTATCACATCGCATCCAAGTCCCAATAAAAGCGTCCAAGCGAGTCCAATATCGATATCAGTGTCGCCGCCACTCACCTCTGTTTACTCAGTGCTCTCCATCGATCTTGCACCGGCCCCCCGTCATTTCTCCTTCTTGAACCGCTGTGCGTCGGCCTCTCCAGACCCTTAAACAGACAGCATTCGACTCCGTCCCGCTCGCGTCGTTGTATTCAGTTTCAGACATACCAACTTCGATTCCACCGTCGAATCTTCGGCCTCCAAACTCGAGCCCATCACAAAAACTTCATGTCCTCGATGTACTAGCCGCCGCGCGCATGATTCGGTACCCTCTTTGGCCCGCGAATCACATCCTTTATCCCGCTACACGCTGCGCACAATCCTATCGCTGGAAGACTTAGAAAAGCCACCGCCGCCGAAGCGCAGCCGCATACCTCGCAGTCACTCCTTGGATCCAACGATAGATAAGGCCCGTCGCGGCAAGAGAAAGCAGTAGTCAAAGAGATACGGCCACACTTGGGAAACGGGAACGTTTTAACCAGAATCGCTCGTGGCAGTGGTGTGGTCCGACGTCCGATCAGATCGCATCCCACTGCCCAAGGTCCACTCATTGTCGTCAGCGACGCTGCCCCCCCAAAGACTGCCACCTGTTGGTGCCCATCCATCTGCGGCCACTACCAGGCCCTAAACGCGCCAGGACTGACTGCGCTCATTGCGGCAGCCCGCCCCGAGTCTATTCCCTTCCCTATTCTAATCCAGATCCTTAACAATCCTTCATCATTCCTCAGCGATCGCAAGCTGGCCCTGCAAAGGGACCAGTCTCTGTCCACCCCAACACACTGTTGGCCGCAAACGCAGCTGTGTACGCCATGATGAACGGTACTGACATCAAAAACGCCGTTCTGAATCCTGCGAAGAAAGTTGCGACCACTGCAGCCCTCGCTGCAAACAACAGCAACGGCCAGAAGAAACGGCGGAAAGGCGACAATCTGAAGCCCATAATCACCACTGAGAACGCGTCCTCTTCTCTTCACGAGAGCCCCACTCAATTAGAGGCAGAGTAAGTCTGAATTGATCGTCCTTGTTTTGCGCTGCGTCTGCGTCTTCGTCTTCCATTAATTTGCATGGATCGTTTACAAGCCTTGCGTCACTCGGCATACAGACTGATTGTCCTCCCTCAGAAACATGAATTCTCCTCTACCACACGGGAAAATCTCATCAAACAGTAACTCACAATCTCACAGATCACCCTCATCATCCACGTCCGAGGAGGACCCCGCCGAAACCACGGCCGACGAAGAGGATTCCGAAGACTACTGCAAGGGTGGCTACCATCCTGTGCATGTAGGAGAGACATACAACAATGGTAGATATGTTGTGGTGCGAAAATTGGGATGGGGTCATTTTTCAACCGTCTGGCTTTCAAGAGATACAACCACCGGTAAACATGTCGCCTTAAAAGTCGTCAGATCGGCTGCGCATTACACAGAGACCGCCATCGATGAAATTAAACTCCTAAACAAGGTGAACCAGGCGAACCGCAACCATCCTGGTCGCCGCTACGTCGTCAGCCTTCTCGACTCCTTCGAACACAAGGGCCCGAATGGTGTGCATGTATGCATGGTTTTCGAAGTCTTGGGCGAGAACTTGCTTGGTCTGATCAAGAGATGGAATCATCGAGGAATTCCGATGCCTCTGGTCAAACAAATCACCAAACAGGTCTTACTGGGCCTGGATTATTTACATCGCGAATGTGGTATCATTCACACCGACCTGAAGCCAGAAAATGTCTTGATCGAGATCGGCGACGTCGAACAGATTGTCAAGGCATTTGTAAAGGATGAAAAGGACTCTACAAAAGACGACAATCGGAACGGCCGGAGGCGAAGGCGAACTCTGATCACTGGTAGCCAACCTCTTCCCAGCCCGTTGAATGCGAGCTTTACAAATTTAGAGAAGCTGGGCAACGCACACCACCACCAAGCGAGCAGCTTGAATCAGGTCATCAACGATTCAGTTTCCAACAAGTCGACAGAGGGCCTGTCAATGATCGAACAACTGAAATTGAGATCGCAAGACGGAAAGGAAAGCGAGGAGTCATCCAAGACTCGGGAAGGGACTGCTGACCCACTGGAGAAGGACTTGGCCGGCGTTTCGCTTGACAATAAAAAGGCGAGCGATGCGGAGAAAGTTCTAAAGGCCGCAAAGCATGAAGAAGAGCCAGCGAGTGAGATCATCTCGGTCAAGATAGCGGATCTGGGGAACGCTTGCTGGGTCAACCATCATTTCACGAATGATATCCAAACAAGACAGTACCGGTCACCTGAGGTCATACTGGGCGCGAAGTGGGGTGCGAGTACAGATGTCTGGAGTATGGCATGCATGGTAAGTACCACAGCGGAAACTATGAAGGCTTGAAATTGACGATTTTCAAAGGTGTTTGAACTGATCACTGGTGATTACTTGTTCGACCCTCAATCCGGTACCAAGTACGGCAAAGACGACGACCATATTGCGCAAATCATCGAGCTTCTGGGTCCGTTCCCCAAGTCGCTGTGTCTCTCAGGCAAATGGTCACAGGAGATCTTTAACCGGAAAGGCGAACTTCGCAACATCCATCGGTTACGACACTGGGCTCTCCCTGACGTGCTTCGAGAAAAGTATCACTTCTCGGTGGAAGATTCTAAGAAGATCAGCGATTTCTTGCTTCCGATGCTCCAACTACCGCCGGAAGCACGAGCCAATGCTGGAGGCATGGCGAATTCCGAGTTTTTGCAAGGCACAAAAGGGATGGAAGGTGTGACAGTTGACGTTCCGGTGGGAAGCAAAGGCGACGGGATTGAGGGTTGGGCAATGGAGATCAAGAAACGATGATATGTGTGAAGAAGGTATTTGATCATGGGTTTTTTGGACCAGGTTCTTGTGAATGAATGATAAGATTCTGGGAGCACTGGGCAAAAGACAATCTTTGTCATTCAAACACCAGGTACAGAAACAAACAAATGGAATAGAATGACTTTGATGATATGTGTTATTTTGTTGATTTCCGCACTGTTCCATGATCCTCCACCTAACGATAGTTGTGTCGACGCAGGAATGTAATCTGCACGGAATTTTCGTGAAATATACAGGTCGTCCCTCTTCTCTGCCGTGGCCACAGATGCCCAGGGCCCTTGATCGACCTCGACAAAGAGCCTGTTCGTTGCGCAACGTTCCAGACATGAATATCCCAATTGACACCGGTCCTCGAGAGTCTAACCAAGCTCCATAGGCTGCCAGAACTTTTTCCGAGGCCAGAGAGTTCCATGAGCCGGCACGGAGTCCTGTGTAAGACCAGGAGTTTGACCACCTTGACTCTTGCGTTGATAACTGGGGGAGATTTTGTGTTGTTGCGAGATCGGTCATGTGGGTTGGTTTTGTTCGCATCGACAGGGACGACAAGGAGACATTTGGAAGGATCGTGTGAGATTCACGGACGACGAAACGAAAAAGATGAAAAGGAGCGATCCGAGCAATGGTCAAGTACTGTTAATATAACTCTCTCTGCAATCTCGATGCTGGCCCATCAAATCACCCGATTAGGCAAGTGGCTTGCCTCTTTCGGAAAGATGCAGCACACGTGAAGGACGGACAGACAGACAGACACACGTTACATGACGGTAGGTAATTGAGGTGATCATGACCGCAATGTACGCTTTTCAAAACTGACAATGGACTTCCTTGGAATTTTCTCATTATCCATTCCTACTGTTTCATTGACCCCCCGGACGAGTCCACGGTCAGACCGAAGCACATCCACCGCCCTGAATTGGTGGAGTGACTCGTGCTCGGCCGACACGTGAAATGTGGTATGATTTCTGACACCGCGTCAACATCGATTACTGTATGCCCAGGTCCTCACTTCTCGAACTTTCGCAGCAATCGACCTCAGTCAACCTGCTGTACTGTAACGTACCTTGACTGCCGACACGATGCCAAAGCCTCAACCGCTTTACCCCCACATATCTCCTTCATTGGCCAAGTATAAACGACGCCCGTATGCCGTCGCAGCGCCTGTCAGCAACAGTTGCATTCTCCCTCTTGATTCTCTTCTTGTCCATGCTCTATCGGCCCCTCGTTGGCAGACTGTCTCACGCAAGCTTCATGGCGACCTCGCCTCGCCGCGTCATCGTCGTCGGATCAGGGCTGGCAGGCTTGTCGGCCGCATCCGAGCTGGTTTCGAAGAATGTGCCCGTGGTGATCCTTGAACGTCAGCAAAAGCCAGGTGGAAACTCCATCAAAGCCTCAAGTGGGATAAACGGGGTGCCTACTCGTTTTCAGTCCGACTCGTCCGACTCGACTGAAAGTTTCTACGCCGACACAGTCAAATCCGTCAGTCCGAACTTTATGCGCACAGCGACGGAAAGCCGACAGCGACTAATATCGGTCCTGACAGAATCATCCGCCTCCGCCATAAATTGGCTCGTTGATGTGAAAGGGGTCGACCTCTCCCGGGTAGCGGCGCTGGGCGGTCACAGCCATCCTAGGACTCATCGTGGAGCAGGTCAAACACCGCCGGGGGCGAGCATTGTTACAACGCTCCTCAAGCAGCTTCAAGCCAACGACCTCGTCAAAATGGAGACAAACTCAACAGTGACAAAAGTACTCAGTGGTCCAGGCGGAGTTGTAGGGGTAGAGGTCTCTCGGGACGGAAAGAGTGAGAAACTGGAGGGCCCGGTGATTTTCGCTTCGGGTGGATTCGCGGGAGACTCCAGGGGACTATTGGCAAAACACCGTCCTGATCTGCATGGATATCCTTCAACGAACGAGGCACTCCCTGGTAGTTCGGACCTTCTGGCGGCCCTGGGAGCTCAGTTTCTCGATATGGACCAAGTTCAAGTCCATCCGACTGGATTTGTCGATCCCAAGGATCCGTTCAAAGTGACAAAGTTCTTGGCTGCAGAAGTACTCAGAGGCGAGGGGGGCATTCTTTTGCGAAGCGGAAAGAGATTCATTAACGAACTGGAGACCAGAAAGGTTGTCACTGACAAGATAATTCGCGAGGCACCGAAAAACACAGATCCAACCAAGCAGTGGGACATCCTGCTCGTGCTGGACGAGAACACGTACCAAGCGACCAAGTCACATGTTGATTTCTACCTGTGGAAGGGACTCATGCAGAAGACCACCATATCTGAACTGTCAGACTCACAAACGGCGGTGGAAAGTATCCGAGAGTACTCTGATATTGTCCAGGGCAAGAACCCAGACCACTTCGGTAGGAGGAACTTTGGAAACTGGACAGTGCAAAACCCTTTGCCCGAGACGACGATATATGTCGGCCAAGTCACGCCGGTTGTACATTACACTATGGGAGGTGCTTTGCTTACTCCTGAAGCCCAGGTTGTCGATGCGAGTGGGAGTCCAATCAGAGGTCTGTGGGCTGCTGGGGAGGTGACAGGAGGCATTCATGGAGCAAACAGGCTTGGAGGTAGCAGTCTGCTTGAATGTGTTGTCTTTGGGCGTATTGCAGGACAAAAGGCTGCTGAATTTGTGCAGTCGAGTAGCACATAGACACGTGTAGACCTCAATGAGGATATAGTTGCGATTGAGAGGGACGACATGAATGGATGGATGATTTACACTTCTGCAGTTTGCATGCAGGTAGCCGTAAAGAGAGAATGGCCGCACAACAAGTGGCATATCCTTCTGGAAGAGAGCTCGTCTCCTGAGCTTCTCGTCAGGATCCCAAATATCCAGCTATTGCATTCACCCCGAACAACAACTGTTCACTGACTCTCTGGCTGCCTCCCACGTGTCTATACAACTTCACCGCGCCTTCCGGCAGCTGGTGAGGCGATGAACGTGTTACTATCGACCAACTTCACCGCGATAGCTTCGCATATTAATCGCCTGAATCTTGAAAAACAAAACGTCTTTGTCATTGGTAGAAAGTAGGCTTTTAGCTGATATTGACAACGTCTTTCATCACAGCAGAACAACATGGCACAATCAGCTTCCGGCGACATTGTCTGGTCAGCAATTCAAGAGACGCCGGCGACTGTCGAAGCCTTACGTTCACTATGTCACAGCAGAGACCAGCTGAAGGAGCAAGGCTATACTCTCGAGCCCCTTTCTGCAGATCAAATCGAGGCCAAAACGAGATGCGTCAATTGCAGAGGCGAGATTGTATCCCTTTGGAAAGGAGACCTTCTGACCGTGGAACAGGACGAGTCAAACATCATCACAACAAACCTCCATTGGCTCCGAAACCTCCTTCGTCGAAGCCATCGTCGAACGGGTGCCCGGAAAGAGACGAAGTTGGTACGCCCGTCGATCGATCTTCGACAAAGCCAGAGGGAGCTGACCCCAAGTCTTCAACAAAGCCTTCAATCCCTAAGCCTAGGTGTGTGTATCACCCAGGCCAAGTCAGATACAAGGTAGCCGCCCTCTCGAGTCTTTCTCATCCCTGTGCAGTCCACAAAGCTCACGAACCTCACTCCAGACATTCACCTGTTGTGGCAAACACGTATCCCAGCCGGGCTGTGTACATTCGCGAGATCACACTCTTCCACCCTCCAACGAACCATTCAACCGTCAATACTGGCAACATTATCCGACTCCCAGACTTGATCAGGCAATGACCCCTCGATCCAGAAACCGACGTGGCCAGCTTGTAATGCAACCATACAGCATCCACCGTCTGAATCCATTCACCGCCATCGCCCTCGATTGCGAGATGGGCGTTTCGTTCTTTGGAGAATCGGAACTCATCCGCGTCACAGCGGTCGACTTCTTCAGTGGAAATATCTTGGTCGACAATCTTGTACAGCCGGAGGTCCCCATGCTCCACTACAACACTCGATACTCTGGCGTCACTCGAGGAGACATTCAAGAAGCCATCCGCCGTGGAACCTGTATTTTTGGCAAAGACAGAGCTCGTGAGATGTTGTGGAGATACGTCGGGCCCGACACGATCGTCATCGTCCACGGCGGTCGAGGAGACTTGTCCGAACTCAGATGGTTGCATGGACACATTGTCGATTCATTCATACTCGAGTCGATGACCGGAGCCGAGGTCAAAGGTGGCAAGTCATTGAAGAATCTGTGCAAAGTCAAATTGGGTATTGATGTGCAGCGAAAAGGTCGTCTGGGTCACGACAGTCTCGAAGACGCGATGGCATGCCGCGAGTTGGTTATCGATTGGATAGAGAAGATCGGTCATAATTGGTGTGCACCGGCTGAATAGCTTGCTGCATCCTACGGTCGTGGTTTGTGTGGGACCACAGACACGTTGTCGACTGCGAACACTGAGCTGAGAAAGTACGGGAAAAAAAATGGGAGCGAAGAGAAGAAAAAAACAATTGATCTGGAAACCTGGAAACCAGGAAAAGCCGTCAACATTACGGACGGAATACGGCCAAGCAGATCAGGGTTTGGGTAATCTTGCGAACATGTACGTCTCTTTTCTCCATGGCCAAAAAGGGGTGATGGTTCTACGTTGAGTGTAAAGAACTTTAGAAAATCGAGAATCCACAGCTTTCAAGTTAAACATTGTACTCAAGTTTCGTTCTTCATGTCCGAGGTGATGTCTACGACTGTCCTTGGTTTCCCGTGCACTACGACGTCCCGTGTTCATTTATTGAGCAAGGCATCAGGACGGCAAGATGGCAAGACATCCTTGACACGAATTGTTGGAGGACGCGTCGGAAGGTGTCAAACGGGTAAATCCGACCAGCCCTGATTGCCACCGCATCGGCAGGGGGGGCGGGACGACCAACGGCGCAGAGAGAACCAAGTTCCTTTCTCCTGTCCCACCAAGTCCCGCTTCCTATCGAGTTCCTCCCGCTCATCAAGTCCTCCTGCGCACAAAGACAGGCAGCTCCTGACACTTGAGATGGAAACCTTCGCGAATGTGAGAGTCCCGCTCGGGGAAGACGAGTCTGTACTCGAACAGGCGGAAGAGGGTGGCGACGGTCTTTTTGAGTTCCATGTACGCTACCTGTTGAAGTTTGTAACGTTAATTCAGTTTGAAAATTTGAGTGGGGGACAGAGAAAAAGAGAGAAAGAGAGAGAGAGAGAGAGAGAGTGTGTGTGTGTGTGTGTGTGAGTGTTGAACAACAACGGAGATGAAAAACAGTCGCACACCAGGGAATAAATAGGAATAGGTTAAAAAGACACTCACATTTCGTCCGATACATGCTCTCGGACCGTACGAGAAGCCAAGAAAGGCCTTTTCCAAGTCGGCGCTACCCTGTCTGGTCCAGCGCTCAGGCTTGAATTCCTCGGCGTCGGGACCCCAGACCCTCGTGTCCCGGTGCGTGGTGTACGTCGGGGTCGAGAGGACGGTGCCGGCGTCGAAGAAGCGTCCGCAGACCATGGCGCCGCCCTTGGGCACCACGCGGGGCAGGCCGACCGACACGGTCGTCCGGAGGCGGAGGGTCTCGTTGATGACGCCCTGCGTGAAGGGGAGGTCCTTGCAGTCTTCGAACATTGCCACAAAGTCTGCCGCGACCGGGTCCGGGAACGCGGCGTCGAGCTCGTCCTGCAGCGTCTTGAGGGCCGCCGGGTGCCGGCAGAGCATGTCGACCAGGTGCGTGATCGTGTTGCCTGTCGTGTCGGAGCCGGCGATCAGTTGCGTGAGCGCCTCGGCCTTGACTTCGAGGTCCGGCAGGTCGCCGCCCGTGTCGGGGTCCTTGGCGGAGAGGAGGTAGTACAGGATGTCGCGACGCGACGAGTCTCGAGACGCCAGTTTGCGCTTTTCCACCTTGGCTATCCCAATGGCTGCGAGGTCCTTGGTCGCTTGGAGGCCCTTGGTGAAGAAGCTGTCGAAGAAAAAGTATGGCGTCCATGCTAAGCACAGTGGGCACCGATTAGTTCAATGCCCTGGAGTTTGACACAAGACTCGGGCTTGAAGGAAGAGGAACCAACAAGAAAGTGCATACTTTTGATCCACGGCATCTGGCCGACCGTTGCGCACCATTCGCCTCGGTCACGAAGTTTCTTGATTCCGCCGTTGGAGTCTTGACCAAGCGCAGTGAAACCGAATGGTTCTCCAAAGGCCTTTATGTTTATGGAAAACCAGTAAAAATGAGTAATACTATCTTTACAAGGTGGGATGGGATGCGAGAGGAGGGTTTTGTCAACTGACCAGATCACCGATAATGTCAAAAGCGAGAAAAGCAGACCATTGGGCGGCGTCAATGGCTGCCTCTCCTTTACCTTGCAATCTCCTGATCTCCGGGTTCGTTGCGCCCAGAGCCGTGTACTTTCCTGCATGGCCTGTGTCAATCAGAGACCGCATCTGGCGTGCCAGCGTTCCGATTGCCGTGGTCATGTAGGGTTCGAAGCCAACCATGGCTTTCGGACTGAACATATGAGAGACATATTTTCTCTTCCGACTGTGTGCGGCGCGGTCCCGAGTCGTGAAGATCCCAGACTGGATATTGTCAAAGGCGTAGTAGAAGTCCGACTTGAGGAAGCCGTTGCCGTGACCCATTACATCCTGAAGCACACATGTGGTTAGACGCGGCCTGCTGAGCCGAATGGAAACTGACGAGACCAGGTCTTCATACTCTGATGCTGTCTGGATGTGCTATGCTGACGTGGTCTGGTGCCAGTCTGACAAAGTCCCCGTATTGCTTGTGAAGATCATAGGTGACCCATGAAAGCTGATGTTGCCTGTGGATGGATACGTCAGAATATGTCTCCATTGCTTGCCTGGGACGGATATGAGTATACCTTGCCCAGTAAAGACTCCAAAAGTTTGAGAACTTGGCTATCAGTGGGCCTGGGATATCGTTCATCTTGCCCTTGTTGGATACATATGGGACGACATAATATGCCTATTTAGCGAAGAGTCAGAATTTCTCGACTGCGGTCTGTCCAGGTCCAAAATATATGAACCTACTGCAAGCGTCAGAACACTAAGGCATATGGCATACGCTGCCGCTCTGGAAGTAACGCTCCATGCTTCTGGAATCGAAATTGGCTGCGTCATAATGATTGTCGGACTTGTTCAGGATGATCTGAGAAGTGAATGCAACTTTTGTGCCTGAGTCGAAACAGTCGAGTAATTGAGAATGAGATATTGATCTCAGGCTCGGAAGTTGGACGTTATCAATAAAGCTCTCAAGATTTCGTGTCCCAGAGCGGGCTGGTACAATCATAACGGCAGCACACAAGCCACACAAGCGTTGATTAGTGTTCTTGACCGCGGATCGTACATGATAGCGTACCCGATACTCATCAAGCGTACGAGTAGTCTCGATATAGGCAGCTCGTCATTGGAACATTCACGGGGGTTATCATCGGCATCTATCTGCCCCATTCTTCACCATACTTCTTTCGACTTGTGCTACCCCGGAATTTGGGTATTATTTTGCAGCAGTGAACATGTGTAAACCGATCGGCTTCAGCTTGTATAAAATCAAGGCCAAGATAGTCACAGGTGCGATTCCAGACATGCCAATGAAGCTGGATTGGTCAAAATCCTACCCAGAAGCGGGCTAAGCAACCTTCATGGGCAGTCAACCCGAGCGTTATCACCGAGAGGGCCATCCACGGAGTGACATTTGCGGTCATGCTCCAAGCTCACGGGGGTTGACTTGGTATGATCGCTCACGCCACAGGCATAACGTCCGCTTCCATACCAGAAGGCCGTAAGAACTGAGATCCCGGACAACTGCGCAGATACATACCCGCTGTCTGCGGGATTATCCGAGCTCTCAACTTAGCTCGTGAGATAGAGGAAGTGAAACTGAGGCATCTCTCGAAATTAGGTTGAATCTGGAGGACAACATGCGATATGGCACTTGGTCGCGGGCAATTCCCCTGGTAAAGCCGTAAGTTGGCGCAAAGAAGATATATATCCCCGAAAAGCGTCGGTTATTCAGCCTTGCGACCGTGCAAAGACGGGGATAACTCCACTTTTGTGGTGTCAGCCGATAGATGCGGATCGTACCGTTAGGTCAGATGTCTCCCCACTCTTAAATACTCATCCTTATCTGCTTTTGCTTGCTTGAGTGGGGGGTGGCCTTTGTGAGTGACTGCTGGCTCGCCGCATTCACGATGAACCGCCGATCGGGACACCACGGTCTTTGGGATAGAGCCTCGTGTGTCGGCAATTGACCTGTTCAATCGCCAAGGTAGGGGAAGGAGGCGAAGAAGACCTGTAAAGGCCGGCAGAGTACCCCTGTTCCACATAAGCTGCGAATCGTCCTCCTGACAGTACCAATCAGCCCTCCCCTACTATCATTGTACTATCATTGAGTTGTCCAGACTAAGTCAATATGTCCGGTTTAGATGTAAGCGATCACCCTTCCTTTACCAGACACCGCCGACTTACTTGAATGCAGATTCTGGTTGTTGGAGCCGGTCTTGGAGGTCTGGGTGCTGCTATAGCTTTGCGCTTGGCTGGACACAATGTTATAGTCCTTGAGTCGGCCGCGGAAATAGGGGAAGTCGGGGCAGGAATCCAAGTATTGCCAAACAGTAGCAAGGTCCTGCGGTCGTGGGGAGTTTTCGACAAAATTGAACCATCCAGAATATGCACGACAGACGCCTGCAACATCCTGGACTGGAAGGGAAATCTGATCTCGTCGATGGACTTCGGCCCTGCGGAGAAGGATTATGGATCGCCTTTCTACGACCTACACAGGGCTGATTTACACAAGGCACTCTTCGATAGGGCGATCGAGCTAGGTGCTGAGATTCACATTAGTTCACTGGTCACGGATGTTCGATTCGACGAGACCAATGTAGCAGTCGTGACAACAAAAGCCGGCAAGGTGTGGCATGCCGATCTTGTCGTTGGGGCCGATGGTCTTCACTCTCGGTGTCGCTCGTTCATCCTGGGCAAGCAAGATCGTCCGCGCCATACAGGAGATATGGCCTATCGACTATTGTTGGATGGGGACGAGCTTCGATCAGATCCTGACTTCAAGCCGTTTCTGGAAGACCGTGCCGTAACATATTGGTATGGACCCGGAGCCCATATTGGTAAGTTCGCCACCGACGTGATCTGCCCCCGACTGATTATGGTAGTAACGTATGCACTTCGACAACGGAAACTGTTGAACATGGTCCTCCTGGTTCCAGACGACATGCCAGAGGACGGGCCATCCACTTTGGCAGGCCAGGTCAACGAGATGCAAGATTTGTTCAAAGACTGGGATCCCAGGTGAGTGGAATTGCGGTGGCTATGCCGCGACGTGGAGCATGTTTTGACAGGCAGCTAGAGTGAGTAAACTGTTGGCCAAATGCAAATCGGTGCTCCGGTGGCGCTTGTCCATCTGGGATCCGATCGACACGTGGGTACATCCTAGCGGATGCATGGTGCTCCTGGGAGACTCGGTTCACGCAACCCTGCCATATCTGGCCAGTGGAGCTGGAATGTCGTTCGAGGACGGGGCTGTTCTCGGCCACTGCTTGAAGGGTATCACGAAGTCGGCCGTGACTGAGCGGCGGAAGGCCCTGTCCTTATATGAGTCTTGTCGCATCAAACGAACGAATCGTATCGTCGAGAAGGGTAGCATTCAACAGGACATAAACCACTATAACGACGGCCCCGAGCAAATCGACCGGGATCAGAAGATGAAAGCGTTCGAGAAGTTAGAAGAGCAATATCGGCAGGGCAAGCCTGTTGAATGGGGAAACTTGGTTCGAGGTGAGGATCCTCTGGTCTGGCGGAAATTTGGCGCTGGCGAGTGGCTGCTTTCGTATCTGCCTGAGGAGGATGTGGAAAAGAGAAGGCAAGAACTGGACGCTGATTCTGCTAAGAGTACGATTGAGGCTGCGCGGCTGTAACAGACGCATTCATGATTGTCACATCTGTGGTAGAAAGATAGTTGTCAGCTAGCATCCTTCCTGGTCGTAGCGATCAAGTGAAGGCAAAATACGTCGTTCCCTACAGCATCGGCCTATCAGTTTATCCGCATCTTGCAGCCTCGTCCTACTTCTGAGGCGACGAGGATGTTCTTCTCAGTGTGAACCACGTCAATCACGCATGCTTGTATCATGATGTGCCAAAGATCGTTTCAGCGATTTTATTTGTTTCATCCAAAGCAGTTCGCCGCTGACATTGGTCCACTATTTTGATTTGCGGGCATCATCTATTTCCATGGCTTCTTCAGGCCACCTGCAAATCGCATTCATTTAGGAGGGACATCCTTAACCTGACCGTACTTAAGCTTTAATTGCACCACCTAGAGCTCCGCCACCAAATTGCTGACCACCAGGTCGTCGTTGACCTTGTCCACGAGGCAGACCCTGCAGGTTGGCGCGTCCACTACGGCCACCACGACCACTTCTCTGCCCTTGATCTCGCTGGAACGCATTTGCCATGCCAGCGGTTCTTGTCTCCAACACCTTCTCGTTCGACTCGAGGATGCCCATGGCCTTCTCCGAAAGAGTAATGACCTGGCTCTGTAGGCGAGAGAGCTCGACACCCTTTCGGAACACGATCGCATCCTTGACCTGGTCCAATGCGGCAGCGAGTTCTTCGTGTGAGATCATTTTTGAGACGACTGCTGAAATCTTCTTGGGATCCAGCTCGAACATATCCGATAGTGTGGTTAGCGAGAGGGTGTCGTAATAAGGTGCGTATGTGAAAAGATAGGTACGCAGACCTTCTTCTTGTATCTGTTCAGCCAGCATGGCTTTGATCTTATCCTTATCGCTGCCAAGAAGGTCCCAAATACCGATTTTGCTGATGAGCTCCTGGCATCGCTTCCAGTCGCCTTGGGCGAGAGCCTTGGCAGCTTGCATGACATGGTCACGAGTGTTCTCCGGAGGACCCTGGAAGACCTGTCGTTCCGTGTACTCGAGCATGCGTCGGAAAGTCTTGGAGATGACTCGCTTTCGGACGTCCGGAGAAGAGCCAGTCTGCGCGAGGAGAGGGATTTCGAGCAGCATGCTGCAAGTTAGGTAGACGCATTCCAACAGCTCCAGGTTGATATGCATGTGGAAGGGCAGCTGTCGTTGACGTTCGAGCCGTTCCTGCTCCGGGGTTACAGTGGAATACCTCTGCATGATGACACCCTGAGCAAGTAGTTCCTTTTGGCGGCCAGAGCCGCAGATTTCCTGGAGAACACCTTGTGCCTCATAGCAGAGTCCAGCTCTGAAGGCGCAGAGGCCAATCTGAACGAGAGTTCGGTTGAAAAGGATTTGTGTGCTCACGTCGAATGAAGAAATGTTCTCAGTCAGATGGCTCATCAGAGCAAGATCTCTGGCGCGATAGTAGTTGTCCTGCAGAGCAAGGAAGTAGATCTCGCACAGCATGGCTCGGGCTCGGATAATACCTTCGCTGTGTTCAAACAGATGAGTACAAAGCGTCTGGACAAGAGACGCAACCTCAGTGAACTTGCCGCGGGGGGTGAGTTCTGAGTTCAGGTTTGATGGCAAAGCTGCCCAAGTCTTCTCTTCCAAAATCTTCACAACGAGCGTCGGCTTGAAATAGATATGTTCTAAACGCCTGATGACGATCCTGTTGATATTCTCCTGACGGGTCTCGGATTTCTCGAGCTTCTTGTTAACCGTCTCCGTGTAGATAAGCGTCCGCACGACATCGGTATATAGAAGCTGCTCGTCGCCCAATCTTTCGATGTATTCGGCAGTATGGGGATCGGTTTGTTGCAGAGATCTTGTCAGCTCGTCATCGAGTCTCTCCAGTAGGGATACAACGCTGCCGGGAATCTTGAAGATCTCACCAGCCGCGGGGTTAGGCTGCTTTTCGTCGTCTTCCCATTCATCAGCGACCTCTGTAACGACGTATTGAGATTCATCCTCGAGTGTCTGCAACAAAGAGGAGAACTCTCGCTCCGCTGCTCGCCAAGATTCTTGTGACATGTAGGCCTGTACAGAGGAGCTGGTGACATCAAATCTTGTGGAAATAAGAGTCAATAGGACCCGTATCCGTTGGTAGGGGGTATTGGCGACTTCCAGTAATCTCTCCATAATCCGTATCTGTTCGCTCCGGTCGGTGTTCTTCTTTCCACGAGACTCAACGATGGAGCGCAGATGCTTCAGGATGCTTTCGGGAGTATAGACAAGTGCCTTGCCTCCTCTACCAACTGTGGCAAATCCTTCCTCATCAATGGCAGCTTCAAGGGCATCTAGTCTCTGGACCTTGCTCTTGCGTGTCTTTTGCTCAACCTCCAATGGCTCCTCTTCGTCAGACTCCATGAACTCCTCTTTGTTCGCCCGATACTTCTCGATCTCGGCGTTGTAATCCTTGTTGTTCTTCCGGATCTTTTGCTTCATAGCGTTGAAACCTTTGGCGTTGATGGGATTCATCTTCTTGCCACCCGACTTTTGTTTATCGTTGGTCTCATTGATCAGGTCTTCGAGGTCGGCAATCATCTTGATGTAGATCTTGGGAGAAGCGCCTTGCTGAATGACCTTGACGACCTGACGGTTCATCTTATCGAATTCTAAGGAGGTCAGTATTCTCATCTATCAAGAGGAACCTCAGGACAAACCTGTTGAAATTACAGCCCAGTCATTGATTTTTTGAGCGTTTTCGATCGACCGGATTGTGCTTTCCAGTTCTTCGAATCTCTTGTCTTTAGCGCTCTTGACGACTCGTTCGCGGTCTTCATCGTCGCTGTCGTCCGATTCAACTTGACCCAGTCCCGATGGCTTCAAGAACCGGCTGGAACCTAGCCCGCGACCTTCATCTTCAGAAGATTCCTCATCGGACTCATCTTCCTCTTCACTTTCCTCCTCGGACTCTTCTTCGGACTCTTCCTCTTGGTCAGAGTAGAGTTCTTCCTCCTCGGAAGAACTGCTCTCGCTGTCAGAATCTCCGCCGTGAAAAAATCGAGACGACATCTTGATATTCGTTGACAGTGTTGTGCTTGAGATGTGTAGGTAAAGCGAAGATAGGCTGGTCGTTCAACGATGTTCTGCGAAAAAAAGCCCTGGCCTGCGGACCCCGTTGAGGCATGGGCGAATTCGTGGTGCGCGGCGAGATGCCAAGATCAATCACGTGACTTAATCTTTTTGTCCTGGCGGAAAATCCAACTCACCCGTCCCCTACGCCCAAGAGCTTGCAACAGCGACAACCAGATTCGTGAATTTTAGGATGTCGAAGGCAACATTGAAAAGAACTACGAATCTATGCTCGAGTATGTATCTCAGTCAAGTAATCATACAAGGGCCCAGACTCCTCAAATGCGATGTCGAACCTCGAACACCTGCTCGATTCTCAGGAGTTTCAGACATCTGCACACATCTTCAATATCTCTGCCCATTCTTTGTCCTGGCTTTGGTCACCAATGGTGTGCAGTGCACTGGTTCGGCTTTTCTTGAAGAATCATGAGGGCCCGAAAGTCCAAATTCATAACTAGCCCAATCCTCCATCAGCCTGAACCTCTCTCGTAGCTCAGTTTGTAACGTAGATCTTGCATAGATCTGTCCATGTGCTTAAAGCCTCACTCCCGTGTAAATCATATACTCACCGTGAATGGTCATGGGAGCCTCAAATGCTATGTTAGCCACTAAGGGCTGGCCAATTCCTCCACTTGGCACGTGGTTGTTCTGTTGACACGGTTGCGAAGGTTGCGCCAACTTTAGTAGGTTCTAGCTCTGACAAGGAGAACGTATTTGGCACTCCTCTTGGGCTCGATCTTTCAATGCCATTGGTTCATTGCCCCGTCCTCCAAAGTGCGGATGAAATCGCGGTTCCTCTGATTACGGCTGCCACGTCTTCGGGCAGTCGATGGAGAATCCACATAGCCGTCTGCTGGCGGTGGATAATAAGCAGGGCTAGGTTGAAGTCTGATGGGCTGGTTGGGATCCAGATGACTAGCTACCCTCTGGATCGTTGGTGGGATTCCAGCTTGTTGCTGGTCCATTGTTGACGCCCTTTGCCTGCCAGCTCTCTGCGTAGCCTGCGCATACAAGCTTTGCTGGTGGTTATAATGGCTCGGGTTCATCTGAGGATTCTGCTGCATCATACCCATTTGTGGGGGATAGTTTGTAGAGTGAGTCGGATATGGTGGAGGAGCACCTTGCTGGTGCGCAGGGTACATAGTATTGTACATCGGTGGTGCTTGTGTTTGAGGGTATGGGCTCATTTGCATGGCGTATGCATTCTGGGCGGCTGTCTGAGCCTGAGCCTGGGCCTGAGCCTGAGCCTGGGCGGCTTGGGCTTGAGCTTGAGCCTGGGCAGCCTGAGCAGCTCTTTGTTTACTGAGAGCTTCAGCCTGCTGCTGTTGCTGCACACCCGGAGCTGGGGTTTTGCTTGTGGGAGACTTCAGGTTCATGGGAGGCACAAACGGCTGCGTGAACTTCTGCTGGGTGATGAAAGGATGCATCTTCGCTTGCTGGGGCGACCATCGTTCCAGAGGATTGATTGTCAGCAAACCCCGAACGAAATCGATGAAAGCAACCCGATTGTTCATTTCTGTTGGAAATATTAGCGCAAAAAACGGGAATTTGGGCTTTTAGACTCACCTCTTTCAATCTCGGCAGGCTTCATATTCTTCCTAGGCATCGAGTAGCTGCGAATGATTTCGGGCAAAGTAGTCGCTTGGAAATATTTTTTGCTCGGTTGCTCTTTGACATTGTGCTCTCGGGAGTACTGTTCCATACTTTTCAGACGATAAGTTCGACGGCCAAACTCGTCTGCAGTTTTCTCAAAGAACTCGCCAGACTGTTTCCCCATCTCTAGCATCCACGTTGGAGGCATACCCAGCATTTCGACAATTCTGGAAACTTGGTTGTATTCCGACGAACCCGGAAACAGCGGAAGTCCCAAGAACAACTCTACCACGATGCAGCCAAGGGACCACATATCAATGGCGCAAGAATATGGTAGGCCCAGGAGGACTTCTGGAGAACGGTAGAATCGTGACTGGATATAGGTGTAGACTGTTTGCCTTTCATCGCAAGCCGAACCAAAATCAATGATTTTAATAATCGGACTTTCGAGATTTTTCAACAGAATATTCTCTGGCTTGAGATCGCAATGGATCAGACGTGCTTTGTTCAGCAGGGTGAGACCATTTAGCAGTTGTTGGGCAAAGACCCGGACTAGGGTCGTGCTCAAGCCCCGGAATTGGTTCTGTTTGATCAGCTCATACAGGTTGACACTGAGCAGTTCAAAAACAAGACACAGATGCTGTCGATGGATGAATGTGTCTTTCAGTCTCAAGAGGTGGTGGTCATCATTCTTGTCCAGTTTCTGGTTCAGCAAATCCAGGACTGAAACTTCCATCATACTCTGATTAAAGTAAGCTGTGCGATTCTTGATGACCTTTACTGCAACCACTTCTTGGGTCCTCAGATTTTGGCACTTGACGACCTGCCCAAAGGTACCCTGTCCCAGCACATCTAGGATGAGGTAGCGGTTCTTGTGACCTGCTTCTTCACTGCCGAGAATGTCATTGACGTAGAGAATATAGTCGCTGTCGTCGTTATCGTAGCCATCGTTCTTTGTTCCCTTGCTAGGCTTGGTCAGCACCCGCCTAGGATTTCTTGATGACTCGTATTTGAAGCTAGGATTGCATATCCTGTAGGTGGCAGGCAGATAGGTAGTGAGAGCTTGTAACGGGCTGATAAATCCACCTTCTGGGTTTGCCCTGCGGTAGGGAGGTTGAGTGTTGACTCTCGGTGTAAAGTCCTGCATGGTCTTGACCTTTTTGAACCTGGGAACCGGCCCAGGTCCCTGGGAAAGTTGCCTCGAGGGAGCAGTAGGTCTCGTCCCTCCAGTGGACAAAGGGTAGTAGGATTCGGGGCTCAGTTCAGAATTTTGCAGCGCAGACACATAGTTGGAGGGGTATCTTGTAGGAGTAGGAGGCTCGGGGTAGCGCTCTGAATTGTAGCTACTTTGTCGTGTCGGCGACTGTCGTGATGGCTGCGGCTGACCGAGATAGGAGAAGTTTCCAGGATTCTGCACTTTTGGACTCGCAGGATACGCGGCTCCCGTAGGTTGAGCATTCATAGGAGAATATCTCTGCGCGGCAGAGGAAATTTCGGGGAGGAACTGGGCTGAAGGCCTGTGTTGATGGGCAGGACGTGGGGGATATTTCGCTCGATTGTACGGATCGGCATCTTCCATAGGAACATCGACTTCGCCATTGTGTTCATAGGACTGCGACTGAGTCGCGGGGGTGTTGTTCAGAGACATGGCTGCTTTGTCTTCCAGCTACTCTTGCGAGGGGTACTATTCAACCTGCCAACAATCCAAGAGTGAGAGCGTAGACCGCGTCACTGCTGACACAAGGCCACAACGTGCTGAAAAAGCATAAGAAAGTACACGCAATGGTCAGGAGAAATCTGGCCCATCAGTTGAGGGCCGTTCAAGAAGGGCGGATGAGAAAACGTCGATCAGACTTCAGGTGATTGTAGCCAGGGCGGTCGAGGGGAGCAGTGACTGATAGGGTTCGTAAGCGCAGTCGATGGTGACTGAGAGATCCGTGGTACGAGTCGACGCATGGTCAGAGACAGTCAAAGCCTCAACAGGAAGCCATGATGATCTTGGTTGACTTCGTTCGGAGCTCGCATGGAATTGAGGGAGGCTGAGGGTGGAGGGCGCAGTTTTAGTTGAGTTTCGTGGCCGAGGAGGGTTGTGCTTCAAGAGGACATCAAGTGCAAGCAGCGGTGGAGACGTGGGCTGGCTTGGATGGCGTACACGACGCAGGGACAGCGGCAGTCGACGAGAAGATACAAGTATGTCTTGACGAGGAGATGGAAGAGAAGGGTTGAGGATACACCCAGATACTGTCACGGCCCGGCAAGCCAGCACAGAACAGCGATCTTCCTGAAGAGAGTGAAACGCCAGCGACTTTTTGACCACCTTGCTGCGTTGTTCCTTGATTGCTGCTTTGGAGATGCTTATTGTTATTATTGTTATTATTATAACGCTGGCACCGAGTACGCCAAACGCTGGTTGGGCTCTCTCGGGGCTCACTTAACTTAGGCTGGCGAGGCGCCTCACCACAGGACACTACGACGGCAGATTGCCGCCGCTTTTACAACATCCTCCTGAGGGCGATATCATCATATAAAGGGCCCTTGTTGGCCCATCCGCGCTTCTCTGATTCTACTCATCCAGCATCACATATGCTACTTGCCCGGCCGTGTCAACCCTTCCTCAGTCTGTCCAAGAGTAAAGACGAGCATGTCAAGCCCCCTGAGCAGCACGTTGCTCTGCTTGGTATGTTGCGCTTCGTTCGGCGCTTCCTAACCCCAATTGCCAGGACTCTCCTCGCCCTCAATGGCAATCTTTGTCAAACTCGGATTCTGCTTGCTTCTCAGAGATTCAAATAAGTGCCTGGACTTTAGTTGAAACGTCATAGCCACCGGGAGTAGTTGGGAGAGGTGACGGCGTGTTCATTGACTATAACTCGACGACCATGTATTTCTCGGAAGACTGTGGGGTGTACGCTCTGTGCCTGCTACGGAGGAGCATTCATCCTGGTGATGGCATTTGCCGTGCACTGCAGCCTGAAGTAACCAGATCAACGCAGCCATTGAGACTCGCACCAAACAACACGTTTGGAATCATTTCTCCAACCTTCAGAGGAACGACAAGGTTGTGGCACAATTCTCGTCGATGCAACAAGAAGCATCTACAGGAATACGTGACAGCGGAGACGCGGTCAACCCTTCTCATTCAGGGAGATGTCATTTTCAACTGTACCTTAATCACATCTCACGATATCTTCACATCGCCACCTAAATTTGTAACTACCCTTCCTATTGTTGTACAAATTTCTCCTCCTATTCACCGGCCTCCCAGTAAAATTTTGCATGGTAAAAAATTTTACTTCGCTCAATCAGAAAGCTTTCTCCGTAAAGACAATCTACCTCTCTCACAAGGACCGTAAGGACAGTGATGACGACATTTCCTAACTTTCGCCATCAACCTTTGCGTTGAGCAATGATGGAAGAAAGCGACAAAGCCATCGACCCTGGCATCATGGACGTCGACCCAACTATAAGCGACAGCGTCGCTTCAGAAGCTGTCGCTCATGCCGATTCGGACGAGACACTTCGACTTCGAAACCTTGATGCCCACGTCCAGGATCAGGATGATCTTGAGCGCAACATTGGCCGCAAAGCAGACAGACTTCTCTTCGAGCAAGCTAATCAGCGAGATCAACAGAGACTCGAAAAGTCTAAAGCGCAAAGAGAAAAGCTGCAAAACCAGATCCGAAAAGTGCGTGAAGAGATCAGTCGGCCTATCGGCATCACCCAACGCACAAAATTGCGACGAGATGTGGATCGAATGCAAGGTCAGATACAAAGTCTAGACGACGACATTGCCGACATTGAAGGAAGAATGCATGACCGAGAGACACAGGCGGGCCAGGTTGACGAGCATGATGCTTCTTCCACTGGACGTCTGCCAAATGAGACGCAGCGAGATTTCTTGATCCGAACTGGAAAGATTACGCCTTTCTCCAAGTTCGGACTCTCGACTCATGGCGAATCATCAGCCACTCTTGAAGGTGCTCTTCTGGATGCTGAAGAAGAGACTGGCCTTGCGGAGCTAAATCCCGATCTTGCTGATGGCAAGGTCATGTCTCATCGAAACCTCAGACAGCCTGGCTTCGCTTCAAATTTTGTGGATTCGACCACAGAAGACGACTCAAGCTCTGATCAGCCACGAAAGCGAAGACGACTGGTCAGAAATACCAAGAAGGCTGGCGATGACGATTCGTATGATGAAAGTTCTCAACACGATGAGACTATGACCGACTCCGTTGATGAAGCTGAGGCTGATTCAATGCCTACCACCGTCGGCAAGAAGAAAAGAGTTCGACAAAATCAACTCGCCGGGATCGACGACGATGTCGAGGACTTCCGCGGCATTGACGACGGTAATGAAGCAGTGTATCGATCACGGGTCAAAAAATGGGCTCTTAGACGACGACGTGCCAGAAAACATGTGCTAGGGGCCGAAGCAAACGAAATAACCGAAGATGATGATCCAGATACGATTACAAAAGAAGAAGCCCACCTCCCTCATCCCGAGATTCCTGACACCGTCTTCGACCAAGGCTACAAGCTTCCCGGAGATATTTATCCTAGTCTCTTCGATTATCAGAAGACCGGAGTGCAGTGGCTATACGAGCTGTATACACAGCAGGTTGGAGGCATCATTGGTGATGAGATGGGGCTAGGCAAGACCATTCAAGTCATTTCCTTCTTGGCAGGCCTACACTACAGCAACAAATTGACCAAGCCGGTCATCGTTGTGTGTCCAGCCACAGTCATGAAACAATGGGTCAACGAGTTTCACAGATGGTGGCCTCCTTTCCGTGTCGCCATTTTGCACTCTTCTGGAAGTGGCATGATCAACGTACAGAAAGAGGCCACCAAAGAAGACCGACTACTCGACATGGAGTGGGATCCAAACCGAGGCCGCCAGCCATTGACATCCGCTCAAAAGGCAGCCCGACGCGTCCTCCACCCTATCTTGGAAGAAGGTGGTGTTCTGGTGACGACCTACTCGGGTTTGCAAACTTACGCACCGCTTCTTATCCCTGTTGACTGGCAATATGCAATTCTAGATGAAGGTCACAAAATCAGAAATCCTGATACTGCGATAACGATCTATTGTAAAGAATTGCGTACACCGAATCGAATCATTCTCTCTGGCACACCCATGCAAAACAACCTGATCGAATTGTGGTCGTTGTTTGACTTCGTCTTCCCTATGCGCCTGGGCACGCTGGTCAACTTCAGGAATCAATTCGAAATACCCATTCGACAAGGTGGTTATGCAAATGCTTCCAACCTACAGGTTCAAACAGCTTTCAAGTGCGCCGAGACATTGAAAGATGCCATCAGCCCTTACTTGTTGCAGCGGTTCAAGGTTGATGTTGCCTCAGATCTTCCCAAGAAGAGTGAACAGGTCCTTTTCTGCAAGTTGACACCGTTGCAGAGACGTGCATATCAGCGTTTCATCGGTTCCGGGGAGATGGATGCTATTATGAATGGCAAACGTCAAGCCCTCTATGGAATTGATATCCTTCGAAAAATCTGCAACCATCCCGATCTGGTGGATCATAAGCGCTTGTCCATTCAAGCTGGCTATAAGTATGGCGACCCTGCAAAGTCTGGCAAGATGCAAGTTGTTGGCTCACTCTTGGAGCTCTGGAGAGACACTGGTCACAAAACCCTTCTATTCGCTCAACATAGGATCATGCTTGATATCCTCGAAAAGTATGTCAAGTCTCTGTCAGGCTTCAAGTATCGCCGCATGGATGGAAACACTCCAATTCAGTTGCGACAGAGTATGGTCGATGAGTTCAACACTGACCCTGACCTCCACGTCTTTCTTTTGACTACCAAGGTTGGTGGACTTGGTATTAATTTGACAGGAGCAGATCGAGTTATTATATATGATCCGGATTGGAACCCTTCCACTGACCTGCAGGCTCGCGAGAGAGCATGGAGACTTGGGCAGAAGCGCGAAGTGACGATTTACCGTCTTATGACCGCAGGCACGATAGAAGAAAAGATCTACCATCGGCAAATCTTCAAACAGTTCCTGACAAACAAGATCCTGAAGGATCCCAAGCAACGTCAGACCTTCCATTTGAATGACCTCCATGATCTATTCTCTCTTGGGAATGAGGGAGCACCCACCGAGACCAGCGAGCTCTTCAAAGATGCTCAAGTACAATATGGTTCGACATCAGACGCAAAGCAGAAGAGTGCACCTTCGACCGCAAAGGAACAAACTACTGCTGTTCCTGATAAAGGTATCGAAGCGTTGCCTGGTATATCTTCCATGGAACAGTATGCCGGTGAAGTGGAAGAAGAACAGAAGGCTAACAAAGAGGGAGCGAACAATTCCGAGGCCAGAATGATGGAAGGTATTTTCGCCAGATCCGGCATTCATTCTGCGGTCGAACATGATGCGATCATCGATGGTACAAAGCCTGGAAAGGTCATGGCAGATCCGGTACTGGTGGAGCAAGAGGCCCGAAGAGTGGCGGCGGAAGCTGCCAAAGAACTGAGGCGTGCAGGTGAAATCGCTCGTACCATTCCAGTCGGAACTCCAACTTGGACCGGACAATTTGGTGTTTCAGGTCGGCCGCAAGAAACAAGTGCGCAACGAGCCTTCAGCTCGGGTCCTCGTGCCAGAGGTGCAGGCATACAGTCTTCAAGTCTCCTTGCTGGTTTGCAACAACGGCAGGCAGGGCTGGGATCAAGCCGTGGCACAACGCCCAGAACTTTAAGTCCAGCACGATCGTCAGCTTCGCCAGCTTCAGTATCTCGCTCTGGTACTCCCGCGATACCACAAGGTAAAGATTTTGGGAAGCTGATTCGAGATTATCTTTCAAGCCATGGTGGGAGCGTGTATACTCAGATGTTGATCGATCACTTCAATCGGTTCTGCACGACGCCCCAAGCTACAGCTGAATTCAAAGAGACTCTCAAGTTGATCGCGAGACTTGAAAAAGGAAGTCGTGGTCGTGGTCGCTGGGTGTTGAAGGACGAGTACAAAAAGTAAAGCTTGAGGCTTCGAGGCTCTAATGTTTGTTGATAGAGAAGAGCATAGTGTGATGGTCATAATAGAGATTGATCACCATCTGAGAATTATTCGTTTTCGTCGATCAGGCCTTGAGGTGACCAGTACTCGGGTTCGCGACACTGGGAGTCGACCCATACCAAAGAGTCGGCCAGCAGATCTTGTATGACTGTTTCCGCACGTGCTCGTTCCCAGCCCAGATTCAGTGTTAGAAGTGACACGGTCACGCTACCGAGAAGCTGTAAAACTTCGAGAACAGTAGATTGGTCATTGTTGAATTCCTTCGGCACAGAGCGAACGAAGCGCTTGCCCGCAATCGTGAGGATCTGGAACCCGGAGCCCAAAGGCTCGAGAGACTTAACAGCTTGCTCGATATCGTCCTCGGAAACTTGGAGCCCGCCACCAATAGCCCTGCCCTTTGCGACACTTTCGCAGCATTCTTTCAGGCCCAGGAGCCCGCCATTCTCGGCTCGTGTAGATTGGCACAGCTCTACGACACGCACAGCAACCGAGAAGTAGAAGTCGTTGACATCGTGGCCAAGCACCTTTGCCCATAGGGAATCCGCTTTCTTGCCTTTGATGTTACTTCCCGCCAGCGGATCCACGCCGATGGCGTTACACATTCTTGCAAACTCGGCTCGGAAAGTCGGATTTGACTTGATAGTTGTGGCATGTTCGAGGGCAAAGTTATGTAGAAGCGACTGAAAGACTTCCAGCTGAGTCTGCAGCGAAGCAGCATTTGCCGACTTCAGGTTAGACCCATGAGCTGCGTACGACTGAGCAGTGACATTTCGGTTGGTGAACGCACCCAGGCCGACGCCTCTTCTGGTAGACATCGCCAGGTATGGATTTATCCTCTACGCTCGATGAGAGATACCGATCTTAAAGATGCCGCACGTCGTACTCCGTAGGAGAGCACGATGCCAGGCGAATGACAACGACGGTTACTTACGTAAGCTAGCGATTCGAAGTATGCCAAGACTATAGGCTGACGCTTTTCCATTCTTGCTCTAGCCCACACTCACCGGCCTGCGCATTTTCTTTGACGGCGCACTGGCATCTGGAATTTCCTTTTCGTTTCGCCGGCACTCGATCTTCCCTCGACAACCCATCCATCTCAGTGCCCAACGACAAAATGACGAAGCCTGTTGTCAAGTCGTAAGTATTCCCATTGTATCCTGCTGACGGTTGGAGTCTTCAGATATGGTCCGCTCCCTCTCTGCTGGTACGCCATCTTTGTGCCAGCTCGATTAATCCCAATGGCTCCTCTGGAAGAATGTGAACGAGAACGCTTTTGAAAGAAGGACCTGGGGCGTTGAGGCTAGAGAAGCCAAATTCTCTTCCTTGAAATCCATTGAGCTCGTCCAACGTTCCTCGCAACTTGAACAAGTGCTGGGAGTTTGTTGGAGAGCGAAAAAATTCCTGACTGTGGTCGGGGTCTTGTCGGTTGAGAAGTTTGGGTGTTACAGATCTGCTTCACTGCATGCATCAGTCTACCTGTCTCATCGATCAAATTCATTTCGTCGAGTTATGCCTATCACCAGTTTGAGAATGCCGCGCCATAGCTGCAGTTCCAACTCGGCGATCTCCACCGTGCGGACTATACTGATACAATGCTCCCTACAGAACCGTCCCTACGCAGGACCAGGTCCTCGTCCCCGAGACTCTGTTGAAGAAGAGAAAGAGCCAGGAGAAGGCCAGAGAGCAGCGCATCGCTGAGATCGAGAAGAGAAAGAAGGTTGGTACTCTCCTACAGACCCCATACCTCAATTCGGTGATGACAAATACCACAATGCGACTAGGCTACGGCCAATGCTGTCGCTTTTGTTAACCATCTTTCGGGGCTGAACATTTACCTCTTTTTGACAATGTCTACGGGTTATGTCTGTACTGGAGGCTAACCCTATTTCGCAGACCAACAAGGAGAAACGTGGTGTCATCTTCAAACGTGCTGAGCAGTACGTCAAGGAGTACCGTGATGCCGAGCGCGAGAAGGTCAGACTTGCTCGTCTGAGCAAGCAGAAGGGCAACTTCTTCGTTGAGGAGCAGCCCAAGCTTGTCTTCGTGGTCAGAATCAAGGGGTAAGTACAGCTTCAATGAACACTCTGAGCCTCCGCTAATCCAACTCAGTATCAACAAGATTGCCCCCAAGCCGCGCAAGATCCTCCAACTTCTCCGACTTCTCCAGATCAACAACGGTGTTTTCATCAAGTTGACCAAGGCCACCCAAGAGATGTTGACCATCGTCAACCCATACATTGCCTACGGCTACCCCAACCTCAAGACCGTCCGAGAGCTCATCTACAAGCGCGGATACGGAAAGATCGACAAGCAGCGCATTGCCCTTACCGACAACCAGCTCATCGAGGACAACCTGGGCAAGTACGGCATTGTCTGCATGGAAGACTTGATTCACGAGATCTTCACTGTCGGACCAAACTTCAAGCAGGCTAGCAACTTCTTGTGGCCATTCAAGCTGTCCAACCCCAACGGTGGCTTCCGCACCAGAAAATTCAAGCACTACATTGAGGGTGGTGACCTTGGTAACCGGGAGGAGAACATCAATGCTCTCATCCGACAGATGAACTAGGGGAATCCCAGATGGTTCGGTGAAGGATTGCGGCATGCCTTTTTTACGCAGACTATGTTGCAAGCGTGTGCCATGAACGGGTGGCCTGCAACATGTCAAAACATGGGGGAACAGGCGCTAGTTGTGCTCAAGCGATCGAATGACTTGAAAAGTGATTCCCAAGACCAATGAAAATAAAACTTGTTTGATCAACGTCCATCTCCATCCATCCTTGTGTATGCTACCGTGTGATCCTTGTTTCAAAGATACATCGTCAGAGTTTCGACGTATCGCTTCCCTGAGGTTTACGACGTGATACTGGTTGAGATTCCCGGTGCTTTTGACATCGAGATTCCGCCACCCGCCACTATCCCGGAGTGTTTTTGTCACACCCACCATCAAGGGCGATCGAAGTTTGCTACGCTTGAAAATAAGACATGAATACACGATAGTGTAACTTCCTGACGCGCCGATCTACCCGACGAAAAAACGTCTTTCGAGAATCAGATACCCTCTTCAACTGGACCGGGATCACTGTCTCATTTGAAAAGCTCTTTGCACAAAGTCCAGTGTTCTTCTGGTCCAAACAACAATGTACAGAGCTCTATCAGGCCGTTGAGAGTTGAAATAATGAAGCATAGCCACCACTTTTGCTTGCCCTACACCTCGCCAATATCGCGAAACGATTCTAAAATCGCTGCTCGTGAAGAGGCCAACACAATTTTTACATCCAACCCATGGGAGCTAGGAGCTCTAGGGGGCCTTCCCAGTCATCTATCTCTGTCCTGATATACGACCCAGATACGGAAATCTCATCAAAGCAAGGTTTCGCAATTCATGTCAGTGGAGGGACAGAGGTAAGTCAGACGGTAAGTGTTGGAAGTGGTTTCACCTTCTCCCATCCTTTAGGCCTCTGTTCTCGGCTGGTTTCAGGGCAAGATCGCTGAGAGGTTCCCATCGAGGTATAAAGAGTACACAGAGATGACTGGTAGGTGGATACACAATGGTCTGTTTCTCCCTGTCTCGGACTGCCTTTGAATAGGGGGCGGCAGACGCAACACAACTTTTCCCTCTGAATGGCTGGATATCTTCACTCTTCGAAATGGCTGCCTTCCACGAGCTCTCCACAGCGCGTCGTTTAGCCCTTTGTTGTCGGACTCCTGTACTCTGCCCTGCTCGATTGTACCAAGGCGTACATGGTGTACGATACATGTCTTAAGAACTTGGATATTGGGAAGACAGGGATCTTTGTCTACGTCTGCATGGCACCGAGAGATGATGGGGCGTAGGTCAGGCATATCACCCGACCAGTTTATATATAAGAGTGGACGTCTGGACGATGGGCGCGATGATACTTTGCTAGAACAAATCTACTACGATATATCGTCATGAACCTTCTCAGAGATATCCAAGTGCTTCTGGCAGACCACTGGATGATGCTCCTGGTCTTCTTGCTCTTCAGGAAGCTTCTCTTCAATAAATATGGCAGAGGCCTCCACCCGATTCCAGGACCTTTTCTCGCCGGCTTCTCTGACTTTTGGCGCTTCTTCTGCACCACATTCTCGACTGTGCATCAGGCCCATCTCAACCTTCACAGAAAGACAAACTCGCACTTCGTCCGCATCGGACCCCGAACTATTTCGATCTCAGATACAGCATTGATACCAACAATCTACGGCACTCATTCGGCTTTCACCAAGAGCGAGTACTATAGACTCTCCATGATGCCTTTGGACGGTGCGTATACTCCCAGTCTCTTCACCGCACTGGACGAAAGATACCACACCTCGATCAAAAGACCCATCGCAACTGCCTACAGCATGTCGACCATCATCGAATACGAGCCGTTGGTGGACTCTACCACTTCGCTGTTTACATCAAGACTAGATGGCTTTGCCGCTTCTGGCGTCTCGTTCGACTTTGGGGTGTGGCTGCAAATGTATGCTTTTGATGTCATGTAAGTTTTGGAAGCAGGGGAAGGGTTGATGGTGTTGACTATTGGCAGCGGCGAAATCTTGTTCAGTCAGAAACTGGGCTTCTTGGAATCAGGCACAGATGTTGCCGGGATCATGGCAGATATCAGGGGCAAGATATCATATGCGGCTTGTGTATGCCCAGCCTCTCGAGGCCCCCTAACCTGGGTTGTCGTACTCACCATTATTGGCTGACAGGTAGGACAAATTCCATTCCTGGACAGGATCTTGACCAAGAACCCTCTGTTTCTGAAAATAGTGCCGACCCACCCTATTGTCACCTTCACACTGGACAGGATGAAGGAGCGAGTAGCAAGTATGGCGTATGGGGCCGGTCGAAAACGCGATTTCTTGACAAGGTGTATGGAGGCACAAGCCAGGTACCCGGACATTGTCACGAACCGGATGATCATCCTCTATAATGGAGATAATGTGGCGGCAGGAAGCGATACAACTGGAATTGCATTACGGGCAGTAAGAAGTTTCACTGTCACAAGTGCCGATGAGGCCTGCTGCTGATCATCATGATGCCAGATTTTCTACCACCTTATGAAAACGCCCGCATGCCTGCGCCGATTAGTCGAGGAAATTGATAGGGCAGAAGAGGCGGGCCAGTTGAGCAACTTGGTTACCTGGCACGAGTCCAGCAGATTACCCTACCTTCAGGCCTGTATCAAGGAAGCCTTCCGTAAGTCCCCGCGAATATGTTACTCACACACACCTAACCAGTGCCTGTTTAGGTATACACCCGGTGGTCGGTTTGATCATCGAACGATGTGTCCCAAAGGGAGGAATCGTCTTGCGTGGCCACTACCTTCCTGAAGGTACAATCGTAGGGATGAATCCTTGGGTCACAACGTAAGTCGTACACTTCCAAGAGACAACGGATGCTGAGAGAGCAACGGTAGGCGAGATGAAAGTGTATATGGGGCGGATGCCGATATATTCCGGCCAGAAAGATGGCTAGAAGCAACACCAGAGCAGCTTACTGCGATGGACCGTGCCAACTTGACGGTAACTCGTAGCAGATCATGACGGAACGAGCCCACTGACACCATCATAGTTTGGGTACGGCAAACGAGCATGTATTGGAAAGAACATCTCCATGCTTGAGATATGCAAGGTGGTACCTCAATTATTGAGACATTACGAGGTAAGCCGAATCGTAAATTGCGTGTTTAGTTCCAAATAATGATGTCTGCTCCAGTTGTCCTTCCTGCAGCCAGACCAGGAGTGGACGGTCCGGGGTGGGTGGTTTGTATGGCAGGACGGTTTCGAAGTATATATCCGAAGGAGAGCAAGGAAATGACGGCTGAATTCGAGGATGAGACTCTATGATAGAGGAGTCAAGCATCTCTCTACGGGTAGGCAGCGTTCATGGTCGGAGTGTCATGCACATGGAATCGAGACGATTGATAACACCTCACAGAGGTGGGTGGAACACGCGCTGTGGTCCGCCGTAGTGTTTCCTCCCGCCTCTTCATTTTATAGTGGGCGGGGAACCAGAGACTCGCGTTCCACTCCGTCGCGTAATTTCTAGGGGCGAACGCGTCTCGCGTGTCGCTAAAGGTCTCTTCTACAGCCCATGCCCTTCTTCTCATACCTTTCAACTGTGCTTGATATCTTGGTGTACCTGAGACCCCTCGAACTCAGAATCGAGCACCATGTCTCACCGGTCGGCACTTGCTCAGCTGCGAGCACAACGTGCTGCTGGCAAGACCCGCCTCGATTCGTATCAGATTGAAGATCAAGGTGCCATCTACGATGAAGTCGACGAAGACGGCTACAAGAAAGTTGTTCGTAGCCGCCTCGATAAAGACGACTTTGTGGTGGACGATCATGGAGAAGGCTATGCCGATGACGGCCGTGAAGAATGGCAGAACGAGCGCCAGTACTACAGCAGTGACGATGGGGACGATGTCCCGCTCAAAGGCAAGGCTGCCAAACGGAAACGCGAAGAAGACCGTGAGAAGGACGAACGCACCAACCACAAAATCATGAATTACTTCAACAACGGCCCAGTCGCTGCTCCTAAGCCAAAGGTAGGAAATGTTGCCAACTACCGGCTCCCATGCTAACCAACGCCGCAGATACAAACTACAGCCGAAGACGAAGCATTCATGGCCGATCTGCTGGGTGAAGTCGATGCCAACATCCTTCCAGCTCGTGTATCTACCAAAAAGCCTGTCAAATCGGATAATCGACGCAAAGTCAGGGTGCTCTCTCCTCCCCTTACGTCGGAGCGACCTCGACCAAAATACTACGCACCGGAGCCTGACCTGATTGATACGCCTCCTCCTCAGGCAGTCCATGAGGGCGAGGATACAATGGCAAATTTCGACGACGACGACAACATCATGAGCGATCCTCTTCCATCTTCCCCTGTGGTCAAGGCCGTCGAGCGCAAGACAAAGGTTCAAATCAAAGAGGAGGAGGATGAAGACGACATGATGGATGTTGCTCAAGTAGTTGCGCATGAAGGCATTCAGTCTGCAAGCGTCAACATGACTGGCAGCAGGCCACCACCGAAGATCAAGTCCTCTCAGCTCCCGACTCCTCAAAGCTCTTCGCCCCCACTGCCTGCGGTCGCTGATGTGGACGCCTCATCATGGAACAAGATCACCAGTAAGCTCAATATTCAGAGCAGCCCGTCTTCAGAGTCATATGTGTTCGGCAAAATGAAGCCCCAGGATGCGGTAGAACAAGACGGCAGCCTGCGGTTTTTCTGGCTCGACTACACTGAGGTCAATGGTAGTCTATGTCTCTTCGGCAAAGTCAGGCACAAGTCCACCGGGCAGTACCTCAGCGCGTTTGTGAAGGTCGACAATGTTCTTCGCAAGCTGTACTTTCTTCCCAGGAAATACAGACACTCCAATGGACGAGAGACCAGTGAAGAGGTGGAAATGGACGATGTGTATGGCGAAGTCGACTCCTTGATGTCCAAAATGAAAGTCACAACGAGAAAGGTCAAGCCCTGTACCAGAAAATATGCGTTCGAGCTCCCGGATGTGCCCAAGGAGTCAGAGTATCTCAAACTGCTATATCCATATGACAAGAATCCTTTGCCCATGGATTTGCAGGGCGAAACCTTCTCACGAGTCTTTGGCACAAATACTTCTCTGTTTGAGCAGTTTGTACTATGGAAGAATATCATGGGCCCTTGCTGGCTGAATCTCGAGGATGCAGACTTTACTTCTGTCAACAATGCATCATGGTGCAAACTTGAGTGCTCAGTAAGCCAGCCGAAAAACATCACTGTGCTGAAAGACTGCGAGAGCGTGGAAAACCCCAGACTCACTTTGATGTCTCTATCGTTCCGCACTCAACTGAATGTCAAGGAAAACAAGCAGGAGATTTTGATTGCGAGCGCCAGAGTCTACGAGAATGTTTCCTTGACCGACACTACTGCGCCAGAAAAGCTACCTTCTAGAACTTTCACCGTCATGCGACCATCGGGCTCCGCATACCCCCTAGGCTTTGATGCTGAGACGAAGAAGCAGAACGGCACTTTTATGCTCGAAAAGAGTGAGCAATTCCTGCTCAGCAAGTTTCTGGCTCTGTTCGAAAAGGTCGATCCGGACGTTTTGATCGGTCATCAATTGCAAGAAGTCGACTATAGCATTCTTCTCAGCCGTCTCAAAGAGAAGAAGACACCTGGTTGGCACCGCATTGGCCGGTTGAAGCGAAGCGAGTGGCCCAAGACTTTCGGAAAAGGTGGTTCGTTCTTCGCCGAGCGTCAGCTTCTTGCTGGGAGACTGATGTGTGACCTGGCCAACGACATGGGCAAGTCCTTGATGACCAAGTGTCAGCAATGGAGCCTTACAGAAATGTGTGAATTGTATCTTGGACCAGAAAACCCTCGACGTGACCTTGACAACGATGAGTGGTTGAACAAATATGTCAAGAATTCCCAGGGGTTACTTGACTATGTCAATCACTGTCACGCCGACACCTACTTCATTGCTGCACTTGCGTTGAAGCTGCAAATGCTCCCTTTGACCAAAGTTCTGACTGAACTTGCTGGTAACTCTTGGGCTCGCACCTTGAGCGGTACAAGAGCCGAACGGAACGAATACATCTTGCTCCACGAATTCCACCGAAACAAATATATTTGCCCAGACAAGGAGTATGGCAAAGGCCGGGCGAAGCGTACGGAAGAAAACGAAGATGATGAAGAAGGAGCCGATACAAAGAAGAAAGACAAGTACAAGGGTGGTCTCGTCTTCGAGCCTGACAAGGGATTGTATGATAAATTTGTCCTGGTGATGGACTTCAACAGTTTGTACCCCAGTATCATCCAGGAGTACAACATCTGTTTCACCACTGTCGACCGAGCAAGCACGGCACAGAATGAGCACGAAGAGAAAGTGCCCGAAGTGCCTGTGGACCAAGCACAGGGCATCCTACCCAAACTCATTGCAACTCTTGTTATGCGTCGTCGCGAAGTCAAAAAGCTGATGAAGGATAAACGAGCAACGCCGGAGCAGATGGCTCTCTGGGACACCAAACAGATGGCCTTGAAGCTTACGGCCAACTCTATGTACGGTTGTTTGGGTTACACCCAGTCACGATTCTACGCAAGACCCCTCGCTATGCTCACTACTTTCAAGGGCAGAGAAATCCTGAGGAGCACGAAAGAATTGGCAGAGAGCAACCAGCTCCAGGTCATTTACGGTGATACTGACTCGGTCATGATCAACACCAACGCAGACAACATTGCTCAAGCGCTGAGCGTGGGGAATGACTTCAAGAAATCCGTCAACGAGCGATACAAGCTGCTGGAAATTGACATAGACAACGTGTTCCGCCGACTGCTGCTGCACGCAAAGAAGAAGTATGCAGCCGTCAACATGGCAGAAGTCGATGGCAAGTACGTTGAGAAGCTCGAAGTCAAAGGTCTCGATATGAAACGGCGAGAGTACTGCAACCTGTCTAAGGATGCCTCCAAAAAGCTGCTGAACGAGATCCTATCCGGAGACGACGCCGAGGTGGTATTGGAAAGAATCCACGAATATCTTCGTGATCTAGCAAACAAGATGAGAGAAAACACCATCCCACAGACACAATATGTCATCTACACAGTAAGTTCATGCCTCAGTGTTTTCGCACACGGATACTAACCAGTATAGAAACTCGGCAAGAACCCAACAGACTACCCCAATGCAGAGTCGATGCCACAGGTTCAGGTAGCACTTCGAGAAATTGCTCGTGGCAAGAATGTTCGAGTCAACGATGTCATGTCCTATATTGTCACCATGGGCGATGAGTCTACCAAGGGTCTTCCAGCGCCCAAGCGTGCATATACACCCCAGGATGTCCTCAAGCCTGGCTCAGGCCTTGTGCCAGATGTGGAATATTACTTGTCCAAGCAACTTTTCCCGCCGATTGAGCGTTTGTGTGCGCCGATTCCGGGTACCGACTCGGTCAGGTTGGCGGAATGCCTGGGGCTTGATGTTCGCAAATACCAAATCAGCACGACAAGCGGCGACAGTCGGCAGAGCAACGAAATCTTCCCGCTGGAATCGCAAATCCCCGACAGCGTCCGTTACCGAGATGCCGCTCGGCTCAAGCTTCGATGCCGACATTGCGAACAGACAACGACCTTCGAGGGCTTGTGCGATTCGACGACGACGTGCACACCCGAAGGTATCGTATGTGGCAATGCTGATTGCCAGCAAATCTTTACCCGAATGGCCGTGACGACCCAATTGGAGGCGCAAATTCGAGTCCAGACCTGCCTTTATTATGAGGGCTGGCTTGTCTGCGATGATCCATCTTGTGGCAACAGGACGCGACAGATCTCGGTGTATGGTCACCGATGTCTTGGTCCCAGTGGTCGTGCAGAAGGGTGCCTGGGGCGCATGTCATACGAATACAGTGAAAAGAAACTATACAATCAACTCCTGTACTTTGCGATGTTGTTCGACACGGAGAAGGCGAAGAACAAAGCAAGGTCAGACAAAGAGTATGCAGACAGACGAGATCGCATCGTCGTCCTCGCCGAGACGAACAAGGACAGGTTTGAGGGCATCAAGGCCGTTGTTGATGGTTATCTGAGGAAATGTGGACGCCAATGGGTGGAGATGGACAGTTTGTTCGGGTTTGCTTTGAGATGAAAGGGTCATTTGTACTTCTTTTGGAGTAGCGAGCTGCGTCGAGAGCGTCTGATGGGAAAACGAGTCGTCAATCATTCCTGACTGTTGCATCGAGGTATGCCATGCCCGGTAACGAGTACCGTGTAGGTTGTTTGGCTTGGGTTGCTGAGAGCCACGGATACGTCCACGGATACGGTTAGAGGCATCGTATTTCGTTGGAAGTTGTTCCACAGCGTGTGGTGGGGGGATGCGAACAATACATGATGACATTTTTGCTTCGCCGAGTGTTCGTTTGAAAACCCTTGCCCATTCCTCCAATTGATCTCGACTACGTACATAGCCTGTTATCATCCAGTGGAAGCATCAAGCCTATCTTTTTCTCGATGATATAAAACGCTCACCCGCGCCCGTCCGGTGATCGCCACAACTCTTTGACCTCAATGGCACCTCCCAAGGTGTTGGTCATCGCCGGCTCTGACAGCTCGGGTGGAGCGTAAGTGAACCATCCACACGCAAAATGATGGCATTGCCATGGCGAAAGGACGGATGACCCGATACTAATCATCCGGGGGGAGCTCACAGAGGACTCGAAGCCGATCAAAAGGTCCTGGCCGCCCATGGCTGCTACGCAATGACGGCCACGACGGCCCTGACAGCACAAAACACCCTCGGTGTTCAGGATGTCCATGTCACCCCGCCAGGCTTTGTCGGCAAGCAGATCGACGCGTGTCTGAGCGATGTGTCTTGTGACGCCGTCAAACTTGGTGAGTCCGTCCGTCTATACTATATGGCTTTTGAAGCTTCACGCGTGCTCGCTGCCTTGTGGATGAGGTGGTACTCACTCGACTCTATTCTTCCCCTCTGCGTTGCCGTCCTGGACCGGTAACTGACAGGCTATACCGTTTTTCGAAAAGGCATGCTCGGATCCGCAGAGACCATCAGGATTGTCGCCGATGCATTGCAGAGACACAAGGTCGATACGATAGTGCTTGACCCGGTGAGCCATCCCGTAACCATACCCAAAGCACAAGATTGCAAATGAGAAAAAAAAAATGAAAGAAAACAGCCTTGTTGACGATCTCTCTCCCTTTCCGTTTGCTGATCGATTGATTTGTGGTACCGGAAAAGGTCATGGTGTCGACCAGCGGCCACCAACTACTCCCAGGCGACGCCATTCGGAACCTCCGAGACAGACTCTTGCCCATCACGACACTCTTGACGCCCAACATCCCTGAAGCGACTCTACTGCTCAGAGACGCCGACATCCAATACAAGTCGCCGTCGTGTCTAGACGATCTGAAAATCCTGGCGAAGCTGGTCCACGGTCTGGGTCCCCGAGCCGTGCTCCTGAAGGGGGGACACATGCCCCTGACGACGTCGTACGACAAAGCGACGACGGACGAGGAAAAGGCCATAACGGTCGACATCCTCTACGACGGCAGCGACTTTACCCTTGTCGAGTCTCCTTTCCTCCGATCCAAAAACACCCACGGCACAGGCTGTAGTCTCGCCAGCGCCATCGCGGCGAATCTCGCAATCCAAAAACAGTCCCGGTCCGAAGCATCTCGATCCAGACTGTCCCAAGCCAAACCCGACGCGGACCCCGACGCATCTACGTCTACGTCTACGTCGACGTCGACGTCGACCTCTCTGGCCCAGGCGACACGTTCCGCGGTCCACTACGTGTCGACGGGCATCCAGACTTCCCACGACGACATCGGCGGCGGGTCCGGGCCCATCAACCACTTCCACAACGTGCAGACGCTCCCGTTCTCGCGGGGCCACTTCATCGACGACTACCTCCTCGCGCACGCGTCCGTGGCCCCGGTGTGGAAGCGGTACACCCAGCACGCCTTCGTGGCGTCGTTGGCCCGCGGCACGCTCGCGGAGAAGCTGTTCAAAAACTACCTGGTGCAGGACTACCTGTACCTCACGCACTTTGCGCGCACGCACGCGCTCGCGGGCTACAAGTCGCGCGACATGGACGCCATCGCCGCGTCGGCCACCATCATCCTGCACATCCAGCGCGAGATGGAGCTGCACCTGAGCTACTGCGCCGAGTTCGGCATCACGAAGGCCGACCTCGACCCGTCGTCGTCGTCGTCGTCGTCGCCGAAACACAGGGAGTCCCTCGCCTGCACCGCCTACAGCCGGTACGTGCTCGACGTGGGCCACAGCCAGGACTGGCTCGCCATCCAGATGGCTCTGGCGCCGTGCCTGCTGGGCTACGCCGAGGCCGCGCGTCGCGCGCACGACGACCCGCGGAGCAGGACCACGCGCGACGGCAACAGGTACTGGCGCTGGGTCGAGAACTACGTCGCCGACGACTACGTGCAGGCCGTGCGTGTCGGGAGGGACCTGATCGAGACGCACATCGTCAAGCAGTCGCCGGGGAGAGTGAGGGAGCTCATTGACATCTTCGTCAGGGCCACGGAGATGGAAGTGAGGTTTTGGGATTTTGACGCTCACGTTGACAAAGAAGAAGAAGAGGAGGAGTGAGCAGGTGAGCGTGCCCGCGTGCCCGAGAGAGAAAGAGAGAGTGTGTGTGTGTAAGCAAGCAAGCAACTAAGTGTGTATGTGTGAGAGAGAATACTAAAACCTGCAAAGACTAGACGGGACTTGATAGACATTTCAGCACAGCTGCACAGGTCGTTCCAAACGAAAATTCAGCACAACCAGCACAAATCGAAGAGCATAAAAACCCCCCAGGTAGACATGATGATAGATTAGACATGAAGACAGAGAGAGGACCTGGCCTTGTTTCTCCCCTCGACGCTCCCACTGTACTTCGACAGTACTAGTGTACATATGTGATCCAAGTACCTTTCTCGTGCGAAGTAGGTACCTGGTAAGTATTTGATACACGACCACGTAGGGAGTGCCACCGCTCAAATATCGTACAGTACGGCCCGGACGATTGACCACGTCTTGACCCAGCCAAACAAACCAAACCAGTGAGGTTTACCCCAGCACACCGCCCCCAAACCCTACAGGCCTTCTCCTTCCACCATTCTCAGGCACAATCGTCATGACCTTGTAAGCTTTCCCCATACCCTTGGGCCCGGCCTCGACCAACCTCTTCCACCCGGTCTCCAGCTCGAACTTTTTCCTCTCGAGCTCGTCGGGGGGCAATTCGCCCTTGGTAGTCTTGCCGAGCTCCGCGATGAGTTTTTCCGCGCGATGCTTGATCCCAAGCTGACCCAACCAGAACCCCTGTTCGACCGGTCCGTGGACTTCAACGCCGGGACTCGCCTCGAGGGCCGCGTGCGCGAGTGCCACAAAGTCAACGTCCGCACTGATGTCTGCTTCACCGGCGTACACGAACGGCGAGACTATTTTGTGTTTGCGAATGGCTCGGAGAGAGTCGACCGGGACAGTCTCCAGCGGCCCATAGTCGATGATGAGCGCCGCACCACTCGGCTTGCCACCTTTCGATCGAGCATCTGCCGCCGCGGCTCCCCCGATCCGTCGTGCAAACTCTTGGACGTAGCGTGAACTCTCGGGAGACACTTCAACGCGGGACGAGACTTGATTCTTGAGATGGCGATAACGCGGTCGTTCGGGGATGACCAGCGAACTGGGCGTGCTTGCCTTGGCCAGCGTAAGCTGGAAATCAGGCTCGGGCTGTGTTTTGCGAGCTGGCGTTGGAGCATCCGCGCCACTCGTCGCCTGTGAAGAAGACAAGTCGAACTTTGGTTTGGTCGGCGCCACCAACAATTCACGCCATTGCGGCAACTTGCTCGCCGTGGAAGGTTTGGGGACAGGCTGGCCCGCCTCACTCAAGAGGCGGCTCTGCGCCTCCTGCTCCTCTTCCGGCTTTGGAGCCACCGACTCGAACGCGTGGATGGGCAGAGCGTCGAAGAACTCGTGTGCAATGATGAAAGGTATCGTCTGGTCGTCCGTCTCCGTCTGATCAGGCAGCAGAACGACGTCTTCAACCCAGCGCACAGGGATTCCCTGCTTGCTGGTGGCTTCCCACCAGACGTTCTTCCCCGTCCGGTCTCTGACCTCCTTCATTTCTGCATCTTGTCCGCAAAGCACGTCTTTCTGCTTGATCCTCAGCCCTTCTCCTGCTTCGACGAGCCAGACCGCGGAGACGGACTTGGCGAACGTGCTGAACTGGCCGATCGTTCTTAGGATGTCGCTCATCAACGTGCCTCGGCCAGGGCCCATCTCGATAAACTGTACACCCTGCAACGGCCGACCTTGTGCCATCCATTCCGTCATGAACCAGATGCCTACCAACTCCCCGAACATCTGCGATATCTCGGGCGACGTTATGAAGTCGCCGGCTGTACCGAACTGGTCTGCATCCTCGCGTGTCGACGTGTAGTAGCCGCCGTCCGGGTTCGTGAGGCATTGGCGCATGTAGGATGCGATCGAAACGGGACCCGTGACCTATGTGACAAGACAACACACGAACGAATCAGCCTTGTAGTTCGCAATCGACGGTGGGGTTTTCACGTCGTGCGGCATGTGATGCGCGACTACATGCGTACCTCAATCGCCTGTGCAATCGTCTTTGCCAGCGGTGTCGACCACTGTCGGACCGACAAGGTAGGACTGGCTGCAGGATTCGCTTCGGGCGGCTGTGGCGTAGGCAGATGGTCCTCGTGTCCTACGGGCTCTGGCTTCGACTCCGACGCACTGCTCGACCACCTCTGCGCCGATAACGTGTGCGCAGACGGCCCTGGACGTTCGAGGGGAACATGTCGAGGAGGCGCAGGATGAATTGTCGTCAGAGGCTTGTTCAGCCGGAGCACTCGTGGAAGACGAGACGCTCCATGTCTCATTCTCGAGACTGATGCCTTCTCCTGTGCTCACCGCGGCGACGAGGGAAAAACAGGAGAGGCAAAGGCAGGGTAGACTCAAACGACCAAACGACCAAACGACGGACGGTGCGTGACGGGTTTTTGCAGGTCAACGAGGTCAAGTAATTATTTGCTGCGAGCCAAAAAGCAGCCATGACGAAATCACACATGGTCCCGAAGTTCTTGCGGCTCGAGCAGCGCGACCTGCAACGGACTTATTACGACCACAAGTCGAGGTCTGGACCAAACCAGCCGGGTTTGTCTGGAAGGTGGCTGGACTGTGGGTGGTGGGAAATTCAGATGTTTTCTACAACGTCCAGAAGGGACACAGATCAACTGAGGATAGGAGATAATGCCCAGGCAATTTCCCCCCGGGACCGACGACCTCCTGCAGACTCCCGTACTGAAGACGCCATCGCTATGCAACAAACATTATACCCGTCGTATTGTACACTGATGCACTCCCAAGGGAATCCTTTTTTTACCTCTCCAGGTCAACAACATCGCCTTTTCCAGTGCTTTTTACCAGATCTTGAAAGCCGCTTCCCCAGCCTTTGTAGTTCTTCTCCTCAGTACCATCCCTTTGACTCCCTTTCAGTTCGAACTTCTTCTTTCGTGGAGGCCCTCGATCCTGGGTCGGCCGCAACACACTCTGCGGAAATTGTGCTCGGATCCTCTCCTCCTTCGCCAATTCACGCTTCTGGATTCTGGAGAGATTCCTTTCCTCCCTCTTCTTCTCCACTTTCGATCTGGCCGCCTTGATGGATTTCAGTGTTCTCGCTCGCTGACCGTAGTGGTCATCAAGACGTCGGTTGCTGGTACCATCAACCACACTCCCATCGTCATCACCGTCTTCGTCTTCCGAAGACGTTCTGCTTGGTGGCTTGGCCGCTGTCCCCCCGGTTGGACTCTGGTCAGTCATGCTCTCGACTTTCCCCAGGAATGCGGCGAGCCTTCGCTTCTTTGACCAGCACTCCTCAATGATAGAAGAATCCAAGGGACCCATTCCATCATCCTCCAGTCGTTCATTCACCCGTAAAATCTTGTCGTAAGCGCCGATGACCGTTCGTAGAAAGTCGACCATTGGGCCCATGCTCTCCATGACGCTGTATGGCGTGATCCTGCGTTTGTCAAGCAATGTCTGGACGCTCTTGGTGCGAGCCTTCACATCTTGGAGCCGTTCAAGTTCGGTTACGTGGGATTTGATGAGCCGCATAATGTTGGTGACTTCGGGTTTCAGCTTTTCCAAAGCCACAAATGTATTGTTCTTGGAAGGATCACGCTCAAAATCCAGGTCACCTTCCTTGGTCTTCGCCAGTGGTTCACCATGAAGTCCTTTCGTGGTAGCCAGGGCCAGCTGCAAATATTTCTCAAGCACCGAAGGTGCAAACTTCAGCCAGATGCCTTGGTTCTCGTCTTCGGAAGCCTTTGCTTCGACGCTATCCTCCATCAACTTAATGATGCGATTCGCGATAGAAAAGACGTTTGGATTCTTCTTGTCTCGGTAACAGGTACTCATGGCAATGATGAACGTGCCTCGGCTCATTAGCTGCTGTTGAACGTCGGCGGGGCGAGGTTGCAGCAAAAGATCAAGTGTCGCCTGACTTGCGCGAGAGACACGAAGGAGCCGCATGTACGAAATGATGTTAGCTCTATCGGCTTCTAGCTTGTAAGGGCCCTTTGGTGAGGTGAGCAGTTGCCAGTAGTACTTTCCAGCTCCAATCTGTCGGAGGGCAGTAGTAGCCTCCAAAAGCATCGAGAGAGTGTTTTTCCCTGGCGCAGCGTAGATCGAAGAGTCAATGTTGGCAATTGGCATAGACTGGGCTGTTCTTGGGGTGATATCGGTGGACGAAGGCGCTACCTCTTCAAGTTCGTCGATCGCGCCAGCCGTAAGCATTCGCCGGTCTTCAATCTCCTTGTCAGAGGTACCATCGCCCGCATAGCGCGGAATGCCCATGGTTTGCTGGACCAGGTTCACTACGTCCTCATAAGCTTTGGGTTCGGACGACAGTAAGAGGACTCTACCCATGGCACAGACTAGTTGTTCATCGAGATGTAAGAGACCCCTCCTCCATCGGGACACAATGTCAACCCAGAGCTTTCGAGCATCATTTACGGCTTCCTCGAAGATTGGCTGAGGATCATAATCGCCGTCTGGTGAACTTGCCCCCAACTTCACGGCACGGTGTCGAACTTCGGAGTGAATAGTGTTCAATATCGTTGTAAATGTGATGTGGTCGGGGGCACCGGGACCCTGCTCAGGGAGTTTCCCAGCAATCACCCACATGGAATCAATGAAGAGTGCTCGAGCACAAACATTGAGAACAGCATTGGTGTGAATAATCGTGGGTTTGACCGCAGAGTTCGCCGCTCCGATCGAGTTGTAAACCTTGATTGCGTCTTCGACCACACCAGTCTGCTTGTAGTTTTCTCGGTAGCCTCTTAGCATTATTGTGTAGGTATGTGCGTCAGGCTTGTGGCCTCTTTTTTTCATCTGACGAGTCACCTTGTCAACGATAATTCAATCCCTCGCGCAAAGTCAGTTACCATACCTCATTGTAGATTTTCCACGCATCTTTTGGTCTTCGTTGTTGCATCAGCCAGTCTATAAGATGGTTCCAACTGACCGTATTATCGATGTTAACTCGGGAGATGCCAACCCCTTTGTCACTCTCGCGAACCAGGTTCAAAGCAGCATCGAATTTTGAATCCCTCAATTTGTCGGCGACCGTCTGAGCAAGTTTCAACGGGTCGCTCAAATATTGCAGTTCCCGTCTCGCACTCTGCTGGACTTCAGTCTTGCCGTGGTTATTCATAAGACGGAGCCGGTTGTTCCTCCTCGCCTCCGCATCTCTGGAGGCCGCTCGGGCAACAGCCGGCTCGGCTCTCCATGAGGGTCCTTTGATTCGCTTTTCTGCCCGGAGGGTTTTGGTGAGGAGCCTCCGATGATGGCCTTGCTGCACTGATTGAAGAGTGGCATGGTTGCGGCGAAAGATGGCCGCTGCGCGGACTGGGAATCGAGGGTTCGCACACGTGGAAGTATCAACACTCAGGGATTGGAATGCCCGTAGAAGACAGGCCGAACAAGTGAACATTGATTGGAGACACCCAGCACGAGCTCGGGGACATATGTGTAGAGAGGACTTTAGAACCCAGTCGCCATTGCAATTTGCAAGGCTTCATCTTCGCAGTAAGTCCTGCGGCGTCGACTTTTTTCCACCAAGGCAACTAAGCCGAGAAGATGGATGTTTGCACGTGATGGTCTCAACAGGAACACACTGGCCATTACATGACATCAGGATTTCGACACTCTCCAAGCACGATGAGGAGGAGTTCGTATCGCCACATATGATCTTCTTACGAGTAGAGGCTCACGCAATCCCACATCACTACTCAAGCGAACAACGTTGGTTCCCGCTATCGAAGACAGACTGATGGCTTCGCCGAAACCAACTTGTAAAAGAGTCGTCCACACTTTCGCTCGTTAACCTTCTGCAGTGGTTGCACAGACACGTCTTTTGCGTCCTCAACTCTCACTCGCCACTGCACGGCTAGCGGCCAGCAGAGATCCTGTGGCTCTCAGACAGCACTAAAACTAAGCCGATGGCTGATGCAGGGTGCTTCTGGTGGCGTGGCCAACAGTTGTGGCCACCAGGCCGTATGAGTACAAGCATTACCTGTGCGAGATGCCGCCTTCGATCTGCTCCCGTGTGTAACCTTGCATAGCTCGGCCACACCTGTGCTGCTTCGTGCTGACCTAGAGATATACGAGTGACTCTGGTCGTGCGCAGTCCAAATCATTTGCATGTGTTGTCAATTTTCAAGTCTCGGGGCCTCTGACAGCGCGCCACTGCCATTCGGTGACTTCGAGCCGTGTCCGAATCATCCGGGAGTGCTCATTCAACCTGGAAGGCAATTTTTCCTGGCCGGCGGGCCAGATATCAGCTGTCCCTGCTAGAGGTGCTGTCCTCCTTCTTGAGCGCGAGCATCGTTAGAGGTCCATCTAGAAATGTTGACACCCTGAGGCAACTTGACAGGGGCTCGTCTGTTCTCCGCATCACATCACTAGGCTGAGGTGTCCGCCGAAAGCCATGCATGCTCCGGGTTGTCGGTTGCAGTTGGACAGCGTCGAGTGTACTAAAAGCCTAGCGTCGACGAAATGGCCAGGCCTGCGGCAGCTAGGAATGGGAGGAGAAGCGTTCGTGGACTCGTGGATGAGTGCGGTAAGCACGATGGAGAATTGAGATGGTCCTGTTCTACTAGACTCTCGGTACTCGTACACGAGGCACGTCTTCGTAGTTGAATTTGTTGGTGTGCGATCTTGCAGACGGGCCCTTTCTATCTCAGGTCTGACGTCTTCTAGGGCCGCTCCGCTGTCGCCCAAGCGCACTAGCTAACTAGGTGCCTTAACTAAAACCATAACTTATTGTACTTTGGTCCATAGCTCGTCCGCGCCACTGTTAGCGGTCTTAGTGGTGTTAGTTGAAGCCTGTGAAGCCTAAAGCCCCTAGTCTCAGAGCCCGAACACGCCTGGATCTTTAGCCCTGGCGCCGTTTCCACCACACCACCGACACCCTAACACGCGCACAGGGACGCCTGTTCCTGGCACCAAGCTCCCGTCAAGCTGCCACCGCGCCGGCGAATTTCTTGCATCAGCCTCCTTTCTACCCCAGACTCAGACTAAATCCAAACTCACGGTTCGGGCACCATATTAGCTCCCATAGTGTCGTGTAACCATGCTAGAGTCGGGATTCGAAACCTGGTAGGTGATCTTTGCCACACGCCAAACGTCCACCATGGCATGCCCTTGTATAACCTTAACCGCACGACATCAGAACCCCAAGAATTGCGAGGACCAACGCCCATGGCATCAGCAAACGCACCAGGGACGGGACATAACCTTGTACATGTGGAAGGCACGGGTTGGCCGTATCCCAAGCCAGACGCCACTTAGAATGATCTCACAATATGCCGAAGGATAAAGAGTTCATGAACAAACGGTATCAGCATTCTGTAACGGTATTTTGATTGGCTTCTTTGATCAGACTCAGTCTCGGCAAGACCACGTCCGAACGTTCTAATAAGGACGGCCATGGTGAACCTGTCGCAAACGCCAGAGGCATATTGCTCAATTCTGAACATCATAAATGTACACAAGATGGACTCAAACACCTCTCCCCGAGGCGACTGATTGTCGCCACGGTTGCGGCGGTCATGACCGATAGAGATATTCTCCTTTCCACCCCTCGGGTCATAGGCTCGTCAACGGAATATGTATGTCGGCAAAGACACACCCTCATGCTCCTCCGTCACCTCAAAAAGAGTACGCGCTCGGCCGTCGTAACGTTCATCCCCTCGGTTGAAATCTTGCAGCGCAAAGCCGGTTCTGATGCACCCAGCCATAAGAAACGAAGAAGGAAAAAAAAAAAAAAGACAGTAACTCATCAGTAGACCACAAACCACCAGCCAGCCAATCTGGCAATTAAACTCCTGCCAGCATAGGCTCGATTCTTTTGAGATCCCGGTGTCGTTGATTATCTCCTCCTCTCCCACCTGGGGTATCTGTCGCGAAAAATGAAGTGGCACCGCACCAATGCATAGAAGCACGGCGTTCGAGAACAGCCCTTATGTGCACGATTGCAGCCAGAAAGCTATTCATAAGCCACTTAACCTTGCCGCTGGATCGAAAGCTTTAATATTGACGTTGTTGGTAGACCTGGCCCTGTTGGGCATAGGGAGAATTGGGATAGTTGCCGTAGTTGCCCATCTGCCCATTTCCTTGTGGATAGACCATTGCGCCCTGGGGCTGTCCATATTGTCCTTGAGCATGTCCATCTGCGGACTGGTAGCCAATGGGTGGCAGTGAGGGTCTGCCCCCATTCTGTTGATATCCTTGTCCAGGAACTTGGTGCGCGTCTCCGGGGGCGCCGTCCACTTGGCTCGCTTGAGCAGCGGCCTGTCGTTGTCGCTCTTCCTCAGCTTTCCGAGCATTCTCCTCCTCCTTCTTGCGGGCCTTCCACTCCTTTCGGATCTCCTTGAATTCTATCCAAATAGTCAGTCAAAGTGGACATTCAGAAACAGAACAGGTGCAGCTGTGGCTGAACTTCCGCAACGGGCGACTCGGAAAGAATGCTCACCTTCTGGCGTTCTCTTTGTGCCATGCGACTGCATTGTCACATGCGCATTCAAGTGGTTCAGGGTACCATATGCCTTTTCGCAGCCATTCCAGCCGCACTTGTACATTCTTTCAATCTCTTCGTATCGTCGTCGGGGCCGCTTGTGCTGCTGCGCACCTGGGATTGGGACAAATGAATAAACCTGCGTCTTGTTAACGTCGCGCTACCAGACGCACATAGATGACGGAAACCTTACCTGGCCCGTACGAGACGCGGCGGAGGTCTGCGGCGGACCTTGGACGCCTGGCCCAGGATGCGGATACGGTGCAGGCATGCCGTGTTGCGGCGGATACCCCCCCCATTGCTCGTGGGGCGGTCGCTGCTGCATGTACGGAGGGTGCTGAGGCTGGTACGCGTGTTGCATATTTCCATCCTGCGGGTATGGCGAGTACGGAGGGTAGGTCGGGCTGGCTTGTGATATCGAGGGATCTATAGGCACGTCCGAGTTAGATTTCACGAGGTGGGAATTTGCGGTTGGGTTGCCATTGGGCGCTCCCTCTGGCAGGGTCATTGACGGACTTGTTGGTTGTGCCATTGTTCCTACAGCGCCTGGATGTGGTGGCGTGTGAGAGAACTGGCTGTATCGCAAATGCTCTGGTGGGAACCCCGATGAGCGCGCAGACGACGGTGTCAAGCCGTAATCCGACTGCGGCGTGTTGTTGCTCGAGATGGTCGCGGAACGTGGATCTTGGGTGGTGTAGGTCGCAACAGACGATTGATCTAGCGACACGACTTTCTCAGAGCTTGCTCCGTGAACCTTCCAGTGATGAAGCTGCTAACCTGACTGCGCGTATTCCGATGCTCCCCTGTCCATCAAAAAGGACTTTCACTGCGCACCGCGTAGAGACCGGTCGTGGTGAATGCACGAGACAGTGGCTGGTAGAATGTCGCAGTGATGCGAAGGCGCAGTGAAGGTAGTGGATGACAGCAGTCGCGCAAAGGTAAACTGTCTAGGACCGCAAGCTCGGCCAGCAGACGTCGATAGGACGAAGCAATCCTTAGATCGAGCACCGGTGTAATCTTTATTTTGAAGGCTCTCCAGGCGAGGATACGCACCCACCCACTTTGGCCTAATTGTCGGCAAGGGTGGAGAGAGCGTGCGACTCAGGATATGGGTCGGGAGCAACAAGCGTTTCTCTGCACGAGGCGAGTCCACCAGATCGGTCAGCAGTCGCGCAGTCGCAAGGAAATGGGACAGACTGATCTCGAGCAGGGGCAAGAACCGGCCTAACCGATGGGGCGAGGAAGCGGTTCGAAAATTGAGGGTTTAGTACTGTTTCTCGCTGAGCTAGCAGCAAGCTCGGACACTGGCGAAAGCAACGTTACTTTCTTCGAGATGGCTCGAGGGCCCGAGCTAATAAAGAAAGAAGACGAGGGCCGATGGGGGAGCCAAACAAGCTTCGTGCCTGCCACAGGTGATACTTGTTGTGAATGAAGGTGTTCGGGCCACCACTACACTCGCGCAAGGGTCTCAATGGAGCTTTCTTTTTGCCCTCGGTTGTGTTTGGCTGTATGATGCCCGGACTATTATGCAGCTTGATTATTCCAGGTTGATTTGACAGGGAAGTTTTCCTTTGCCCCCCTCCCCTGGCCGGACAGGAGGACTTGACCGGGTTTGTTGCCTCCACCCTGAAGAGCACGATCACAGATGGCGAGAGCACCTGCTGGACAAATAGTGGATCCAACACGGCGCTGACCAGGCTTCAACGTGCACTTCCCTACCAATGAAGAGTCCTCTTGTGGTGGAGACGGCGGTCCTTCAGCAACTCTGTGACTTTCGCTCTTCGGCGTTGGAGAAACAACCCGCTGACGGAGCGTGGGCAAACCTGTTGTGGGTTGTCCGTATGCTTTCGGCAGCTGTCTGTCGATTCGGAGTCAGGAAGAAAATTGGGAAGGTTTACGTTAAGCCGAGGGTGAAAGGGTGATTAGCGTAGCTCTTGGACAGGGACTAGCTGGCGGCAGCTAGCAGGGGGGCGGGTTCAGAGTGTTGTGGTCACGGAGACCCACGTCCACCTTAGGTTCGGTAAGAGACTTTCGAGGGGATGATTATCTGTTGTCTCGAAAGTCTTCCTTCCTCTTGCAGGCGGCAGTCACAGGATGCGTGACGTGCGCAGGCAGAATTTCACCGGCAGGTGGCAACAAAATGTAACGCAAAGGCGATGACAAGTGAGATGTGGTTCGCTGGCGAGATACGAAGCGTTATCAGCCCGCGTTGTCGGTCGAGAGTTCGATGTCGGCGAGAAGCCACTGCTGCGCGGGATAGGCGGGTACGAAACAAGACGACTAGGAGCCAAAAGCGAGATGTGCAATCCTCCAGTTCAGCCTACGCTCTGAGCGGTAAGGTGTGCGTCGCAGTCGTGAATCATGCACCCGAGGGCGGAAATGGAAGGTTTTGGCACGGAATGCGATTCGCTCCTCGTAATGAGCACGACTAAGAGGAGGATGGGTGGTTGGGGAGGGAGCAGGGATGACGCTTGGTGCCCGCCGTGGGCTCGTGGGAGGTCGGAGGCTGGAAGATTGGCCCTCTAACTGCGCTCGCCGTAGAAGGGCGAGAATCGGTGGAGTCGGGCTTTGACGACAAGGTGAAGGTTGTCGAAATAATGGGTCGATGATGTGGTCGAAGTGGAGAGAACTGAGGATGCGAAGGGGAGATTATTTTCGCAGCAGGGACGCAGGCACCTGGTCGCTTGGGACGTTTTTGGATGCGCCTCCGAATGGGCGAGGGTCTGAAGGGGAAGTAGGCACAGCAGAGCCTGTGCCCTTACAGAGTACTGGGTACCTAGGTAATGGTGAGTGCAGCGCAAAGTTGGGCGAGCAGTGTTCCGGCGGTACAGCACCCACTGAGCCTGGTCTGCTGCTTTCGACAATTACCCAGGTGGCCGTAGTCAAGCGAGACCCTCCTCTTCTGTCGAAGCACTACTGTACTGCAAGTAGTCCTATTGTATGTACCTTAGCTGGCGATGGGGTGAAGTAGTTCGTGCAACTCTTTTGTTTTCTCGATTCCCAGGCTGCTGGCTCGTCTCGTATCCTTGCGCCGGAGGCTTTTTCGTGCCAGAGGGAGCGGCACTAGTGGGAAGAGGAAAAGTGCGCGGGTGCAGCTCGATGGCGCAGAGTCAGTCTCGCAGAATCCAGTGCTTTGCGCCATGGTTGTGCGCTAATCTATTTATGGCCCTCATGTGCTTCTTGGCATCAACACACGGCGATTTCCTCCTCGTAGAAGGCAAGGCACACGGACTCGGCACACCACTACTCCGGAATGCAATCATCCCCTAACACTCTCCAGGGTGTGAGGGACCACCAGCACAAGCCCCTGCTTCTCAAATCATTGCTGCTGCTCCCGTGGCGATTTGGGAATTGTCACCTCCGGACGGCGTCCTCTCGTTCAATGCTGCGGATGGTTGACCCGTTGCCGCATTCTCGTCCTCGTCCTCGTGCCGCTGTATCCACCCCTCCGTGTCTCAAACCCTGCAATCACTCTCACTCACACCACCTTGACCGAGACATACCGCAGGGACGCCCGTGACGCTCACCGCTGGACCACGGGCGTCGGTCGCCTGGGGACCATGGAGTCCTTTGTATGCGAACCCTCACAACACCAACCACCTGGTCGTCGCCTCCGCGCCGAGCAGCTACAACACATAGACAGTACACAGTAGGTCGCAAGAGAGGTCAGTGGTGAGCTTTTTAGTGTCCCACGAGGGCGAAAGATATCTCTTAGCTTCACCTTCCCCGGGATTGCCACTCATGTCCACCAATCAATATGAACAAACCCGCTACCTCAATCGTGCTTAGTCTGGCTTTCTCTTCGCCGTGGTTCTGAACTCTCGTGTTCGTCTTGAAAGGGACTTCCGCCAGAAAAAAGGGCTTCTGCGATGTGCCTACAGCAAAGTTTGATGATAGGGCTAGCTGGCCTAAACTGGCAGGCGTGGGATGAGAACTACTATCAAGCAGGACTGCAACTCCGTATACAATGAGAACAAGTCTGCGGGCGTGCTGGAGGTCTTCGGGAACTCCAAATCTGGGCCGAATCATCCGATACCCTTCCCGAGATTGCTGAGGCATTCGTCCAAGGTCGCTGCTGAGGTCGTCAGCCTCATCCAACTATAACGCACTATCGTATTATTGTTGGTTTAGTCTATCAACTGCTATGCAGGTGTCCCGCTCTGTCCAGAGTGGCGTCTGTCTCAACATTTCACCCGTCTCTTCGGAGGTTATGACTCAAGCCAGGACCAGCAAAGTCGAATTCTGTCAGTGGACACCGTGCCAGCAACGATCTTCTTGGGGAGAGCCTAGGCGGAATGATGATCATGTCACAGTCTAATGGCGCCTGGACCAAATGATTCTGGGCAAACCCAGATAGCGGGCTGCGACTGCGGCGTGCTCCAACTTCATTGCTAGGCGTCAAGTGGTGCTTGGGCAGCGAAGTCGTGAGTAAATCGGGCTTGATTGGTTGTCTCGGTTTGATGGTCGAACTGCATTGATCTTGACACTCTGGATCCGTGCGATTTGAACGGAATTGCAGATGGGCGCGCCCACCTTGAGACCTCCAGGGAGAGCGCATCATTGCCGTCTGGCCAACTGAGAACGCAAGAACTTGACGACAAAGGTGACATGCAAAGGTGACAAAGGTGGTAATGTCGTCCCAAGGGCCGTGGTCACCCGCTCTCAAGTCATGAGCCGTGCATGACCTCAAAGCCGCGATGGTTGGTCAACTGAACTACAGCCAGGGTTGGAATGGAGAGAAAACAAAATAGGGGGCCAACTTGCATGGGGACTGGAAATCATCCATCAATCAGGCCAAAAATGTGACCCCATCAAGGTTCTGAAGCATCCACGGAGAGAAGCACTTTCAGGGTGACTGACCTGATTTGGAGAGTCGTCTTAGGAATACTCTCCAGGTCGGCCCGATGCTTACGAGCCATGCCGCGATTGGATTCTGCAGAAGGATCTCTCGATTTACGGGGTGCGGAGGACCATGGCAGAAAACAGGCACCCTGCGCGACTGCAGAGGGATTTGGATCTTTGTGTTTGGCTGTCCTTGGAAGCAATAGTGCATACCCTGCGATCTGGGTCACTAAGTTATAGCGACCGGTCTCGACACGTTTAGGGTACCATGTTGTCGGTCACCAGGTTTTCACTCACTCACCGGGCGCACCAGCGTCGGGTTCAAACTGGTTGGTGTGAAACAAGGGGACTGTCACCAACTCGCCGGCTGCTAGTGTCTCTACTTTCGAGTCTCTATTCGTGGTGGGGATGGACGTCCTCGTCGATCCGAGGAATGGCAAGTTCCGCTACCGAGAGAGCTTCTGGGCGGTTTACGGAACAGCACGTATTTCCTGATCGAGCCCAGACGTGGCTCGTCGACTGCTGAACGCAGGCAGTCATAAGCGAGCCCTGTCTCGGCTACGCCGCTTCTGCCATTATGATAAATTTATCCTCTATGCTCCCTGATTGCAAGTGTCAGTCTGGCACAGCACGTGCCTTTTGGATTCTGCAGCTCGCAACTCCTGCACTGGACATGTCGGAAGGCTACCCCTAGGGCATGTCAGTGGCAGACACGGGGGAAATCGTGTGTCTACTATACCTCTTCGAGACCCGACAATCATATGCGGGAAGAAAGAAAAACGGACTCGTTCAATGGAGAGTATCAGACCCAAGATCTTCACCCCCATTTTCCCGGCCTGCTTCAACTCGGTTGCCAAAAGCAAACCTCAATACCATCCGCACCCACTTCCATGCGTTATCGTTCGCCAAACATGATACGGATAATCTTCTTCCCGCGTAAGCCAGGAAAAGTCTATCCACCGCATGCTTTCCAGCGGTGACCCTGGTCTAAGGTCACCAGAGCCCTACCTGCCGCCCTCCTCTACCTCCGATCTGCTCCTACAGTACCTCCCATAGGCTCATAATGCAATCTTATTCAAGCAAGATGCAGATACACACATCTCCACTGCGAGTCCTTGAACCCTGAGCTCCCGGTATCGGTCTGCATGTACATGGCATGCTGCAGCGAAGTTCTGGCCGCAATTATCCCACTCCAAGACCACTGCAGGTATCAATCCTTGGGCCGTGAATCGGAAAACATGAAACGCGCCGATTGGATCGAAGCTGTAAGAGACAGGGGCATGCCTGGCGGACACAAAGTGGCCCACCACAGAGCTCTTTGAGGATCCCGCCTTGTAATGATCAGGCTCGAGGGTCTGGTAGCGAGGAAGCATTCTCTCGTGCGATCACGAGTGACGCATGTGTTACTATTGTCTACTTATGGAGGGTACCTACTGTAATCACAGCTCGCTGCCCAGCGCTCACCCCCAGTCTGTTTGAGACACCTTGTTCGCCTTCTGCATGGACTTTGAGTAAAGAGCCTGCAAGCTCTTTTTTTCTCTCTCCCCCGGATCCTTAGTGATTAGAGATAGACTTCAAAGGCTGGACTAGTCAGTGGGAGCTTGTCCGGCACATGGTCTGGTCCGGAGAGTGTGGCGTGGACACTCATACTCGTATTGGACAATGGACCACTCCAACAAACACCGGCGATCTCGAATGCATACCGAGAAGGATGGACGAGCACTGTCCTTGACAGCTGGAGATTTGCTTCTCAGTCTGTTTCTGTTCGTATCACTTGAGTGGGAAACATGAGGGTTGGAGTACAGTAGTGTCGTGGCAGCAACTGTGAGTCGAATGCATCCTTGTTGCTTGGGGTTTTTCATTAAAGAAGCGGTCAATCAACGCTGTGCCTTGAAATGCGGATCGGATCAACGCATGTCGGCCCTGCTCCCGATGCGGGATGGTGTCATGATGCATTTTTGTATCGTACCGACGGGGCCCTTTTTTTTGTGCCCAACAGCACGAGGCTAATCATACTGGTTTCCGCGAATGCAGGGCTTGATGACGACGCGAATTCAGAAAAGATTGCCCTTTTGAAAAGAGTCGCAGGTGTGCTGCGCCCGAGAACCCTCGTTCTGCTGATCCTGATGCACTCCAAGGCTCAACATCTACAGTATGTCATGATTACATGATTGCTTCGCCTTTTCATACCTAGACCCCTTTGTTTCGTCGCCGAGCCCGAGACTCAGACGGGGCCATGGAATCATTGCACTCGAGGAACATCTTGGAAGCAATGGCAGTCGTCTGAGAATCAGGTAAGACAAGGTTCTGTAGGGAGTGCAAACTAGCACCTTCAGACTGGGAAAATAGCAGCTTGGGCTTCCTGACCTTCCAAAGCCCAAGAGGCTCGACGCTATCATACTGTACTGTAGAGTAGAAACGAAGTGCCGTGGGTCCACTCCAGCGCCCTCAGCCTCCTGGTCATTTTTGCGGCAATCTTTCTTGGCCGAAGAGCCTTTCGGTATGGCCCTTCGCCGAATATCTGAAGACAAAGATTAGTGCGGTTTGGCAGGATCAATCCTTTCTGGTGCGCCGCCCCTTCGCAGGCACCTCATGCAGCCACGCAGCTCGAGCTATGCCGAAGAAGAGTATACAACCCGCGCTTCATGTCTTCCCCTGTGCTGCTCAAGGCGGATTTTTATCGGGAGGCTCGCAGGTCATCCTGCGGAGGGCCGCGGTGAGACCTCACAGGCATGTGGGAGAAGGACGGATGGATTCTTGTGGCTTGCAGTTGTACACACCACGGGGAGTCGTCGAAGGTGGGTCACAACCCTGAAGCGACGGCAAATCCCATTCATTCACCCATCGAGCGCCTTACCTCACCAGGAAAGTGGAAGAGTCGTGCCGCTAGTGTCGGAGTTTAAGGGTTGCAGGGCAGAGGAGGAAGATGCAGCCCTCAAGGCGCCTCGACAATCACGATAATCACGACAAGTCGCAATTTGAGGACGCTAAGGCAAGAAAGATGGGTCGGCTTCCCGTACTGCAAAGCCAGCCTACTCCACGAAATGAATTGAGAACGAAACTTTCCGTGGGGTGTCGTGTTGATTGTGCCACACATTAATATTATTATCGGATATCAGCCTTCAGGGCAGGGCAGAGGTGCGACCCACAAAAAACCTTCCGACCTCCACAAACTTGCCAACGAGGGCACACCACAGCCTGCCTTCTGGCAACATGGTCTCTGATCAGTGTGATCAACGATCATGCCTCAATCACACCTGGACGTAACGGACAATCGCGGTGATCCCCCTGAGGCTTTCCTTCCCGGGGATCCAGCTGGGCCCCCGACATCTCTGTGCCTCGGCGTACCGCGGGCAAGACCAATCTCTTTCTGACAACTCGAGCCCTTAGATCCGCAGTTACTTACGTACATTGTCAGAACTGAGCAACCTTAATCGACCGTTGTTGTTATTATCATCATGGAGGCCGCAAGAGCATCGCTTTTACCCAGGACGCCCCTTTTTCCCAGAAGAATCAAGACTTTTTCTCTCGACGATCATGAACCCCTTCGGCTTCCCCTTGGCGTGGAACTACCAGAAAGGGCCAAGTCGACTGCATTTGTTCTCAGAAGAGAGAAAAAAATCCTAATTAGCTGTGACAGAGATGGGATTAGTCCATGGACTACAGATCCAAGGTCTGTGCACGCACGTCTCCCACAACTTCCCTCTCTCCCTCTCTATAACGTGCTTGAGGTAGACACGACGTAGGGAGGCATGAGCACAAGCGTCGCGGAAGATTTGTTGATGGAGACAATTTGAACGCATTTCCAAAGGTAAAAGCCCCGACACGTATGACACCACCGAGACACAGAGACGCAATGACAAGCTATCCTTGCTTGGTTGGTACATGAGGTATCGACGGCGATGCTCCCGGCCTGCGCTACTGCCATCGGGATACCAGTCAGGCAGGTCCCGATCCTTTTCAATATGTAAGTACATCTCTATCCCTCGAGGAGGAAAAAAAATAGTCCTCGGACCACTGTACCTACCTTTCTGTCTACCTAGGCAGTCGATCAGTCGGTCAGTCCTCGTGACTAAGTTTTCTGCTATCGTATCCTCATCGTCATCATCTCCTCCTGGATCAAATGGATCGTTATGAAGTACGCCGCAGTAGCCAGCTCTGGGTAGCCAAGGCATGTAGGTAGTAGCTAGCTAGCTAGCTAGCTAGTCGGTACCACTGGCACGGGCGATGGAATGGATCAATCTGGAGCTACGGAAATTCATTCCCCTTAGATCCAAACGTTCATCGAAGGGGAATATACGAATATTTTAAAATGTTCAAGGCATCACTGTATATGGTTCTGTACAACACCATTTATCATAGATACTAACCTAACCTAACCTGACCTCACCTCACTTGATCGAAACTTACCGACCTCCGCGTCCTCAGCTCTTCTCGTTGTTTCGTCGTGAGAGAAAATGGCATAGAGACACAGAACCTTGTAATTGAACCCTCGACCTTGAACGCTGAACCTGGAATCTAGAACACTCAACTCACTCAAACCAAAAAAAAAAAAAAGGAAAAAGGTAAATCGCAACTCGATCAACTTTTCATCTTAGACTTTCTTTTATCGGGCTCTTTTTTTTCCCCGGAAACACTGTCCAGGGCGGCAGCAAAAGAAGGCGAGAGTTCAGGCGACCAAGTGATAGATTAGCATCCCGTCACTTGAAGTCTCGAACCGTCTTCGAATCATGCATGCATGGGGGGTTTTGTTGCTGTCCGACCGCGGGTAAGAAGGAGGAAATCTGGTATATACTGTATATATATATATAACGTTATACATAAAAAAGAAAAACCAAAATGGATACGTCAACTCGGCTAAAAGTATAGTGATACTATAGTAGCGAACGCTCGAGACTTGCTGAAAACCAACACAACGACGACTCTCACCAACGCCGCATTGACGACGTGGACCAACCTAAGCTGCACCGTACCTACTAGTAGATACTACTACTAGGTAGAGGATTCCTTACATACCTACCCACGGTGGATATGCTTTGATGTGTTCTTGATTCTACCCCGCGTTCCAGATAACTGATCCAAGCTACCTCTCATTCAGGTGTACCTGATTGACTACCTGAGTTAAATCTTCTTTTCCCTCGTCCTACAACTAAAATATATACTTGGTACGGAGTACAACATCAGTAATATCAGAAACGTGGTGTACTGCCTTACATACCATTCACTACTCCGTACCGTGCACGATAAGCTGCTCCAACAAGCATTTTATACTATCCAAACTTTTGCTTGTTGGAGCGAGCCTCTTTCACGCCCAACATCAACGTCGACAATATATACAGTGGCTATGGTCTTGATATCGACTTGAATCTGCTAAGAACTATTCCACCAGTATTCACAAAAGCTGGTCGCTTCCATCGATACGCTACCACAATACGCTCCGTAAAGGACTACCCTTCACACATATACAGAGTACAATACAGAGTACATTACAGAGTACACGCTTGACAAAACAATCAGACACTGGATTTAACTCTTTTTTTCATGATCTTTGAATCAACGTACATATACACAGTGTTTTGAAGAGCAGTAGTTTCTATTTCTATTCCCCGCAAACAATGCTCAGGTTCATCGTTGTGTGCTTGTGCCATGTCAGATCTTGCTCTGCACTAACATGACAGCCAGGTCATTCACCAGCCTGTCACAATACCATTCCACGTACTGTTGATTGAAAGAAAAGGAACCATTCCCAGATCGAGGCACTTTCTTCCACTCTCCCAATGAATGTTGACGCCTGAACTCCAATGTGAATATCGACAAAGATCTATCAGGGTTACCCATAGGTTAAAAGAAGCCGGCAAAAAAAGAATGCTCCGTAATGCAAAATGGACAGTCAGCGCCGGCGGCACGTCCTATCAATCAGGTCACGAGAAGCACGATCCCCTCTACCAGCGGTTGCGGCCCAGCGGTGCGGCATTGGAAGCAGTGAAACCACCACGGCCACCGCGATGGCCGCCACGACCATATCCTCGACCACCACCGCCGCCACCGCCAGAGTAGCGCCCCATTTCCGCGAGACGAGGGTCGATGTTCTGCTTCGCTTCTTGCAAAATGCTCAACAAGTCGCGAGCTTGCTTAGCATCTGGTGAAAATGTCAGCGGCCCGCAAGGCAACAAAGTACGGGGAACAAAATACTCACTTTCAGTGGTGAAAAGTGTGATGGCGGTACCCATTCGTCCTGCACGACCGGTTCGACCAATACGGTGAACGTAATCCTCCGAATTGTTGGGATAATCATAGTTGAACACATGAGTAATGTCTCGCACATCTTGAAGTATAGGTTAGCAAAAAAGCCAATGGCAGTCTTACGAGGCGTTGGGGACCATATGTGGTCGTGTGAGCCGGAGATGCACATCACTCTCTCGTAAAACTCGGAGCATTATCCTTGTGGGTGTCTAATGTCCAATGTCCAATGTCCTGGTGTATCGGCATTCGTCTACGGTCCTTGGATGAGAATCCTGGATTTGCAGCTTGATGTGGTCAAGAAAAATGTTCCACAACCTACTCGTTTCAAACGTAGCAGACGTGAAAGCCAAAGAGCTGGAGCCTGGCAAACTGCAAAGGAATTCCAAGATTGTCCGCAGAAGGACCAGAGAGGGATCAAAAGCCTGGACCAAGTTACGTCTGTTTCAAAGAACGTAACGAGCAAGAGAGCGCGCACCATGTCACACGACGGCAATGGTAAGAAATGCAAAAGAAGAGATAAATAAGGAAACAAAGGGGGGGAGGGGGATTTGTTTGTTCATACCAATACCACGAGACGCGACGTCCGTAGCAACCATGATAGGGCTTTTGCCGTTCTTGAATTCGTTCAAAACCCAATCACGTTCGTTCTGTTGCTTGTCACCGTGAATTGCTGGACAGAAGTTAGCATTGCAAAGACTACCACAACAGGGGAAACTCACAAAGTGCAGGCCAGCCGTCTTGTCGAAGAAAGCGTGTGATGTCATCAGCAACACGTTTGGTTCCTGTAAAGATCAAAATCTTGTTGTTGCGATCTTCCATGATCTGCTCGAGATGTTTGATCATGCGATCACGTTTCTCGAATTCAGACACCACTTCAACGATCTGAGTAATGCGGCGATTGGCGGACAAATCCATGGAACCGATGTTGACTTGGATGAAGTCGTTCAAGAAGTCTGAAGCTAGCTGACGAACCTCCTTGGGCCAGGTGGCGGACCACATGCATGTCTGTCTGTCAGGACGAATCTGACCGATGATCTTTCGAATCTGAGGCTCAAAACCCATGTCAAGCATACGATCAGCTTCGTCGAGAACTAGGTAAGTGACACGACGCAAGTTTGTCTTTCCGGATTCGAGCATGTCGATAAGTCGGCCAGGAGTAGCAATGCATACTTCCACACCCCTCGAAAGATCACGAATTTGACCTCCCTTGGGGACACCACCATAGACACACGTGTTTCGAATGCGAGAAGACTTGCCAAACTTGGTCATTTCTTGCTGAATCTGAACCGCGAGCTCTCGGGTAGGCGCGAGGACCAGGACGATGGGGCCATCACCGGGAGCAAGGAGGGGCTGTGCGTTGATGTGAACAATAGCAGGAAGACAGTATGTCAAGGTCTTTCCGGAGCCAGTCTCGGCAATACCGACAACATCGCGTCCAGAAAGAGCCATAGGCCAGCCTTGGGACTGAATGGCAGTAGGTCGGGAGAAGCCTTGGGCTTTGACCTCAGACATAACATACGCGGGAAAGCCAGCCTCGTCGAAGGTTTCGACCGGGCGTGGGACATTTCGACCTTGTATGGTGATCTCCATCTTTCGGCGGAACTCGTCGACATCTCGTTGTGATCGATTTGTAACAGCAGGGTCTTCCTTGTAGAACGACTTCTCAAACTTGGGCAATGCAGCGAGGTCCCAGTGTTGTTGTTTTAGACCTGCACCCAAGTTGGACATTCTGTCACCACCGCCTCCTCCGCCAGAGTATCCGTTCGAGCCGCCATAACCACCCGAGTGGCCGTTCGAGTAGCCGTTGCTACCAGAGTAACTGCAAAAAGATATTAGTAATGGCCTAAATTGCGGAGGACCTGAAGGCTTGTTCGAGTCATCGCCCTGCGCAGTCGCATGCGCGATACGTAGGCTCATCCGCGAGCACGCCTTTCAGTACAAGATTCAAAGATGGCACACATACCCATTGGAATAGCCGCCGTCGCGAGACGAGCCATAGCCGCCACCGTAAGACATGAGGGGCGCCAGGTTGAAGTTTTCGGAAGTTTGAAGGTGAGAAGAGGCTCGGGAATGTAGAAAACTAGGAATTAAAAAACCTAGAGGAATGAGTTCACAAAGGTCAAAAGAGTAAGATGGAGAGGAGAGTGAGAAGGAGAAGGTGAAGTGAGAGTTGAATATTGAAGATTGCTTAAGTTGAGAAGGGGCGAGAGTTGAAATTTTAGAATCAAGGCAGTTGCGATAAGCCGCAGCCTATATATGGCAAGTCTACCGAAGGAGAAAATTTCTAGAATCAATGGAAAGTCAACTCTTAGAGCGGCAAGATCACTATACCTCTTACGGACAGCGACAGATTGTGCCCGAAGCCACTAATAGCCGAGTTCTATATGCTGCTCTCAAGTTCGACCTTGGTTTGCCCAATACCCACGCAAGGCATCATTAGAACTGTTGATAGTTCCCAGCTCCCCAGATATCGGCCATATCAAAGTCAAACAAAGTATCGGAGAAAGCATTAAACTGTCCTCCGATGGGTGCAAACGTGTCCATGTCGGGCATTGTAGGATTAGGAAGTTGTGCGCTCATTCCCACAAGAGCGCTGGCAGTGTTCATGGTGGCATCTTCGACTCCAACCGTCATCCTATCTGCTGGATCCTCCTGCCGATCCATCATGTATCGATGCAGCCCAGCTACACGGTCCGCGGTTTCTTGAGCGTGTACCTCTGGCGGCTTTTCGGGCGATAATTTTGACTGGAGAAGCCCAAGCGCACTGCTTGAGAGCCAGTAAGAGTGAAACCCTTGTCCTACCAATCGGATGCGATCTTCCATGGTGTCCACTCCTTGCTTGATGAGTTTCAGCGTTGTGTTTCTATCATGCATGAGATCTCTCGACTCCAAGGACATGATCATCACATGGCACAGAGCCAAAAGAGCCGGGAAAACGTCGTCCCGCATGTTGGTGAGTATGACGGCCGTGTTGGATCGCAGCTCGGCGTATATCCTGACCGTAGACAAAGCAGCATCTTGCCGAGCCAGCCTCGAGAAGAAATGGCACGATTGAGTTTCTCCCTGAGCCACGAGAGGTTGATGTATCTGCAGGAGAAACTCGTGAAGCAAAAGTTCGGATAGCGGAAGAGATGCAATTTTGGCAGCGTGATCGGTCCATTTCGGAATCTCATCCAAGTGTTTCCGGATCTTTTGGTCAAGATCGAGCGCGTGGTCGCTATCAATGCAATTGCGAACACTATTTATCCTGGAAAGAACGTCAAGTCTCAACGGGAGGTGCCTAAAGGCTAAGCACAAGAATGAGGTTCGAGTGAACTCGGTCATCGGCCGCGGTCTCGGCATCTTCTCGGTGGTCTGGTCAAAGTCTTCATCGTGAATGTTCAATGGCGCCAGGCAATCCCAATCGAGTGGGCCCAGGCTGGCGCACATGCCACGGTCAAGACTGGCTTGAATTTCGAGCTCGAGGATAGTGAACCACAGCCGGCGGCGCATTTCCTGATCAAAGGGCGAAATCTTTTTGCTCAGCAAAGTGGGTTCTCGGTGTAGACCGATAGTCATTGCGAGTCTCAGTAAGTGACCGGCAACAGTCCAAGACCGTTTCAATTTGATACAATTCATTTTCTTTGCCAGGGTAATAAGCACCTGGACTTGAAATACTTCGAGTGTCATGTGCTTCTGACTTTGCAAGTCAAGCCATGTTTCACAGACGTCGATCCATTTTGACGCAAGATCACGCTGAACTGAGCTTGGGCCGACAAAGGTATTTGGTCTGTCGGGTAACACTGTGTTCACCGCGGCACAGACTAGGAGAAGCTGGACAACGAACGCTGTTGAAGGCTCGTGCGATGCGATCCAGAACTCTTTGTAGCTGCGGAAGAATGTCGGCGCGTGAAGAACTCGGTAGGTGGTCTCAAACACTTCGAAGTAGAGCTGTACAAGTTGGTCTGTGGTGGCCTGGTCAGGTATAAATGAGACCAAGGTCTCATGGTCCGGTAGGACTATCGATGGTCTGATCGCCTGTCTTTTCTGCTTCCAGTCACTTCTCGCTTTTTGCAGTGTAGGGAGCCGATGCAGGATATCTTTGACAAAACCTGATAGCTCTTCAAACTGTAGTAGTAGACTGGCGCCATGACTTGGGCCCATGTACTGGGTCTTGAAACCGGCACCTCGTAGAAGAGCTCGTTCGGAATCTTGAAACGCGTTCTTATCACTGGAGAAACCTGGTAAACTCGGCCGACCGATGAATTTCTCCGAAGTTACGCGCGAGCGATTTGAATCCAGGCGAAGTTCCAGATCGTAGATGCGATCTTGAAGCTCTGATAATGACTTCGTTGGTGGTGGCCCTCGCTGAGTAGAGGATGAAGGGTCGTTACCTGCGTCGTCCTGGGGACGAACGTTGCTTGCTCGCGCTTTCGAGCGAGAATACCATACATTTGCCTCCTCGTTCCAGGATGCAACCGATGGTTCTCGTTGTTGATGCGGACTCTCATCAGAAGGAGTTGGGAGGCCTTCTTTCGAAGTGTACGACACATAATCACAACTGACACCACCTTTCTGGCAACGAATACAGGTCGGATAGGTTCTGTCGCATTTGACCTTTCTCCTGCGACATGCCACACATGACAGAGCCAAGCGGCGCCGCTTCTGGCCCATAATTGCCGAAGACTACAAAGACCGAGGATGTGGCCGAGGTGAATGAAGGCTGGATGGAGGGATCGCGCCTGACACAAGGCGCCGGAAATGTGACCAACACAGACTGTCAATGATTGGCTCGACAGAAGAAGTCTTGGGCTATGGAAGATACACCATCAATCAGACGGATCCGACGTCGTCGTCAGTACCAGGTCGTCGGCTTCTGTTGGTCGAAAGTGCTATGAGGCGAGGCCAACAGGGACATTGACAAGGGGAATTTCACCAGCGACAGAATCTGTTGATATCAACGCCGACGATGAGCGACATAGGAGACTAGGGATGAATCCTAGACAGGCAGACGCATTTCTTGACTGTGTCACTATCTTGCAGACTGCATAAAGCTTCACTGGGTAGAAACAGCTGGCGGACCTAGTGGAGATGGGAAGCCCGAACGTCAATAAGGCTGACTAAGTGAGGCGAGCGCTTTCGGCCGAACATTAAAGCCGAGCTGAAGTCATCACCTCAAGTTGCTTCCAACGAGTGTTGTGAGACTGAGTGTCCTATTGTCCGATCCACGAGCCACGGCCTGAGGTCCTTCGGATGGATATGCCCTCGATTTTCCCGAACCCCAGTTTTGCCAGACTTGCGAGCAGCTCTCCTTTTCAACAGAACAAGCGAGAGCCCGTCAACGTTGGTGGGCTGAAACAAACTCTGATCCGGAAGCCTCAGGTTCTTCTCCTTGTGCTTCATCAATGCGAAATGAATCACGCGTCGTACGATGCCTGCAATTTCAAGATCAGCTGTGGCTCGGATGCGGCTCTGTTGCGGGCATCACCATCTAATCTTTTGGCCAGACATCTGAATATGCTGGATGGCACGTGCGCTCTGCCTTGTATCCATAACCTTTATAGCCGTGCTTCAGTCTCCAGGTGATCAGTCCGATCATGGCCAGTATGACACTGACAGCTGCACCAACCCCTATGAATTGGACTGTATCTTGCATTGCGCAACGAAATTGGCGCTCTGAGGAAGGGTTTTCGGTCAGGGTTGTTGAAATGTGATGCGGGCTGGATAAGTCTATGGCGCACGAGAAGAGCCTCCTGGATCCTTGAGCAATGGTCTTCCTCGCCTTCGAGAATATCGCATTCGTTCAATATCCCCCGACGAAGTCACAGAGCAAACAAAGCAGGAGTGACTGGGAGGAGCTCTCGCTAACAATACATTCAAAGAGTCATCAACGAGACTCTTTGTTCACACCCCGACTTCACTGAAAGGAAATGTTTCTGAGCAAGCAATCCTCACTACAAAGCGTTACACAAGGCAATTTCAAATCCCCCAGCCGACCAACAATAAGCCTTTGAACTCAGCCATGACGTCCAAGGCGCTGATTACAAGGTCTAGAATAAGATGCTGTCCTTGTGTATTATCAGAACCTGCATCGTGTTGAGCCTTTACGATAGGATATAATGATAACCGACATGCCATTTTTAAGTCCTGGTGTCTGCACACCTTCACCTATCTGTCTAACACCTTCGAAAGGGCGATCCACAGCTCCACCACGGACACACTTGCTTCCAACCAGTCTCGTTCTAACAGAATACTGCTACTACATCTTACTTCAAGTTTCAAGCAAGTGCCTAATCTATCTCCGTCAATGCCCTTTCGAAACTGCTTCGACAAGTAGGGCCACCTACAGCTGTCAATTCAACAAGAAGGCCTATACTATATACTACCGACAATCGTTAGCACCGGCTCATCTCCAAGTCAACTGATTTCGAATTACAAGACCATCATCTGTACTCGCTAGTCAATATGGATGACCAGTTTGACCAGACTTCTCGGCCAGCTTACCTCCAAGTGCCGCAGATTGTCATCGCCGGTGCACCGCCGCCCTCTCCCGCCGTGAACCCCGAGTCGACACTAAACGTCGCAGAGCCAGCCACTATCATCAACTCCGCCCCTGATCACTTGCAGGTCAATGGAAGCGACATGATTCCACGTCACCATCACAACGATGTTGAAGATGCTCTTATGGAGGAGCTTCTTATGGAGAACCTTGTGGAGGACCTAGGTTTTTGCCATGACTTAGGTCTTCCATGCGGTCAGAATTTCTGCCTTGTTTGTGGACAACTTCAAGGCGATGTGGCAGAACCTAATGGTACATCTCAACCTGTTCCACCACCCCTCGATTTTACATATATACCAGAGGTTGACAACTTCCTGTCTCACTCACCCGCCCATCAGCTAGAGCCAGTTTTCCCACAGACTTCCCATGTCCCTGCGCCGTCTGCTCAGAATGCACCACTCCAAGACCACACGGGGTCTGCTCCTGTTCCAGGCCAGACCAGCTCACTCGACGTATACCTGGTCCGCGAACGAGACGTGGCTATTGGATACTGGAAACCTCACAACCCACCTCCAGGCCCCGAACGGCTCATGCCTACGGAGTTTTCGGACGACAAGCCTGACAAACCTGGCATAGATGCTGTACGGATTGGTCAAGTCGGGAATCCTGCAGAGGATGTGTACATTATCACGGAGCATGGCAAGTCGCTTGGTAGGTGGGTCGCGTGCTCCACCGCCCTCAAACAACGTATGCCTGTGAAATTTGATTTTCGCTACATGGAGTCAAATGCTATATATGAGAAGGCCAGAAAGGAAATGGAGGACCAAGTTGACAGAGCAAGACGGCAACTCGACCGACCAAACCGACAAGAGTTGCAACGAGAGTACAAAGGACAGTACCGAGCTGCAAACCGGAAACGCGTACGCGAGTACCACCGAGAGTGGCGTGATGCCAACCGGGAACACGTACGCGAGTACCAGCGAGCGTACGATGCACGACAACGACAGAACCGGAACACTATCGAGAGTACGAGAATACCAAGCACGACAACGACGGGCCGGGACCACTATCGACAGAACCAGAGGGAGTACCAAGCACGACAACGACAAACCTGGAACGCTATCGAGAGATCAGACCGAGAGTGGCGTAATGCAATCCGGGAACAATATCGAGAGTACCAGCGAGAGTAGCAAGCTGCAAACCGGGAACGAATACGAGAACGAGTCCGAGACCATCGACAACGATCACGACAACGACAAACCGAACGCGAAGCCCGAGATGTCTGCGCAGAACAGAAGATCAGCGTGATCGACGTGGTCAATCCGGAAGTTCTTTATCTGAGTCATCGTCGTCCTGAGCTGCGATCTTGCTCGCCCTTGCACCGACGCCGATACGCATCGATATCTATCTATCTACATGTGTATGTGTGTCACCCCTGCAACAGCAACACCGGTGTCGGCAGGCAAGGTAGGCAGACAGGTCATGTCCAAGGTAAGTCGAAAAAGGTAAGTCCATCCAGTCAGTCACTGAACACACCCGCTGAGACCACACCGTTTCCACGATCTCTTTTTTTTTCTGTGGTTTTGTTTGTTTCATCCTCTGTTTGTTCAAGGCCATTCTGTTGCTTTCTCTTTCACTTGAAACGCAACAAAAAAAGAAGGCCCGTCGCTCAAGCCTCACAAATATGAGAGTCCCCGCCCAAAGTCACACACACCAGGCTGGAATCAAAAGTAAGAAAACAAAACCCCCCAATCCGAGAACTTCAAAAAGCTAAATGAGCCCGGCGCGGTCCACTCCCAGCAACTGGCTGAGACGAGGCGCTCGAGGTTGTGCTTGTTCTTGACCGCTAATGCAACGACCGGATAAAAAAAAGGGGGGAAAGGTATGAAGTGCGGGTGTACTTGTATACTGTTGCCCTTTCGATTTCTGTCGCAACAACATTAATATTCTAGACAGCCGTTTAAGAGCAATAGTGATCCTATAGGAGTTCAAAAGTCAGTGCGTGATGTCAATTCGATTCCCCCAACTTTTACACCGACCTCTTTTGAGACCAAATTAGGTACATAAAGTGGCCTTTAAGTTCTTCGTTTTCTCTAATCTTTTCGGATTCCATTTCATAATACTCATACATCCTCTAGTCTAGGACACCAACTCCGAAATGGTGGAAAATACCCATATCTGTAAACCAGAGCCCCACGATCGTTTGCTTGTTCGCCAGTGGAAGTCAACTCGATGGCGATTGGAAGTATGTGCTCTCCCATTGCTCCCAAAACACATTACAACATGGCTCGTGCCAAACGCTGTGGCTCTTCAACATCATGATACACCTGAACCCCTCACCGTCGACTGATCCAACTCAACTTCTCACTAATCTTACTCGTAACATCACCCAGACTCATGCCGCCACTCGAACCACCTGACATACCCGTCTTGCCAGATTCGCTAAATCCGCTACCCAGGCCAGACTTGTGACGGCCGTGCTCGTCACCACCACCAAAGATGCGTTCAAACTTGGCCTGGATCCTGCCCTCAGCGATTGCGGACACAATATTGATCACACCGAACGCCGACGACCCAATCGCACGGAACAACGCCAGCGCAGCAACCGACCATAACAGGAATGTCAGATAAGTGTTCGACCCGAGATGCGCGCCAACGGGGTACGCTTCGGAGACCGCCATGGCCAGCACAGCGTTGCAGACCATGTACGAGGTCACCACATACGTGCGGACCGATTTGTAATAGTCTTCTTGTAGCTGGTTTTCGCTGACAGGCGGTGTGGGAACTTCGACTCGGTCACGAAGATTGCGTAGAGCGACGTCATATGCCGAATCAATATCGAGTTGTTCAGACGGCATTTCGACCTCGACGGTCCCAGAGCCGATTGCCTTTGCCGCACCTAGATCCCTATGCATTACATTGTCGCCCTTTGTACCCCAGGTGACATCGTGCGTATTGCAAAAGGCATACACCTGAAGTGTGCAAATGTATGATGGCAAGAGGGCAAAATATTGCGCCGAGCTGGTGAACATGTGCCAGGGATCGAGGTACAGGAAGGACATGAGGAAGTACAGGCCGATCGTGCTGAGTGTGCTGACGATGAGATTGGTGAAGATGTTATTACCAAGCTTGTACGAGTCGTTTGTACCGTGGGCGGTGAGCTGCTTAACGACGATGTACAGCGATGCAAATGTTGTGTAAGCCATGATGATAGAGAACGTGACCATCGTTCCAAGGAAGAGTTTCTTCGCGCCCTGAGGTCTGTTGCCCAAGCTGAGGATGAATTGCAGACAGATCAGCAGCACACAGACGTAACGGAGGACGACGAAGATGTATTTGCCGATGTGGTGGCCGAAGGGGTCCATTTGTGGATCCGCCAATGATCCAGCGATGAAGTAGAATGTTAGGTAAAAATTGGCGAGAGAGAAGAATGTAAAGAGGAGTGAGATAAGTTGGTAGATAAACTCGATGTGTAGAAGGATTTTTCGAGCAAGAGTGTGATCAGTCTGCCAGATTTGTTTGAAGTGGACCAAGGAATAGACTGCAGCGAAGAAGGCACCATTCAGCCAGCGACGTCGCTGCGAGACAAATTCGGGGACGGCATCTATGAAAGCATTAGCGAGTATGATGGTAACAAGGGTAGAGTCTCTTACCAGGGACATCAGTTTCGCCATAAGCACTCTTGACGAACTTCAGCACCCACTGTTCACCTCGTTTGGCTACGAGCTCCCAACATAGAATTCGATCTTCGGCGAGATACATGTTCGCAGTGAACACGTCAGCATCTCGACCGTGAAGGGTTTCTCCTTTGAAATACTGGCTTAGCGGACCGTGGCCACTAGGATCGTTTTGCAGGGCGTAGTATCGATATGCCGAAAGTGCGCCAGGCAACACAGTGATGTAGCCAAAGACCGATTCCAGCGGCTTGTCCAAGATATTGCTCATTTTGTACTCGAAATTCTGCGAAGCAACCAAGGGATTGAGCAAGCCCATCCATCCTTTTCCTTTGTCGGCTTTGATCTCGCCCGCAGCCCCGGCGACGTTCGAGTCTTGGTCGAATGCTTTCCAGAGGTGGTACAGAGCCTTGGAGTCTGGTTTCGTGCCCACATCGAGGAGGATGCAGACGTTCGGTGTCAAGGCGCGTCCGAATGCATTGAAGAACCACCTGTGAGAGTTGAGCTTTTTCTTGTTCTGCTCCTTCAAGCAAAAGATCATCTGACAGGGGACAATTCCTTTCTCGGCGCCCTTGAATTTCATGCCTTCATCCAACGAAACTTGTGTTGTGTACTCGTACACATGTGCCGTCACCTCTTTCTTGTTGACCACGTTCTTGGCTATTCCATCTTGGTAGACACCAAGAGCAGCCAAGGCATTCAGAGTTCGTGGATGGACCTTTTGTCTGCCATCTGCAATGACACAGACGACGATTTTCTGCCACCCGTCTTTACCCCAAGTTCTAGATTTCGTCCGTGAACAGAAATGGCTGATATTTCTCATGATGCCGTGCATGGTCCTGGTGAATTCGATTTCGCCTTCGTTGTACATGGTGACACATATCAGCAGTTCGGTCTCGCGCATCGTCACGCCAAAGTTTTGGCGAAGTTTGTAGCCTTGTACCACAAAATCGTCGGGGTCGCAAGTGACGGCGGTATACCGCATATGCGTGAACTCTCGTTCATCTCTTCGAGGTAAGAAACTGTGCAGGATGGTCGGGATTTTGCACTCTAGAATCAATTCTCCGTTGATCAGTCGGACCTCCTTTCGTGTCATCTGCGCTTCTCGCAATCCACGTCGGTCTTGCTTTCCTTCTGGGGCTGGCCCGTAGTAGCCGGTCTTTTCATCGGCAACATCGTCCTCTTCCGTAAATGTGGATTCACTTGTGTATGAGTGTGCAGATTTCAGACTCATCCTAGGGTCGTGGTCAGGCATGATCGAAGCACCATCACCAAAGACGTCGTTCTCTGACCCTGAGTCGGGAATAGGTATTGTTGTCTCGGCTGCTCCACCTTTTACAGAGAAAAGAGGTGCTGGTGGGAGGGGCCTTCGCGGACTTCCGCCATATTGAGACGAGGGTGTGCCTGGTCGAGGACTGCCATTGAGGTCTGCAGGTTCATAAGAAACGCTAGAAGCTGTGGTTCTCGCCCAATCGGTCGATATGCGTGAAGGAGTGGAGGGTCTGATCGGAGACCGGTTATGGGCGGCGGGAGGAGGTATTGAAGGGGGCCGACCAAGGCTTGAACCGGGTCTGGAGCTGTATGCCGTCGAAGCTGCTGGGCGATGGTATCTTTCGGGAGACCCTCGAGCTGAAGGGGAAGCTCTATTGGAAGATGAGTTGTCAGCGTTAGGGTTCTTTCTCAGGGTAACAGTAGCTTTGAGCGTGGGAGCTCGTCCAACAATGGTATAAGTATCGCGGCTGCAATTGAGGCTTTCCTCTGCCTCGGCAATGAGAGACGAGACGGGAGTCGCCAGTCTTTTGTCCTGGGTAGGGGACTCTTTGGGAGAATCATTCCATTGCACATGCGACACCTTGGGACGGGCGACGGGTTTGCGATGGGGGGATCGGGTGTTACGGCTCTGAGAAGGTAAGCTGGGAGAGGTCACATACGATCTGTAGTCATCTTGGACTTGGGGAAGCATTCTGAGGGACGGGTTGTTTGATGGAATGCTACTCGAGTGCTCTTCCTCGAGATTTTCGTTCAAGTAAGACGGCGGTCCATCTGCGTAGCCTGGAGGCGGACGGGTAGGAGTTTGAGATCCGTCCATATTGTATGTGAGTGAGATCGAGAGGTTTGTTTACTTGAGAATAGATGGAGGGATCAGATCAGAAACGAGTCCATGCGCGCAAAGATAGTCAGTAGCCAAGGACAGATACACCTGGCAAATCCAAAAGGTCTCAGTGGAGGAGGCGAAGCACTTTGTCTGCCATTATGGAGCGGGGAGTGTCAATGCGCGATTAACGACTCTGAAAGTTGATTTCGTGGAGTTTGGGACGTCGGCCGGGCAACCAAAACCATGAGAGGGAGAGACAGCCTCGCAGCCTCGTAGCCTTGCGGAGCCTCAGCCTTGCCACCACTCCAGCCTTGCTTCTTCCATCAACGTCGTCCGATGAACACATCCATTCTGTATGCCACCATTGCCTTGACATGGAGACGTTCGCCCATATGCCACACTACTACTCGTACTCTTTGACAGTCAACCACCTTTGATCCACACTACTCCACAAAGCTTTCTTCGTTCCCAAACAATGGCGCCAACCTCAATGCACCACCGCCTTGTCCGCTGTACAAGGTGCTCATTGTACAAGCTCGGCCTCACCGGCCCCGGACAATGCAAAGAGTCATCAACACAAAAGACCAACAGTCTACACTGTCCCATGTCGTTGTTCTCACATTCCGAAGCTGTGATATATCTACCTGATCCGAGTCCTAGCGACGTCGTCCTCGGCCATGTACTACTTCATCACTCTGAGCCGTCACCTCACCGCCGCCTTTCAATCAAGCGAACCCCTTCTCTGCGGCGTTACTAAGAAAGCAAACAGAACCCTCCTCGGACCAAGCCGAAACGCAGCTGCTCTCAAGTCACTCAGATCCAGAAAAACACAACCTCCTAGGTAAGAAAGTCCCAGAGTAAGCGGCCCCCCCCCCCCCCCCTTCCTCTTCAACATGTGTCAGGTATACCTCGAAGTCCACAACTGCGGTTGTGAAGGCAAGCAATACCTATACTACTGCGCGCTGCCGTCGGCGTATTGCCGCAGCCACCCCCAGAAGGTACGAGTAGAGTCCAACTGCCCGAACCATTCGAGACTCAAGTCGCAGCACAAAGGCCGTCGAGACTCGCACCCTGCGCTTCGCTGCCACGAGTCTGATTCCTCGTACACAATGAACGCCCACATCCGCGACGTCCGCGACCTGTCCGACATGCCGGCAGAGTATAGCCGTCGCGACTCGCAGCCCAAATGCCTCAGCACGCTACGCAATGTCCGCGACAACCCTCACATTCCCCAATTCGTCAGTGACGCCGGTGTTCGCAAGAACAACCACTCGCGCCAGGCCGACGTCATTCGCCAGAGAGAACTCAAGGAGAAATGCGAAGAGTTGCTACGGTCGGGCCGGTTCAACACAGACTCGATCCGCTACCATGAATCATTCAGAGAGTTGTGCGAGCGTGATCAATGGTCGTTGTTGTATGACTATCAGAACGGCCACCTTGCGAGAACCTCTGGAGGACGCGGTGGAGGCGGAAGTAGCGGCAGATCGAGATGCGTCGTCATGTAAGTTGTGACGTTGCACTTCCTCCTCCGTCGTGTTCGAACATCAGCACTACCCATGAAGTTTCTCAAGATCTGTGACGACAGGGCAAAGGATTCCGATAAAGGTGAAGCAGCAAACCGCTGGACACAGATCTTGGTTGACGGACCGAACTAGAGGTCGTGTCTTTCAATGAGCTTCTCTTTCGCTACCGTCATTCACTGCAGCAAAGTTGTACCGAGGCATGGCGTGTTTTCCGTTTTTCTCAGCAGTTCGCAAGTGCTTTCCCCCCCCTCTCCAGAACTTCCACCTCGGATGGATTCTGTGGAGCGGAAGAAGATGCAGCAAGCCACCTACCAGTGTTGGATTTAATATGGATTAGTTCTAATCAGCTAGCTTTATACATACACCCGTAATCTCGTTCCCGTTCATTCTGTATTTCAAAACCAACCCTACTTAAGGTAGATTACTTAGTATTAGTGCTGACGTGAAGGAAAGAAAAGTACCGACCAAAAAAGACTCGTCGTATGACAAAAATGTCACAATGGTTCTTTTTCTACGTTACCCAACGAGAGATATATGATTGAGCCAAGTTTATTCACGTGAGTAAATAGGTTTCTATCCTAGCACGATCTTCTCCCAGGCCACACCTGGGTCGAGAGACTTTGCCAAGGAGCTCTGGAGGATCTGCCCGACGCCCCGTCTCTGCCACGCGCCGTCGACGAATCGTATCAGCATGACCCAGAGGACGGGCTCTTCCGCGCCTTCTCCTTCACAGTACGCGTCGAACTCCAGCGGAAACTCGACCTTGTGGCACTCGCCCAGCACGGCGAATCTCTCCACGTTGTCGTCCTCGAGCGACAGCTTCTCGTCGGCGTAGAGCACGCCGCAGTCTTCGTCGTCGCGGCCGCCGACCTCGTACGTGCGCGACCCGTACTCTGCAAACGTCGGCCGCTCGGCGTCGTCAGGGCAGTGGCCATCATCGTCCTCGTCTCCGCCCTCGGGTATGGTCTTCAAGCGAAAATGTGCCGTGGCCGTGTCGAACACGAGAAGGGGATACTCTCGAACGGGCAGACTGACACCATCCGACGCGACCGACAGAGCGGCAGGTCTGGCGGCCAGTTGTTGTTGTTGTTGACGATGATGGTGGTTGTGGCGGTGGCGGTGGTGGTCGAGCTCCGAGTCTGCGACTCCCGGCAAGGCTCGAACCCAGTCGAGGCCATCTTCTTCCGCGTCGACGGTGCCATCGTCGGGGTGTTTCCGCACCGACACCGGCCTCGTCGGCTTCCATATGGTTTCAGGTTCGTCAAAATGTCCATCTGCGCAGCTCTCGTTCTCGCTCTCCTCCAAGGGACCCACGGCTCCAAAGCTGATCCAGAACTTCTCCAGAGCCTTCTCGAGCTCCTTGTCCTCGTTGAAGTCGTTGTCCTCGTCCGCCGAGTTCATCAGATCCATCCGATCAAACGGGTACCACGACACGTCTCGTCCTTTCCACCCTGCCCAGCTCCAACTGGGGAACCGCTCGCGTCGTGTCGGGGCGCGCTCCCCCGTGTGCAAGAACAGCAGCGCCAGGGGAAAGATCCTGGCCGGCATGCCTTGCACGATGTCCGTGTTCGCCCTCGCGGCCACGCGACCCAGGATGCCCGCCATCGCACGGAGCGCGTCGTTCTCGTCCGTCAGGTCCCGGCCCCGGTATATCTCCAGGACCTGAAACAGGAACGAGTACGTCGCGACGTCCCTGGTGCCCAGGTCCATGTTGTCCCGGGCGAACGTCAGCACGTCCAGGTCCTGGCCGCGCGGTCTCCCGGGCTCCAGATCCGTCCAGAGCTCCTCGTACCACGTGCGCTGCCGGCAGCGGAAGTAGGCCTGGTTGTTGACGAACGTGATGGTCCGCCGGCTGAGGTAGTACTCCTGCAGCGTCCAGCCGCGCGTGTTCCACCTGGACCGCCGCAGGTGCCGGTCGACGGAGTGCACGCGCATGATGTCCAGGCCGGGCTTGAGCCGCTGGACGTCCTGCCTGACGCTCCTGGCCAGCACGCCGACGCCCGGGATGCCCGTGTTCGCCGACTCGGTGTCGGCGGCGATCAGGGTGACGTACGACGACTCGTACACGAGTTCCATGTTGGCTATGCCGCGAAGCAGGTCGCCGGGGTCGTCCTGGATGAGGCAGAGAGAGTCGAACCAGAGGTAGCGCAGGCCCATGTTCCTCGTGAAGCTGAACAGGTCCCGGATCGTGGCGGGCGTCGACGGCGCCGCCACCACCAGCTCCTCCAGCGCGCCGGGGACCGCGAACGCCTCGACCTGGCTCTTGAGCAGCTTGGGCGGGCTCGCTCCTCCCCAGACATAGCTCAACGCCACGTACCTCTCGCCCCACGCGATGTCGACGAGCCTCATGTCCTGCACGTCGACGACCCGCAGTCGCGGCAGCAGCTCCGACCGTCTCTCGGCCGTCCTGGCGTCCTCGAACTGCGTGCACACGCCGCGATGCGCGGGTCCCGTGTCGCAGAGGTGCAGCCACTTCCTCATCCGGTCGTAGTCGGGCTTGTCGCCCACGACCCGCCCGGTTCTCGACCCGCCGTCTTCGCTCCTCGCCACGAGGACGATCTGCTCGCCGGGCAACATCAACGACCCGATCGCCTCCCCGTCGGGACTGTCGCCGGGGAGCACGCGGAGCCACAGATACTCGTCCTCCTGTTGCGCCGAGACCTGGACGACGAACAGGTCATCACCGCTGCGGCCCGAGTGCGTGAGCAACTTTGGAGCAAACTGTGCCGCTCGCCTCACGAACACGCAAAAGGGACACCGGTCGCGCGATCGAGACAGAACCTCGTCCTTTGTGCCGATCGGTATGCCGCCCTTGCCGTAGATGTTTTGGGCTCCGTGCCCGATGAGCAGATCTGTAAACGACCGTCGAAGCTCGCTTTCCGCGCTCGGCACCTCGAACGTGCTGAGCAATCGGCAGAATTGACCATTGCAGAATTCCTTGTCCCGGAATTGAGATAGTCAGCCTTGAAAGGTCCGTTGGGACGGACGTCGTCCGGAGACTCAACAAACAGTACGTACGTACAGGGGTGCTTACATAGTCTACCGAGTCATTCGCCTGCAGTGGGTTTGCGGGCATGGATGGAGTCGTGCCTTTTGATCAGAGTAGGAAAGAAAATATGCTTGACTCGGGGAGGGAAAATGGCTGTATAGCTATTGAAATTGACCGCCATCCGCTGAAAAAATGTATCATACGGACGGTCGCAAAGTGGCTAGAAGACCTGGCCTGACGATTTGGAAAAACAGCCCAGCGAAACGTGAACCAGGAGCAAACAGTGTTTCAAAATTTTGGCCCCCAATAACTCTGCTGGGGCTGACTGACCTCAGGTGGTGTTCATGGTATAGCATTACTTGTACGATCCGATGGTGCCTTTAGACTCTCATAAATAATCAATATCCAAGGACTAGATCCGGACATGTACGACTTGCCTTGGGGGAGGAGTCCATGCGCTTTTGACCTGTTCTTCATGATAACTTTTTACAAAGCATCAGTTACTCTCTTCACGGTGGGACGTCGCGAGGCTAAAGGTTCGTTTGTTGTATGTTGTTGCTTGCTCATAGTTCGATTCCGACTCCACGTAATGCTTCCACCGCCCAGTCTGGGGTACCTTTGGCCCCAAAATAGTTGGCGAAAAATGTCCGTGCAAAGTCAGGATACCGATCCTCGAGGATAGCATTTCGTGCCCCCCGCATCAGAGAGAGAAGATGGTGTACATTGTGCATGGTCAATCTGTGCACAGGAAAGATTAGCAACGGGGCCTTGGCCATGAATCACACAGTACATACAGATGGGCTCCGACAGTCTCCTTGGCTGCTAAGTGGTAGATGTACGCTCTCGAAATACCCAGCCCGCCGTCCTCCTTTGAGCGGCAGCAGGTACAAGTGCAACCTTCTTCCACTGGGCCAAAGTCTTCAGCGTAGCGGGAATGCTTTAAATTCAGCACGCCTCGGGATGTGATGGCATTGCCAAAGCGCTGTAGAGTGCCACACACATCAGCTGATAAGGTTACAACGGCTCCCTCAAAGAACGTGACTTACGGCAGTGCGCGTTGGCCAAACGCAGTCAAACATATCCGCTCCAAGTGCGACAGCAACAACGATGTCCTCCGGATAGCCCTGATTTGAAGGTTAGAGTAGACCTGCAAAGGCGCTCTCGTACGTACAATCCCCATCACATATCTCGGCTTCTCTTCAGGAAGGAGGTCGGTGCAAGTGTCGACCCTGTACCAGTCAATACTCGGCAGAGACAGCGTTTGCCCTGGAAGCCTTACACTTTGCAGAAGTCCGCTTTGGCCTCTCCTCCAGAAAGCCCGCCTATTGCTATACCCGGAGTATCTCTCTTGACCATCTCCTCGCAACACTTTCTCCTCATATCAAGGTCCAAGCCGCCCTGAATGATGCAGAATAGGTTCTGCTTCTCCGGGTACTTGTGGGCGGCTATGCACCGATCAAGCCATCTGACCGACCGCTCCATGGCTTCTTTCATGCGAGCATGATCTGGCGAGGTGGTCTGAATGACATCGTCCAGCTGCATCATGATGTCTGACCCTATGGAGTTCTGCAACGACATGGAGTGTTCAGGCGTGAGCAGCCTGGTTAGAATGGTTAGCTCAAAATTGCTTGGTTCCCAGAACACCATACATTGGACTGCCGTCATGCGGACTGAGGAATCGTACTCCCTCCTCGGTAATTCTTGCTAATTTGAGTAAAGAAACCATCTGAAATCTTCACGATCCAGTTCAATTGATCAGTCATGTCATCCTTTCGGCGTATGAATCGGTGCCCACCAACCCACCACTGTCAGTCAGGATATTGTGATCCCATCCTTGTAATTTGTGAGCACCACCAATGGCGTCAAGCACCGCCTGCCCCGGCTTCAGGCCTAGATGATAGGTGTTGTTCAAACATAGCCTACAGCTCGTCTCTTCCAGTTGTTCGGGCGTCAAGCCCTTGAGGGACGCCTGTGTTGCGACCGGCATGAATATGGGCAGGTCGACGGGGCCATGAGGGAGGCATAGGGTCGAGGCACGGGCTTTGGACGTCTAGACACAAGACATGCATGTCAAAAATCTTGCCTGACCGATCTTGCTGTTGGCTCGCATACCGAACATCGCGCTTTCAGCTCAAAAGTCAACGCCGAAGGCTTCGTAGAGGAAGACGTGGATGTGGACATGGCGACGACTGGTCTGAATGCATAAGGTCGGAAAGCAGAAGGCGGCTTCGATCTCGCGGCGGTGAGAATGTCAAATCGCAGTCTAGATGTCCGAGAAGCCAATTGCATATGAGGATCTGAGGCGGATAAGCAGTGGCCCGAGGGTGGTTCTGGGATGTATTTTACAGGACGGTGCGCCTGGCGAGGTACTCAATCGACCTTCCGGCAAAAGAAGAGAGTAACACGGAGAAAGGGAGCCCGCGGAAAGAAATGGCAGCAGCGTGTAGGCGTGTAGCCGGAGGATTTGCACAAGAGCTTCTTTTCTATTGGCGGAATATGCGGCGCTTGGCCTTTCGCCGTCCACAGCCCTGGGGGCAGTGAACAGAGCAACAAACAATCCTTTCCTCATGCTCTTCTGTTGCACGACATGGACTTCATGGTGCACGACTACATCAGAGAGTGTCTCCATAATTTTACGGCGGTCAAGACGGCCAGTGTGGCCCCAGAAGAGAGCTTCCCCCTGCTAGTCGACATCTACGAGCGGATGGAGACGACGATGAAGATGGTGAGATTGATCAGAAAAGCTGATCGTTTATTTCTCTATCGACCTGAAGAGCGGTCTAACATTTCAAGAAGGGCTGAGATCTTTGACTTTTTGACAGGTGCCTCCGACTTTGCCAACCTGTCCTTCGAATTTCAAACCCGTCCTCACTCAACATCTCGTCGTTGAAGGAAACAAGGAAAAAAGTTGCCAATCCCATAGAAGATGGAGTATTCGTACTCACTTCGCCGTAACGCCATCGCAATGCTGATCTGTGAAACCTCTCCGGGAGCTCCTTGCCCTGGGAACAGGCAGCAAGGCAATCGTGCCATAGCTCTTCGCCCTCCCACCAGCCCTCGAATTGCACGTGCAACCGCCCGCGTGAAGAACATCCCCGACAGGACCCACTGTGTCTTCACTGCATAGAGCCTCAGCGTCTGTAAACACTGCCGTTGAAGTTTCCTTGTTGACGGTAAGTGCTTGAGCCAGCTCCGGTGAGGGAAGGACTTCGAAGCCGGCTGCAGGCGACCTCAGCAGCATCTTCTTTTGCATTGTGCAGGTACTGCCCGTCGTACCAATATCGAGCTGAGAGGTTTTGTCCCTGAACGGTGACCGTAGCAGACCATGCTGTCCGCCCACCTGGAGAATAAGGTCAGAACGTTTGGCTTATCGCTCGGAGCTCGAGAAGAGAAGACGATCTTGGAAGAATGATCACCGATGACTTACCGCGACGGTCGGAAACAATGTTGAACAGAGGAGCTGGCAGCCTCAGTCTGCGGCATTCGGCTGTGGGTGTTTCTCAGCTAAGTTATATTCACAGCCGGTGCTGATCCCTACCTGCGAGCTCCTCCTGCCAGGTCTTGTGTGTCTTGGTGGACATTTTAGTAGGCTGAAGTGATGTATGGTGGCAAGGGGATAAGGTGTGGCCAGGTGGGTCGGGTCGTGCTGTATGACAGAGGAAGAAGGAATGCGAGACGAAGATATACTATCGCCGCCGCAAAAGTTGCTGTGAATTGTTGGAAGAGTGATCTGGAGCAGAGCGTGATGTCGCCGGGTCTGCTGGACTTCTTATACGCAGCTGCCTCTTAGTGACAGCTCACAAATTTAATATCAAACAGGTGCAAGTGTCGGAATTGCACCTCACCACGAACGATGATGGATAGTTGCAGGGGCTTCGGCATTCGCATTCGCTGGACTTGTTCTGCTCGAAGTCACCTAGGGCGCATCATTCCCTAGGGCAGCAATGAATGACAGGAGTACAAATGGCGAAGTGCCCTTGTCTTGTGCAACACAGATTGAGATCTGAGATCTCGTGATACTGTGTGTACGATCAACGAAGGCGGCCCTGACATCGTCTATAGCGTTCAGGTGGCACAAAAGCGAAGGGCATGCAAGGAGGCGAGGCGTCACGGCGTGGGTAGAGCATGGGATGGCAAAGAAGGCAGAGCAAAGCAAAAATTGAAGCAACCAACCTCGTCCAGCCAGGGAGCGCCAACACATCAGAGGCCCAGTGTCGCGCCGCCAGTGGCCAGGCAGGTCTGAGTCCGAGTGATGATATGCATGATGTCGTAGAGACGGCTAGCCGTGAAAACAACAATAGGAAGGGCTCCCAGGAAACTAAAAGCCCTGAGAATGCCGGCAACCATGGTCGAAGTGGGGTGAACGCAGTATGAAGCCGAAAGTCAAGTCGTAGCGGGCTGCGAGATAGCGGAGCTGAGCTCAGCGCGAACGTAGTATAGCATATTTGCCATCGGAATAGGGACGGACAATGGAACAAAGGACAAGATAGAACAAAATATGTAGAACGCCGGCTTATATTGGTCTCTGCCGGGTCTGAAAGCGAGGCAGAAGGCACAATTGGTTGCACTGTTTTCAAGGCATATGGCAAGGACTGATGTTGGGCAGCAACGAGCCGGACATGCAAGCGAGTCACAACTTGGGGTTTATTTCGACCAGCTCCTCGCAGTGAAAGGATGGTGGACACTCGGTCGCCATGGACACTGACTGTAGATGCACACAGGTAACCAGAGCAAGCGACTCTACTGAGAAAAGTCGACCCGGGCTGGCGAGAAGGGCGAATCTGGATAGTCCGGACGGTAGACAGCGCATTAGTCGATCGAGGATGTTCGCATCAAAAGGAACAGGTCGGAGGGGGACCCGGGTCAGCACGATTCCTGGTCGGGAAGAGCGCCCACGCATTAGTTCTCATACAACACAGAGGTCACGGCCAGCTGTGGCCTTGGGTGCGGAGTCAGGGTCATCGTGCATGGAACAGGAGCACCGAGAGCAATGAGTGGCAGAAGATGCCGAGTCGAGGAGGCAACGGAACAAATGGAGAACACGACGCATCCGAGAAATTACTGTGGTGCCGGGTCTGAAAGCCTGGCTGCGTACAGGTTCTGTGTGAAGAGTTGGTGGAAAGGAACAAAAGAAGCCAACAACAAACAAGAGACTGGCACAAGATCCGCATTCACCAGTCGGAATCCGAGCACTTCCTTTTGCTTTGTTTTTTGATTGCTTCATGGAAACATCACCAACCCGCCGCCAGCCGGAGGGAAACGATGCAAAGTATCGTGTCTCTCGTACAGATGGCCGCGTGCCAAGAGAGCTAGGCTACATAGAGTATGGCGCCACTTCGTTGATATTGAGGCTCGCCCTCCAACCCTTCTCCCTCCCGTGCACAGCTACCTGTACAGTGTGCTGTTTTCTGCTGCTTGAAACATGTCCTCGATCTGTGTCTGGCTGCCCCTGAACGGCGCCAAAGCCTCGCACACTGTTGCTACACAATGCTGTCGGAAAATGATAGGTATCGCGCTCCCTTCCACGCCAATACGCTCCTACCGTCCATCCCATCAATAGAGGCGGTGAACAACCTTCCACTTGATGACAGAGGTCAAGATAGAGACAGAGCAGTGGGTGGCATGGCACCATTCTAGCCGAACTAGGCTTATTGCACTTCCTATATGCAGGTCGAATAGCTATGTTCTTCTCCTGACCGACCATTATCCCTGGTCGTTCAAATCATCAAGCATGCGCTCATGCACGCATCCGTCAAAAAAGTGTAATGTACAGAATGAACAGTCTCTGCAGACGGCAATGCCACACCTCAGACTTTGCCGACGCACAACCGCTTCACGGCCGACAGTCATATGCAGCTCACACCGCCACCACTGTGGTGAAACACCACTTAAGAGGCAACCAATTCCTCTTCCATCTCAATTGGAAGGACAGAAATTCGATCTGATGTACGCTTTGTTGTTGACTAGGGGCGGTGAGCCTCATGCCAGTGTTTCCTGATACAATCATCGGTGAGCGCCATCAAACCAGTTGCAATAAGCACATCGCCAAGATCGCTGGAAATCTGTTTCTCAAGAATCCGCATACTGCATGGTGGCACCCAGCTTCCTTGAGCAGCTTCTTTTCGAATTTGTCTTGATGATAATCTGTCGGGGGTGATGTGTGCAATACAAGCTCCGGTGTTCAGGTTGACCAGCTCGAACGAGAACACAGACTCCATGCCATCTTGGTACACGTTCTTTCTCCATGTGTACCGCTCACCCCAATATTCGAAATCGTAGAGCTTACCGTCACCTCTACCGCTCCGATCCAACTCCACTTGGGCATAGTTGGAGAACTCGATCCTGATGGTATCGGTGGGCACGGTTGCTTCAATATCTGCCTGGGCGGCGAAGAGTTCGAAGTCGTCGTCTGATCCCTCTTCGTCCACTTCGGGAGAGGGTCTAGGTCGAGGCTTTTGTGCTCTGAAGCTCATTTTACGCAAGGCTGTCGTCAATGGATGCCTCTTGAATGTTGTTGACGGTTCGGCAACAGGTTTTAGATATTTCCTCTTGGTACTGCAGACTTCTCGCCCTGACTGTCTTTGATAGCGGCGGAGCGAGAATTGACGGTCTCCGAGGTCATACATGCGTAGGTGGAACAGGGTCAGCTTCGCCTTTTGCCCTTTTGAGAGAGGTATTTCAGTGTCTGCGCGGAGATTGAGATTTCCATCGGGGCTGGTGTCGTCGTGTTGGATGAGGATCCTTCTCGTCGACGGAAATAACTCTGCAAACTCCTTTGGAGTACAAGCAATGGCATCGGGCTGATAGCAGAGGTGTCTGGTGAGAGGTAATAAGCACGGGCCCTTCAAGGAGTCTGATTCTCTCTCCGAGGCAATGGTGGAAGCATATGTCTCGGTGGATGATCGAGGGTCGACATTATCGTTCTGTTCGACGACCGCTGTGGTCTCGACAACGACATCTTCCGCACAAGTCTCGCTGTGTTTGGTCGTAGGTTTCGTGTAGCTGTATGAGGTATTGCTGGTATATTGGGTACGACTTGATCGACCGGATAGATCAGACTCTTGGCTGCAGGTGGATGCGGAGCTGGCGGAGGAGCAAGAGTCTCTGGTAGTCCTGGACCTGACCAGGTAATGTCGTGGCATGACTTGAGCTGTATGGGTGCTGAAGAACTGCAAAAGAATTATGATGGTTTCCGTTCGGAGGGTGAAAATGTTCTATGGGCACAATGATGACGATACAGGTAGATTTAGGGGGGCTTGTTTAATAGAAATATTTGATGAGAAGTAAATCGAACGGAAGCTGCCGAGGAATAAGCATCTTCCAGGCCATAGCAAAACAAAGCAGAAGGTTGCAACGATTGGTGGTGGTGTACAAGAAGTCGACAGCCGGCAGTATCAACCAAATCACTCCACAAATGAAAGAGAGAGAGAGTGCGTGGAGGTATGGAAGGCCTTTTCGGGTCAAGTCGTGTCTGCTCTCACAAGCACCGACGGAGGCGCAGTAGGATTCGTAGTGATTTGCTGAGCAGAGGTGCACATTCCAAGTTGCACCTAGAAGAACACCACGGGAGTCGCCGGGCTCGTACCGTCGGCGGATTCTTGTTCTGGACCCGCCCGCCACCAGCGTTTGATCAATGTGAGTGCGCCAACAGAAGTGTCTCGAAGTGTAAAACGAGGCCACCATTCCCGAGTGGTATGGAGGCTTCCAGACTCACACACATGTGAGCCGTGTGGTGTATTATTCGGGAGTGCGAGTCGCAAATCCGCGCCGTGGCATCGGACAGGTAGCCACGCTTTCGCCAGTCCTGGCAAACCATTCTCAATTCTCCGCGATGTGGTGGCAAAGCCGAGGGCCAACGGCAATGCCTCGAAGACCCTAACAACCAATTGCACCACCATCGTGCGGGTAGAGGCGACGGAGGATTCTTAATCGATCGTGGCAGGGGTCCGCTCTTGGGCAGCAGTGTACAAATGGCTCTCTGTCAGACAGAACGGCCCTCGTACGATCACGAGCTGCTCGTCGAGAGTCAGCACGGGATTTGCTGGCAAACACGCCGTGAAGACTCACAGGCGTCGTCACCCGACGCTTGCAGCTTGCGTGGTGATTCTCCGTACTGCCGGTCAGACAAAATGTGCGCTGAGGTGATGGCGAAAAAGTTTGACGGAGAAACGGCTCGCAGAGGAATTACCGCACACCATTGACCCTTGAGGTTAGTGCCCGAACGCCTAAATCAACCCAGGGCATTGGCAGCGCGTGTCGAGTCTCGACTACAGTAAGATTTGGCAGCGTGGCACCACTCGCTCCCATGGCATGGGTCTCACCACCGTTCACTTGCCCACCATCAGTCGTTGCGACCTTGCATCGACTGGTGTCTGACTACACGAGCAGCACAGTTACGCACGAACACGAACACATGTTCGCCGAACAGGTGTGCTCTATCTTTGCACCCGTCCACCCTCCATGTACAGTTTCATCCTTGCATTGGGCATCAATCTCGCTTCATTTGTGGAATCCGGACGTCTCGCTTCTCGTCGGTGCCCTTGCTTCTCAACAGCTCTCTCATTTGAGCAACGCCGTTGAGCATGTGCCCTTGTTCGAGCAAGTGAATCTGGCTGTCGACCTTCGTCCGCCTCGATCTGATGTGCCCAATGGCATGCCCGGGCAAGATGTCTGCATGGCCAAGATACGCCGCATCATGAGGATCACCATGAAACGGGTGCGACAAGCTCCGTCCTAGGGCATAAACACCTCGGCCGCCTCTCCAGCTCAGCTTCGAGCTTCGAAGCTTGGAGTCAGGTACCTGATTCTTTCGAGCTCATGACCCTGCTTCTTTCTTCCCACTGGCCATTGCTTGCCCCTGCTGCCTGATGCAAACTCTCGGCCCCTGCAGGTTCTACATCCAAGGCTCTACATTTGGGGTTCCTGCACAGTCATGTCGCAGAATCTGGAGTAGTCTCGGACCGCTTTGGCTGATAAATCCCCGAACATCATCCTCGAGGGTCCTCTACCTCTAGTTAGGTAGTCTTACTGCGTGCGATTTCTCATCCGCTGGTCTTCCTAACATTTCCCTTTCCAACTTGTCCTTGGTTTGAATAGCTAGCATTTACAACTGCCTGGCTCTGCGTCTGACTCGCGTACGCTGCATGTCCAGAGAGCCGAGCCCGATGGCTCCTACTTGCTAGCAGCTTGAAGCTGTTGTGGTAACTGGGCCCCCTGCTTGTTGGTGGTGGCTCGGTCGTGCCCTCCCTCCTCACCACCACGCCTGGCCTCGAAATGCCTGTCTATCGATGAGTCAAGAAAATCCACGCCATTCGCCACGATATACTGTGCAATTATGTATGGCCCAAGCAGCAAGACGCCCAGACTTAGGCCCGGGAGCTGATCGTCTAAGCAGGTGCAGAGCCAGGGCCGGAAGCTCCATTCCGCCTGGCGCACCACAAAGTCAGGACACGGGCAGAAAGGGTGGAATGCAATGATACCGTGTAGGCTCCCATCAACGACATTCGGCTGCAGTGGGGGTGGGAGCAGCTACTGCACAATTGCATTATGCATTTTGTAATTAAAATGCCAATTCTTTCAACATTTATCAAGCGAATCAGAAAGCCTGGCTTTGCAAAGAAGGGCAGTCGAGAACATCGAAGTCCAGGGTGTCTCACACCATCCCCCAAAGTGGCCGTGGGAGTTCAATGTCGCGACCAAATTCAACCCCTCGACCCATGAAGCCTCTGGCTCTTTGATCGACGCCAACGTAGGCTTCTCTCCTCTTCTCCTCTCCTTCGACGTCACGAGTGACACTCCATGTCTTCAAGCCGTAATAGCTTCCGACACAATGCACGAGCCAACGTGCGAAAGCTGCCCCCTTGTCGTTGTCCAGGCCCTCGAAGACCATTTTCTCCGAGCTGAGCGTCTCATCCCATCCCTCCTCTTTCTGGCGCTGCCTCCGGCCGGGAGAATCATGCATGGCACCGTTCCTGCCGACGAAGACGATCTCTTCATCCTCTTCACTGTCGCTTGCCAGAGGAACATCATGTAGTCCCTCCTCCCGCAGTCGAGCTTCTCGCTCGTTCCACTTTTGTACAAATGCTCGCACACTCTCTTCAAGGTCTTGAAGAAGACCTTTGGCAGCCTTTGCACGCTTCAACCTTGCACGAACTTCCTTTGGAATACTGATCGCCGCTTCTTCCATAGGGCTGATTCCTGTGTTCCTCTTGCCGCGCGATCTTGTGCTGTTCTTTCGGCCCTTGAGTTTGGCCTCTACGGCGCGCTGAAACTCGGCGGCGTCCCACAGGGGTGCTAGGTAGTACGGGACAGTGCGTCTGGGGTAGGTGGGATGCACTTCAAAGTCGGACGGAAGCGGTGGCTCAGCCCACGGATTTGAGAGAAGACGAGCTGCGCCTCGTGATTAGTTTGGAAGTAGTGCCGGTCGTAAGCATGTAATTACCATTTTCCCAGCGGCGGCGCTGCCGCGAACCTTCCTTGCCCTTGAGAAAGGCCTCGCGGCGCTCTATACTATCGCGACGCATGAGTTTGCGCTCAGTGTAGACCGACGGGCCCGAGAACGTTGGGCGTGCCGTGGCGTCGATCGACACAGAGAAGCGCGCGGCTGTGGCACCCGTAGATCTTGGAGGCGTTGCGGGTGCAATCGACACATTCTGCATCCGCTCTGTGATCTCAACAGTGCTCGGAGCCGCTGGTGAGGCCTCGGTCTCCGGCGACGAAATTATTGGAACGATTGCCATTGCGCGTGCCGATGTGGTGAGCGATAAGCCGATGTAGTTCGTATCGTCCAGCTGCCGACAAGTCTATCACGAATGAGTCCTAAGAGTCTCTCTGAGACACCAGGAGACGATGCTGTTGACGAATCCGGCTCTGCAGCTACTTGTGCACGACGTAGAGTTGATAACAGTCTGCGAGACAGAGAAGAAGGGGAAGGGATAGGATGAGCTACGATTGCAATATCCGTACTGGCGCCGCACGGGCAACGTTTGATCGCCGGAGTCTCTTTGTCCGTCGAATTGAGTACGATAAGCGAGTCTTCCACATGTGGATTAACGTGGTGAGTCACGGACTAGTTAGAGGCAAATGTTAAACGCCCCCCAGTAAGGCTGGTACGCCCGAGTGCCACAGAATTCGGCTCCCTCAACTGATTTTCAGGAAGGCCACCGCAACAACTCCTTCTCATGTAACAAATCACTTGATTCAGGTGTATTTAATTAGTCAAGATATTAATGCTGATGATAGATAGACATAAGAAGTGTTTACAGCAGAGTGACTAAACATTTTCAGGAGGAGTAGAAGCGACAGGGAATGGTCGGCAGATCAGATACCTACCTTACCTACCTACCTACCTAGCTACCGGTAGTGAATGTTTTTGAAATATCAAGGTGTCTTATAGGGATGAGGGCTTCAAATGGGCTAGAGAAGGCCTAAAACTTTGGTGTTGAGTGCCTATAGCTGCACCTAGAGTCTAGGCGGCGTTGGGAAAGCTTAGAGGCCTTTGCACCTATTTTGGTAGGCATGAAAGCCCACAAGGTTGGGGGAATAGTAGTTAATAAGGAAGGTCACCCGGGGGTCTGCCTTCTGACGCTTACCACGGTTGGGCGTTTTAACCTTTGCTTGTGAGTCAACCCTTTGTGACTGAATAATAGTAATTCGAACTACATTCAGGTACGAGTAGATCACAGGCTGGGAATTCGGATGTGCGCCGCCCCTGTTGCACCCCCAGAAAACTCGCTCGTACCTAAGGATAAATCTTCTCTGATCGAGTACCTAAGTGTTCCAAGGTCTCTTTGCTACTACCCTTAGCCACCGCCAGTGAGCCTTGTGCCGCTAGCAGGTCTTAACACAGCTCGTATTAGGTAATTAAACGACACTTGGACCTCGGAACCAGCTGATGCCTCACCATTTGGAGTAGCCTAGTGGCCTGGTCAGCCTGCGTGGGCGCTTGTGCCTGCGCTCAACAATCATTAGGAAGACGTCATATGTACCTGCGTAGGTATATATATATGCTTCTATCCGCACGCGGTATCTCACCTAACACAGTCTCTGGTCATCGCTCCAGACATGAAGTGCCCTTCGCTTCTTGCGTTCGCAGCTACCTGCGCTACCGTCGTTGCGTTTGCTGTTGATCTAGAGAAGGTCTTTTTGGATGACAAGCGTCCTGTCGCCCAGGAGACGTTCTTGATCGAATCCAGTCCAGGAGAAACAAAATGGGTCACCGAAGAAGAGAAATGGGAATTGAAGAGGGTATGCAGACTGATCTCCTTCCTACCGTCAACTTAGCCTCCGGAGGGGACGAATGCTGACTTTCTGGATCTAGAATGGCATGCGGTTCATGGATATCACTGAAAATGGCCACACCTATCCTTACGTTGCCTTTAGCGAGAGGGACTCTTCTCGCGTTACCTATCCCTCGAAAACGCAATACAACGAGACTGTGAAGGCACTCGCAACAGCGCTCGACAAGGACAATATGCACAAACACCTCAAAGGATTGACCTCATTCCATACCCGATATTATCGGAGCCCATACGGCGTTGATGCAGCTAAATGGCTGTATAAGCAGATCGATTCCACTATTTCGGACTCGGGTGCTTTCGACCATGGCGCAACTTTGGACAAGTTTGACCACCCCTGGGGACAGTTCAGCATCATTGCCCGGATACCAGGGAAAAGCAACCATACAATTGTAATTGGAGCACATCTCGACAGTATCAACCTGTGGTTACCGTCTGTTTTTGCTGCTCCGGGTGCCGATGACGATGGGAGTGGGACGGTGACAATTCTTGAAGCTCTTACTGCTCTTCTTCAATCCGACGACATCGTCAGAGGAAAGGCGGAAAACACCATCGAGTTCCATTGGTACTCCGCCGAAGAAGGCGGTCTCCTCGGTAGCCAAGCCATCTTCAAATCATACCACAACAGCCAGAAGTCGATCAAGGCAATGCTTCAGCAAGACATGACAGGTTACGTGAAAGAGACGCTGGCTCACGGCAAGCCCGAGTCTGTTGGTGTCATTACCGACTTTGTCGACCCGGACCTCACCGAGTTTGTCAAGGAGATCATCACTGTGTACTGTGATATTCCGTATACACTGACCAAGTGTGGTTATGCTTGCTCCGACCATGCGTCGGCGAGTAAGTATGGGTATCCATCAGCATTCGTCATCGAGTCGGACTTCGAATATAGCGACAACAAGATCCATACTACGGACGACGTGATCGAGCATCTCAGCTTTGATCATATGCTACAGCATGCGAAGATGACCTTGGGCTTCGCGTACGAGGCTGCATTTGCAAAGTTCTGATTGATTCCGCATGGCGTTCAAGGTTCTAGAGATGTATCATGATGGGTGCTCCGTTTGGCTGACGATGATTGTGATCGGAAGGATTGATGGGCCGATTATGCCGCTTAATAGATGATAGTAACACTCACTACCTTGTCTGTCCTTGTCCTTGTCACTCCTTTGGGTGGCCTGTGTGAGTGTCCTCATGTTTCACACGATGTCGTTTGCTGGTCCTGATTGGCCCCCCGGAAGCCAAGTGCGTCGACAACAGGGATGCAGCTTCCCTGCCCGGTCAGTGACGTAACTGTTCCCCGCATATTTGCGGTCAGGAGTTTCGTCTACACTCGTAATGACTTTCTGCGGCTTCTTGTACCTCTTTCTTGACTCTCTGACGCTGCTTCAGTCTCGCTAAAACAACCTTGCACAATCACGAGAACAGTCCTGATTCAGACGATTTTACTGTTTCTCATCTCGTCCTTATAACTTGCTTTTTCCCCTCATACTTGACTCGAACTCCTCCTCTCATTGACCTCCAAGTCGTCCGGCACAACCAGCGGGGACTAGGCACAGCTTACAACATGGCGAACTGTTGGTGCTCATTCATTGTCATCTATACGCTACAACTAACATCTCGGTAGGGAATCCCTTTGCTAAACGCGAAGAGTTCACCAAGAACAATCTCATCGCCTACAAGATCCTCACCATCATTTCATGGCTTCTTCTAGTCATCTTCGGCGCCTACTACACCTTCTCCCGACCAGCCGATTGCAGACACAAGCATCTTTGCCATACCATATGGGGACAAAACAGCCATAGGGCCACACCCTTCAGCTTGAACTCGGTCATTACCAGCATCTACTGGGTTGTCGTGTTGATCCTGCAGGCACATTATGTTCGATACCTCTGGAGCGCAGACAAGGCTTTCGTGACCAGCGCTGCCAATGTTGGCAGCCATTTCATCTTTGTACGTTCACTCGAATATCTGTAGATGAAGCCAACTAACCTGTCTTGCAGCACAATCTTCTCACATTCGGCTTCATCATGCTGTGGGTTCGGGGTCATTTTTGGATAGGAGAGCTCCTCCTGATTATCAACCTCTTCAACCTCACTCTGCTGTATTTCGGTCACTCCACAACCCCCCTCTTTATCCACCTCCCAGTCGTCTCGGCACCGCTGGCTTGGAACTACGTTGCAATCCTCTGGGACGGTGCGGCAATGGTCAATGCACATTCTCTACCTGCCCGGATCGTAGCCAACATCTTTATCTGGGGTATTCTTGTGTTAGGGGTTTTCTTCCTGCTTACTTTCAAGGACTACACCATGGGCCTCGAGTTAGCAGTGCTCTCACTAGGTAAGTTGGACTTCTTCAGCTTCACAATCAAGCTGATGATCCTGTCTAATAGCTCTCGGCGTTGGTCAACTCGGAACTCATGTTATTGCGCTGCAATGGATCTTCGCATTCGTGATTGCGGGATTCTTGACTGGCATGTCATTGCTCATTGGTGCGCCAAAGATATTTGGTCAGGACAGGAGTATCCGTCAAGAAGGGGCCATTGTCAGTGAGGATAGAGAAAGGGCACCACTTCTGGACGAACAGTAAATGGCCGAGGGCGTCAATGTCACAATCTCTCGACGATATGACTTGTGGCTTAACGCGAGTTTGCAAAGAAATGTCCCTTCTGGAAGCTGAAGCTAGTCGAGGCATCTGCGGAGTCTTCTTAAAAGGGGGAAAGGCCATGGGTATTCATCATTGCGTGGCGTTATCCTTTGTTTCTCTGTGAGTGCTGGTGGGCTAATTCGTAGTACAATAGGCAGTGGCAATTGATGGAATAGGCACCGAGAACCTTTAAAGATCGCTAGACAATGACTCTTGCTAAGTTTGCTGCAAAATGTTTGCTTGGGCCTGAGGCTGGAACCAGTAATATAAAACCTACGCCTTGCGATGGGTGGCTGTTTTGCTCGCGAAGACGTGATAGCCTTGGTGGTTGCCTTGCGCCTTGATTGTTGCACAAAGCCAAAGATTAATGCCAAACAAACCACTCATTCTCGAAGCCATTCACCTAGATGGAAGCAAACTTTGCCGTTTGAAATACTTAGTCGGTTCTGGCTCAAAAGCCCGATGTCGCTTCATGCACGCCCTGATATTCTGCATTTTGTTCCTGCCGGGCAACTACATTTCGTCCACACCGCACACCAACCACATCCACCACAATCCTGAATTCACTTCCATATCACCATGTCGCATCAATTTCCTTCAGTCCTTCCCTGGGTTGAATCTAATTTTGAGGATGTACAAGCGATAAATGACGCCTTCAAGATGCATCATCTGGATCATGCTTCTCCGTCAGCCTTGAGCGTCACTGCCAGCAGCCCTCCTTCTACCTCTTCCACGTCCGCAGCGCCGGCTGGGGCGAGTCCACTGCCAGTTGACACTCCCAAAGTCTTGCCTTCTCCTGACATTGAGATGGCGACGGGGCCTTCAAGGAGAAAGACACGCGCCTTACAGATGGACCAATCCCCATGGACCATGATTGAAGCCAGCCAGGAACCAAACGCAGACGAGCTTCATCCGGATCTTGACCGTACCAACATCATCCATCTGTCCCGCATCCTCGCGCTGATGCAGTGTGGATGGACCATTACACGAGGCCGCGGCCCTCGCAACCACGATTTCTGCCTTTGGTGTCGCGGACCATTGACCGACCATACTGAGCTTCTTGTCCACAGCTGCGACGCTGGCGGAAACACTAAGTGCAACAACGCCTGGCCTGCAAGCTGCTTCATGACCAATTTTCTCAATCACGAGCTGAAGCATAATGGTGCGGGCAGAAAATCCATCTCGTGTCCCATGTGTCGAGGCCTTATCATCCGTACCAAAATTACATTGGTGTCCCCTTCGGCACAGACAAGCGACTTCGAACCCCCTGAAAAGAACAAAGCTTATCCTGCACTCATCCGCATAATGTTTTTCAGCACGGAGAATGCTCTACAGGAAGCCCAAACGAACACTAAGAGAGTTTTCGTCATGGAACGATCCGAAGTCGCCAAGTTAGCCAAGCTCGGTCGGAACAAGGTCTTATTCAAGTGTTTGGACGCAATGATGCACTTTAAACGCTGTAACGAGCACTTGTTCGACTCATGGCTGGCCATCGATTGTGGGGACAACGAATATCGCTTGACACCTCTAATACATCGTGCAAAAGACGAACCTGATCCATACTCTGGAACTATTACTGCCTGCAGACAAAATTGTGTCACGGCCGAGAAGCTGGAAGAGGAAGCCTCGAACAACGGTGGCTTGGTCAAGGTAGTTGCTACGTTCCGTCCAGACTTTGCTGAAGAGATCAAGCAGATGGTCACTGCAGGCAGGGAGGAGCTCTCGAATTTCTTGACTCAATGGATGACCCAAGAACCAAATGTGGATGTCAGAGAGTCTCAACTCAAGGCCTATTCCACATCGCTCAAGGATATATTCAACATCGTCGACCCTTCTCACAGTCCACCTCGACCGAAGTTTCTATCAGACCTCCAACCCGGTTTTCATTTCCCTCCGGACATGCAACCAGGGGGAAACGGACAGACGCCGCAAGACCAGGACCTTGATGAGGAAGCCGTGGCTTCTACAGGTATGAGCACGGAGGATTCTGACGAAGACGAAGACGAGGACGAGGATGACGATGTCGAGGAGAGTCAAGAGGCCGAAGAGGGCGACGACGGAGAGGAAGGGCATGGAAATTGGGACATGATGTGATGAAACTTTTTCTCTGTTACAGAACAATTGTGCATGCTCGATTTTGGCGCCGGCTGGTGGGAATGCTTGGTCGTGGGGTGTCAACCTATAGTCGGCTTGATTCATAGACCGCGCGACGACTGGCAGTCTTGGACGATCCTGCCAGGTCTATTAGAGTTTGTCGAATCTACGGAAGCATAGCACACCGAGATAGGCTGCAGAAGAATTATCATGTGGAAAGATGGTTAGCCGCAGGCAGCATTGTTCTTTACAGTTAAAAAGAACAAAAAAAAAACCCGCACGCATAGGCAACAGGCGCGAGGGTGCGAAGCAAGATTCGGTGATTAGCTAGATACCTAGAGTCTCAGAGCACGTCCAAGAAAATGAAAAGGAAATGATCCTTTTTTTTGCTTTTTTTTTTTTTTTAACAAAGGGGGGTTTCTTTTGCCGCTGTGGTCACTGTAAAAAGGTCAGAAAAAGGGGGTATCCCATCGTAGATGCGATGGTGATTTCAATGAGGTATTCTCTGACGTCCTTGTTTGTGTGCACTCGTCTACTTGTGTACTGCAAGGCCGTAAGCCGTGACATGTTCTATCAATTCTATCGTACTATCAACGATCAGTCGTCCTCATCACTCATTGTGCTGTTTCTATTGTGGACAAATCCATCTAACCCATCTAACCCATCTATCCACTTATCCGACTATCCATCCATCCATCCATCCATTCATCCGTTGAGGCTTTTTGGGGGCGTAAAGGGGTGCTGTAAGTTTGATTATATACCGTGTTGTTATTTGCGATGGAGACTCTCATCGAGGGCTTTGATCAGGGCGTAGATGACCTTTAGGAGAGGGGTCTGGACGCCCTTTTCGTCGGCGACGCGCAGGGCGTTGCCGACGATGGCGTCGACCTCCATGTTCCGACGGGCCAGGGCGTCGGCCATCATGCTGGGCTCGACGCCGGGGAGGGAGCGCGCCTGGGCACGGCCGAGCTGGTGGTCGACCGTGGACTCGGACAGCTCCGGGTAGCCCGCGGCGTTGGCGACGGCGGCGATCTCGAGCATGACGCGTCTGACGAGCGCCGTGGCCTCGGGCGACGAGTGCATGAACTGCACGTCGCGGCTCTGCGAGAGGGCGCAGATCGGGTTCCACGCGGCGTTGACGACGAGCTTGGTCCACCGTTCGGCCTGCACGTCGTCGTGCACGAAGGCCGTCCCGCCTGCGGACTCGAGGAGCGACGCGAACGACTCTGCGGCCGTCTTGTGTGACGGCGGAGCCGTCGCTGGGTACGTGCCGATGTGGAGCCGTTCGATCTCGCCGTGCGAGATGGTGCCGGGGGACGTCTGCGTGGCGGGGAGGTAGACGACGCAGCTGAGTAAAGGGTTGCGCGGGAACGCGGAGGAGTAGATGTCTTCGATTGCGATGCCGTTCTGGACCAGCACGACGGTGCTGGTCTCGGACACGGCAGGGGATATTTGCTCTGGAAGCGAGGGCGTGCTGGGGACGGCTTTTGCCGTGACGATGATGTAGTCGAATGCTTTGCCATTCGACTGGGACACGGCCTCGTCGACGGTGCGGACCACTCGCGGACGCACCTTCAGGTTCTGGCCGAAGAGGGTCGAGTTGATTGTGAATCCTCCTGACGAAGCTGCGGCGTAGTTGGATCGGCACACGGCGAAGATGTTCTCGCTGGGGATGGCGCGGGAGAAGATGTACGCATATACGGCGCCGATGCTGCCGGTGCCAAATATGAGGATCCGCGGTGACATGTTTGCGCTGAAGTGCGTCAGTGAGAGCGAGGAAACAGTGTCTGAACAAGCAGATGGAGGGTTGTTATTTGTTGTCTTGTTGATGAGTAGGGATCGAGCAGCGACCTCAGACAGGTGAGTCAGTGCTGTAGAGACGTCCTCAGATATATGCGGCGACTATCTCAGAGGATCCACGGCGATCCGGCCGAATTGCCGATCGGAAATCGACCGTTGGGGGGGAATCAGAGCTCCAGCCATCATCACCTGTACTGTACTTGTACTTGTCGAAAAACGATTGGAGCGGACGAGCACAACCAGAGAAGGCAGAAGGTCGACTTGTCCAAGCGGGGAGATGAGAGGTTGTTTGAGATCAGCACGACATACCTTGCAGGGAATGATGTGCTTTGGCTGGTTTGTATGCCCGAGATTCTATTGGAAAACTGTCTAGCTATCGCCGAGGAGGCGCGAGAGCCTTTCGATGGTGGCGTTGTCTTCGTGGCGACGTCTCGGGAGGCGAGATTGAGTTGCTGAGGTGGTGAGAATAGTTTCCGAGGTGGAATCGTGATGGATGGAAAAGGTATCCCACACAGAAGAGGTCGAGAACGACGAAACAAAGAACGCTTCATCTTACATGAGAAAGACTCGCGGGTGGTGGGCTTCTTATCCTTGCACGGTCAGGCCCCAATGTGAGAAAGGCTCAAGAACATTGCTGTAGACTCGAGTGGATGTCGTTAGCCATCAGTATTGAGATCCCTTTTGTGCCTGTGGGATGAGGTTGAGATTGAGGTACGAGAAAGAGAGATGAGAAACGCCCAGTCTCTCTAACTAGGTACCTGACTTGGGGACAGATTTGTACTCCATATCTTATTAGCAGGGCTGCGTACGGTGGTTAGGCTCACTAACTTAGGCTAGTGAGGCTCCCCAGAGAAGGTTGTGACATTAGGTATGCTTAGGTATGTTTGGGCGCTAGAAAAGCTTTTTGAATCGTTCGTGGGGGCAGCACGGACTCCGGCGCTATAGGCCAATGCAGCTAGTGACGCTGGAGAGTCGATGCTCAATATTGACTGGCCCTGGTTGTCTGGGCGCGACCAAAAATGACGTTGGTGTTTGGCGCGGGCGGCGCGGTTGTCTCAAAGACACATTTTCCCACTTTGCAACAATATCGCCGTGCATTCAACATAAATCATAGCTACCGGCAATCCGTCTGAGTGCATGGGACATACAAGCCAAGGACGGATGCAGTGAATTGCCATGGACCCCGACATACCTGCTCCCTCAATAGAAGAGGACTCGCTGCCGCGGCGCGACAACAAAAGTGCCCTACAACCATTCGCGTCGCCTGCAATCAGAGTGAATCACCACGACCCGATTCACCACCATGCTGCTGCGAATGTGCCCCTTCCGCCCTCCTCGCCCATGCGAACCCCATATCGAAGTCCTTCGGTGACCAACTCGAAAACCAAATCCTCCTCCCCGCGCACCCCTTCGCGTTCTCCCTCTGTCGCAAGTACGTATCGCGACGACAGAAGACAATCGACCCCTGTTCTTGTCAGCAAACGATCAACTTCCAGCCTCAGTACTGCAAGACGAGCAACCCCAGCGTTCCGGCGTGCATCTTCCAACCTCAACCCGGCTTCTCCTGTTCTGTCAGATGGAAAGATGGCGCTGCCACAAGAGCGGCCTCCACTGACGCCTAGTTCAGTCGCAAAGGAATATTTCGCAAAAGAACTAGAAGCGCATGCTTCTCTACAATCGCCATTGACCGTCATAGTCCATGACGCATGCTATGGCCATCGCTTCTCTCGTCCACGTGCTACCAAGACTGCTTTGGCCACAATTGTTGAAAGACCAGAGAGAATCCACGCCACACTGCTGGGCGCTTCGACTGCCTATGTGCGCTTAGGAGGTCGACATGCCGAAGGAAAGCATGCTCCCCAACCTAAACATCAGCCTCAACACGTGCGAGACATCCCATTCCAGATACGTAAGACCTTTCGCAACATGCCGCTCACACATCCGTCGGTGGCATTTGTGCATGGCACCAAGTGGATGGAAGAGTTGCAAATCATGTGCGATACAGCAGAGGGGAAACTCGCGATGAATGGTAAAGAGTTAGTCCGTCCCATTGGCTATGGAAAAGACGAGAATGGCAGCCCTCTACCTAAACTGCACGAAGGCGATCTATACTTGTGCAAGGAGTCACTCGCGGCTTTCCAAGGCTGCCTTGGTGGTGTTTGTGAGGCAGTCGATACTGTTTTCTCTTCGGACACTACGAGGCGAGCATTTGTCTGTATCCGCCCTCCAGGACATCATTGTTCCTCGAATTTCCCATCCGGTTTCTGTTGGCTCAATAACGTCCACGTCGGGATTGCCTATGCAGCCATGACACACGGCCTCACTCACGCAGCAATCATAGATTTCGACTTGCATCATGGTGATGGCTCTCAGAACATTGCGTGGGCCCAGAATCATAAAGCTCATACTGCGGCCAAAAATGCGGCGCCACACAAGAAGACACCCATAGGCTATTACAGTCTCCACGACATCAACTCATATCCTTGCGAATGGGGCGACGAGGAGAAGGTTCAGAAAGCGAGTCTGTGCATTGAAAATGCCCATGGCCAGTCCATTTGGAATGTCCATCTTGAGCCGTGGAAATCTCTGGAGGAGTTCTGGCAACTTTATGAGTCAAAGTACACGATCCTTCTTGACAAAGCCAGGATCTTCCTGCGCCATCATACTGCCAGGCTTCGTGCTGGAGGAAACCAGTTACCTAAAGCGGCCATATTCATTTCTGCTGGTTTCGATGCCAGTGAATGGGAAGGTGCCGGGATGCAAAGACACAGTGTCAATGTGCCGACAGAATTTTACGCTCGATTCACTGCCGACATTGTGAAGCTGGCTCATGAAGAAGACCTCGGTGTTGATGGCCGGGTGATCAGTGTGCTCGAAGGAGGGTACAGCGATCGCGCGTTGACTTCCGGAGTGTTGAGCCATATTTGTGGCTTTTCTGGGAACCTCGAGGGCGCCAACGGCCATGGACCATTGATTCCAGGCGACAATAAATATCTGACAATCAACAACTGGATCGCAGAATCGGTCAACAACTCGTATCTTCCGGACTGGTGGACTCTCCAAAATCTGGAAGAGCTGGAGGCAGTCGTTGCTGGTCGGCAACCTCCAACAGCAAAATCACTAAAGGAAAAGACTGGGAATTATTCGTCGCCCACACAAGCATCGACCCTGAAGATGACTGATCATGCTAGAGAGCGACACTCCCTCTCTGCACTTCAAGCTAGAATGGGATCCGAGTCGGAATATACACCTCCTCCACCTGATGTTGACTGGGCTGTTGCATCTTACGAGCTGTCTCGAATTATTGTTCCCGGAGATCGGCAAACCCAGAGCTGCACTCATGAGGAGCTCAATGCAGAGGCAGCCAGAGCTAGACGAGAGCGGCAATCCACAGTAGGTGTCCTGACTGGTCCAGAGGAGCGAATGCAACTTCGAGATCGCAAAGCGAAGCTTCCACCACCCCCGCCGATTCCTTCTGCTAGGGTTGCTTCACGTAATGAAGGCCGGCGGACTACTATAGCGGCTATCAGTGACCTCCCAGATCCTACCATGCAAGGTGTCGAGAACGGCATGACCCGCCCACGTAGAAGATCCAGCGATGCATCAAGTATCTTGTCAAGCTTCCAGAACATGAAGTTGTCCGAAGCAGGAGCTCCTGATACTAGCATGCCATCGGATCATGTCACAAGTTCCAGAGCAACAGCCGTTGTGGCCGAAAAACCAGCAAAAGCTGTTGCGGTGAAGAAAACAAGGGCACCTGCAATAGCGAAAGCCACGGCGAGACCCAAAACGAGCCCTCGAAAACCGAAGGCGATGCCACCACCTAATGGTACCGCCAACAGTGGCGTCCTCTCCTCTAAGCCTTCGGTAATCAGCGAAACCAAAACGCTGGGCGGAGGAGTAAAGAGGGAGCCCTCAAATCCTTCCCGAAGTGGTAGTGCTGAAGAAGTTGACGCACTGACTAACGGAGTCAAGAAGATCAGCATCCGATTGAACATGGCCACAGCTGAGAAAAATGCAGCTAAGGAACAGCAGCGAGTAGGGGACGAAAAGCAAAAGAAACCCCGTGCTCCCAGGAAACCAACAGTGCCGAAGACCATCAAGTCAACAAAGCTGGGTGCCACTACTGCTCCTGGAAGCTCTTCGCCTGTGGATGTGCAAACAGTGAAACTGGAAGAGAAGATTGCAACTCAGCCCGCGCCACTTGCGTTAGTTTCTGCCAAACAGAGACCACAAGGCTTCACCCCACCATCAGCTTTACAACCTGAATCGAACGTTAGCACTTCTCTTTCAAATGATCTAAGCTCACAAGCTTCTACCTCGTGGTCACAGAGCACCCATCTTCCCGACATACAGCAGACGGTTGCCACAACCAGTGTCCCGCTACAAGAAAAGACTATGACTCCTGGACAAGCCATGGCTGTACCAGTTGTCCCTGTACACCAAATTTCGAATGATCCAAAACCTTTTGCACACTTTCAGACTGCTACAGAGCAGCCTCCAGCCCCCGTGTACCAAATAATGCAGACCAGTGCGGAAGCACATCCATCGAGACCAACTTCAGCTGGACTGAGCACGCCTCGACACACGAAGCAAGATCTTCCAGTCTTTACCTCATCATCGCCGATCCCTTTCGCAGCAGCAGCACCACCACTACCACCAGCACCAAACACAAGAGCCGACTCTGCCACAATGAAGGAACCGAAGGACGGTTAGGAGCCATCATTCTGGGAGATTCCCGAGACGCCGCCTCAACTACATGACGACCTGATGAGGTATTGTCACAGTGCCTCCATGAATGACCATGAGCGTCGCGAGGATAGATTTCTCGGGGTCGTTACAGTTTTATTGCGCTTCTCTCTTTTATTCAATCACACTTTCCTTGGTTAAGTGGTTCGCGGGAAGATTTCTTTTCTTTTCTTTTGGATTTCAGAGTAAAGGCAGAACGAGAAAGGAGAAAAGTATTTCCTTTTACATGGAAGGTTTCCACACCCGGTGTGATTTTTGAGAGATTCCCCAGATACAGCGCTGGGAGGAGTTTGTAAATCCAGTGAACCGAGTCGGGGTTCTATGTTGTATGTGTTTCGTTTGGTGTGGTTGGTCTTGGTTGGATCTCTAGTAGCTGAGGGCCTGGATTTCCTTGCAGAGTGGTGGCTCTTTGTTTCTGTATTTCCTTACCTCAGGTAGTAGTCTAACCTAGGTATAAGAAGGAGAGGTAGCCAATATGTAACTTGTACTTGTACACAGCGTGCATTTTATCCCGTGCCGTGCCACCACACACACACACACACATTCACATTCCTTGTGCAATGTAGAGTAATAGTATACTCAACAGATTAAACCACTCACGTAGGGCGAACAACTCTCCTTCTTCGTTTGCGTTTGTTCAACACCCCCCTCCCCCCCCCCCCCCCCTTTTTTTTTTTTTTTTTTTTCCCCCCCCCCCCCCCCTTTTTTTTTTTCTAGCATCGATTTCATCACCACGACTCGACACCCCACTCTCTACTTGGCTGGGGCAACTTCACACCCATTTTGGCCTCGATCCAATCCTCGATCGTGACCCAGCCGGTGCGGCGCTTGATGACGGCGTTCCATATCGCGTACTGCCATTCGCGCCACCACTCTTGAGCCACGAGTCCGGCGCGGTCCATCTGGTGGTGCTGTTGGTGTTTTTGGGTCGAGCTTGTCGCGGCGGCGGCGGCGGCGGTAGTGGTGGTGCTGTTTGTGCCGGCGATGTCGCCGGGACCGGTACCTGGACCTGGACCTGGATTGCCCGTAGATGCAACGTCCCATACCGTCTGGACGACTTCGTATTTCTTGGTCGGGTACAGGCGGAGCATGTTGGCGAACCAGTTCCCCGACTCGCGCTGGACGACGACTTTGGCGAACTGCACGGGGAACTCGACCGTGACTTTGCCCCTGTACCTTGTCGCGGCGAGGAGAGTGCGGACCATGCCTTCGAGAATCGCGGCGGGGAAATTGGCAATTTGTCGGTGCAGCGAGAAACTGGTAACGAAGAGGGGCAAAAAAATGTCAGTTCTTGGTCGCCATCTTACGGGAGGAGACAAGGGGTGATCCGCCAGCTACAACCCACTACCTGTTACCTACACCTAGAGCCAAGTCCAGGTCCAGGCCCAGGTACAAGTGCGTGCGAGGCCCAGAACAGTGCCCTGTGCAATACGTACCTCTTATTCTCGGTCTTCTCGTCAGTGAACTTCTTCGCCCACTGCTCGAGCGGCGTCATTGCTGGCTGGTTCCCTCGCGACGAGCGCTTGAACGGAGACGACGAACCCGTCGGCGTCGAGGACTCGAACGGCTCCACGTGTAACCGGGTTGACGGGGCCGTGGCCGCTGTCGCCGTCGTGTTTGAACCCCCGGTGTCGTCGGCCGAGACGCGGTGGTCAATGTCGAGAAGACTCATGAGGTTGAGGGTCAGGTCGAAGTCGATCTGCGTGGTGCCGGTGGACGTGGTGTGGGAGCCTTGGATCCGCATGAGGGGTTTGGGCGGGAGAGACGCCTGCTCGTTCAGGAACCTCATGAGCACGTATTGCATCGTCGATAGTTCCGGCTTGGTCGTGGTGAGCGTGTCCTGCGAGGCCGAGAGTTTGGCCTGGGACACGCCGCAGTACCTGGTCAGGTCGACGGACGCGAGGCGGGAGATGGCATCGAGCGGGTTCTGACTGCGGGCGAGGAATGATGGGATGTCGTTGGACGAGACCGCGCTGGTGGGTGTAATAGATATGGATGGGATCGGAGGGTTGATCACATCGTAGGATGGTGGGAGGTCTTGTGGTGATGGCGGCCGTGGTTGAGTATGCGTGGAACCAGAGTCGGTAATGGTGTCGTTATTTGGCCTTGACTCCGGCGGCGAAGGGGCTCTGAACTTCGCCTTTTCCCCCGATGAGGTCTTTGGCATCTTTGGAGAGATTGAATGTCGGATTGAGCAGGGTGCTCGTACGTTCCAACCAGCGGAATTCTTGATCTATCCCTCGCTGCCTGGTGTGGAACAGATGCCAAAGACCAAGAATGTGATATACAGCGAGATAAATGGAATCAAAACGATCCCCCAAGGACGGAAACAAGAGGCCACAGGACAACAACAAAGGCTGTTCAAAATATCAACATGGTCAACCAGGCAGTCTCATTTTCTGGTTGTGTTTTATCGTCGCATAATGATCCATATGGGGGATGGACCAACCGCCGGATATCGGCACAGCCTCACTACATACCTATCTTGGTTAGTGCCGCGCACAGCCACAGGTGGCGCCCCTGTCGCACAGGGCAGGCATCAGTCAATCCATCCAGTTACATACCAACCCAACGGAACCTTCTTAGGTGCAGCTAACATACTCGTGCAGCCCTGCAGCATTCACTTCAAGCATTCCCTCATACCAGGCTGCCATTGCTGCAAAGCTCCCTCCCTGCAAGTTACCAAAGTGCTTCATCGCCAAACATCTCCCTCGCTTCCAGGCTGCAATCATTTCTTCCGCTCCTCTCTCACCTTTGCCCCGACCATTTCTAGAGCGAGATCCATCCGTAAGATGGCCTTCCTGCTCGACCCTACCGCTTTGCGTGATGGCCCAAGCAATTTTCCTATCGCAAACCGGACACAAGTACGGCGGTTGTCGCACGTCTTCTGCAACAGAGGCGCTGCCCTGCATCACGCACGCTCTGTACATGCAATGATCGAGTCCAAAACAGTGGCCGAGTTCGTGTGAGACTGTTCGGCAGAGTCGGAAGCTGAGAGCCGACGTTTCTTTGTCTCGAGACATTCCTTCCTGATGGACGACAGCATGCCGGTGCGCATCCAAGGCTTTTTGCAACGGCATTGGGGTTGCAGAACCAGACGAGTCAGCGGTGAGAGTGTCCTGCTTCTTCTGCCTGCCGCGTATTCTTCGCCGATTTCTAGGACGCACCCCTGTTTGAATTTCGGCGCTCATTTTACGAACGAAAGCTGCACAATGGCTGGCCGGCCACACATGTTCAATGTCAATGTCATGAAGCTTGTCCAGCGCAGCGTGATACCTCGCGCTTGAAACAATGGCAACTCGACTGGCACCCCATGCACGACCACAGCAGAAGTCGTCGGCATCTGACTCATACAGATCATGCGTTGTCATCAACAAGAGAGCATACGCATCTGAAGGTAGGATGCTCATGGAGAAGTCAGTGAGGTCGTTTAGATCCAGCTGGTATGGATATGGGAAGAGTTCGGGTGGTGATGCACTACCGACAGGAGGCGTTGGACGCGCACGGATACGTACAACTTCGCTGTCGGTTGACAAACCCACATACTGTAATCTTGGGGTGGCTTGTACCGCACCTCGACCTCGACCTCGAAGCGCAGCCGTGGAGGTTGTGGTATCTTCCCAAGAAGTGAACGTCAACCTTTGCGGGAGGATTTGGACTTCGAGACCATAGTAAAATGCCCGCAGGTAAGCAGCAATTATTTCGATGTTCAGCTGACCTTCCAGAACCGAAGTGGTAGCCTGATCTTGTCAGCGTCCATGAGTCACGATAGACTAGGATTTCTGTCGCGCCGTACTTCTCTCCAGGCAGTCGGATGCTGCCAGTCACGCATGAATGCAACACTATCATCGATATCTGGCGGTGCAGCCAGATAAATCACGTTCCTTCGCGAGCTTACCAGGTTACGCACGCCCAGATTCAGCCACTCTCGGAAGCTTTGTGGTGGATAATTCGGGTCACAATCGATATCATCGCCAGGGAGTACCAAAGGAACAGGGTAGACCAGAGGCGCCAACGTGGCGTGGTCATCCACAGACGCTGTGCGTTTTCCGGTGGCTGCTGCGAGAAGCTGGTTCGTTGTAATGGTGCGGTGACCCGATGCTGCTGCATACGTGGAAGGCAAGCAAGTCAGGGACTCATGGTCACACATGGTGGGTCTTGGTGTCAGGCTAGTATTCCGACTCAAGACCTTGAGCAGAAACCTCGGGTGTCCGACAAACAGGGAAGATAGAAGGGAGGAAGAAGGAGCAAGCCAGGATACATCCCCTATCGCAACTTTTTATACACGACAGCGACAGCGCCTCTTGGCAGCCTGCTTGAGATGACCAGGAGGTTCAAGGCTGCTGCCGTGTCAAACAAAGTCAATGTTTCCAAGTACATCTTCGAGACGAATGGAAGGGGTGCCCAGACGATCTCGCACGCTCATGCATATCGCGATCCGTACGGAAAACTGTGTTTGTGAAAACATCACGCTTCTGTTTTAAAGCAATGGATAATGATCTGGGTATGCCGAAAAGACCTCGAAAGCATCGAAAGGGAGATAGGCCATCATAAATGTCAAAGGGCAGGCTGAGTCAGCGATTTAGGCAACCTTGTCACAGGCTTCCAAAGCCCTCGGCGGAAGAAGAGAGAGAGAGAAACATGATTCGTCGAAGGGAGAGACAGACCTGATTCGTCCGCGACAATTCGTCGTACTTGATCGGATTTAGACTGGCGATATCTCCAAGGACCGATACACCAGACATTTGTTGCCTCACAGAAACACATTAACCTTGTACGACATGAATAGATCGCGTGTGTGCTCAATGAATATATCCGTCAGACTCTGGACCGGCTGTAGGTGTTCAAATGGTATAAGATCGCGGTGCTCGCTGTGCGACTGATCAGAAGATTTAACCTCAACTCCAGGGCTGGACCAGTGGACTTTTCTCAACATCCCCGGTTGCCAGCGATGTCCAGCAGTACTCCTCTTGTGATCTTGTGTACCGGTGCCAGTCGAGGAATAGGCTTTGCCATCATTCAGGCTCTGGCAAGTCATCCGAGAACGGCCGGTGCCTCATTCCTGCTTGGCTGTCGAAGTGCAGACAAAGGAAAAACGGCGATTGACGAGCTCCGCGCCAGCAAGGGGATCACGTCGAGCATCGAACCTGTCGTCCTTGACGTGACTTCTGATGAATCCATACGAGGCGCTCTAGAACTGGTGCAACGCCTTTACGGCCGGCTCGATGTTCTGATCAACAACGCCGGATATGCCGCAATACCCTCAGCTTCGGAATATTCCGACTGGAGAGACATCTACGCCAAGGTGTACGAAACCAACGTCACATCGGTAGCGTTGATGATGCAGAACTTCCTTCCTCTGCTCCGCAAGTCAACGGGCACGATCATCAACATCTCGTCGGCGCGAGGATCCGCCGGCCTCGCTTCCGGCGGCGCTTTGCCGCCAACTGTCTCCGTTCCGTACAGCGTTTCAAAAGCCGCCCTGAATATGCTCACCATTGAAACAAGCCGACAGGTCGAAAATCAGAACGTCGAATTCCAACTGGTCAGTCCCGGGCATTGCAAGACCGCTTTCAACGGCTACAGAGGGACGAGAGATCCACTGGAAGGTGCAAATGTTGTGGTTGAGTTGGTCGTCGCAAGAAAAAGCAAGTACAAGAATGCTGGATTCTGGGAAACTCGAGGCGCCAGTATGGACCTGGTCGAGATTCCATGGTGAGTGATTAGGGGCCACCTAGGGACGATGAGTCTGTGAAGAGTTGAAGTTCCAGTTGAAGCAATCCACACATTCATCGTCAGATTCGCAGATAGGGGTGCTGTTATACGATTCGAGGACGTCAGGTATGACAACATTCAGTCTGTGGTTGTTGATGTTCATGTGCCATCCCTTATCGCTGACGGTATCGTACACACATCGTTTGCCAGTATGGCACTGGCTTTCGAATGCATAACCAGCAATCGAGCATGTGGAGAAGTATCCATTGCAGGCACCCATGAACACCGGGTCTGCCGTGTTGCCGATGTGGTAGTCTGCAGTGTGAGGAGGGATGGCAATCCCTAGTCTTTGAGCCGGCAATCGTTGAGGCGGCGCTTCAAAGGTGATTGATGGCATGTTGTAGGTCAGGCCGACGAGACTAGCTACCGCACCACCCAAAGAATGGCCGATGACCCAGAAAGAAGCGTTTGGGTACCAGGAGGTAACATTTTGCATGACGGCAATCGCGGTTGGATAATATCGATCCTTCTGGAGAAGCTCTTGAGTGACGCAGGTTGCGTTGCACTGGAAAGTGTCGCTATCACAATCACAGACGGGGCCGTACCAGAATGGGTCGGGTCGTTGGCTTGCGCAACAACAGCTGAACAGCAAGTTGTCATTTAGTCGATCGTTGTTCCTCCACTTGTCCCGTGGGTCGATCGTAGTGCCCTTGAAAGCAACTATGACAGTCTCGTTTCGCTTGTCAGAGAAAACATGGCCCCGGAGGCCATCACCTACCCAGCCGAAGCTGTCTGAGCGATTGAATCCCAGTGAGCTGTTTAGCCAGCCAGGTTCGGATGGTGCAAAGGCGTAAGTGTCACTGCACATCTTTGCCAGATTGATCTCGGTTGGTTTGTTGGATACATCCGGGACATTGGCCGGATGATCTTCCCATTCGTCTTTCTCTGTCGACCCGAGATACTGTTGGACACCGCCAACCGTCCGTTTCTCTAGTGATTCGTGCGAATGCAGTGTGCGACGACTCAAGTAAAGTGTTTTCGTATGAACGGCCAATGGTTGGGGCGGTTCGTATTTGTTGTCCGCCGTCACTTGAAGTAACCTGTGGTCCGAAGCTGATATGGCGTGGAAGTCACCCGCGCGAGACGAATTGCCAAACCCGTGGAAGAAGACATGCTCAAGAGTGAACTCTGCTTCGACCGTGGCGCCCACTCCGCCACTTAAGACAGCAATAGTCGCCAAGACCAAGGTCAGGATATCATGGGCCTTCATTATCATAGAGTCGATTGAAAAGACACTGTTCCTGTACGAGGAGAGGCTGAGTGTAGGTAGCTGCTCCCTCCCGTCGCGGTTCACCGAGGGTGCAAGTAGAAGGCTGGATGAGGGGAGAGATGATCCTAAGCAAATATCATAACGAAGAGTCCCGCCAACCCCAAGTGCTGACTAAGTAGATAGATATCATCGGCGAGCTTTCATCGTCACCCGATGGTAGGAAATGTTGCTACGTCCGGTGAGCGGAGTCACAGCGATGATAACAAAAGGACAAATTACTGTAAGTACTGCAGTTGTCGTACAAGTCAAGTAAGCCGAGGGCCCATTTCGCTGATGCCTAAAAAGAGCCACATCCCCCTATCAGCCTCTCCTCCGCACTCAGTGCTTGGTACATACTGTAGTACTCGGTACTCCGTGCCCTCTTCGCCTGTCCTCATGTCTGATTCTTACTCCGTGAAACCACTGCCCTTGCCCAAGTAAGGCCCGAATATAGATGCAGACTGGCGATAGCCTTTCAATACAGGCCTTGCGGTAATGTAGAATTCCGACTAACCCGAGTCTGAATCACTTCTTGAATGCTTTCGAGTAGACCTTTCTCGAACGCCGCCTGCCCTCTTCCTCTTCTTAGATACCAGCTCAAAGTCCGAGTCGTCTTCTGCGTCACCGTCAGGGTCAAAAGCAGTCTCGTCGGGGTCTGTCAAGGCGTTCACAATCTTCTCGAGACCCATCTTATCACCCTCTTTCGTCTCCGAGGCTTCAGAATCTCAACCCAACCTTCAGTATAGCTGCCACCAAGATCGATGATCCAGACACTGTCATTCTCGCCCACGATGGAATTGTCGGCTTTGGCGTCTCCTCACACAATGCCCTTCTTGTGGAGTTCTTTTATCACATCTTGAGCCTCGTCAGCCTACCGAAGTCGTTCCACTAGAGAGACGTCCTGGCTGAGGAAGAAATATCAAGGGTTTCGGCAAAAGGATGTTCATCAAGAGGAGACCCATGATCTCCGCGGTGCTATCTTCAAAGGCTACCAGACCCAACGGTCTTGTTACCATGATTTTGTCGACCATCCCCAGTGTCTCGCGGATTGTGCTCGACGGCGTCGAGATGGACAGTTTCAGGGTCGGCAATCTAGGATAACGCCTCATGGTCTTCGGGGCTGATCCGAGGCAGGTTTTACACCTTCTACATTGTACGCGTACTAGATACGCGTACCAAACATCTGCTGCCCCAGTACCAGTTTGCTTCACTTACTGAGGAGCCCCCCCCCCCCCCCCGACGCCGAACGACCAATAATGAGGCCTTCCAAGTGCCCCGGCTTGAATATTCAAGGGTCATATTTTTGAAAGAGTAAATATCTTCCAACAATTCCTCGTGGCTACCCGTGTCACCTGATCCACCGCGGACAGATGGCGTAAGGGGATTTCACCAGACATGAGGCAGTTTACTTGGGCTTAGCCGTGAATCCTAGAGGCGACGCCCTGACACCGAGGACCCCAGCACAGGGCGAGGTGTTCCCAGCGAACATGGCTTCTACGCGTGAATGTCCTAGCTGACGGAGTAACCTGACGACTTCTCGAGAAAAATCCCTGTGTTGGCAGGGGTTTCCCTCGACCTCAACGTCAATCACCCAGCGTGTGATTGGCCTTGAGGTTAGAGTTTTGCTCCTCGAAACAAATGAATTTTTTTTTTGGTGGTAGCAAGTCCATCTCTGTGATGTATTTCAGGGTCAATATCTTGGGAGACAACGGTTTGACTCTTTTCCTGAACTGTCCCGTTTCTTCCAGCTCTTGTGGGATGAGTCGATCGTTCTCAAATTCTTCTTCAAAAATAAAGCGTCTCTCCGTCGTACCATTCATGGAGCGATTGCTTCTTGGTCTTGGGGGAAGAGTTCCTTGGAGCGAGTCTACGCGTTTCGTGTTCGAAAGCACCCAGTATCCAACTGTGTAAGAAAACCTCGGCATCACCATTTTCCTGCAGCTTTTAAGTCTCCAGCGTCCTCCAGTTTTATCGAGCACATTAGGGTTCTGGCCCAACCCGTATTGTTTCGTCCTATTCATTCACTGCCGAAGCTATGCATCGTGACACCATTAAAGGTGTCCTGCGTGAAAGGTGAGGCACATCGACCCGAGAGCTTATATATCTTTACCTGTCTCTTTCACTTCGACCTCATTCATTTCTCCATACTCACAGTGAACATGAGGGCTGTCTTTATTTTTGTTGCTACGGCGCTTGGTATAAAGCTCGCAGCTGGTCATGCCTCCCTGCGTGCTAATGTCCATGCTCGCGATGTGTGCATCGACTGCCACACGGATGCATTTCCCCCCGGCCCTCCAAGCGGTGGCGGTCGGGGTGGAAGTCAGATCAGGTGGACCGATCAATGCACCGAGTTGGCCGCTGTGAGTGCAATGCCATTTCAGTGTGCAAAACTCAATGTGCCCCTCGACTACACTCGACTGGATTCTGAAAACTTGACTCTGACACTGGTCAGGGTTGACGCTGTCAAGAAGCCTGCGAGAGGTAGTATCATTTTCAATCCGGGCGGTCCAGGAGGAAGCGGTGTTCAAACTGTGATTGCAAACGCGAAATCGTGGCTAATGTGAGTGTAAGGTTGGCATTTTTATGACCATCCGATCGTTACTCAGGCTGACAAAGACAGTCTGACTGGTGGCCACTACAACCTGCTCGGTTTCGATCCAAGGCTTGCTGATGCCGTTCATTGGGAGGGGAATTGATGCTGACAATAAGCAGAGGCGTCAACAATACGTTGCCTTTCTCGTGTGATATTCCCGGCGATACGTGCAAGACTATGAGCCCAGCATGCCCGCTGGCCAATGCATCCGACGTGGCAATTGGGCAAAGGTTTGCGGCTTCAGGCGTCAGATCTTTGCGTTGCCTCGACAGGACTCAGGATACCGGAAGTCTTCTTGGGACGGCCTTCGTTGCGCGCGACATGGTCCGGATCATTGATGCTCTCAATGAAGATGGCTTGCTTCGCTACTATGGTTAGCATGCTCGTTGTGGATCCGATGTGACGGTGATATACTGACTGTGACAGGGTTCTCGTGGGGAACTATACTAGGCGCTACTTTCGCCGCAATGTTCCCTGATAGGGTAGATAAGATGGTTCTGGATGGCAACGTCAATGTGCACGAGTACTATTCAGGCTGGTCAGTCAAGTCACCTTGTCGCCTCCAATTCGAACCCTAACTTGGTCAGGGAGGTCCAAAGCCCAATCAACATGGACGACACATATGATGCAATTTTCTCAGGATGCGTGGTGGCCCCGACCGTCTGCCCCCTTGCTGAACTATACTCGAAAACCAAGCAGATTCAATCAGTTGTTGACGACTTCCTTGCAATGCTCAAGTACAATCCGATTCCATATATCTCTGGCGGAGGCATTCAGATCGCGACGTACAGCAAAGTCAAGACAGCCATCGTGTTGGCACTATACAGTCCTTCCAACTGGCCTCGACTGACGCAAGGGTTCATAGAGATGCTCTCTGGGAACGTGACTGGTTTCTTCGACATCGCTTCCTCCTGGTACGCTGGTCCGGAGGATGGAGACGACGACATCAGCGCGGCAATAACCTGCGGCGAGCAGGCCTTTCGTGCGGAGAGCGTTCAAGGCCTCAAACCGCTCCTGGGCGCGATGTCCGCTTCGAGCAAGTTTGGTGGCTTGGACTTCGGTACCGATAATGCATTTGCATGCTCAACCTGGAAGCAGAAGGCGAAGGAGATCTACTCTGGTAACTTTCGAGTCAAGCCTCGGTCTCCGATCTTGTTCGTCGGAAACACATACGATCCCGTGACACCGCTGGCATCGGCTCTGAACACCAGCGCGGGATTTGGAGGAAGCGTTGTGCTCCAACACAACGGATATGGGGTACGGCATACAGTATCGTTGAGTGAACCGCGGCACTGACTGGGACCATAGCATTGTTCGATTGCACAGCCTTCTTCTTGCACCGCGAAGGCGATCCGTGCATATTTTGACGAAGGCATTCTCCCTCCTGCTGGAGCTGTCTGCCAGCCAAATGCTCCGTTATATCCCGGCGACAGCCGCGTAGGTGATTGGACCAACCTGAGTGATCGGACTGTGCCAGAGGCAATTCGGCAGGACTCGGAAGACGAGTTGGCTCTTCTGGGAGCTGTGTCAGAGATCGCAGGTACAATCTTGCCATGGCTTCGAAAATACCACTTCAGATCTCTTTGACGTCACTCAGCTATTGTTTGGAAGGGAGATCGGTTGGATATCAGAATCACGCCCTCTTCGGTGGAGCCTCGTGGCAGTGATTAAACTGGAAAGTCGTTCGGAGCATGAGGATCGAATGTTCGCTCGCCAAGCTGCAATACGATCAGGTCGAACGAGAATTGCCCCGGTCTTGTCGCTTCTGCCGAGCCTTGCCCACATACTTTCGTGATCCGTCCAGTTTGGTTCTTCGTCGACCACTTCGATATACAAGAGCTCATTTTTTCCCTGCTTCATACCCAACTACTGGCAGTTTGTATCACCAGCACAAAGCGATCGAATCTGGCCATGTCTCATATCGAAGTCATCTGGCCCTGGTTTAGAAGCCTGGTGTATGGCAGATTATGGCCAGGGATTAAAGAACAGCACTCGGCGATATTGAGGGAGCCATCCTCTAGAAGTTGGCCATAATGTTGACTTTCTTTGCGTTCATTGGCGACATCCGCCGTAGGATAGACGTACCCAACTTTCATTTCCGGGGGGGGGGGGGGGGCATGGAATACACGATCAAGACTTTCCAGCCTTCTCCACGGCGCTTTCCTCTAACCGTGTGTTGTACTGGACAGAACTGAACTGATTTGCTTATATTTGTCGACATTTTTGCCTCTTCTCCCCCCCAAAAGGCGTCTCTTCCACATTTCTCACGACCATCTGAGCCCAGATTGGTGTACCATGGCGTTCAACGTACCAACGCTAGCGGGGCACGTTATTTCTTGAACGCTTCTTCGACCTTATATTGGCAAAACAGATTCACCCCTTGTTGATCCGAGCCGCACGCCTTGAGATATATCGAGGTTCCCGGAAATTGTTAGAATCGAAGGTGCAGGGCCAACTGGACCTCGTCCAACCACGACGATGGGAAGCTTGAATGCTGGGGATCAGCAAGTAACTTCGGGCCTCCTAATGACGGAGCTGTTTACCGAATTCCGATGCCATAATGAATCTTCTTGTTGGCGTTGAGCGATGGAAAGAAAGATTGTTCCGTGGGCTTGCTTGAAGTCCCTAAGCAAATGCCGGTGTGCCGTGATTGGTACCCGACCGCTTGTGGGACGGGGCTGCGAACCTGGCCCGATATATCATATCATCCCACACCATCCAATGTGGGAGAAACGACTATATATATCCACCCCCGCCGGGGCAGCAGGCAGAACCCCGTAATTCTGTAGAGCTCTGGGCCAATTTCTTCAGGTAAAACAGGACAATCCCAGCAGACGAGGCTGACTGTTGCGTGGCTCCCTGAAAACACCAAAGCGACAGAAATCACCCCACCTTCTCAGGTAAAAGAAACTGGAAGCTTCAAACCCCCGAGACTGCTTGATTTGTACGTTGCAACATTCATAAAGCACCACCAGCAACAATGTTGACCGAAGCTCTGGTGGTCTCTGAGCCTGGCGCGCCATTCAAATATCAGAAAGTCCAACTGCAAGATGATTTAAGATCCGACGAGGTGGCAGTGCGCATAAAAGCGACAGGTGTTTGTCACACGGACTTGAACTTTGCAAACGAAAAGTCCATGCCTGAACTATATCCTGCTGTGCTTGGACATGAAGGAGCAGGTATCGTCGAGCGGATTGGTTCTGCTGTCACAAAAGTTTCGCCCGGTGATCATGTCATTGTATGCTATTCGAGCTGCGGCAAATGCAAGTATTGCATTCGCAAGGAGACGTCATACTGCGATTTATGGTTCCAGTACAACTTTGGTATAGGACGGCTAGACGGATCCAAGACTTTCTCCTCGACCACAGACGGCCAACGCATCACGTCTCACTTCTTCGGCCAGAGCAGCTTCGCAAAGCATATTCTCGTATCGGAAAACGGGCTGGTGAAGGTCGACAAAGACATTTCTTTTGAGAAACTGGCCCCACTAGGGTGCGGCATGATGACGGGTGCTGGAGGTACGCGATGGCTATTTGATAGTTTGATCTGTTGTGTGTCTGACAAAGGATGAAAGCTATGCTGAACGTTATCGAACCAACATCTGAAATGGCGGTCGTGGTGGTGGGAGCAGGAACAGTAGGGCTAGCAGCAATAGTAAGTCTCCAGGATCTTCTAATACGAGGCGCATGAAGCTTTCAGGATACGTCGCAACGCCAACAATCGTTGAGTAGGAGGAAGTCGTCGAGCTGTCGCTGTGTCAAAAGGCCTCAATCAGCGCTCGTTGCCGGTGTCATCGGTCGGGTGCTGTTGTGAAGAACTGAGTCAGTTTCTAATTGTGTTGCAGATGGCTCTAAAATTACTCGACCATCCTCCCAAGAAGATTATTGCTGTGGATGTCGTTGCAAGTCGACTAGAAATGGCACGGGCGTATGGAGCGACTCACGGGGTGAACTCCAAGATCCGACCAGACCTGATGAAGGTGCTGATGGATATCACGAATGGGCGAGGGGTGGACGGCGCGATCGACACCACTGGCCGACCACCGGTCCTCAAGGAGCTCATTCACAGCGCCGCCAGGAAGGGCAAAGTCGTATCAGTGGGTGTAGGAGACGTAAGTTCTGGGCCGCAACATCTCGCTGTCAGACATACTGACGGTGTTTTCAGCTCTCAGCAGAAGCATCTTACAACATTTTTGAGATGGTCAACTCAGGGTGCAGCTATATCGGATGCTGTGAAGGAAACTGCTTTCCGCCTGAGTTTCTTCCGCGACTATTGACGGCAAATCAGGCGGGGAGATTCCCATACCATGAGTTGATCAAGACGTATCCGGCGAAGGAAATGGCACAGGCTGTCAATGACATCCATAGCGGCAAGACGGTGAAGGCAGTGCTGCTGTGGGATTGAAACCCTTAGAGACCCCTTGCCTCCGATTGTGCGTACGCGGGAGGGAGACCGCTCCGTGAAGGGCAAGCGAAGCCTTTCCCAGTGTCCAGAAAGGTGCTGCTGCGATTAGTGATAGTAGACAAAGACGTGGCCGGAGCTGCTTGTTGGTGATGCGCTTGTTTTCTCCTGCATCGCGTGCTGCGTACTGTTGGGAACTCTATGCAGGTTGACGGGCGCTTCGCCACCAACCAGGGCTGCTGACCAAGACAAGGCTCGGCTTCAGCCTCAATACAGGTAGTTGCATACCTGTACCTTAGTTAGCCTCAGTGGGCTGCGGCTGCGGAGTATCGATAAGCAGCGTCCCGAAGGTTCCAGCCTTGTTTATGCAAACACACTTCTGCCTCTGTTACAGTGACGACGGCTTTGCAGCCCTCGCGGTGGCGGGTTGCTTATTTTCTGATCCAGCAGACATCACATATCTTTAGCCCACCATGTCGACACCCTCAGCTGCCCCCGAGTCCTCCTCATACACAGCCATGGACCGAGACGTCGAAGCGATTGGCAAACACTGCGAGTTTGCCTACTGCCACCAACTAGACTTTCTCCCTTTTCGTTGCGAATCCTGCCATCACACTTTCTGTCTGGATCATCGTACTGAGACCGCGCACAAATGTACTCACGCTGGCGAATGGGCCAAGAACAGACGACGCAACAGCGTTGGGCGGGCTGCAGCTGCATCGACTCCTGGTGCCGGCCGGCCGAACCATTCCAATGCAGCACAGTGCAGCAATTCCACCTGCAAGACCTTCATAAATACACTGCAGAATACCGGTGTCCACTGTCCACATTGCAACCGGAGTTACTGCCTCAGGCACCGCATGCGGGAGGATCACGACTGCAAGAATCTCATCCCGCTGGGTGCACGGCCTCTCGATATTGCCGTGCAGAGCAACAAGGAAAAGATCAAACTCGGGTTTGGACGCTTAAAGACATGGAGCAAGAACCAGCAAGAGATGCTCGTGCCCAAGCCCAAACCGTCGAGTCGGGCTGCACAACTCGCCGACCTGAACAAACTGAAAAAGAATGCCAAAGGAGATGACAAACTGGATGCGGAGAAGAGAGTATATCTACATGTTGAAGCCGAGGCAGCAAGTACGACCAGCAAACTCCCGAGGGCAGATTTGTTCTTTTCACAGGACTGGAGTATCGGGCGATTATTGGACGACGCGGCAAAGAGGTTGCAGGTCGCGAACGTGAACAATCGCGTGGAAACAGAAGAACAGAGGCTTAGAGTCTACCATGTCGAGGGCGGTAGACTACTGGAATTTTCAGAGAAGGTTGGAAAATCACTGATCAACGGGAACACAGTGGTGCTGCTGCGAGGTGTAGGGCCTAAGGAGGCTCCGTCGTAATTTCAGATATCTTCTACCGTCTATGATAGTCATCAAGATTGTCGTATCTGGGAGCGAGATGATCTGGAACGGATAGCATTGGCGTTAAAAGGAGCACGACTTAAATCTTTGACTTTCTGATGGGTACAAACGATATGTGAATCCTGATTTGCAGCAAGCCCTGCCGACATGTTATAGTGAGGCAATGGATCTAAGCTGCCGAAACGGCGCTTAGGTGACATGAAATACAATGTTACTATCAATTAATGGGTCGAATTGTTGTTGAGTGAAACTCCTTGCCATGCCATGGACGCGGTAATTCGACTCCCAGCTCACCCCTTTTTGGGGCCAAGGTCGACATGACACCCTGTGGTCCATCCTTGTCAATAGATCCAACATTGCATGACCAAAAGGAGGGAGCTTGACCTCGACATCAGGGAATATTTCGTTCTGACTCGTGTCGTATAGCCCAGTGTGGGTGTCGATTCAGTAACTTTGCACTCTCAGATGGATTCATAGTCGGACCAGAATATGCGCAACACACAAATCTTGCATGGCTCCGTAGGAGGCTGTGACGGGCGAGTGAGCGAGAGATGAGGCAGTTTACAACAAGACAACCTCCGAAGCAAGCAACGGCCCATTTGGCGAGCTCAGCGGATCGAATTGCAAGACCAGTGGCCCTACAGAAATAGGCCAACCGTTGAGGAGAGGCCCTTTCACAGGATCTTTCATGAAGGCCAAAAACTGTCCCTGCATGTATGCACTCAGCTGGTCCTCATACGCCGGACGCGGCCTTGGGTCGATATCAGTGTTGGCGTAGGTCCCGAACAGCAGCGGCAGCTCATGCACCCAGCCACGGCAAGGGCGAAATGTCACTGAAATTGGCGTTGTTGGAATAGCCGTAGGTGATGACGCCAACGGCGTTCCTGGCCGTTGTTTCTGTGACCTGTAAAAGCTCCGCGGCTTGCGTGACGACACCGGCCTGAGCAAGCTGATCCAATGGAGGCAGACTCGGGCTGTCCCACGGGATAATGACGGTGCCCTCGTTGGTGCAGGTACCCATGATCACCGGCTAGATTGGGATGGCAAAAAGGCCAAAAGTCAGGAATATCGTTCTCCCTCGCACAAACGCTGAACATTCAGGAAGGGAGAAACCAGGAAGGGAGCAAGACATACCTCGCGGCTGAACTGACCAGCAGCCATCTTGGCCGGGTAATTGTTGTGTCCAAAGTACGTCTTCCCGTCAATGACAGGGGTGAAGTCGTACTTGGTGGTAACGTTCGGGTCCTGGAAATACGCTTTTATCTGAGAGAAAGGTACCTGGCGCATGCATTGGAGTTCGGTAGCGGCGGTGAGGTTGCCGCAGCCCAAATGACTGGCAGCGGTAGTAAAATTGGAAAACGTAGTGTCAGCATTTTGTGCTGGCCAAAAGGCGTTCCCTGAGCTCAGAATGAAACCTGTAACGAGGGGATCCTGAGGGTAGGCAAAGTTATAATAGTCAGCAGACAGGGCACCGGCCGATTGACCCCAGAGAGTGATTTTGTTGGGGTCGCCGCCGAACGACGCGATGTTATTATGCACCCATTCCACCCTGAGTGCAACAGTGTCAGCCTATTCATCTGCCGAAGTCGAAAGTCAAGTCAAAACTTACGCAAGCCTCTGATCAAGTAACCCAAAGTTATAGTTGGCCTGCTCTGCAGCAAGCCCCGCCGAGTTGGGAGTCCCAACGAATGCAGTGCGGTAGTTGATTGTGACAACGATGAGCTCTTGGGACCGTTGGATCCACGGAGCAGCGTTATAGTACTCTGTATTGGTTCCGCCTTGCACAAAACCTCCCCCATAAAGGAAGATGAGCACCGGAAGACTGCCAGTAGTATTGGCGTACTGACCCGTTTGAGAAGTCTGGATGGTTGCATTTCGAGGTGTCCAAATGGCCAGTGAGAGACAGTCCTCGGACGACGCTGCCACGGTGTCTCTGCTGGGAAGATACTGAGGACGGAACTCGTCGTAAAAGACCACATGGGACGCCTGTGGGAAGTACTGCAGGCAGACCGGGCCAAACTGGGAGGCATCCACGTTGCCAGCAAAAGATTTCGCAACTGGCGGAGCAAACCTCAGGTTGCCAGTAGGAGATTCGGCATAAGGCACATTCAGGAACTGGGCCACATCAGGATGGTCAGGCAGCACGATCCCTTGGATGACACCAGACGAGGTGCGGATGCTTGGCCGATCATTGCCTCTAGGTTGGATGGCTGCACAGGAGCCTAGGCAGAGAAGTGTCTGTACAGCCAACAGAACGCGGTGTAAGAGAGGAAGGGGCGCCTGCATGATGGAAGGGCAGCAAAGGCCAACCGGGATTCTGAAAAAGAGTGACCTGTGACGGGAGCGTCCCAAAGAGCAAGCAAATCAAAAGATATTGAAAGGAAGTGATGTTTTCAGCAACTCCTTTGGATGAGATTCCAGGGCAACCCATCTATCTTATATAGTTTATACAGTTGCAGAGGATCAGGACCTGCAACGAACTGAGGGAGGATGCCCCAGCGAGCAACGGACATGGCTGTGGTGATCGGAATCTTCATTTTGCGCAGTGTAAGAACGCACCTCCTGAGTCCTTTGACACCACTTGATTTCCACATCCCCTAGCTGGGTTGGAACTAATTTTGACCTTTGCCAGGAAAGTGTGAGCCGTTTTGCACCAACCACCGAGGAGGGATTCAGTCGCGTGGGCGTGTGCGAATCCGAGTTTGGGCGCTGCATCGAAGGATGCGCCCCAGGAAATCAGATGCGGCCGCCGTCCGCATTCCTGGGTCTGGAGAACATCCGAGCGTCCGGGGTACAATGCGAAAAATACGAAGAATGCAAAGAGCTTCTCTTAATCTCGCTTGCCGAGTGTCGATCTGTGCTGCTGTTGTGACTTTACACTTTTAGCGAGCGACACCCCAGGTCCCCAGGTCCCCAGGCCCCGGGGCCCGGTGTCGCGAGCCGTTGCCGAAACGAGACCATACCCGACGTCCAGATCCACTTTGTCCCATACGATCTTCCTGGCTGCTTGGACAACCCTTCGGCTATGGAGAGAAATCCCAGTAGTGTCTCGAATGGTCAGTCACCAACTCTGACTTGATGCTGGCCAGAATAGATCACTGAGCTGAAATTGAATACAAAAATATGATGATGGTTTTTGGCGTGTAGTCACCAGACATCCCTCCAATTCGCTTCATGGTGACACGCGCCATTTGATCATAGAAGCCACGTTCTCCGAAGGCTTTGCGCGCCGCCGCTCCCCAGATTCAAGGACGGGGAACTAATGTCACCCACTCTCAGATCACACCGATCACAAATCTGCGAGTGTTGTGTCTCCATGGGGGCTCGAAAGGAATAGTGAGACCAGCAACGATCTGCCCCAGGTCGACCTAGGGTACTCGGTGTACAAGGCCTCTGCATACCAACAAGCTGGCGACTTTTATGAGTTCACTAACATACGCTATGCTGCGCCTCCAATAGGAAATCGCCGATTTCGACCGCCACAGCCACCACTAAGCGACAGAACAGAAGTCCAAACTGGGTTGAAGGGCAACATACCAGTACAAGCCATCCCCATATGGAGGAGGGGTCCCCAAGCTTGGCCATATCCCGGCGCTGAAGACTGCCTTTCTCTGGATGTCAAGGTCCCTCGAGCTGTCTGGAATGCACGGAAAACGCCTGTTCAACGCGCTCCGGTGCTCGTCTGGATATATGGAGGTGGCTATACTGCTGGGTCGAAGGAGCTATTCGGCACAGGGGCCGGGCTACTGGCGAGATCAGCTGAGCCCATCATCTACGTTGCGTTGAACTATAGAGTAAGGCCTCCACGATTTGCATGCATGCCTTAAGAGGAGTACTGAGTACTGAAATGCCTTTAGCTGGGAATTTATGGGTTTCTGGGCGGTCGAAGATATGTCAGCCACGGTGGTACGGCGAACCTGGGCTTGCTGGACCAACGATTTGCACTGTTGTGGATTCAGGAGCACATCTCAGCCTTTGGTGGTGACCCGGAGCGAGTGACCGTCATGGGAGAGTCAGCTGGAGGCGGATCAATTCTGCATCAAATTACCGCGTACGGAGGATCCCAGGGCCAGTCGCCATTTGCGCAAGCCATCATACAAAGCCCTGGATTCTACCCCATCACAAGACCGGAGGTTATGGATCACCATTATCAATCAGCCTTGGACTATGCTGGTTGCAGGCATTTGGATGATCTGGTGCGTTTGTCTGAGGAAAAACTGAAAGAGATCAATCTTGCCGTTATCGATCAAGCACCGTATGGCCAGTTCTTGGTATGTTGGTCCACAATGACGCCGCCCGTGCGTTACTCCTTGCACGCAAGAGACACTGACTCTGATTGAAGCTGGGGCCCGTGGTCGATGGCGTTTTCACTCCAGATTTGCCTGGCAAGCTTCTCAAAGCTGGTTCCTTCGATCGCGACCTGAAGATAATGCTCGGTCAGTGCTACAACGAAGGGCATGATTATGTAGAACCGGTACCAATCTCGCCATCATATTTCTCCGCCTATCTGGATCGCACCTTTCCGGCACTGACGCCTCCCGTCAAGGACTTCATCACGGATTCGCTATACCCTCTAACTGCAAGAGAAGAATCTGCAAGACCCGACCAGAAGAACAGTGAGGTCACCCCTCAGCCTCCATTTTCCCATGAGCCGCCATATTATAGTACTCCCTCGGCTTGCCTCCAACGTCTCATTACCGACGCCATCTACATCCAACACAACAATGCACTGTCAGAAGCCTTTCAAAACCAGACCTACAACTACCTGATGAGCCTTGCCCCAGGCACACATGGTACCGACGTGTCGTATATCTTTTACAACGAAGGCAAAGAAGAGACCCCTCTGCCAGGATTGCCCAGAGTCAAGAACCCCAAACTTGCCCATCATCTTCAAAGGTACCTTACCAACTTTGCATTGTACGGTAACCCTAATGGACACATCGAAGGCGGGGACCTGCCCATCATGCGAATAAGGGGGGACGAGCACGTGGTGCTCAATTTTGCAGACGATGGGATCCAAGAAATCAGGGATCCGAGTGCAAAGGAGCACTGTTGTTGGTGGCAAAAGGGTTTGTTCGCTTGATCAACTGCTCAGTACATCATTTCTGGCGTACATTGTTTAAGAAATTGAGAAGGACTATACCGCAGTGCACAGATAAACAATATCACGAGCCGTCCGGATACTGGAATGGCTTCCGGGCTATGTGCGAGCCCCTTGCTGTTACTGTTCATATTCGCGACAAAGTACCTTAATCCCGCCTTTTCCAGCGATTACGGTAAATTGACACCATGGTCTCCAAACTCGTGCTGTAAGATCACAAAAAGGCTTCACCTGCAGACTTCGTAAGCTAGGTGTCGTCTCTGGCACCTTCTCCATGGGAACGTCTTATCCCAATTGAGGCATTTTTCTAATTTCATTTGTCGGTACACAACTGGGTCCAGATAGGTTAATGCAAACTAATCTATCTTGGTCTGTTGTCTGTGGGCCGGTCAAGATCCACTCCATTACCATAGCCGACGTGCAGAGCATTCGTTAGGTTTCGTGTAACACCTCCTGAATGGAGAGCATCTTCTGCTTGGAAATAGTCCGGCGATCCCCGTCGCAGCAAGGAATGCCGGTAACGGAACACAGAAGGTGGTTGTGCAAGAAGTTTGGTCCTGAGACCGGGTGATTGACAAACTCGATAGCGGAGTGAGGTTGAAGTCTAGGCAATCAATGCATGCGACATCACTGAGCTCAGCTGTCGGTCAAGATTCAATATCTTCCAACGAAGCACCTCAACATGAAGATGTCACCAAGTCTAAGTCTCCTTCGTTATTCTTTTCAACCTCGAACACGGTTTAGATTACGAAACCATCTCCATGTCCGGTCAGCTTCCATCAGAGACCAAGCGTGCAAGCGGAATTCTGTTCGTGATTTACGAAGGAGTATGAGTACACCGATCATCCTCGCGAGTTTCATGAACAGACTATTGACCTATATGTAGCTGTGGCAGCTGGTCTAGCCCTCGTGGGAGCTGGGCTTGCAATTAGCACAGTAGGATATTTCTTATCGTCAGAGTCTGCGAGCACTTCGTCCACCCAATCTCTCGAAGCCACGCCCACGATACAGCATAATGTTTCGCCGGCAAACATAAGCGAGGCTTGTCGGGAGTTTCGTCGCATAGTAGGAAAGGCGAACGTGTCCACAGCCACTGCCGATCTCATCAGCCATTCTGGATCGGATTACCAGTCTTATGCCTGGACCGAAGCCACAGCTACGCCGGGAGAAGTTGTGGTTTATCCCGCTTCGACACAGGAGGTCTCGGAGGTCGTCAAAGTGTGTCACCGGCGCCGGATACCAATAACGCCCTATTCGGGTGGAACGTCAATCGAAGGTCAATACATTCCGAGCATGGGTGGCATTTGCATTGACTTTACGAGAATGGACCAAATACTCGAGATCAACCCCCTCGACCTTGATTGTGTGGTTCAGCCTGGACTTGGTTGGCAGGATCTGAATCACCAGTTGGAATCTCAAGGTCTCTTCTTCCCACCGGACCCGGGGCCAGGTGCGATGATCGGTGGCATGGTGGGTACTGGCTGTTCTGGGACGAACGCAGCTGCCTACGGTACCATGAAAGATTGGGTTTTGTCTCTCACAGCCGTGCTTGCCGACGGGACGATTGTGAAGACAAGACAGAGGCCAAGGAAATCGAGCGCAGGCTACGATCTGACGAGGACCATCGTGGGAAGTGAAGGGACTCTGGCACTGGTGACAGAGGCCACCTTAAGGTTGGCGGTAAAGCCGAGATTCGAGTCGGTTGCTGTCTGTACCTTCCCCTCGGTCAAGGAAGCCGCTCGAGCTGTCGAGTCAATCATTGGCAGAGGCATTCAGGTTGCTGCCGTGGAGATCCTGGACGAAGTGCAAATGAGAAGCATCAACGAGGCTGGTCTGACAAAGCGCAAATGGAAAGAAGAGCCATCCCTGTTCTTTCGGTTTGCTGGCATCACGGACTCGATTGTCCAAGAGACCGCAAAACTAGTGGGAGAGATCGCACAAGGTCATGGCTCTACGTCTTATGTCTTTGCGACGGATCAGGAGGAACGAGAAGAGCTCTGGTCGGCTAGGAAGAATGCGCTATGGTCCATGATGGCTCTCCGACAGCATCCAACGGACAAAGTCTGGACTACTGACGTGGCCGTACCCATAAGTCGGCTGTCCGACATCATAGAAGCGACCAAATCCGATATCCAGGCAAATGGCCTGCTTGGGTCGATAGTGGGACACGTCGGCGACGGGAATTTCCACTCTTTGCTCCTGTTTCCGGAAGAAAAGCGCGATGTTGCAGAAGCTGTCGTGCACAGAATGGTGGACAAAGCAATCCAGATGGAAGGAACCGCGACAGGAGAACACGGCGTCGGCTTGGTGAAAAGAGACTATCTTGAAAAGGAGCTGGGCAGGTCCACGGTGGACTTGATGCGTAAGGTGAGATTGAGATTGCCTGTGCCCCTCCGAGATGTTTGCGACTAACCTCAGGCGCAGATGAAGAGTGCTTTGGACCCCTTATGCATCCTGAATTGCGACAAAATAGTCAGGGTCAAATAATCTCTTGAAGGTTCAATCTCTCGGTGCGCACGAACAGTGCCGGGATTCTGGGATCAGCTATATGGACGCAATATATCGAAATGAAGAATGGGAGATCGAGATGGTTATATTATGGTTTCTGAGTATCTCGTGCGAACACATTGATGAGGAAGAGCCGGCCCGAGCAACATCGGACTTTGAACCCATAGGAAAAGAGTATTCGCGAGCAAGATGATAGAAGAGGTCTCTGGCCTTCGTATGTTTACCGTTGCATGGCCAGGATAGAAACAGCGAGCTGACAGCACTCAAATGCCTTTCTCAATTCTTCGCATAGTGTTCTGATTGAGAGATACTACTGAAAACCGGAAGTGTGGGCGAAATCCACAGGTGTCCAAGATATGCCATGTTACGAATCTGAATCCATATGTATTGGTACCGGGACTAGGTCAGGGTGTAGCAGGGACGTCCAATCACCTCAAATCAGGCTTGAAGTTCTGGCTCTGTTTCCCAATCGCATAGCCAGCGTGTTTCAAGCTTTCGCCCAGCTAGACCTTTGACTCCGATCCTTACCTCCTCCCCGGGGACCAAGTCTACAAAATTGTCATCGAACACGGCATTGTCGCCTTCCTCCTCCGGCACAGAAACCACTACCCCCTTGAGCGGCGTTTTGCTGCGTAGAACAACGGTTTCTTCTCCTTCAATCCTGCAGTCGACCGATGACTCTGCAGAAAATCGGACGTACTTCAACGGTTCCGGCCACGAAACCCACCGTGCCAACAGACCACCCGACGCATCATCATGCCGGAGGTAGGCCACGACAACCGTCGTATCTGGGGAGGGAATGTCCACAGTCAGAAGCTCTGTGCTCTGGTTCGGAGGAAGAGTAAACGACGTCCTCTTGCCGTGCAGCGATAATGATAATTCCTTGCCGGTCCCTATGTCAAACCCACGGAGTTCGAGCTTCGTTCCTCTTGCTTCCAATTCCCCGTTCACCGCCCAGATCTCTGCCTTCGCCTTGGTCGGCAACATGCTTCTCAGCATATAGTTTGGCTTTGACGTAATAATGCGTTCCATGCCCACGGCAAAGCTCGCCAATGCTCGCTTGGTGGCGTAAAAGGCCGGCTTGCGGTGCCCGTCCACGTCGACTAAAGCCCACGAGACGGCTGGCCAGATATCGTTGAGCTGCCAGACCAGAGCACCTGAACAATATTCCCGCCCTGGGCCCCGGAATTCTCGCCGCCAAATATTGTAGGCATATGAAATGGCCTCGCCCTGGAGGAACTGCGTGCAGTACACAAAATCTTTCAATGGATGCATTCGAAACCGGAAGTTTTCGCTCATATACATTCCATACCTGCGTTCGTGGCCTGAGCAGGCGTCAGCATCAGGAAACAAACACCACCGAAGCCATGTAGCTCTCAAGTTACAATTCAAACGCTGATCGAACTGGTGAAGGGCAATGCATAGGGTAAGAGAGGGCCAGAACTGACCTTCTCCTTTATCATGGAGTTCCAAAGTCCTGCTCTGCCAGTGGCGTTCTTTGGGATCCTGCACTGCACGGTGCAGAGTTCTGATGTCAGGAGCAGACTCGATTCCGAACTCGCTTGCAAATCTTGACGTGAACTTTTTATAGTCACGATACGGTGCCATTTTCATGTGCCATACTAGACGGGGGCAATCAGTAAGGGTCCAGCAGAGCAAATATTCAAGCACCAAAAAGAGGAACAGGCAAGGGGCTGGCTTACCCTGCCAAACGTGAGCGTCGCCGACTATTCCATCGTTAGCAGACTTCCCAGCATATGGTGAACCCCTCCAGTACGGCACATCGCCTCCAAACTGACGACACGCTTCTGGCAGAACTCTCTCATATATCTCCCTTGCTGGGAAATTCGTCGCGTCCCACGGCCCATGCTCATCACTATAATCGATCTCCCAACCCAGAAGTTCAGCGTACATGTAATCCTCGTTATTGCCAGCCCAGATGGCCAGCGAAGGGTGGTGCCCGACGCGTCGAAGCAGCGCCTCGGCCTCAACCTTGACACTTTGGATAAAATCTGGTGCATTGCCGCCGGGATAGTTGCCACAGGCAAAAAGGAAGTCTTGCCAAACAAGGAGACCCTCGCGGTCGCAGATCTCGTAGAAGAAATCGTCCTCAACAATCCCGCCTCCCCAAACACGTATCATGGATTGGTTCCCACCTTTAGCGAGCAGCAACCAGTCTTCATACCGTTGCCGGGTGAATCGTGGTAGCAACATGTCACCGGGTATCCAGTTAGAGCCACCGCAGAACACTCGGATGTTGTTGACCTCGAAGACGAAAGCCTTGCCTTCGGCGCCTTGTAGGCCGTGCTGCAGAAGTCGAAGACGACGGAGTCCGATCTTGGTCTCCTGCAGGTCGTGATCTGGGAGGGACGCTCGCACCGTGTACAGCGGCTGTGTACCGTATTGAAAAGGATACCAAAGCTGAGGGCGATGGACCGGGATGGCGCATTCAAATGCCTGGGAAGATGATACAGCGACAGAAGATTGAAAAACGGGTTTGCCATCTGGGGATACCAGGGTCACCGTCACAGTATTGCCATCAGCCGGAGCACCCTGTATCATACCTTTCATGGACACGGTTGCGGTCTGAAGATCGGATTCTGTCTCTTGCCTAACCAGAAAGCCGGTTATTCTCGAGGTGTAGACCTGAAGATATATCGGCTTCCACGGACCGGAAGTATTGAGCGCCGGTCCCCAATCCCAGCCTGTACATGGTGATATCAGCACAGATATTCCAAGACACCTGAAATCGATGATATGTTCGCGAAAGAAGCACTTTGGGGACAGAAAGGGAAGACCTTACCCCAATGATATTGTGCCTTTCTAACGAAACACCTCTCCCCAGCCGGTTGAATTCTCTCATATGGATCCACTGCTGCCGTGCCCTTGTACCCGATCCGCTGCCATTCCTTACGAGCATAACTGGGTGCGTTTCGAAACCTCAGCTCCAATGTTGACGCCTCCTTGCGCCCACGAACGAGTTTCGTGACGTCGACCTGATGTTCGATGTTCATGTTGTTCGCGTAAAGTATGTGCTCGTCATTCAGGAATACGTCCACAATGGTGTCCAACCCTTCGAACACCAGCACAGCTCTTTCATGTGGCTGTATGTCGACGGGCTCGATGTTCTGCGTTCGGTAGGTCCAGTCCGCGTCGTTGACCCATAGGCAGTCGACCTCGTTGCTGTCCAGGTCTGGGTCAGGAATAAGCTTGTGGTGCAAGAGATCCAGATGGGCGACGGTCGGGAAGCCAGCGACGGGGAGAAAGGACGAAGACGCGCACGAGTTGTTCAAGGTGGTGGATTGTTTGAAATGCCAGCCATGGCTAAGTGGGATTTTGCGCAGCAATGGCATTCTTGGGTATTTTGATCTTCTCTCACGATTTACTCGAAGGTCAGAGAGTACAAGCATGTCACAACTTGGAGCATCGACCAGCGTCCATTACATATACCTTTCTACTTCCCTGAGACCATGAAAGGGTCATGCTACAACATCATTCTAGGACGCCAGTGGATACCATTCACGACTCTTTAGAGTCGCATACTCGCGGTAGATAACTCCATTGCAGGCTGTATCTCCGTCGTCTCCACGAGTTGACCTGTAGGTAACTTCAACGATGGCCGTATCTCCGTTGGCTCCACGTAAAAAAGAATAATGGATGTACAGCATGGTCAGATGTGCAAACAAAATTGACAGCATTGATCGACGTCGGACTACGAAGCACCCGAGGTGTTAGTTTCTTTTTTTTGGCGCAGTCTTCCTTTGGACAACTTCCGACCATGAAGTCACCTTCGGCAATGGTAAATGTATTATGAGGGGCGCCATGTCCGTACCCGTTGTGCTGTTGCTGACCCATTGGCCCTAGCCTCCATCTATTGTCGACAAGCTTCTTACGCATACGTCCAATGTGACCCGTCCTCCATGCAAGGAGTCGAGCAGCCTCAACGTGAGGTTACGCTGGAGACTTCGGCAAAGACCAGAAGAAGCCAGTCCGCACCAAGTCTCATTCTCTTCTTCAGGGGCTCTCAAGTTATAGAGCACTCTCAACATGGGAAATGCAACCGAGGCCCTTGCCCGATGTCAGGACTTGGTCTCGATTTTGCAGACCGAGTCTAACCGTTCGGGCAAGATACTGAGGATGGGCTATTGCCAGGACGACAATATTTACGACATTAAGCCAGTTTCAACGCTCCATCTCAGTAGACTGGGGAAATGCCTTCCCCCACGGGGTAAGTATCCTTAGCCGGCAAGGGGGATCATACCCCATCTCTATATAGATTCTTACATCCCCCGAAGATCCCCGGAGGAATGAATAGAGAAGAGGATTGTCTGTCTCTTGTCTTGCTTTCAATGCCCTGGCCCAAGGTCTGGAAGAGTATTGTTGTCAGTCATATCACACATTCAGTTAACGGCACGCACATTTGATTCTACTTGTCTCGGACTATACACACGACCACAGCATGTCTGAAGCTGAGTCAACGCCGGTCGAAAGACGGGGCCTTGGCTTTCACCTTAAACACAACAAGAGACTTCTGCTGACAGGTTTGCCTCGTTCTCAGCTGCTCAATTCTGTGTATCTACTGACAGATTTTTCACAGTTCTGGCATTAGCCTCACCTGTTTTCACATATGGCTACGACGGCATCATTATAGGGGGCACGCTTGCCGCACCTGCCTTCGTCAAGCAGTTCAGCCACGGCAAAAGATTAACATCCACTGATGTTAGCATCATCGTCGCCGTTCCCAACGGAGGCTCTGTCATCGGCTCTTTGATTGTCGCCTACGGTGGCGACTTGCTAGGCCGCAGGAAGACGCTTCTTGTCGGATGTTTGATAAACTTGATCGGCGCAGCAATGCAGACAGCATCTTCGGATCTAGGCCTTCTGACAGCTGGGCGCGTGTTTTCTAGTAGGTCTCACAACAGCGGCAAACCCAGCCAACTTTTACCAACTGTGACACTCATTGACCCCCTGGGCATCAGACGCGGCAGCTTACGTTTTCCTCGGAATGACGGTTACTTTCCTGAACGAGGTTGCCCCTGCGTCCTTGCGCGGCATTATCGGTGGCCTGACCATCTTCTCAATTAATGTCGGTGTCGTGCTCGGTTCGGGCATTTCGCTGGCCACCTGGGATATTCCAAATAGCGGCGCCTGGCGCCTTCCGCTCGGCTTGCAGCTCATTTGGCCACTCCTCATAGCCATCTTTGTGTTCTTTGTGAGGGAATCTCCTACCTCGTACATCATCAAAGGCGATGATGAGCAAGCTCTGGTCAGCTTGCGTAAGATCCGCAAAGGTTACAGTGAAGAGGAATTGGAGGAGGAGATGACGAGCCTCAAGTTACAGGACAGTATCCGACAAGCCGAGAAAGAGGTTGGATGGATAGAGCTCTTCAGAGGGGTTAACCTTCGGCGCACCCTGCTGTCCGCCTTCATGGCCAACGTTACGACGCTATCCGGTGTCATCTATGCTAGCAACTATGCAACTATTTTTCTACGCCAGATTGGGAGTACAAACCCCTTCGTTCTTGTCCTCGGCTTGGGACTGTTGGCATTTGGTGGCAGCGGTGCCGGCCTGGCCTTGATACACTTGCTCGATCGTCGAAGGCTCGCACTATCAGTCTTCTCGGCCATCTTTGTCATCGACCTCGTCATTGGAGTGATGGGGTGTCTGGACACCACCGCAACCTATAAAATCAAGACCATTGCAGCATTTTCCCTCATGTATGGCTTTTTCTACGCAGCAGGATTTGGGCCGCTGGTGTACACATCTACGGCTGAGATCCCCAACGCTCGATTGCGGAACAAGACGGCCGCATTCACTTTCATCACTAACGTTGCTAACTCGACTGTGTGCCTCTTTGTTTTCCCCTATATCACTTCTGATCCGTAAGTGATCCTCAGACTTGTCACTCTAAGATTGTCAACCACATTCCGTACTGAGAGCTAATGATTTCTCTAGAGGCAATCTTGGTGCCAAAGTGTATCTGCTGTTTGCTGGCTGCATGTTTTTGGTCATCGCCATAACTTGGCTCTTTTTCCCCGAGGTCAAAGGTCGCACGCCGGCTGAAGTGGACGAAATGTTCAATATGAAACTGCCAGCCAGGAAATTCAAAGGTACGTGGATCGGTCTCCCGCTGTCTGGGTCACGTAGTTTCCATTCGCTTGCGGGATCATATGGAAGAGTATTAATGCCTGTGTTAGGCTATACCTGTGCGGTAGCACCTAAGAGTATCCACCAGCAGCTCAAGGATGAACGACACATTGAGCAAGTGGAGGTTTCCAAAACTGGTGATTAAAAATTCTACTGTCAGTGATGTACTACAGAAGATTTTCAAAGGTCGGAGAGCGAAGCGAAGGGTGAAAGAATCCCTATAGGACGTAGTGCAATGGGACGTGATGAATATGTAGTGCTTGGTAGATACAGAGTTGGTGACTGCAAATCCGAATAAAATTGTTGAGATCTTCGCAGCTTACATACCTGTGGAAAATGACGAGGTGCATTAGTTCTCGACAAATTCTTGTGCAATATCTAACTCACATACTGGCATGTATTCCAGAAGGCAGTTGGCTGTGTAATGCCCTGGACAACGTGAAATACTCTACTTTGGGGCCAACAGAATCAGCTTTCTTGCCCCGACAATGCTGACAATAGAGTAGACTGTTCTAAAAAGCCTTTATAGCTTTCAATCTATTGGCTTTAGCCATTTTGGTCACCTCAAGACCTCCTCCCACCCCCTCGAACGAATGTGGCACACCCGGATATAGGTGAAACTCAATGGGAATATTTGCTTCGGCGATTCTCGCAGCGTACTTGAAAACCTCATCGCGAAAGATATCCAGCCCGCCAATGTCTATGTAAGTCGGGGGTAGACCCTCTACGCTCTCGACGCGCGCTGGAGCGGCATAGCAAGAGACCCCGTCCCCGCCGGCCTGGTCTCCCAGCAGCGCGGTCCAGCCCGTTATGTTGTCCTCATTGTTCCAGGTCGCGAATTGCTCCAAAGCCAGGTTGGGTGTGAGGTTTCGGTCGTCCAACATGGGTGAAATGAGAATCTGTTTCGCGAGTGGTGGCGAGAGGCCTCGGTCTCGTGCCAGCAGAGCCACTCCAGCAGCGAGTCCGCCGCCCGCGCTCCCCCCCTTCACCGCGATCCTTTTCGGGTCAATGTTGAACGTTTGGGCATTCTGGTTCATCCACTCAAGGGCGGCGTAACAATCCTCGACCAACGTAGGGTCCTTGTGCTCAGGAGCTAGACGATAGCCGACGGCAAACACCTGGATCCCGGACTCGGATGCCTGCATTTTCAAGACTTTGTCCATGGATGCGACGTCGCCGCATATCATCCCTCCCCCATGGATTTCCAGGATTGCAGGGACAGGGATCTTGCCAGAGTCCGAATCCTTTTTGACGTATCGAGATACGGCCACGGAGGCCCCGTCAGGTGCCTTCACCTGATGTAGACTGACATCTACATCTGGAGTGTCTGGTACGCCGGGTAGGATCTCTGCGAGGAGTGTTGAGAGTCGAGCACGTCTGCCGGCCACATCATGGACTGGAGGTTTAGGGTTTGCGTACAGAAGAGGGATCTGCGGCTCCAACGCCTTGTAAAACTCGGGGTCATAATGCAGTGGCATCTGGTCCGCGAAACTTGTGCGGCTTGGTAGGGCGCTGATGTTGATGAGTGCTCAGGCAGGTTCTAGCAATACACCAAAGAACAAGTCTGTCTGAAAGAGAAGATCGACGTCTGTGGCTGCAGTGACAGTTGACCTGATCTGGCTATTAGTATTCAAAGAATGTGCTCATGAACTTTAAGGCGTCGCTTGGACAGTCGCATATATAGCCTGAAGCTCCCCCCAGAGCGAAGTTCATATTGATACGCAGCTAGTATAGGGGCTCCTTCGCATTCATTCTCTTCTTGAACAAATTTTCTGCATAATTCACGTTCCAAACTCGTCCAAGATGCGTTCTGCATCCTGGTATCGGCTCGTTCCTCGGGACGTATGAGAACATGTTCGGATGTTCCCAAGACAAGCAACGGTGGAGCCGGAGCTAAAAAGTGGGGATGAAGCTCGTCACGAGGCATGTATTGTCTGGTACCTTCACCGTCGGCTATGGTGCAATCCCCTAAGACTTTGACTTTATCATCTAGCCCTTCTTTGCATTGCGACATTGGTCAAGATTTCTCTCTCTCGGAACGCTATAATGTAAATGTCAGAGGAACGGGGAGCGTCGAAAAGGAGCCATTGGCCTCATGCAGTCTCCACATGCCTTGCAGAAGACGGCTACTCTGGCGCCCCCGTGATTCCTCGCTCCTCCGGGGCTTATATTTTATCTAGCAGGGTTCAAGCGGCGTTGCAGCGCTGCAGAAGTAAGAGGCGATGTTAGAGGCGCTCCTTAGGAGTCAGGTCTCGATCGCTCGTGTCTTGGTGAGGGAAATTGACTATTTGGTGATGGCTTCAGATTGCCGAGGCGCCCAGGGGCTCCTTGCTTAGACTAGTAGTTCCCTTTTCCAAATCATTTTCTTTCTCAATAATTCTAGCGACTCTGACCGCACCAGGGACGGTGGAGACCCCGCGGGGGACGAGAACCCCGGACGGACTAATCCTTCACTGAAATACGGGTGTTCTGAATCTTTCTACATCCCATCCTTCGCCAATCCATGCGTTCAAGCTACTGCACCATCAAAGCCTACGACAGATGGAGAACTCGAGCATGGAAACTGAAGTAGGAAGAGTCGCCCCTAAACGTCCCAGGGCCACCAGGAAACGAGCTGTGCTGGCCTGCGTTCGATGCAATGAGCGACGAGTAAAATGCGATACGTCCCTAGGACTTCCGTGTGTAAGCTGTCGGGCATCAAAATTGACCGATTGCCATTTCATCACGTCCAAGAGAACAAGGTGGGACTCGACATGCTTCGGCCTTTCCATGGTTCTAGTCTCTGATCTCTTCGGTGCAGAGGGTCTTCAGGCCGCTTTGTGCAACCTAGTGACCACCCTCCCGAGACTCACAGACGACACTCAGTGCCTGCGCATAGCCCAGCGCATCAAAACCCTTCCCCAAATCCCACGACGACGACAACAACAAATGACCCGGACTTTGGATTGGACTTGACTCAGCTTGTTCGCATTGAGTCACGAACCGATCATGCTCAACCAGACATGGGGCCGAACCGAGCAGAGACAGAATCTCCCTCCCCCGTGTCAACTTATATGTCTGACAACCCCCCTTCGTCGGAGAACATCTCTCATCTGGGTGAAAGTTGGTTTCTGTCCTTTGTTCTGCACCACACAAACAGCGACTTCCGCCAGCCTCATCGCCTCCTCGCGCGACCTGATGGCGCTCGGCAAGCATTGACGAGAGCCCAGTCTGGGGGCACACCAGCTCAGTCCCACACCGTCCCAATTGACTGGCCGCAAGATCTGCCTCCAAGCGACGCGATACGGTCTCTGGTCGACGCCTACTTTGCCAGATTCCACTTGTTTTGTCCAATTCTGGACAAAAAACAGTTCATGGGCTCTCTCGAAGACGCGTCCCTCAGCGTCACTTTACTTCGCTGTGTCATCTTCATTGCCGCTGTCCACTGCGACATCAAAGTGCTTACGCGACTCGGCTATGAAACTCGACTGGAGGCTGGAGATGATCTATTTGGCAAGGCCAGTTCGGCCGTGGACAGCGACTCGGAATCAGATAGGACGACGATGATGATGTGTTCGTATCTCTTGCATTACTGGTGGGGCCGGCCCACGCGATTCCACGACTCGTTATGGCGGCTTGCTGGTGTCATCAGGTCTGCCCAAGGGCTCGGGATGCATCGCAGCGCACGTAAGAGCAAGATGGACGAATACACGATAAGACGATGGAAGCGGATCTGGTGGATCCTTTATGTCGGTACACTCCGTACACACTCTCGGAGAGTGTTTTCCCTCTCTCATCAACATTCTGACCGTGCTTTGCAGATTCGCGACCGACAAATATCGCTCAGCATAGGCGTACCTGTGACTATCAACGATCTCGATTGCGACGTCGAACCTTTGACACAAGATGACTTTGACGACGAGCCCCTAGAGACAGCCCTGTACATTATCCATCAGGCACGCCTGTCACAAGTTGGTCAGTTGCCAGGCTGTCCATACCGTGCTTTCTTTTTTAAGATCTAACTGTGCTTCGGTCAGCCGCTAAGATTTCCTCCACATACTTCATCCCGGACACCAGTGCCGTGGAAACAGGCACCAATCAGCTTCCTCCAGCTAGCGAGGGCATACAAAAGCTGCTGGGAGAATGGCACAGGAGCCTACCGCCGTCGATGCTGAACCCACACGTTGGAAGGCAACATCATCTTATCTTGATCCTTGAAATCATTTACAAGCAAGTTAATGAGCCTGCACATAATTCCACTTTTGGCGAGACGATTTTCCCGAAGGGATCGAATAGGCCGCTGAAGCAGATTTAGTCTGTATATTGTTCTCTTCTATCAACGGCTACAACATGAACAGCGCGATGCTTCGGTCGTAGAGACATTGGGGGCCATTGTTCTCGATGCCGCCAACGACATCACGCGGCTCGCCGAGGATGCTCTCACGTATTCGGAGCCGCAGTGTTTCCCCATGATCTGGTAAGGTTCTCTTTTTGCACAATGCAGGATTTTCCGACCAGAAAAGGAAGAAGAAAAAAAAGGCTCACTTCTGTGCCAGCGTGACGGCTCTCTTTGCCGCGATAATGGTGCAGTACACCCATTCCTTCTCGAGCAACACCTACAGGAACAGGATCCTGTTACAGAAGTTGCGGTCAAACATGCTAGGCCTCGAACAGCTGGAAGAGGTCTATATTCTGGCTCGCTGGATCCGCAGACTGCTGGCCAAAATTATGGACGGGAAATCGCAGTCGAAAGCCGCCCGAAACACCGATTCTTCTGGTGGCGGCCGTCAAATTGCCAACAATGAACCTCACCGAAGCACTGCCGTCGACCTTGCAAATGGCATTTGCAAGCACCAACATCAGCACCAACACAGCATCGCTCCTGATGACAACAAGGAGCAGATTCCTGAAATTTTCGCGGCAAACGCTCATTCCAGACGTGTTGCTGGCGAAGATATGAGGACCAGCAACAGCCAATGTTGGGCGGCAGCTTGGGCAGATGGACAGACGGCTTCGCAACCGTTTGATTCGGTGTCGCCGCATACGAGCGACGCAAGACTCGTCTCGTTCGAACACGCACAAGCCGGCGCTTCACAGAGCACCGCAACAGCAGGAGGGCAGTACGAGAGTATCAGCCCGATGGACTGGTCGTGGCTGAATACTCCCCAGCTCTGGAACCTTCAACACATGGTTGATCTCGGATTGGCCGGATTCGATTCCAGTGTGACCGGGGCATCGGAGTGGGGTGACCTATCCTCCATTCCTTTTGGTAGCTAAGAAGAAGGCAGCTACCGTTTTCAAGAAGAAAAAGGTTGACACAAAGTGCAGACTGGCTCCCATAGTGTGAGACCGTTACCAAAGTTATCAAAGTTGCTTAGGGATATCCATAGTACACACCATCACCGAACTTCTGCGGCGCAAGGAGAGTGCGAAAAGATCGAACATGACAAAACGTAAATCGATTGGCTGTCCCACGTTGCATCACCGGATCTATTCTGTCCTTCTAGCATGTCCAAGAAGTACCAGGATATTTTCAGACTTTCTCCTCCTCAAGAATGTTCTCGGCTTCCTCAGCTTGAGGCCCTTCTTTGATCGTTGTCGCGGTGTGTTCCAGAGCGTTAGCGCAGATATAGGTCCGAAACTTCCTCGCTGGGATGCGGGCCTCGAACATCTCGTCCAACTCGGCCAAGGTCCTTCCACGGACCTCGGGGTAACAGAAATACGCCCAAATGAAGCACAAAAGCATACATCCTGCGAATATGAGGTAGACCTTCGGTCCCAGATTCGCGCTAAGGGCGTATCAGTATCAGCAAGTGCGCGTTGCAACAATGACTGGAATTAAAAGGGGCGAAGGAGATGGTCCAACTTACGCGTCCGCATTCGTGATATATGGCAACACGTAGGAGATTACCAGAGTAGCCAGGTTCGCGTTGAGAAGCGCGTACGAAGTCGTCGTGTTGCGAAGACGTGCGGTGGGAAACTCGGCCACGGCGCACCATTGCAGCGGGCTCATGGTGGCCGCGATGAAGAATCCGAAGACGAGGCACAGAGCAGCTATGGCCGTGGTGGCCTTTTTGTTCGTGGCTGGGGCAAAGCCAAGTCCCCCGACCGCAAGGTCAAGAACGAAAAGTACGCTGGTTGCGAACAGAGCCTGTCTGCGCCGACCAAGCACTTCAATCAAAACCTGCCCGGCACAGGCGCCTCCCCATTCCAGGATGCACAAGGCGAGCACCATCAGAAATGGATTGGCATTGCCAATCTGCACGAAAAATATGGCGGCGTACGTGGTGGCAAAAGCCAGACCGGAGAGCTGGGTGATGATGACAAAGGAGGAGGCAAGGATGGTCCGTCGGAGGTTGGCACCCCTGAAGATGTCCAGCATGGAAACGGACTGTTCGGTTGCTCTTAGAGCGTGCTGGTGTCTCATGTTCTCCAGCTCGGTCTCGATTTCTGCATTCGTGTAGCCCTGCCGGACTTTGCGTAGGCTCTGTTTGGCCCGCACGTCGTCACTTTTGATGAGATAGAACGTGGGCGACTCCATGACGAAGAGTGCTGCTAGGATGATCAAACATGGCCCGATAAGCTGCAAGCCTACCGGAAGTCGCCAGGCCAAGCTGCTTTGGATTGCATAGGTCCCGTAATTGACCCCAGATGCAATGATGCCCGCGATTCCGATTGTGACGGACGAGAGCGTCACGATCGCACCTCGAATTGAAGGAACGGCGAGCTCGGCTGACAGAGTGAGGGCCATATTGATGGTGACAAAGGTCGAGACAGCTAAATCCATTCCAGGCTGAGCATGAGCGAGCACGATCGTAACACAGTGCAAAGCGGAAGGGAGCTAACAAGTTTGCAAGGGCATATTATCGGACTTACATGCAATCGTTCGACCAACCGTGATGACGGCAAGATTTACTCCTGCCACCTGTAAAGCCATTCCGACGAGCCCGATTAACGCGGCAACATAGATGGTGATTTTGCGGCCATAGCGATCCGCCAGCACCGCGATCATCACAAACCCAACAAGGCAGCCCACTGTAGGAATCGACGAAACAATGGATGTCTGACTCGCGGTCAGAATATGCCCAGTCGGAGTCTCGCTACCAAATTTCTCAATGAAAGTTGGCATGGCGATAACTCCAGCGTAGATGTACCCATCATATCCAAATGTAAAATAGTTCATTGAGAGAAGGAGACCTGAGCCGGATCCCTTCACATCAGCACAGAGTAAAGAAACTGCAAAGCTGGGCCGTTACGGGCCAAGGTGAACTCACAGCACAGAATGAGGCGCCAATTGTGGAAGAGGTTGTACCGAGCACCATAATGACTCAGGCTAATATCACTGTTGGTCGTGGTGGTGGTGGTTGTCATCGTCACGGTAGCAGGTGCCATGTCTGCAATAACTTTTGTTCTCTAGGTGTAGGGCCTTTTGAATTCCTGCTCATCAACAGCACCCCTGGCGGTGGGATTAATATATACGTAGGACGTATATCCGGGGGTTGTGGGTTAGTTTCTCACACCAAGTGCGTGTGGCCCTCGACGGTTCGTCGTATGGTCAAACTCTGCCCACATTCGTCCGGGGACCCCATTGTCTACTCGCATTAGTATTTTTCTTCGCAGACGGCGTGCGGAGTTTCTAGAGTAGCAACTTGCGCAGCGAATGGCGCTGGGGCCCGGTACAAGATCTGCAACTCTCCTGCCGACGACAAAGCTTCTTTTCCAACCAGAACCATAGGATAGGGTATTGGTTGCCATACCCGTCACCATACCCGGCACCATAACCGTGAACCACAACCGGCACCATACCCAGCGGTTGGCGATCTGTGCCGGCAGGAAATCTGAGTGTCAAAAGTCAACCCCCATTGCCGAGGTGTATGCCTCAGGCTACTGGGACAATCTTGTGCCACCATTACATGTCATTCTATAGAATCGCACCGCCGACTCGCTAGTCATGAAACTCACCAGTATTACCGCTAATCCGTAGTCTGGGAAAATGAAGGTGGTGTCACAGATATTGGATTCCACGCGATTGTCAGACCGCGCCGCCCGCGACTCCTCCACAAGGATAGAAGATACCGTAGATTGTTTGCGAATAGGCCTGAGTTGTCACTTGACCTTTCCGGTCTGGCCTTTTTCTCAATCTAGGACCACGCACGTCTTGCACCTTCATACCTCTTTGACCAAGTCCCCTCAGGTCTTCCGCTTCTTCAACTACTTTCCACGGGGCTATTAGTTTGTCGACCCTTTCCTTTGCGATGTTTCCAAGCGATTGACAGATATGTGATCACGCTCGGCAGCTGTGTGCTATGTATGGGACTGAATTCTCCTGGTTCAAACTGCCTGTATTGGATGTGATAACAACGTCATCTTCATCAAAGAGGACTTTCGCAAGGTTAACAGGGACCTCTTTCACATACTGAGTTGGTCAGTGTTGCGATGAGATCCGGGAAGGCGAGAGGCTGCTGCACCATGATCTGTGGTCGGCCTGCTATATGTGTCCAGTAGGAATCTTAGTGAGCTTGGGTCTGAGTACTGTGAGCAGGCGACCCGGAAAGACAAGTGTCGCCGGCCAGTATTAACCACCTGAAGATGAAGATGCGTTGAAAGTAAGTCAAAAGGCGAGTAGGAGGCGACAGACGTTTAAAAGCGGCGCTGGTGACAAACGTCGAAACGTGTTTAGTCATTCCCTCTTGTTTGGCTGCCAAGAAATTGGGACGTCGTATATCACATGCAGGCGATTTCATTTTGCAACCGCAACAATTGATTACTCTCTAGGTAGATCAAAAGTGTTTCGGGATAATCGGGAGAGACACACCAAGCTTTGCTCATCACTAGACTGCCTGGACATTGGCCATCTCTATCAGTTGGTTGTATTTTCGTCCTTCTTTGCTCGACACTCATTGGCTTGTACTTCTCAAGGCCAGGGGCTGTCTGCATTCGGCAGCCCGCACAGGGTATTGGATATGGACACCCGCAGGTCTGCGTTACCACCGGCACAACACAATATGGCTGGCGACTCGGACGAAGAAGCCGACGAGTATGATTGGAAAACACGCGTGTCGGGCATGCAAGACGAGCCTGTGGGAACTGGCTTACCTACACATCATGATAAGGAACATCAGCCATCACGCACCCCCGAAACAGGTGACACCTCAGAGAATGACGAACTCCAAGAAGACGAGCAAGTCCCGCACCCATTCTACCATTATGCTACTGAAAAGCGGGACACATATGTGGACGCTAAACTCATCTACCAACGCCATCGCATGGATACGCTATCTGAGAAGGACATGGGCAGCCCATTGTTGTTGGGCAAGTCCTACACTATGCCTGCAACCTTCGATGGCGATGCTCCATTGGATCGTACAACCAGCGTTGGCTCGAAACAGTCCATGCAGAGTCACCGTGGACCGGCGCCCAGCACTGCGCCCTCGACAAGCTTCAAAGAGTCGTTTCCCACCTTACAATCTCAAATTGGCAATTCCCAGCTTAACAGACCAGATCCAACATTGGTTGCTGATGCAAGTGCTCGAAACCATAAACATCATCCGGGCCTTCCGCACGAGTTCAAAGACCCTTTACTTGCAAACGAGGGTATGCACGGCGCCGGCGCGGGGGTAGGACTGGGATCTGGGCCGGGTGGACTTGCGCCGAGTGAGGACAGCATTGTCAGCGAAGTTCAGTCAATCTGCGATAAGATCAAAAAATTGCTCGATCTGCGGCAGAAGTATCTCAGAGTGTCTCTGCAATGCCCTGGGCAAAATCCTCGCGATGACGAAAATTGGGATATCTATCCACCACCGCCGAACCCGGTCTGGAATGAACAAAAGGATCGTGAGCTTCACCAGGAATACATCGCTCCAAATAGCACTTCTAGCAGTTTGTACATGGCAGATGCAAGAGCCCATGGTGATGCTGATCGAAATGATATGAGAAACTGGCCAACAAGTGCAAGTCAAGCTGATTCTGAAAAAGCTCCGCCCTCACCCAGTGCTTCTAAGCATCCTCGGAAACCCGGCTTTGCAATTGGAGAAGATTTCGACCTTGATGAGTGCTTCATCCCGGGGAAGGCTAGGCAATCTCTGAGCTTTGCAATGGACGAAGGTAGCGTCTTTCAGGTCTACGATAATGGCAAGCCAATCGCCCCAGTCCCAACGTTGCGAGATTACTATATGGCGTTGGATCTGATCCTCGACATCGCTTCGGATGGCCCTGCTAAGAGCTTCGCATACCGTCGACTACAATACCTGGAGGGCAGGTATAACTTGTACTCTTTACTGAATGAGTATCAGGAGGTGGCTGATACCAAGAAAGTGCCCCATCGTGATTTCTATAACGTGCGAAAAGTGGATACCCACGTGCACCATTCAGCCTGCATGAACCAAAAACATCTGCTGCGCTTCATCAAGAGCAAGATGAAGAAGTGTCCGGACGAGGTCGTGATTGATCGCGATGGCAAGCAATTGACTCTCCGAGAGGTGTTTGAAAGTATTCATTTGACGGCATATGATTTGAGTATTGATACGCTGGATATGCATGCTCACACAGACTCCTTCCACCGCTTCGACAAGTTCAACTTGAAGTACAACCCTGTCGGACAATCCAGGCTGAGAGACATATTTTTGAAGACTGATAACTTCATCAAAGGGAGGTATCTTGCTGAGATAACGCGAGAGGTGATCTCCGACCTTGAATCAAGTAAATACCAGATGGTAGGTATTCTGGAAGCAACCTCGTCTCATCCAAGCTGATATTTGTGCAGGTTGAATGGCGAATCAGCATCTATGGCCGCAGCCTCGACGAATGGGATACCCTGGCTGCATGGGTAGTCGACAACAAACTCTTCTCCCACAACGTGCGATGGTTGATCCAAATTCCGCGGTTGTATGCTTTGTACAAATCGCTGAAAACACTGGACAATTTCGAAACCCTTTTGAGAAACATATTTCAGCCGCTGTTCGAAGTCACACAAGATCCTTCCAGCCATCCCAAGCTGCACGTCTTCTTGCAAAGGGTGATTGGGTTTGATAGCGTTGACGACGAAAGTAAGGTGGAAAGGCGACTTTACCGGAAGTTTCCCGCACCCAAGGAATGGGACACCAAGCAGAATCCTCCATATGGGTATTGGATCTATTACCTTTTCGCAAACATGACCTCGCTCAACGCATGGAGGAAGAGGAGAGGCTTCAACACTTTTCACCTTCGACCACATTGTGGTGAAGCCGGGGACACTGATCACTTGGCCGCAGCGTTCCTCTGTTGCCACAGTATCAGCCACGGCATTGTCCTCCGAAAGGTTCCGTTGTTGCAATATCTCTTCTACCTGGAACAGATTGGAATTGCCATGTCACCTTTGAGTAACAACGCGCTGTTCCTTACTTATGACCGCAACCCATTCATCGGCTATTTCAAGAAGGGATTGAATGTGTCGCTGTCGACCGATGATCCGTTGCAGTTTGCCTTCACAAAAGAGCCGCTTATCGAGGAGTATTCGGTGGCAGCCCAAATCTACAAATTGAGTTCCGTGGACATGTGCGAATTGGCCAAGCATTCCGTGGATCAGTGCGGATTCGAGTTGAGCCTGAAGCAACGTTGGTTAGGCAAATTTTGCTATCTTCCAGGAGTTCTCGGGAACGATGTGGCGAAATGCAATGTGCCTGACGTGCGAGAAGCGTTCAGGCACGAGACCCTGAAAGCCGAGCATGCCTTCATTGCGAAATACACACGAGACTATAGCCACTACGACCGATGCACGCCAAATCTGCCCGATCCATCTGACCCGTCGACACCTCTCGATGAGGTGTACAAGAACCTGGAGTCTCCCCGACAATACTACGCGACCGTCGCCGATTCCATTCCACCGGCACAGCAAGCAAGACTGCCACAGACGAGGTCTCATGCCGCCATAGACAGGAGCGCGGGTAATACTTCACCCACACGCCCCCGGACAATGTCGAGCACCGCTGGTCTGCACCCCGTGTCGTCGAATCCAGACAGCCACATCTCTGGCCAAGAGCCCCGCGCCTTCCCCGGACTGGTGCATCAGCAGAGGAGACGGAGCTTGCGGGTTAGCTCGAGCAACTCAGACATGGCATCGCCTGAATTGAGCTCGAGTCTCCAACTAGAGCCAGGGTTGGCGAAGATGACTCTCCGGGAGGACAGGGACATGGCAAGGATGGAGGATTCGGATTAATCTACAGCTAACCTAGCTTGCATGGCCAGCTGGGAAACTCGAGCACTTCAGCGACGTCAGCCGTGTGGATTGACACCGCTCTTCAGACCTTAGTTGCCGGCGGAACAAGGCGCGCTCTAGACCGTGAGGTACTCTTGACTGCACATGGTTGTTGAATTGGACCCTTGCACAGTCGGGTGAAATCGGAGGGATGCCCCGGCATGTGCTTCCTCTCAGGCTGAACGGCTGGATGCGGGTGTGTAGACGAAGCGACCAACAGGAGAAAATCTGGGGAAGGCGAGTCTGGCCGTGAATCCGTGACATCAGCGAGGCCAATTTTCGTGAGGCACTCTGATGAGCAAGTCGGGTTACTCAGCCCGAGACATCTGAGTCAGAATGATAGCAAAGGTTAGAGGGCGTTTTCTTTGTTGGGCAATGTGCGAGAAAATCTAGCGGTGGAGCATCAGGTCTGCTTTCGTTATAACATCTGTAATGACCAGCTCATGACATTGGATCTTCATTTCATAGCTCGTGCAAGATTGACAGGGTTGTATCTTGCCTTACGCGGCTCGCGTATCCGACTGAGATCTCGAAATATTTTTCACGCCCTCCAGGCTGCTGGGAGGGGGGTTAGGACACTCCCCAAGATTGATCAGATTTGACATGCCCTATCTTGACCAACGTGACAAGTCGTCAGAAGGTGGGATGACAATGGAGATTAGCACTCCCGCTATCTCAAAGGGGTATTTTACAGGCAGAGATGGCGAGGATTATGAGATCGAGACTCTGGTAGCGAAGTTGGCACTAACGTTAGGCCCTGACGAGTCGACGCGCCTCCCCGGGCCACTGGAACATTGGGTTTACAGGAGATGCAATAGGCACTAACCCCCTAAGGCTCCTGAGACTCTGGGCCCCGCCAGGCGACTGGAGCCCCCGGCACTCGGCGCTTTTGGCGTGGATTGAGCGGTCAATAATGCGGCGACTGGTCGACCGCCTTATCCCAGCTTCTCCAGGCCGCGATAGGCCCCTCGCTGACCGCCCAAGTCATTAGACACTCGAGGCGCTGCGTAGGCCGTGCATGTTGTTGAGTTGGCTTTTGATCGTGCAATATGCTTTCTGCATGTGTCCGGCTCGTTGCTTCTGTTGTCTCGTCGTCTTCCACCCCCTTGTGCTCTATCTCGCTATCCTTTCTCCTATCCTTGTCGCTCTGATGTCGCTCGCTCCCTGAACACGAGTATATCAGGTATACTGCGGAAAGCAAAGCGTTTGCTGATTCGACCCGCTGACTGGATCCGACCTGACCCTGTCACACATGCATCTCCACGTTCCTGTCTGGTCTCAGATCATCGCACATTCAGGTCCTTGCGTCCGTTGAATCTGCGAATCACTACCTGCAACTGCTTGCTCAACCACCTCTTCCAACGCCTCCTCACTCGACTCTCCCTCTACACACCTACACTCCTCCCCGTATACACCCGAGCCATTCTTTCGAACGCACCTCACCCCCGCATTATACACTCTGGCATCCCGCCGACAGCCCATGCTCGCCTGCGCCGAATGAGGTATCCTGCCGCGTCAACCGGGGATATGGCTTGAACGTCGCGGTCTACCAATATCATAATGAACTCGTCCCCGCCTTCCCCTCGGCGGTTCAAACCAGAGCCTCTCGAGACCAGTGTTCGAAGACCAAGGCCCGCCAGTGCCTCGCCTCGACCCCCCTCTTCGAGTCCGGCTCCGGAGAAAGCTCGAGTCTCAAGTGCTGACCCCATGTCTTCTCAGACAGAGTCTCGCAAACCTCTTCCTCAGCCAGGCGAGTATTTCGGAAGCTCTCGTAAGAAGGACGTGGAGCACGCTGAGGACATTACACCGACCAGCCTCACTGTTGCTTCCTTCGGTTCCAGCAGCACCCCCAACCATCCTGATATTCCGGCGGCCTCAAGCAGTGATCCTCCAAAACCTGTAAGACGCTTCGCCCCTGAACCCGTCGAGACCACCACACGGACGTCAAGAAGAAAGTTTGCTCCAGAGCCTATAGAAACAACCACAAGAAATAGCAAAGTCAAAGACACAAACCCAGAGGATCTAGCCGCCAAGCCACGGCGAAGGTTCGCTCCAGACCCTATCGAGACATCTGTCAGGAGCAGCAAGAACAAAAACGTTGATGAAGCGGACGAGACTCAAACCTTGCGTCCCCGTCGGAAGTTCGCTCCCGAGCCTATTGAGACTACCAAAGTTACAAGGCGCAGACGACACACGAGTGACTCGGACGACGCCGATGCGGAAGCCCCAACGTCGGGGGAGTCGCTAGCATCTAGCAGGACATCTTCGGGCCCACGAAAATGGCCTCCTGAGCTCTTGGAAACAGCCAAGGGGTCATACCGGAGAGTTTATCCTCCCAAGGATACTATTTCAAGCCGGCCACCACCATCGCCATCAATAAGTGAAGAAGAGACTGCAGATGAGTCCCCCGGCTTGGGTGAGTCACGATTTTCTGCCGCTGCCCTCGCTCGCAAATTGTCGAGCCAGAGCCGGCAACACTCTTTCCAAGTCCCGGACCTTCCTATGATTGAATCCACGACGGAGGAGTCCGAGACGCCATCTCTAAGCGACTCACCGTCATCAATCGAAACAGATCACAGACAGGAAGATAATCTCCCTCGTCAGAACGACAGCTATTCTGAATATGTCCTTCGTCTCGCCTCCGAAACCGTAACCGAAGAAGAACTTCGGCAAGCCGCTATGGCTGCCTACATCAACGAACGCCCGCATGAACCTGTAGACCATTTCGCCATCAGCCATGAAGATGATGACGATGGGCCCTTGCCTGTGTCCAAGTTTCAGGGCGAGGAAGGGACCAATGTTCAAACATTTCGACGATCGTCGGCTGCGGAAATGACGCTGGAATTGGAGGGAATGCGAAAACATCACGAACAGCTGGAAAACGCGAAGAAGGGCTTGAGAGCGGATGCTCCCGGTCAGAGTCGCTTCAGTGCTGCAGCACTTGCGATGAGGCAGAGCAAAGACACCAAGGTACTGCAGAAAACAAAGAAACCCAAACCACTCGACGAGGATTCGGAGCTTGCTAGAATGCGAGCTGCAGCATCTCCCCCCATGTTGGGCGAGGACCTTATTTTCCCTTTCACTATATCGCCGAAAATGACCCGGTGTGACCCAGATCAGCCTCCGAGACCACGCACCGCCGACAGCGACGATGAATCAACGGATGCGGTCAGTCCTCAGCTGTGGAAATCGAACAACAAACCCAGAAATGATGCCGGCGGAGGTTTATGGATGGGCATGTGCCAAGCCGGCATGTGGCAGTCTCAAAATTCACAGCGTGGTCTACGCAGCGGCATTCAGACACCACTGCCTCAGACCCCTGCCGCGGAGAGGTGGAATCCCTTTGACACCCCGACAGTAGGACGGGATTCGCTCACATCTGGTCGTGGAGCTCAAACCCCTGGTCGACGACGCCCGTTGTCAGGCATGTCGTTCCTGCCACTCACGCCGCCTCGCAGCCAGGATGGCGACGAATTCACCAGCACAATAGACAAGAAGCTGCAGCTGGAGAAGCAGATCGAAGAGGAATTTCCCGCGCGAGTCATTACCCAGATCTACAACTATTTGAGTCTTGGTTACCCTAGCCTTGCGCACATGTTTGATGAGGAGCTGAGCAAGATCAGCAGGATTCCACTTGACGAGTTGCGCAAAGACGACCGCCGAGCAGATGCAAAGGGCTATGTCGGCGCTCCGGAAGGAGATGGGTGCAATGAAAGTGAGGTCGTCGGTGGCAAGTGCAAACGATGGGAGGCCTTGAGACTGTATGTCCACGAATGGGCAAGACAGAGTCCAAACTTCGCAGATGAGAGAAAACGTGTCGTCCTCGGGGCAGATGAAGACTGGGGTGCCCGGGCAAGAAAAGGCAGTTGGGGGCAGTGACCCCTTCCCTCGTTGGGGGTTTCTGGAATGGCAACGTTGTGCAACATCGGGTTCAACAGGGGGGAGGCCACAAGCACTTGGGCTGGCATTGTCTTGTCACTGTGATCCCGTCGACTAAGGATTGTACAGGACAATTTTGGATATATCACTGAGCATGGTCTCTCTGGCCATTAGAGGCTACCCAGCTGCAGAGTCCCGCCGCTGGAGGATGAGACATGACCAAGAACTGGTGGGAATGTCATTTTACAGGCTCAGAAAGCCGTGTATGTACCAGTACATATTTAGCATATGCTTTGCTAGGCAGATAATGATTTTATGACGGCATGGATTCTGAACAGCTGATCCTGGATTCCCTGAGGGCCTGTAAGTGTAGTGCCGAACACATGGTTGGCACCAGTGGAAAAAGGCTGTGATAGTTCTCTTGATGGTATTCATGGTGTTGACTTCACATTTGTGCAACCGATGCCAGTTGATGCTGGGACGATTGATTCATTGGAGAGGAATCAGCCTTGAGCCAAGGGACACCCGCTATTGAACTCAACCAAGCCACATGTAGCTCCGTAGTCTTGTACTGTAGGTCTTGCAGCCTAGACAGACCCCTTGTCTTCAGCGCGACAGGGGGTGATGGCGAGGAGTGAGACCTTTAGCTTACCCGAAGCGCTGTGTCTTGGGCTTGTTATCAGAAGACTTTGTCGGACCCATGGTATTGTAGCTCACGATATTCTCTCTGCCACACCAACCCAGGTATTCATTCCCTCCCTCTCTCGCCATGGCTTCGCACAGCATCTTGACTGCACTCCCGCAGCAGTCCCAAGGTATCAAGCGACGAAACCGTCACATCGGCAAGAAGCTGCACTTCAGGCCTCCCATTCAGATACTTCACGGAGTAACAAAATCACCGCTGAAGGCCCCGAGGTCAGGTCGCGCTGATCCCCTACGAGTCTCGCCGCGCCGAATCACCGCTCGATCACTACCAGTCCAGGCTTTGAGATTCCGGTTAGCAACCCCGAGTTTAAGTTCGTCTTTCTAGCAAGTTCTAGTCGGATGCGCCGAAATGAAGAACTGCGTAAGCCACACCCTTCGTTTCTATGTGTTGTGCGGCTGAATATGTGACCAACGCCAACTTCCCCGAAACCCCCTACAAGAGCAACACAGAAGTTTTGATACGTGCAATCTCATCTTCTAGTCGTTGTCACATTTGAACTCGTGTTTTGTACTCCATAGTCACCCTCAAAAGAAGACTTGGTCAGGTCCCGACCGCGCTCTCACGTTCTACCCTTGTCTACGAGTGATTAACTCTAGGTCTGACCAGCTTCGGTACCTGATGCTGGCGGTGCTCTGTAGGCGTCCAACCAGCTGCAAGCAAGGAGAACACCAAGTCGAACCAAGTCACCGTTTTGGGGGCCGCACAGCCACGCGACCAAGTACAGTAAAGTCTCTCCAGCAATCTGATACCACGATTGTGTCCAATGCCTTTCCCCTGGCGTAATATGCCCGCTTCTTTCTGGCCAGCGGGAGTTCTCGTGCCGGTCCGTATCGTCCGGAAAACGTCCTTCTTTATCACATCACGCCGTCCGAATTGGCAAAGTACGATGGACCTGCGAGTACTAAGCCTGTGGCGCATTGGGCTTTGGCCCGTAGTACCCCGGACGGCTGACATAATTTGCTGCCGATGCTGGAGGTGGTGTTCCGCTGGTCACTGGTCACCGCAACGGCCTCTCTAGTGTCCAGGCAAACGAAACATTCGCCATGGGGGGCTGACAGGACAGAAAGGAGGTGTGCAGTGTGCCCCGAGAATGGCAAAGGACAGAAAGCTCCTTATTGCCGGTTTCCATGCTTCGTGTTGGCTGTGGTCGAAAGGCCCCTGTGCTCTCCGGGTCCGGCAAACGTAGCCTCATCAGCCTTATCCACACCCCCTCGAATGGGAAGGCAGGAGCCAAAATCACCTCGTCGCCTCGTTCGTCATGCGAACCACCACTGAAGCCGCTGCCTACCGAGTCCATCGAGAGTGTACAAAACCCTTTGTGGCCGTACATTGGTCCCGAAGGATCTCACAATCCTCCCCTTGCATATACCGCGGTGCCCAAAAGTCCCGCGATCGACCCTTGTCACCAGTCACCTCTCTACCATTCATTCCACCAAGCAGACCCGCTCACGGTCCATTTTCTTTCTCCCTCCCCGGCGAACTCCAGTTCAAGCCCGACGGTATAATACAGCGGCCCCAACGAATCACTTGACTAGACTCACAGCCTTGAACTTCCTTTCCAACTAGGAATTTACTTCGTGTGGCGACAAGCGGGCAGAAGCAGACCCTCCCGGTTCACACGAAACCCGCTTCACCATCATGTGGGCAATCGCAAATCCGTCTTCTTCAATCTGAGTTGTATTCCCTCCTCGTCCTGAGTATGTGTGTGTGTGTGGGATATATACCGACCTTCACCGCCCAAGATGAGAAGCGAGTCACCACCAACTAGGCATCACTCAAAGCAAGTACCCTCTACCCATATATACTTTGTGATCGAGTACATAGTCTCGTTCCTGAACTGGTCCGTTGCCAGCTCTTGAAGGATTGTCGTCGACGTCAAACTCCTTCTCGGGTCAATTACATCTTCACAAGCCTTATCTCTCCATTCGACCACCAAACCCGCAAAGAATCCGACATCATCTTCATGCGATACCGACCGTCACAAACGCCTTGATCACCAAGTGTCCGTCCTGTCCTGGCGTGAATGTCCAATCGCCGCCACAGATTCACCCACGACCACGACGACGACAACTCCTCCTCGCCTGAACCCATTGTGATAGAGAGAAGGCCTCAGGTGCGTACATACCGCATCCTTCACCCCCGCCCCCGATCTCGATCTCCAGCCCGCAAACTGACACTGGCGTCCAAGTTGTACAACCTTTTCAAAGTCCGCAAGAAGAAAGTCCACATCATCGAGGAAGAACCCATCCGCCGCCGGGAGAGACATATACGATCGCCGAGTTTCTCCTCGCCATCATCATCATCCCCCACACCTCCTCCACCGCCGCCACCATCAACACCACCAAGGGTTTACCGTCCCATGTCCTCCAGGATGGAAGGGGACGTGTACGCGTCCCTGCCGCCCGAGCTGCCGCCCAGGGTCAGACACCACAACCACCACCACAAAGATGGCCACGTTGACATTGCCAATCTTGTCGAGCGCATACCATCAGAGCGCCTGAGGAAGGTCAAGATCGTACATGGCCACACCGACAGACGCCACCCGGACGACGAAGAGGCGTATCCTCGAGTCGAGACTCCTGGCTCACCGCACAACAAGAGGCGCGACAGCGGTAAGTACTACGTCACGACGACCATGAGCGACGGCGAGCCGAGCAGCGTACGCAGAAAGGAGTACGAGCGCCACCGCCGACACGGTTCGAGCAGCACAGACGCCGACGTTGAGAAATTGTACGACGACCTCGAGAGGGAGAGGCGGCACCGTCGCGAAGCCGAGAGGGCAGCCGCGCACGCCGAGGAGAAGGCGACAAAGTACAAGGACGAGCTGGATCGGGTGGAGAGAGAGCGGCACATCGAGAAGAGGGAACGTGATATTCTGGAACGCGAGAAGCGTCTGAGTCAAGAGCGAGAGAAGAGGTTGAGTCAGGAACGCGAGATGGACCGCGAGCGTGAGCGCGAACGCGAACGTGAACGTGAGAGAGAGCGTGATCGCGTCCACGCTGGAGGAGGAAGGGTCGTCGAGATCAGGCCCCGGCCTGTCGTTACAAGGGATAGGCACGATATCGTGGTCGTGCACAACTCGAGAGATAGGGACAGAGACACGGCGCCTGGCACGGGGGGCGCCGCATCGGCGCTCGATAGGGCGAGGAGCGATTTCAATGTCCAGCAGAGACGACAACAGTTTGAGGAGAGGAGACCACTGACGGGTGGTGGAAGGGCCAATGTCGGACCTCAGCAGGTTGTCATTGTCGATGACGGTGATGATGATGACTATCGCGTGAGGCCGCGACGTTGAGGGGTGGCTGTCACGGTTGTTGTTGTTGTCGTCGTTGGTATTTGACGACATGTTTCGAAGCTTTCGGTTTTCGGTTGATGTTTATTTGAGGGAGGGCGATGACAGAACATATAGGTGGCTTCTGTGGATAGAGACGGGAATTCACCAATGTCGATATATCCAGCTGCATTGGCGGTGGAAGGGTACGTACATACTCCCGTATGGGTTTGAACATAGGGGTGGGTGTCGAGTGTGATAGACCATTGGATATGGATGGATGTCGGGTTGGGGTTTGATTATTTGAAGTTGGAAGTTGGTATGTTCTACTGGCCAATTTGCCAGAGGCGTTCCGGTCGGGAAGGGAAACAAAGCAATACACAGAAGACGCAAAGCCGCTGCAAAGCAAAAAACCACCAAAAGAATAACCAACTCATCGCTGAGAATCGGGGAACAGGACTGTTTGGTTTGGTTTGGTCTGGTTTGGTTAGGCTTAGGTCGGGTTGGGTTGGATTGGTTTTGGTGGGTTGAGATGTGTTGAATTCCTTCGGTTGAGTTTTTGAATGGAGTTTTGAATTTAGATGACTGGAAGTTTTTCGGCACAAATAGGATTCAGAATCAAGCGTCTCTGGAGTAACAGCAAATGCTGTTGAACAAGGCGTGGCGTGGGCGCGATCATAGTACGGCACGGGTGGTGCCCCTGGCCTTATTTTCCTCGTAGGTTTTCAAGGTGCCGGTGCCCTCGACGGTCTCCTGGACGGTGACGGCGTCAAAGACGTCGACCTGGGTGCTGGCGAACTTCCTCGCGCTGACGCCTCGCTCGAAAAGCAAGTCCAGCTCGGCAAAGGTGCGGCCGGAGGGCTCGGGGACGCGGAAGTAGGTGTAGATGATGCAGAGGAAACAGATGCCGGCCCAGAAGAAGCCGGCGTAGTTCCTCCAGTTCCACTCCCCGGGGTTCAGCATGTACGGGGTCAGGACGGAGCAGACGATGCCCACGATGTTGTACAGGTTGCGGCCCAGGACGACGGTCTTGATCTGCAGGCGGCGGGTGGAGAGCTCGGCGACCAGGGAGTAGCAGACGGTGCCGACGGTGAGCTGGTAGCACAGCGCCCACACCAGCATGATCGACCCCGTGGCGAGGGACGCCTCCCTCCTGTGGGCCTCCGGGACGAGGCCGAGGAAGCCGAGGACGAGGAGCATGGAGAAGAGCCCGCAGAGGCCGTAGAGGTACAGGGACCGCCGGCCTATCCCGCACGTCATGAGGAACCAGGCGCCGAAGACGCCGGCCATGTTGATCCCGTACTGTCCGAGGGCGAAGTCGTACGACGTCGAGGGGTCGAGGCCGGCCTGTTCGAGGAAGTAGGTCGAGTAGCCCGAGAAGGAGTTGCCGGAGAGGTTCTGGATCGCCCACACCATGCACACGATCTCGGTCCGCCGGAGGTCCACGCCCCTGAAACAGTCCATGTACGAGGCGCCGCTGGTGATCTTCTCCTCCAGCGCCGTGGTGTGCACCATCATGGCGATCGTCTCGTCGGCGTCGAAGTCGGTCTCGCGGTCCAGCGACGTCAGGCGAAGCAGAGACTTCTTCGCGTCGTCGACGCGGCCTTTTCGCACGAGCCACCACGGACTTTCAGGTGCGAACAGGATCCCGATGAACAAGGGCACAGGCCACCTGTGAGAGAAGGACAACATCAGTGTCGTCGTCGTCTCCCGCCATACGTAGAAAAAAGGTAAAAGGGGAGGGGATGGGGGGTGGGGTGGTGAGCGGATAGCACGTACATCCATTGAAGGGCATAGGGGATCCTGTAGGACCACTGGTCTTGTCGGTCCACGAGAGACCTGATGACGCCGATGCCCACGGTCTGGCCGAGCCCCCAACAGAAATTGACGTACGTGGTCAGATAGCCTCGGAGAGGGACAGGGCAGACCTCGCTGGCGTATGTGATGGTCAGAGTTTGGAAAACCTGAGGGTCGGTCAGTACTCGCAAGGCTAGGTACCTAGACGTGTGGGCCTTTTTTGGAAAAAAAGGTACTTACACCCCAAGGAATTCCACACAGGATCTCGGCGACTTGCAATGCCACCACGGTCTGGGCGGTGAAGAAGACGGCCGTGAAGATGACAATCAACATCAGACAGGTCATGACGGTGTATCGATAGCCGTATCGCTCCGACACCCATCCGTTGATGAACAACCCGATGATTTCGCCCACGTTCGCGCCGTTGCTGAGTCCCGATTGCCACGGCGCCGGAATCTGCCAGCTGCCGTCGGGCAGTTGTTCACCGTACTTCTTCTGAAACTGTGGAAATCCGTCTGAGGGGGTTAGAGTGTTTGGCACAACGGCGCAGCATGGACCCAGACGTACAAAAGTTGCTCAACAGGCACACGTCGTAGCCTTCCATGGCAATACAGGTTGAGATGAGCAGACTCCAACCGACGGCTTTGGGATACAACTTGATGCCTTGCCATAAGCTCATCTTGTGCTCCTTGTCTGTGGCCCGCGAAGCGTTGAGGACAATCTCATCGACGCTCTTCGTGTGCGCGAGATGGTCCTTCTCCGGGAAATGGAGCGGGTGTCCCGGAGTGCCATTGCTACGCTCGCGAGTGATGTGGTCCTGCTCAGAAGAATCGCCGGCCATGGTTTCGAGGTTGACCCTTCTGTGCGCCTTTGGATGAAGGAACGGAAAATGCACCCCAAACCTACCAGTGCCGACTCTCGGGGGCTTTGTAGCGACGAAGCACTTTTTAAAGGAGGGAGATTGTTCCCCGCCGCGAGTGACGGCCCAATCACTCTTATACTCGAACTCGGACAACTGGGGACCCCACGGAGGGCTTTACCGGGCAGTATAAACAGGGGAGGGGTTCCAAGGTCTCGGACCAGTCTCGAGAAGTCCACACTTGGAATGGGCTGGTCAGGAAATGCAGCAAGCAGCGACGGCGGGAAACGAAGAAAGATGCAAAAGCAAGAAATTCTGGCATTTCACCGGGCGAAAAGGGAGCGAACGGCAACTCCACCGTCGATATAGCCACTTGAGCCAGTGAGACGTCGAAGAAAACTCTGGACGGCATTTGATGTCTCCATCCAGAGGAGAACAACCGGCGGTGGGAACACCCTTCGTCGGCCCCTAGCAGGGTGGAGGTAGCAGGTAAGGTAGGATCGTGTCATTTATTGAAGCATCAGAAGGCCATGCTTTTCACCCACAAGCTTTGGTCGATGTCCGCGACGTGAGTGGCTCGCACCGCTGCACTGCATTGACCTTGACCACACAACAACCTGGAATTAGGTAATAATGTCGCTGACTGCGGGTGGCTTTCATATCGCATATCAAAGCCGACGCGGTCTGACCCGTCAAATTGAGAAATTAGAAGTGGAAGTGGCTTGGTCCTGGACATCTTTGCCACCAAAACAGTGATGGATTCTTTTCGTCAGACACTGCATTTTGTTGGTTGGGTAGAGATGCGATCGATCTCCGTCTGCCCACAAGACAAATTTGCCGTACAGTACGTATTTTGGATTGCTCAATACGAGGACTCACCGTACATCGGCTTCTGCTGGATCTGGTCGATGGACATGTGCACAGATCGCCGCCCAATAGATCCGTATACGCCCTGTAAGCATAGAGGTAATTAATCCTATCCTCCCCAGGCTCTGGCCTCTTGTACACTTCTCTGCTCTCCCGATGGTGCCGTGGTTACTGGTACAACTTCCAGGCCTCATGCATGGTCGGCTAAATATGCGGAGAAGTTGTCGGTCTACCGTATCACAAACTCACAGAACGGAGTATTCAAGATCTCTCTACTGTACCCTTTAGGCCCCCAAGAGTTGGTGTTTCGTGTCTCACGTACGGGTAGCCGCCCAGAAATGCATCGTGTCAAACTTCAGCTTTGCTTGCGGTGATATCAGTACAGCCTCCTCCTCCTCCTCCTTGAAGCTTCCCTTTCGTGCACACCTCTGCTAGACATTAATTGTATCTTCTTGAAACCCTAACCCCATCTTCCCTGTTCCCTGTTGTGACCGGGATGTCCCTCCGCATAATTATTTTTATGCACTGACCCGCCTGATGTCAGCCCGAGGATTGGCACAAAGCGCATCAAGCAGAACCAAACAACAAGAATCACAACACCTGCACGCATGCCAGTCCCGACTGTATCTCACGCCCCGAGTGAATAGCAATCGCCTCTGACCAATCCTCTCCCAATGTCAGCGCCAACATGTCCGAGCCTTCTCCCCAGCTCAAGGAGTTGAAGAAGGTGCTCTCCAGCCGCCGCCGTTCCTCAGACATTCCAGGCGATGAGAGCATCAGAGATTTGCGCACGGATTCGATCGACTCCCTGACACTCGAGAAGTCCCCTACGAGATACAGCACCCGTTCGCTCAGTCACGATGGAAGCAGTAAATCCGGCAGCAGTGGAATGCGAAAGCTGCTGCCTGGCCACAGCAAGCGTAGGAGAAGGAAACTCCGCGAAGAGGAGGTGAAGGCGCTTACAGAAGAGCTCGCGAGAGGAAGATCCGCTGGCTCCCTGAGTCTCCAGACTCCTTCGGACATGTCGCTCCGAAAGTCTAGCAGTCAGCTAGCTTCCGAAGGCGACACAAGCCTCTTGACAGATGACTCTGAGGTGGAAACGCCTCCATTGATCTCGAGAGACTCGCACGCGGGCTACCTGACTGTGTCCTCTCCTCTGGTGTCTGCAGCGCCCACTCGCAGCGATGACCAACCTCCGCCGTCGCTCGACGAGGTACCAACACTGATCGAGCCTCAACAGGCTGAGCGATCAGCCTCTCCCAAGACTACAAACCCAGACACTACTCCAAACTCGCCGATTGTCGGGCTGGTCGACAGGGCAGACACGCTTCGCCCAGAGTCGAGGAGAAATAGCATCAATAAGTTGCGGGCCAAATCCCCTGGAAGAAGGTTCAGAGATGTGTTTGGCAAGTCAGGCAAGAGTCCAAAGGTCAGCCCTGAGAGGGCCTCAACAGAACCCTCGCCTACATTCACTCCATATAGCAGCTCGCCGAACATCCTGAATCATGTTGCAGAGGAGGACGGAGACAAAGTCGCGAAGTCTCCGGACGAGGTTATCAAGCCCATTCAAGATCGTTCATTGAACAACTCCATGCCGAATCTCGACACTAATATCAGACCTCTAACGCCTCCTACCGGGCTTATAAGTACCCCAGTGACCACCGTTACACCTCCGACGCCCACCCAACCGCAGACGGAGTTTGGAGGAGTCACAGCATCGCCGGCGTCTGCCAATGGCGAGTTAGACAAGCAGGGGAATTCGCGGATTGTGGTGAGTCATTCAGGAAACATGATCTCGCACAGGAGAATAAGGTCGACATCTTCGATTTCTCATCAGCCGAGCAAGCTGTCCAGCTCAATGGCCGCTCCTCTGACGCCCACCGACGAGAACAAAGCCTCGAATGCGACCCGCACGCCCAGCGGCAGTCTGTTTTCATCCTGGATGTCTGCAGCACAGAATGCTGCAAGTACGATTAGCAACCTCGCCGGTCAAACACGTGCCAGAGCTGGAACAGATGCATCTGGGTCGTCGGTTAAGCAGAAGCCTGTGGAGGAACCCATCCAGGAAGAAGATGAAACCACCGAGCCCGAATCGCCGCGAAAGCAACTGGCAGTGGAGACAATGGGATCCGGAGATCTAAACTTTGAACATTTGGGTCTTGGTGCGACTGAGCGGCTGGACCCAAATCGACCGGACCTGACAGAACTGAGGAAGGACTCTTCCCTGGAACGAGATCAGGCAATCGCTAAAGAAGAAGACCTTCTTGCCAGACGCGCTGTTTCTGCTGCGTACGAGAAGCCTTCGGACTCAACGACACCCATGGCCGAAATAGCCGATCCCGTTGATGGCTTACGCCATCACCACACCTTTGCAAGCCAGGTGGGTGGCGAAAGAACGACTCCCAACGGCAGTGTTTTCGAAGGGGAACAAGGTAGCTCGATGAAGCGAACAAACAGCGTTCGCAGTAAACTTGCGAAACGACGGTCTCGCGGCTCATCAGCGGCTACTGGTCAGTCCGCAATTGGTGCTATGATCGGGGCCAGCACCGCAGCTTTAGTCAACCCTACAAAGGCACCTCGTCTCACCGGCTTCACAACCGCCCCAAAGCAACGTAATCGTAACTTCCATCAACAATTCAGGAGTGTCCCAGAAGACGATTATCTCATCGAAGACTACAGCTGTGCGCTGCAGAAAGAAATCTTGGTGGCAGGCAGGATCTATATTTCTGAGGGTCATATCTGCTTCTCAAGCAATATACTTGGCTGGGTCACAACGCTGGTCATATCTTTTGAGGAAGTGGTCAGCATAGAACGCGAGAGTACTGCGATGGTATTTCCAAATGCCATTGCTATCCAGACGTTGCACGCCCGCCACACGTTCCGGAGTTTGTTATACCGAGAACAGACTTATGACTTGCTTATTGGCATTTGGCGAGTTAGTCATCCGGCCAGCTTTCAAAAGAGTATGAACGGTAAACAGCTGGCAGCAGAAGAAGCGACCCGCGAAGCCGTCGCCCCACCAGAGAACGGGGCGGATGCGCAGGCTAGCGACGACAGCAGCAGTAACGATTCAGGCTCAGACGGCACGGATGATAGCGCTCCGAGCGTGGTAGAGAGCAATCGCAGCCAGGCTGCTAGCGATGCCGCAGACGGGAAGACCGTCTCCAGGAAACCGTCAGGTAACGCAGGCGCTGTTGGTCGAAGTGCCAGTGTCCCTGCTGTAACAACCAGTGATGTTCCTCAACCTCACGCCGCTCAATCTGGCCTGTCAGAAGCAGTCAAGGACTACCCAGGTCCAGCCACGCATATGCCGACTGATTGCACAGACAGCGCCACACACTACGATAAGGTTCTAAAAGACGAAGTTATCCCCGCTCCGTTAGGTAAAATATACTCTCTACTCTACGGTCCAGAATCTGGTTCGTTCGTGCGGAAGTTCCTTGTCGATGAGTGCAAATGCATGGAACTTGTTCTTGAGGACGACAAGAAGGGCCTGAACAGCGACATCAAGAGCAGGCAGTATACCTACATCAAACCCCTAGGCGGGAGCATAGGGCCGAAACAGACCAAGTGCATCACCACAGAGAACCTGGACTTTTTCGACCTCGAGAAAGCAGTCACAATCACTTGCACAACTCAGACACCTGACGTGCCATCTGGCAATGCTTTCAGCGTGAAAACACGCTATTGTCTATCTTGGGCTCCGGGAAATGCCACCAGGTTCCAGATGAATTGCACAATCGAATGGACTGCAAAATCGTGGCTGAAAACACCAATCGAAAAGGGTGCCAACGATGGCCAGCAGCAATACGGCGACGGTCTGGTTAAGGTCCTACGGAACGCTGTAAGTGGACGGCCACGAGGCACGACAAACGCTAGCAAGGTCTCGAAGAAGGGCAAGAAGAGGAAAGAAGGCAAAAAATCCAAGGATGAGGTCGTCGAGGAAGGAGCAAAGAAGACAGTCGAGGCAGACTGGGGGCCGTTTGAGCCTCTCAGGGTGCCATTGCAGCCTGTGACGAGCGTGCTAGGCCCAGTATTGAAGATGGAAGTCTTGGTCGGCGTGCTTGCTGCCATGGTGCTTCTGATGTGGGTACGCGGGCCCAGCAGAGGAGAAGTCCAAGTGGGTTCGTATCCTTTTGCAGGTATGACTCAAAGCGCAAGACTGGCTGGTTATGAGGCGTTGTGGACGAAAGAGGAGAATGACTTTTGGGACTGGCTTGAAGCGAGGGCCAATGTAGATGCAATTCTCCTCAGGGAACAGGCAACCCGGCATAAACAAAACCCCAGCGGTGTCAGTGGCGATACAAGAGAGGCTGTCGTGAAGGAGAAGATGAAGAAACGGTCACGGAACCGGGCAGTGGCTAATGATGTGGAAGCCAAGATCAAGGAGGAAAAGATCAGTCAGAGGGAGATGGAGGATGCCATCAGAATTACCAGGGAGAGGCTGGAAGTTCTTGAAGGTGTCGTGGAAAAGAAAAAGGCGTCTAGAGGTGCCGACAACCATCGGTAGGAATTTCGGCAGACGTCGAGACAGGGAAGGCATTGATATCTGCACTACGCCAGCCTTCCCTCAACTCAAGTGGCGAAGCCAACTCGGAGGTTGGAAGCGGACTGTTTTTTATGTTTTACTGAAGCATGATGTTCTGAGCATTTTGGAGCGGCGATGGAGCTTTGGATAGTTGGCTCTTGTGGGCGACGTACATGTTTGTATTCTTAGGAGACGAGTACAATGAATGTTTGTATTCATAAATTGCCAACGAATGGCGCGACTGAAGACGCATCCGGGTTTCAACTAATCGTTGATTGGGATAACGTTCTCTCAACTCTGCCTGAATCTATCCGCTTTGACAGCAGTCTGGCCCTTTTATCTGAAGACTGTTCTCTGGCGAGGCTATTGAGCCTAGAGCTGGAACTTGGTCCTACTCTTCTCCATGCGTGCCTTCCACTCCCAGTCCTGACCGCTCCGCCTCTGGATGCCCTTGTCCACGCGTCTGAGCTTCAGCGTCATCCTGGGGCCCAGTTCCTGCAGACCGGCGCGGATGCCCTCGACGCCCTTGACTTCCCGCCCGTCGGGGCCGACGACCGACTTCTCGGAGTCCCGCTTGTCGCGGAAGATGTACCGGTGGCGCCGGAAGAAGATGTAGTCCCGTTGGTTGTGCAGGGTCAGTACCTGGCGGCCCTGGAGGTCGGGGGTCGCGGGGAACAGGGACCGGAAGAGGTGCGCCGTCAGCAGGCCCAGAGGGGTGGTGAAGTTGTTCAGGATGAGCTCGGGCACGTGGTCGGTCGCGCGGCCGTGGCCGGGGATGCTCTTGGACGTGTAGAAGTTCGAGATGGAGAAGTGGAACGTCGGCCCCTCGGGGAGGTGGACGACGGTCAGGCCCGACGGCCGCTTCCGGTCTTCCTCGAGCACCATGACGGCCGTGTACGACCTGTTGTGCGCGAACGACGCAATCTCGCGCACCGAGAACTTGTACCCGTAGCGGTGCGACGAGCGGCGGATGTACTTCGAGTTGGGGAACAGCGACGTCAGAATCGCCGCCTCTTTGTGCAGCGTCGAGTTGATCGACGTGGTGATCAGGATCTTGGGCGGCGGCGGCGGCGGCGCGTCGGGGGAAGGAAACAGTGTTGGGAATTTGGCCGCCAGCGCGGCCGGCGCCAGCGAGAGGTTCGTCGACGTCGTGCTGCGTGTCGGTGACTGCGTGCGACGTCTCGAAGACGCCGCCGCTGATGCTGACTTGAGTTGCGATTTGGACGGGAGAGGGTCGTGTGACGTGTCGTCTATATCCGCCGGTTCGAGGTCTTCTTCATCACTACCAACTTCCTCGGCGTTGTCGCTGTCGCTGTCGCTGTCACTGTCTTCGAGCATGGAATCCGCATCGTCCTCCTCATCGTCGTCGTCGTGATCTTCGCCAGATCGGGATCCAAATTGTTCTTCGTCTCCATCAACAGGAGGAAGTTCTTGCTCTTCTGCGAGTTTTCTTCGTTTCAATCGTTCCACGTCGTAGACCAGTCCGAGACCACCGTTCTCGGGCTCATCTTGCACATCGTCGTATACCCGCTTCTTGTCGATTGTAACTGGCACGTTGCGCCGTAGACGCTCTTCTCTAAGTTGTGGGTTCTTCGCCTCTTCCTTTTTCCGCCCGAATCTTTCTGCTCGCTTCAACGCATCCCGTGCTCGCTTCTGTTTTATGTGCAGGTCTTGCCGTCGCTGCTTGTTGGCGGTTTTGAACGGCAGAGCAGCCTTGTCGGAGAGGCGAGTGCCCTTTTTGGCCATTGAGAAGTCGCCGTGATACCTCTCAAGGAGTATGCGAAACCAGAGGATAAATCTCCCAGGCGCAAGGACAGGGGACACCGATGATGAGTCTCTGTTGCGATCTTCCCGAGACTTCGACTTTTTTGGCGCAGAGAAAAAAGAGTTGGAGAACCCCCGCTGACTGAGCACAAGGCTGCGCTGGCAAGGCTGAGATAGCTCTATTTAACTACGAATAGCCACACTCTTTGCTCGGGGCAATAATTCCACCTGATCGAGTCATCCTCGTGCTTGTTGACTCAATCTCTACACCTCTCCTGCCATTTTCTTCTCTCACTTACATGCGTGCTTGGAACGTCGTCTCCAAAGCAGCGCCTTTTCACTCTCCTAGTTTCCCTCTCTCCAAAAGATTTTTTCGCTGCTCGCCGTCGGCGTCCAAATTTGAGCCCGAACGCAGTTTAAAGCGCTTCGATCCCAAAATGGCTACCAGCACCACCAAGACTGGCCAGCCCATGGACCGTGCCGTCCTCGAGTCGGTCCTGAGGCGTCGTCTGTTCTATACTCCTTCCTTCGAAATCTACGGTGGAGAGCGTGGGCTTTTTGACTACGGCCCGCCCGGGTGCGCTCTTCAGGCCAATGTGGTCGACATGTGGAGAAAACACTTTGTCCTCGAAGAAGATATGCTCGAGGTCGACTGCACCATGTTGACTCCCGAGGCCATCCTCAAGACCAGCGGACATGTCGACAAGTTTGCCGACTGGATGTGCAAAGACCCAAAGAGCGGGGAGATCTTTCGTGCGGACCACCTGGTCGAACAAGTTCTCGAAGCTAGATTGAAGGCGGACAAAGATGCCCGTGGGCAGAAAGTCGAGGTCGACGAAGCAAAAGAGGCAAAGAAAAAGAAGAAGGTCAAGGACGCCAAGATCGAGAAGCTGGACGATGCAGTCGTTCAGGAATACGAGGAGACGCTCGCAAAAATCGACAACTACGGCGGTGACGAGCTTGGAGAGCTCATCAAGAAGTTCAACATCAAGGGCCCAACCACCGGCGCTGAGCTTGAGCCCCCCAAGGCCTTCAATCTGATGTTCCAGACCCAGATTGGGCCCAGTGCAGATGTGCCCAATGGCTATCTACGGCCAGAGACTGCTCAGGGACAGTTTTTGAATTTCCAGAAGCTCCTCGAATTCAACCAACAGGCCATGCCGTTCGCCTCGGCATCAATCGGCAAGTCTTTCAGAAATGAAATCTCTCCCAGGTCTGGACTGCTACGTGTCCGCGAGTTCCTGATGGCTGAAATCGAGCACTTTGTCGACCCAGAGGGCGGGAAGAAGCACCCTCGCTTCGAGGACGTCAAACACGTCGAATTGACTCTGCTCAACAGAAAGACCCAGCTATCCGGAAGTACCAAGCCTGATGTGCTGACTATTGGCGAGGCTGTCTCTACGGGACTGGTTGACAACGAAACCCTCGGATACTTCCTTGTCAGAATCCAAGACTTCCTTCTGAAACTCGGTGTTGACCACAGCAAGCTCAGATTCAGACAGCACATGGCCAATGAGATGGCACATTATGCTGCGGATTGCTGGGATGCGGAACTTTTCACCACCTACGGGTGGATCGAATGTGTCGGTTGTGCTGATCGAAGCGCCTACGATCTGACGGTTCACATGAAGAAGACTGGTGCGCCACTGCTCGTCCGCGAGACCAGAGCGGAACCGTTGGTGATCGAAGAATACCAGGTAGACATCGACCGCAAGAAGCTTGGCCCCAAGTTCCGCAAGGACGCCAAGGCAGTCGAAGCTGCTGTGGACAGCTTGTCCCAAGAATTGCGTGAGAAATTGTCGATTGACCTGGAGAAGACTGGAAAGATCGAGGTCTCGACACCGGGGGTGGGAAGCGGCACCACAGAACTTGACAAAGATCTCGTCAAGATCGAGAAAAGAAAGCGCACAGAGCACGTTCGCGAATATACTCCCAATGTCATTGAGCCTTCGTTTGGTATCGGACGAATTCTCTACAGCGTCATGGAGCATGTCTTCTGGACTCGAGAAGGCGATGATGCGCGTGGAGTGCTCTCGTTCCCCCCAACAATAGCCCCGACAAAGGTCCTGCTCGTACCATTGTCCAATCATCCAGACTTCAAACCATTCATCAAGAAGCTCACCTCCAAACTCCGCAAAATTGGGGTTTCCAACAAAGTTGACGATTCCTCAGCAAGCATCGGAAAGCGATATGCTCGTAATGATGAACTTGGGACCCCGTTCGGCATTACCATTGACTTCCAGACGGTCAAAGATAACAGCCTGACACTTCGGGAGCGCGATTCTACCAAACAAGTTCGTGCTAGCGAAGACGAGATTCTCGCAGCAGTTCAGTCATTGGTGGATGGGTCCGAGACGTGGGAGCAGGTTGCGCAGAGGCTTCCTGTCTTTGAGGGACAAGAAGCCGATCCGACGGAGAAGTAGGTGGACATGCTGCAAATGGATGTTTTGCTTGTGTTTTTATGAGATACCCGACCTTGATGGTGCAATCTTCTTTCTGAGACGACCCCAAAAGTCAAGATGGCACCTCGGAGATGATGGCCAGAGCACCGTGGCGGGAAATGCTAGGCCGTGCACTCCACCAAATAGAGTCATGTAGGAATATGCAGGTACGAAGAAGGCGTACTGACCTTGAAGTGTGCCGTAACGATCTTTCAGCCTCATCGACCTCGTCCGGTCAAACATGCATTCCCAGCCGGAAATATCTCCCACCTACAACCCTCCAAAATGTATTTAGGCACTCGCTCGAGGTGCAATCAGCGTGTGCGACCCCCTTGCGCCACATTGGTCTCAGGACTCATCCTTTCCGTATCATCGTTACTCGCTTATTGAGTTTGACATCAACATGTCACCTGCATGAGTCAAAGAGAGGGGAGGGGACGCTCCCCTCGGGCGAGTACTGTAAGACTCCCAATCTCCTTTGTTGATTCACTTTCCGTCGGTACACAGGACTGGCCAAGATTGGGTGAATCGGTATGAGAATGTACTGTATTGTCCGTGCCTATCGGAGAAAAATGCCGGGACCAACCTATTGACATCCACTTCTTCGTTGATCACCGAGAAAGCGGTCTCAAAGTCATAGCTTGCCTACGACTATTTTGGATCTCTAGAATTCTCCCAGCACAATTGTCAAACATGCAATATACGCTCGACTATCTGTAGCCGGCCCATGTTACCTATTCGGCCCGCCCCCTTGTCGGGCGACCGGGCTTTGCATCTACGCGCAGCTAGTCAAGAGCATCTCCGGCGGCAAAAGAACGTCTCGGTGGCTTGTCAGGCTTGCCAACAAGGAAGGCGGAAGGTAACATCAAAAAGCTATAATACTCGCATCTCCAGCACGGTTTTGACTAACACGTTTTTCTTTGATGCAGTGCAGCGGGGTTCATCCTTGTGTTGCCTGTCAAGGCCGCAAGATCGACTGCACATTCGTGGCGGACCGTGATGGTCGTCGGCAGGAAGCTCGAAAGCGCAAACTGGAAGACCTCGAGACCGACACAGAGTTGCTGCACTACATTGTGCATATTATCCAGGGGAGAGATGACCGACAATGGGCCTCGATCATCTCCTGGGTCCGCAGCGATCTCCCACTCGATGAGGTCAAAGTACGTATCCAGCGGCAAGTCATGGACTCTCAACTCAGATATCCTCATCCCACCCTAGACCAAAACTCTTACACGGTGAGGACGAAGACCTTCGGCGTTACGGAGACGGAGAGCAAGAAAATACGCTCGGAGCCATGCACGCCTGCATAACTTTCCTTCTTAAGTCTTTTGTTACGCTACGACAAATCAATGTACCAGGTCGACGCCACCAAGACCAAGACTGCAAGTCGATGCTGGAATTGATCTGTGGGACAACTAGCTGCAGCCAAATGTTAGGCTCGCCGGCGTAAACGAGGGGCGAACCCGGCAATGCTAGACATACGCAGTCCACTGAGCAGGAAGTCGGGTGATTCCATGTTTGAATATCTCGATTTCAACGGAAGGACACGTGAAGCCAGGTTGCTATGGTGGACTGAGAAACTCCTTGACCTTTTGCTGATCAGGCTAACCTGACCTTGACCGATACGACCAGGACCTATCACAAGATCCCAAGGCTTTTGAGTTTTTCCGGCATGACTACACCTTTCAAGAGCAGATTGCCTAGTATGAGGGAGGACTTATTCCCCGTTCCATGCTTCCTACATGGTCGAGAGAGGATGATTGCATCAAGGTTTTCTTGATCGAGCAGACAGCTTAGAGAGGGAGCGACAAATACAGGGATTCCGAATGACGAAGAACACTGACCATACCAGAATGATTGTCGTAGCTTTCAGGCTTGCCATCCTACCAGATTCCATCCACCAACCTTGATCGATAACCCACCGCTTCGGCGTTGAACAATTCCTCTTTCCGCTTGCAGCGGCGAGATCGCGAAACTCTTGCCTATTATGGCATCTATCGAAAATGGAAATAAGTACTATCTCCGCCACGGACCATGACTCTGCTGCGCGTATACGTCGGTCGTATCATGACTTTTGCTCGCGCAAGTGCTTCGTATATTCATGTACCTTGGCTGTCTCGCCCTCTCTCTCACTGCCGTGACCGAATACACGACAATGTCGGAACTTGTTGTGGTCACCTGCGCCTCCGGCAAGCAGTGCGGCCAGCTCATTCCCATTCTCTACCTCGACCCAAGGTACAAGCTTAGGCTGGTCGTGCACTCCGAGACATCTCTTGATCGTTTAAAGACCAAATACCCCGAAGCCGAAGTCATACGAGCTGAGTTCGGCTCAACTAAGGATTGTGCTAGGATCCTCGACGGCGCAACGACGCTATATTATATCAGCCCGACGTTCAGTCAGCAGGAGACGTATTTCGGATTCAATGTGGTCGACGCTGCGTTGGCCGAGTCACGAAAGGCCGGATCGAGATTTGCCCATTTCGTTTTCTCGTCGGTGCTTCATCCAGAAATCACAAAATTGCTCCATCACGACAGAAAGCGATACATCGAAGAATACCTAACAGAGTCGATGTTGCCTTACACAATACTGCAACCCAGCCACTTCACCGACAACGCCATGGCGCACCTCGTCGCTCAAAAGGACTCGGATCGCGTGGTGTTTCACGCCGCACATAGCCCCGAAGTGGCCTTCTCCTTCACGACGCTGAAGGACTACGCCGAGGCGAGTGCGAAAGTGATCCAGGAGCGCGAGAGGCATTTGTACGCCACCTACCAACTCGTGAGTACGCTGCCGATGAGATACACTGAGTACGTCAGGAGCGTTGGTGAAGCCATTGGTAGAGAAATCGAGATTGAGCGCGTGTCGTTCGACCAAAGCGTCGGTATCATACTAGAGCGTGTTAATGGGAAAAATGCCGACATCGAACAAACCGTGAAAGACGGGCCGGAGCATCTGGTGTTGTACTACAATGCTAGGGGGCTATACAGCAACCCAAACATCTTGGAATGGTTGATAGGGAGGAAGGCGACCACGCCGGCCCAACTGGCGAGGGAGACGATAGAAGCTTCCAGGATGCAGTAAAACCTGCCACTCATACCAAGTCGCCCGAAGTTCAAATCTCTGTTCAATCATAACTGAAACCAACAATGAAATGTCGCCGTGTCAAAGCAATAACGATAATAGGTAGTGGCAATTTGATGAGCGCCGGCCACAGACTCACAGTGCAGGTATAAAGATAGTGTAGATGTCGGTAACTACTCGTACTCGAACTAGCTCTAATAAAAAAATCCCACGCCGGCCCCGGATTTTCTCACTCGGCAATGACATCCGGTGTCGCGCATGGGCCCATGTTTACGCGTGCCCAAAGCGGCTCAAGGTTCTGGACCATCTCGCTACCACCATCGTCTCTGCAGACGAAAGTATTGTTACTACCACCAAACAAATACCTCGTCCAAGAATGCCTTCTTCACGCCCCGCTCCAGATCTGTCGCCCTCGGTTCGCCGCAACTTATTCTCAGGTCACATATCACGACGGCCGGTGTCGGGCGACATGGATCAACAACCGCATCAACCACCTCCGCAGCAGAGACAGGCGCAGCAGTCCCGCCGAATGCATCAACGCAGCGTATCTACGCCGTCGCTATCGCCGTCGCCGAGCCACTCATCTCCTTTCAATGCCAACATCACCAACAACAAAAACTCCCCGCCGCCTCCCAAGGCCCTCTTCTCACAGTCGTTGCTGCCGTCCCCGCAGCCACACGCCTCGTTACAAGATAGCTACGATCCCACCATATCGCCGAACCGTCCTCTCTCTCCTCGCACCAGCGCTGCCGTCTTCCCTAACTCCTCGATCGTGGCGGTGAACCCTCTCACCGGCCGTCCTGCCTTGCCTCACATCCCCGTTCTCCCAGGACACTTGCGGCTCACAGATTCCGAAGACGAAGCCCAGATTGAAGACCTCTCGAGCCAACACCAACACCACCACCATCACCATCAGCATAACCATAACATCGGGGGCCAGGGAGATCCCTACACTGCTGCACACATGCAAAACGGTGTCGGCGGCGGCGGTAGCGGCGCAGACTACACACAAATCGACGAAGAATACGAGGAGCGCGAGGCGTTTGAGCGAGATCTCAGAGACAGGCTAGCACGGCACCGCGCACGGCTGCAGCGGAAAGCTGCCCACGCTGCATCGGTCTCGGTGTCGAACGGTCAGCATGTCCATACACATTCGCATTCGCGGCTCGGCCGCCGTACGCATAGGACGAAACTCCGCGGCGATGGCGACGACGACAGTCCAGACATGGAGATTGGTTCGGGAGGGTACCACCACTACCACCATGACCAAGCCGAGCGCGGTGCACCAGTAGCGTACGATGCAGTCCGAGACCGCGACCGGGACGAAGAAGACGATGACGACCAAGCGGCGGAAAAGGGGGCGTTGCTCAGCATGCTTCTGTCGAAGCTACGCGACGAGGTGGCCAGGGCTGAGGACGAATCTTGGATGTTTGGCGATGCCGGCGCATTTCGCACGGGAATCGACGACGCCGGCTATGAATGAAATGACCGGGGGGGCGGCAATCTTGCGTCGTGGCAGAGCTTGTTCGCTGGGGAAGAGGAACAGAGAATAATCACATCTTTCATGAACGGTTTTTTGGCGGACCCAAGTCCATCGACGGTCGACCCTTGCTTGGATGATTTATGCAAGTCACGCATGCGTGACTTGGCGAGGGAAAGGGAAATCAAAATACATCCGTCACAAATAAACTTGTTGATGAAGAAGTATAGACTGTACACTAATATTACTATTATCGGATCAAGTCAGAGCACAGCACCGCACAGCACAGCACAGCAGTGGGCCAGCGAATCCAATTTCAAACAATAAATGGCGAGAGATCCATCCGACATCTGGATCATGTACGACGGAAAAATGTCGTCGCTCTTAGAGAACTTTGTAGCGTCATATTCAACCCATTTCTGTCCTTGAAGACGAGCCACAGTCCTCGACTGCACAACAAGGTCATCGAACCGTTGTCTGCACTTCGGAGAGAACGTACGGTATGATTCATACAGTTGCATTACGTCCTCAGACCACAAGGGGCCAGAATGAGATACCCACACTACATACCTAGCAGCGCGTGTTCCATCTCAACCGCGGCACAATCCTGATTAGAGTGGTGTGTGGAAACCTGCTCTCATCACTGCGGACTGCAGACCTTTGAAACCCAGCTAGAAGCCGTTTCTGGAACTGAGGTGTCCTTGGAGACCTGGAATTTCGCTCACCCGCTTCTGCGTCAATGCCCCGATGCCCATGACAGGTGAGTTGGCCATGTGTAGGAAACTCCATATGAGCACGTAAGAAACTCCATGCAGACGTCTATCCAAGTAACATGTGTCAGCTACTTCAGACCGGGTTGCAGTTGATCCAACTACAATTCGGGCTTCTGCCAGTGTAATCTGATCGTAAGCATTGTCTAACCCTTCAGTCCAGATCCATGGCGGGAGGCTTCTCGATTTCCTTCTTGGGCCCTGTCAGAGGTTTCGGCGTGTTCGATCTCGGCGTATTCCCCCTCCCTTGACCACCCTCGCCGCCACCGAAGAGCATGCTTCCCATCATGTCAAAGAGCGGGTTGCCACCCTGCCGGGGAATCTTGATCCCAAACCACACCTCGCCAATACTGCTTAGCGCATCGCTCCAAAGGCCCTCGGCGTCCTTCAGGTGGGGTGCGTAGTACTTGGACAGTTGCCGGAACAAGCTGGCGTCGCCTTTCTGTGCCGCCAGAAGCAGTAAGCTCAAGAAATTTAGCAGAGGGATGCTAGGGAAGATCCGTAGACTCAACCCGGATTTGCTCGACTCTATGGGTTGCGACATGGCAAGCAGGTGGGGGTTGGACGTTGTCAAATGCGAGGTGAAGGTGCTGAGTGCAGAGTTGGCTGAAGCAAGATTTCCAACCAGCAAGTACGGCAGGACAGAGCGCGAGGCGTAGATTCCCGCCAAGTGCGGTTGGTCGACACTGTACCAGTTGTAATGTAAGGACGCCAGGATCGGAGCCGACGAGGCGGTTCCCAGAACGAGATGCCGTTCTGCATCATATACTTCGCCTTCTGCTCGAGTCTTTAGTGTCCGTTCTGTACAGGGGATGAACATGGTCGAGTAGGGCATACCGTCGGCGAGTACTCGTCCAACCTGGTCGTGAATCTCAGGGTCCCCTCTATCCAAGTCCCCGAACTTACTTGACCAACCAACCATCTCGTTAATGAATCTCTTCCTCGTGGGCTCCTCGGGAGGGAATGCATGCAGTATCTCCAGCAGCTTCTTCTTGTTCTCGTCGGTGCAATCGAACTCGCCCTTGACGTAGACATCGTTCAAGAGCATCAAGGCCAAGTCGCCGCCCGATCCACCCTGGCCGGCGCGGAGCAAGAGGAGAGCACCGTTGTACAGAACGTCGCGGGCAGATGTGTAGTCCGAGGATTTGAGATATCTCGACGTGATCACTCGAAGTTGCTGGTGGGCTTCGTAGAAGTTACCCTCGGCAATCCTGTACAACACCGGTCAGTCGCAACGCCTCGTACCCCAAACGGAAAGCAATCGTGGATGTAGAGTCCAGCGGTGTTGTCAAACCTGTGGTTTGTTTGAAGTGACCTACTTTTCCTTCTGCCTCGCTATGGTTTTGGCTATTTTGGCAGACATGTTGGACCCGACCGTACAACGAATGGCTCGAGAAAGGTTGCGTGGGCTGGATATTGGAAGGGTGGCAGGTCGCGTGTGAGGATGAAAGCTCTCGTAGTCGATACAGCAAAGTCTACCTGTATTTACTGCACGAGGGCCTCTAACTAGTAGAGATCGCGACAAGTTGGAGTCGACGTCACAAGTTTCGCTAAAGCAGCAGGCTCTCGCAGCGGGTGAAACAGGTGAAACAGGTTAGGGCCTGGTTCCGTGTACCAGGCAGCGCGGCTATATCGCCAAGTTGGCTTTGGTGCGCTGCTATCGATAAGCCCATTTTGCACAGTGTCCTTTTGACCAAGCGCACGGCGGTAACCACTACATGAATTGATAACTTTCCACCTCTGAAGTAGAGTAATCTTGTTCTCCCCCGACCTTGTCTCTTCCAACGCGCAACTTGTCCTTGCTCCTGTCCTCGTGTCAGAGTCCCATGACGGCAGTTCGTCCATACCCTCTATCCCGGAACGACTCCAAAGCCAAATGCCCAAGACTACGACCGTAACCTCTAATCCTGCAGCAACACTTCTTCGTTCATTCACCGGCACATCTACAGATCTCTCGGCTTCAACATGCAGTTTCTCTCTCTTTTAATCCCGATAGCCTACCTAGGCATCCTAATCGGCAGTCTCGCCACATTTTCGCACCTCTACCGCCAACGGCAAATCAAATCCAAACTCAGACTCGCGCCTTACTTTCCTCCACACTCCGCCCGCAATGTCTACCTCTCACTTCTACACCTGCAGGATTCGTCCGATGTCAAGGTCCCGGAATCTGTTCTCCGCGCCGCACTGTTGGCCCGCGCCGTCGAAGACTGGCAACGTATTCAGGAAATCCGTACCCGTAAGCCTGCGCTGGCTCAACTCCTACAGCGCGGCGTTGTAGGCGACGAGATCTTTCAACGCCTTCAGCGCGCAGAGACGGAGATCGAACTCGAGGCCAAGGACGTCATGAATGAAGCGAACGCCCTGGCTCCGAACTGGGGCAATTACATCTTCCAAACCGCGAACGAGATGGTGCTGAATAAAATCCTGAGGGACAAGCTGGATAGCGTCAAAGCAACACTGCCTGCAGAACAGGAGGCCTGGGCTGCCCAGCGGGAGAGGTCAAGACGAGAACTCGAAGGCGAGGAGGCACAGGGACAACCACAACCAACCGAAATATCATCGTCAGAAAAGGAGAAACCTCTAAAAGCAGGAAGTAGTGACGACGACGGTGTGATGGTCGAGACGCCTGCTACCGAAGTAACCGCTGGGACGGGCGTCTCCACTGGTAAGAGCAAGAAGAAGAAGGGAAAGAAATGAGTTTGGCAGCAATGGCAGCAATGGCAGCAATGTACAACAGAAGCTTCCTTCGGAAGAAAACTTTTATGAGCGCGCATAGCATGCTGTTTCACTGAGACACAGATTTGCATTTAGCATTCTTCAAAACGGGGCGGAGTAAATGCATGACTTCATGCTATGATACAGGTAGTCTACAACTATGTATACTGAGATGCCACTTTCTACACCAAATACCTCCCAGGCTTCCGGTATTTTGACCTCATAAATTCCCAGGCCAGTCGTGCCGGGTTAGAACCTCCTCTGGGATTGAAACATTCATTTCGTCAGCCACGTGTGAGACATTCTCGAGCAGGCTGTCACCCCGTTCCAGCTTCCTCTCAATGACCATGCAGAGAAACGTGCTCAACGCGTCCAGCCGAAGTTCCTGAGCTTGCGGGCTCTCAGCGTCCCCAAGTTCTTCAGGATCCATGTCCGCATCGACGAGTTTCCTGTCCAATATGGACACAAAAATATTGGTAAGAGTATGCAAGGCACCTTGATATTGTGACTTTCTTGATGCTCTCAATCCTCTGTCTCGTGTATGCAGGTGGCTGGTAAAGTCCACTCCAAAGGACCGGGCTACAGAAATGAGAATCAAGCGCATCGCTTCCTCTTGAGGCAGTGCTCCGAACGATTCTCGCAGGCCGTACATAGCACAGAGGACGCCCTTCGCGTCGGACGATAAACAGAAACAGCGAATGATTTGCTCGTACAGTTCGTGCGAGAAATCATTCTGGGCAGCATTTCTCCTCTGGCTGCTAGCCGAGGCGATCCACCCTTGCATTTCCGCAAACACTCTTCGTGCACCGGGAAACCCTTTGTCGCCGGTTGCAGCCGCAGCGTAAGAAGCCTTGGCTGTGTCCCAGAGCGCGGCGAACGTCTCGAGGTCTGGTTCGATAGTCTCGGTCAATGCGATGTACTTTGTCCAGACCTCGTGAGCGTCGCCCGAGCGTAAAGAGGCATAGAGCCAGTGATTCATGATGAATGAGTTTGGTTTGATGTCTGCGGAACCGATCATAACATCGGTTAGCTCACCAGCTTTCGCCAATTCCGACCGGCGTGTATAGTACTGAAGCAAGATCGAAAACGTCTCGACAGTCGCAGGGGGTGCTCCTCGCCGTAGAAATGAGGGAGTCCGTCTCTGCACTGAAGACGGTTCTTCTGGTGCTGTCGATGCATTTTCATTCCGTTGTATATCTCGCTTACGTACCATGTCAACACGGGCTTGTATCATGCTCCATGCCGTACTCTCCGCGGTCTGACGGGCAGTGGGCGATCCCTCACGAAGATACCCTGCAATGAGGCCATTGAGGTGTCCAGCATCAGGTTTCACACCACGTTCATACATGAGCTCGACTACTACGGCAGCCTCATCGACTCGATCTGCTCCAATGAGCCACTTGATCCAAGACCCAAAAAAGAACTTGTTCTGGTACGAGCGCGGCAAGAAGACAAATGATGCGAGGCCGACTTTGTTGATGAGATCCTCTCCGGGTAGTTGCGTATCTTGAAGTGTTTCGACCATATCTTTGAAAAAGCTCCATGAGTCATTTGCTTTCTTGTGTTTGAAGAGATACATGTCTTTGAATACTGCAAGCGCGAGTTCAGTCCGCCCGGCTTCGAGCAAGGTTCCGCTGATCCTGCCCAGTATATTCAAGATCTTCTGGCCGTCTTCTTCATTTCGCTCCAATATTCGACGCAGTTCGAGGTAACACCACCAGGTTTTGGTTGGCGCGAAACCATTCTGACTTTTTGCCCAGGCCGATATGACCAGGACCAAGACCTCGGGATCTACCAAGGTAGTATAGTTGTAGCATTCAAAGGCAATGCTCTGTGCTTTCTGAGGCTTTCCTAGATCGACATATATTCGAACACCGGTCATCCAGAAAGTTGCCGCAAGGTCTGGTTTATTTCCCAGACGAGTTTTGTGTTCCTCCCAAGCTTCTGCAGCGGTCGCAAAATCTCCGACTGCTTGGAGAGCATCGATATACTGCACCAACTCTTTGTCTTCGAATTGAATGTCTGCGCTCATCATATCCCTTGCCAGCATCTGAAGATGCCTCGGCCGATAGTACTTGGTGCTTTGGGTTTTCCACAGGAAATGCCAGACATCTTCAGAGATGATGGCGGCAAAGTTTGAGATGTGTTGCTGGCATCTGAGATACCACTTCCATAACGCAAAATAAGACTTCTCATCCGCATTAGTCTTTTCGGCTTCTTGCAGAGCCTTGTTGAAACGCTTGACATATATTTTGTGAGTCGTCGGTATGCTCAATGTGACCTTCAATGAATTCTTAGCCTTAGCCGAACGCTTTGTGCCTTCTTCATCTCTCGCAAGCTCTTCAAGTTCTTCGTCGCTAATCAGGTCCTCGGTCGTGGGAGGCATAACGCCCTCCTCCTCCAAGGCCTTCAGCAATGCTTCTCTCTCATCCGGAGGAAAGGAGCGCATGAATTCGCTGTTGGGTCCAAAGGGGCCTTCTCTCAGGATGGCCAATTCCCGATCTAATTCTTCCAACTCTTCTCGTACTTGATGGCCTTCCATCTCCATGTAATCAGGCTCGGCCACCCTTGTTGAAGGATCGTCCCCTTTTTGCTCAAATTCATTGACCTTGACATGGCTGCTTGGCAGCATAGATGGAAGAGGTCGCGAGGCTTGTCGAGGGCGAGAAGGGCCATGCTGACTATGATCGTTCCCTTGTTGGGAACGGGAAGGGCGAGACCGAGTCGATTGCCTATACGGACGGATACTCTGAAAAGACTGAAAGCATGTTTGATGTCCGGCGAAGCTCGGTGACAGACAAAATTGCTGATGCCATCTCTTCGACAGCTGGCAAATACCACGCATGGATACTTGTCGCCCTGCGGCGTGAATGGCGTTGATGAGGGAGTGAAGAGACTCTTGAATCTGCGGCGGAAAAAAAGTTCCCCAAATATCGCCGCATGTCGCAAAGTGGAGAACGCGCTCTCATTTCAAGACGCGCTGTACAAATACACTTTCTACTCCGAAGGGACAGCCTTTGTGCTGCTATACTCTGTGACTGCTGACTTCATGGATACTGAAGAAGTGTATGTGGATGATAATGCGCACACGGTAAAGACCTTCTCCGTCTCCCGCATCCTTATATACTCACCCAAATACTAGGGGTGCTACGTCTTCAGATCAACGGACAACGAGCAACACGAAGACTTCGATCAACGGCCTAAGAAAAGAAGGAAGCTTGGGACCCCTGGCCATGGCACATTGAACAAAGATGAGGAATACACTTGGCCCAGACTTCTTGGAGGCCACGAATCCCCTGAAGGCCCTGAAGTTCGACAGCAGTTGTTCCATACACTATGGGCTCAACAAGAAGCAAAGATCGACGCTGTAACCGGGAAGGTGGACAAGAACTTCGTGGATGAGATGCTTGACTATGTCCGCAACTCCCAAGTAGATAGGTCTGATGACAAGATTGGTACTGGACTGGTCGTCTCTACTCGCGGCAGAGACACATACAAAGATCTTTCCCGCGGTTGGGAGGGCGTTGGTTCTCATACATCCACAGAGATCTTGATACGACTTCAACCCAGCCATGCACCGAGCCTCCAAATCGCGCTGAAGAACGTTATCAGGCTGGCGCTGTCTCAGAGACGGGGTATGGACGAATACAACAATTTCCTCGCCGCCAATAAGGGCATGATCCCGATGAACTTCGATCTCGAACTGCTTAAACTCTATTCAGTCAAGTACGGTATACAGAGAGTATTAGTCTTCATCTCGGATATTGAGGCGTTCGACACTGGGGTCTTCTCTGAGTTGGCCGCGACGTTCAGGTCCTGGACAGATCGTATACCATTTGTCCTGTTCATCGAGATATCGACGACGGTAGCTCTTTTTGAATCTAGGCTTTCCAGGTCGACGGTCAGCCATCTTGACGCTCGAGTTTTTGAGTCGTTACATGCGGAGGACCAGATTGATCCTCTTTTCGAAATTTATGCCACCATTCAGGACTCTGGCGCAGGGGTCTTTTTGGGGCCTGCGACACTGGGCGTCCTTGCGGAGTTGGCTGAAGACCAAGGCTGCACAACTGAGACTATCATACGGGCACTCAAATATGTGTTCATGTCACATTTCTTCGCGAATCCTCTATCAGTCTTTGCTGTTTCTGACGCTAACACAGCATTGTCTGATAATCCTTCCCTGGCTCAGACGATTCGTAACACTGCTGGTTTCCGGGCCCATTGCGAGAACCTGGCAAATGGTACAAAAGCCCAGAGACAACATCTGCGAACTCTTCTCGTCTCTGACGCAGCACTCGAGAACGAAGCAATCCAGAGTCTGCGTGCAGGTCAAGAACGGATGCGTTTGATCCTAACGACCGTAGCCGCCTTGAGAATTATCTACCGGCAACTGCATGGCACAACGGCATTGTCGTCGTTCGAAGTTCAGAGACAGCTACTCGCCTCCTTGCCAGACTTGACTGAGTCCAGGATATTCGACGAGATCGAATCCGCAGTCAGATCCATGGCCGCCTTCGAAGACTTCCGGGATCTCCTGTCAGCGACATCCAAAGAGATAGAAGACCTCAACACTTTCGAGCCTGAGTCGGAGGGCTACGATGCTGATCAAGCAATTCCTAATCTTCATTCGATCCGGGATAAGCTCCAATTTGATGTTCCGACCACGACCAGAGACGTGTCTGAATTGACCAACGCGTTCTTAAACCTACTGACGCGCTATGTACAATCAAGGACAACATATGCATCTGCAAGTCCAGAAACATCCCCCTGGACCAGCTTCATGGCCGAGGCCTACATGTACAACCTCAAATCACCACTGTCTGCGATTGTCCGCCCCCGCACACGCTATGCTCTCGAACGTGCTCTGACCCGCCCTTCGGACTACTTAGGTTGCGACTGCTGCATGCTGGATAAAGGCACCATTCTCGACAAGACAACCTTGCCGCCGACTTCCTTGCTGCTCAGCATGCTCAACGAGGCGGGAACCGTGATCAACGTGCGTGATTTGTGGGATGCGTTCAGGGGTATGGTTGCGCCGTCTCTTGGGCATAGTGGGACAGAGCAGAACGGCGACAAAGATACAGAAGATACCGAAGAAGAAGACCATGAAGATATGGACGAGGCTACAGAGCGGAAAGCCCTGGCTTTGTTCTACCGCTCGGTGGCAGAGTTGCGGCACCTAGGTCTGATCAGGCAGAGCAAGAGAAAGCCAGGCGTCGACTGTGTGGCAAAGACAGCCTGGATGGGCCTATAAGGCCGGCGGGGGTTCACAGACAAGAAACTGTTGACACGATCCAACGATTGTTCTTTGCGATTGCATCTTCGCCCGTTTCACGGTGGAAATTCCCGTCTCCGTGTGCATGCACTCATTACAGTCCGACTCGTGGGCCAGGCTAGCTTCTTTCCGGCCGGAAACGGTGCTATGCTGCGAATACGACATACGATGTTCTCTCAGGCCACCGGCCGTCATCGTGCTTCTTCTTCTGCGGAGAACCCTAAATAGGTCGAATCCGAGTGTCCCTTCGTTCGTATTCGCATCCAGGTTATAAACGAAGCGGTGCTCCCTAAGCCCAAGCTCTCTAGCGGTCAAGGGCGTGTCCTCTTTCACGTAGAAACTGACTTGTGCGACATCTTCCCACTTTCGAATACCGCCGTGAGCAATTGAGCAACATGGCACTCTGGATCTACCTCGTCTTGCTCCCTGCCATTCTCATCTCCTGCCAACGTTCTCTCTTGCTCTGGAAAAACTACCGCGAAGCGCGCAAACTCGGGATCCCGATCGTTATCACGCCGGTCTCGTGGCTGGATCCATTCTGGGGTTTATTCGCCCAGAACTTGAGATGGGTCAAGTATCTGCCTTTCACTTACTGGTACGAGATCAGCAAGTTTTCAGCCCCCCAGCGCGAACGACATCTGATACATCGGAAGTGGGGAGATGTCTTCGTGGTCGTTTCGCCAAAGGCCAACTACATCTATCTCAATGATCCAAAGGCATCCAACGATGTCCTGTCGCATTACAAGACTTGGACCAAGCCAGAGCCTGTCTACGAGATCTTCACAGTATTGGGAAAGAACGTTATCGCCGATAATGGAGAAGACTGGCAGCGGCAGAGAAAGATCATCAACCCTGCATTCCGTGAACAGAACTATAACCTTGTTTGGGACGAGTCACTGAAGCAAGCCCGACAATGGCTCGACGGTCGCTGTGCCGAGTCTAGGACTGGTAGCACCATGTTGGATGTTCGTCGCGACATGGTATTGATAGCTCTGCATGTCTTGTCCGGGGCTGGGTTCGGCCAAATCCACGATTTCTCGAGCGGTCTACGCGACACGCCGCAAGGCCACCTCAAGAGCTTCCCCGAATCTTTGATGTTTCTGCTGACGAACCTTTTTAAAGTGCTCTTGTTCAAGAATGTTCGACTTCCACCATTGTTGATGCCTTCCTTCATCAAGGACTTACAAGACACCATCAAGGACTTCCACTTATACCTCAAGGAAATCGTCGCGTACCATAGAGCAATAACCCAAGGGGGTGGCGGTGGGCAGATTGCTGATATAGTGAGCGCATTGGTCGAAGCAGACGAGGCGGCTAAGCGTGAGGAGAAGACACCTGGGCTAGGACTTGGGACGAACTCCATCCACCTGACTGACGAAGAGATGTTCGGCAACCTCTTTCTGTTCAATCTTGCCGGTTTTGAAACGACTTCCAATGCTTTGACCTACACCTTCCCATTCCTAGCACTGCATAGGGATGTGCAAGACTGGGTTGGCGAGGAAATCGATGCCGTTTTTCAAGACAAGGATCTGCATGGTCTCGATTATGCGGACACGTTTCCGCTGCTTGTGAGGTGCTTGGCTGTCATGGTAAGTGGGAATTGGACGTTACTTTAGCATAGACAACTGACTGGAATAGTACGAAACTCTCCGGATTTGGGGCCCCTTGCCGTCCACCATTCGCTGGCCCGCCGGGCAATCTCAGACACTGAGTGTGGGAGGCCGCAATATTGTTGTCCCCGCAGGTATGTACGTGATCACCAACGTATACGGCGTCCACTGCGACCCCCGATGGTGGGGACCTGATTCTCTCGAATGGAAGCCGCAACGGTGGATTACCACTGATCCGGATACTGGAAAGGAAATCCTTGCGCAGCCACCTCCAGGTGCGGTCTATTTCCCGTGGGCTAGCGGTCCTCGAATTTGCCCGGGCAAGAAATTTAGTCAAGTGGAATTTGTTGCTGTCATAGCAGTGCTGCTGCGTTCGTACCGCATCAAGCCCTTGATCATCGAAGGGAAGATGAAAACCGAGAAAGATGCCAGGGCGGCCTTGATTGAGGTCATGGAGGATTCGCGCACTAGAGTAACTGTGAACATGAGACATCCAGAGAACGCCGGCGTTGATATTGAGGACCGTTGAAGAGGCTGTCATACAGGCTCATTTGGATTTGGAAGTATTGCTGGGATTAGCTGGCTGGCTGGCATCTTGTTCAGAGTTGAAACCGCGCCTAAGTCTATGTTGTGTTGCTTTCGCAGAACAAGTGGTTCTCTTCTCCAGACTGCGATGGATCGGTGTGTGTATTGTGTGATGCAATAGTGCAGATCTGATTCGCTTCTCTGGTTCACATAAATTCGAGGTTCATCTTCGACTGCGTCGCTTCGTGGTATTGAAACCGCGTTTTGTCGGTGGTACTCGAGGCTGTAGAAGACAGTAGGCTTGCCTGACTCGGTACCTGAGGTATGGATCTTTTCATCGTTGAGTGAACCGTACGGCATGCAGCGAGGGCAAGCTATCAGTTGAACATCTGTAGCTCATCGCATTAGACCCAAATTCAGTAGCATTTCGCAAGGTGACGCGGTAAACCAAAAAGCAAGGTCCGCACTTCAATTTGAGGTCTGCAGGTATTCTGATCTCCCGCAGAGAGTAAGGGTAATGTAAAACGCTGCGCTTCATAAGGTCAAAGTCAAGACAATGATTTTAGTTATGATTGCATACTTACTAGATGATGCTGCGAAAAGGGTTTTTATTCGCGTGTCGTTGTTCTGGTCCACAACTGGTACGATAACAGAAGGAAGGACCCAAAATTGATGCCAGATCCCTGTCCCAATGGTGCTCGCAGCACTATTTTCATGTTATTTTGAAGCAATCATAGGTTTCTTCTGACAAAGCTCTTCTCTTTGCTGTTCACATTCGTGTTTTTCTCTAGAATTCAAGTAACCACGTGTGGAGCTTGTTAACAGGGCGACTATGGCCGATGATGGTCAGTTTCCCAAACTAGGTCGAGTACAGGTCCTGAATGAGCCCGTAAATTTCGTTTGGCGTTTGCTCGATGGAAGAGTATCGGGGTGGCTATGTCACTGAGGTAGGTAAACCCAACGGCGACGTGAAAGGCTTCGAAACGGAGGGCGATCTGAGAAGAGACGAACAGCAGCTAGTTCTCGCATTGACAGGTAAAGCTTCGCATACAGCAGATAGAAAGGGGGAAAGCCTTGCTGTACTTGCAAAGACTCCAACAGACTTTGTTGCTCTGTTGACTCACCCGTGGGAAGGGTTTTGTGCCGGTATGGATAGAAGATCCAAAGACTCTCCAGGAAGGAGATGCTAGCCACGACCCTCTCTCGACATGGCAGTCCAAAATCGGCAGATCAATGCATTCGTATTCCTTTCTCCCAGCCCCCAGTTCAAGTTAATCATTTGACTGGTGCATGAGGAGGGAGATGTGGGTCGTTATGGGTTGTGTCGAAGTTTGGACTGTCCGTGGGCTATTTGAATCGACGTGTCATGGGGTAAACGATAGTTAAAATGAGGCCAGAGCTTGACCGAGACACGAGAGATTTAGGGACATGATAGGTGCACTTGCGAAGTTCAAGGCAACAAAGCCATAAAGATGTTGTGTGCTGAGTCCTGATATAGCCATATAGAACCTCAATTTCAATGGTCGTCCAAGCCACGTACTTCTTCAAGAACAACACCCTGGATAGGAGCCACCTGGAAAGCCATTATGTTTCCAGTGCTTGCCGACTGTCTGCAGGTGGGAGAGTCGGCGCTTAGGTTGCGAGCGGCCTTTCTTTCCGCCACCGAGGCCATGTTTCGGTCGGAGGCGAGAGCTGTCTCGGAACCTGGTCACCGGTCAGAGCTGGCATAGCCGTCTAAGTGTCGCGACCAAAGAAACGAGGCCACAAGTCCCCAGATTTTCACTTTTGGACCTTTGATGGGTCTGGAAAAAAAGAAAACATGCGGAAGTGGACCGAGCTCGCAGAGGCTGGAAGGCCAGCGCTTATTTCTCTGCGACCTTCTGCCGGCCATGCTGGAGACCGCGCCCAGCAAACTGCAAGCAACAAAGGTCCAGGATCACTAGAAGCCCTCTATGCCGAAGGTCAATCTCCCCATGCACTTGATGAAGCATAGCCCCCGATGTGATTCCGAATTACTTGAACTGAAGGTAATTGACCTTGGCTCCACAAATACTTCGTACCCTGCAGGGTTTTCCACACGAGAGATAGATGACCCATTCATTGACTGGCACTCAGCCTGTCATCCTTGCCATGCAGTTTGTAGGGTTTGCCGGACCAATCCATGCTGGTCTCACGAGATGATAGCGTATCGTGCTGCCTAATGAGTATTCTCCGCCGTATAGGGTGGTGATGAAATTGGCATCCAGGTGTCTCCTAGATTCTTCGTCCAGTCTATAACTCATGGTATTACTGGCAAGAGGGACCTTCGATGTAGACTCGAAGAACGCTCTGTAGCGCCAGTTGCTGCGATAAGGCGCCGTTCGTCTCCGGGGAAGCGGATTTCCGGATATTATTGCACGATCTGCCTTGAAAAGGCTGTGCTTTACACTAGCCCGGCTCCCGGCTGGCTCCCCCTTTAGTTTGCGGACTTCGTTTCAGTCCCCTTTTCTGATGGACTACCCGTGGCTGCAGCATTTCTCACATGCATGAAAAGAGCGGTGAGGCAAGTCTGTATACGTGTCGAAGTAAATGGTTAATTGCCTGTTGCAGCTCGCTGGCAATATGTGTGATGATGGTGTGACGCTTGGTAGTATAAGAGAGGGCGCTGTACCAATATGCCCTTGGTATCAGGATGCAGTTGTGCGACAGTAGATAAAAACTTGGCGATACCCAATGATGGCCAAAAACTCATCATCTACAGGGGGAGCTCTCCCAACGCTTCTGGATGAAAGTGTCAGTCGGCCGAACGGCCATGACAACGACAATGACGATCAGTGGTCCAATGGTATGCTCAAGCACCCCTGGTGCGGATTCCTTGCTGAGCGGTGGTAAGCAGCGTGTTCAGATCTGGATATTGATGAGGTCGCCTACACGATTGATGATCACCCAGTCGACCGAACAGCCAACCATGCACGCGAAGACAGCGACGCCATACAGGGGCAATTGGTGAGTCATTGCTATCTCTCGGAGACCGCAACGGAAGGACCAAATGTGGTTGAAGTCGAGATAGACTTGGACTGCAGTGGGAGCAGCGGCGTCCAACCAGAAGAGTTGGGGGTGACTCAAGAGCCTGGAGAGGCTGATACATCTCCCAAGACGTGCTCCAACTGAGCTTCTGAAGAGTAAGTGCCACCTCTGGCCTTACGTTGATGCATACCAAGTCTGACAGATGGGGTGAAAGTAGTGAGAGAAAGAATCTAGGAACAACGTGAGGTTAGCGTGGCCTCAAAGGTTTCCAGAGTAATAAGGTGTTATGAGGGAATGTTTCAGAGAGAAGATTGGTTCAACACTGTGGGATTTGAGGGTTGGAGCAATCATCAGAGCCAGTCTGAGGCTGCTGCCAACGCCACTTCAGGCTAAGGATGATACAAATGTTCATCATAGAAGGGAAAGAGGGTAAAAGTAATGCTTACTGTGCGTACATGATGTGGCCCAAGGTTGAGGAGCCCAGTAGTCATAGCGCAGAGAGGACGCAAGCGGTGCTCATGATCTACGGAAGAATGTTCTGGATATTAGTCTGCTCATCTCAAGGGCTGCCCAGCTTCGGCCACAGAAAACTTCTCGGCGCCGCTTTCTCTTTCGCTTCTGAGGTTGACTCATCGTCGTACTTGAGGGCATCGATGTTGCGCTCTTGTGTCTGGAGCCGAGGATCTGAATGGGGTTTCCATCCAGAAGCAGCGACTTTGTGCCCATTTGCGGCAGACTTGCGTTTTTGTCGCTTCTTTTCCCTCGCCTGAGTAGCACGACGTTCGCTGAGCAAACGTTGAATTTCCGAATGGCGGAACATCTTGATTTGTGCGTCTGTCAAAGTCCTCTTCGTGCCATCTTCGTAGAACCCCAGCTCATCGCAATCGTTTCCTGGAGTTGGAGAAGCCGCCATCCCCCTTCGTCTCTCGGGGATACTGGCTAGCTTCGGTGTCGGTTGATTCGAGAAGTGAGCAGCATGAAACTGCTTGAGCCGATCTAGTTCAGCCTGATCAAGCATAGTGTAAAACTGATGCGTCTAAAGTTGCCGTGGCATTTCCGGGAGAGAGCCGAGTGCGAATTCGGGGCTTTGCCAATCGAGTCTTTGATGTTTGACACTCGTCCTTCGATTAATGGACAACGGGTTTGAGACTTGATGGAGATCACTCGTACACGGCCTGCGCCAAGAAACGGCTGGTTGACCTCCAGCTCAGGCTAGTGAGGCTCAGATGACATAATCAGTCGTACCATGGCTGAATCGCATTATCTAAGATCAGTAAACACAAAATAACAGTCCTCATCAGACAACGACGACCATTGTTCATTCCAAAGACCTTCTGTATTCAGAGGGATCCGATGGTTGATCTGGCTACTATCCATCTCGTCTCGGCCGATATATACAAACTCTTAACAATGCGATTGATGGAATACGTCCGAGCGCAAGAAAATGATCACTATTCCTTCTTAAAACGCTGCTATTTTAGTCAGGTTTAGAAGTGCGATGTTAGCTTCAGGCACGACATGGGCCTGACGACGTGCCTGACGACAACTTGCCAAGCGTATTAATGGCTATGCTCATGAGTATATATTTCACGTTTGCCCGCCCTCTCTGCAATGTTGTTCCTTCTTCCACACGATCGCAGCAGGCGTTCTATCTCCTATCCAACCTATCATTATCACTCGACAGATCTGTCCACTCCTCTCATTACTCATGGCAGGCGGTCTCATTCTATTGACGGGCAGTACAGGCCATGTAGGCTACCGCACCCTCATCGAGGCTCTTTCAAAAGGTTACAATGTCCGTGCTGCTGTCCGATCCGAAGCCAAAGCTGCCGAGGTCAGAGCAGCCAAGTCGACAGGACCATATCTGAGCCAGCTCACCTTCACCATTGTCCCTGACATCGAAAAGGAAGGAGCCTTTGATGAAGCAGTAAAAGGCGTGGATTATATCGTTCACCTTGCATCTCCGCTCGGCAATCCCAGCCTGGACTATGACACAGGACTCTTGCAGCCAGCCATCCGGGGAACCCTGGGTATTCTGTATTCGGCACTCAAAGAGTCTTCGATCAAGAAAGTTGTCATCACCTCCTCCGTGTTGGCTGTTCTGCCCCCAGACTGGGCTGCCCCAAAGCATTTCACAGCGGACAATATCGAACCAGATCCACAGGGCCCGTACGACAACCCGTTCACTGCGTACGGTGCAAGCAAAACCCTGGCCTACAACCGAACCAGAGACTTCATTGCGCGTGAAAAGCCGTCCTTTGACGTGGTCAATATCATGCCGACGTTCGTCATCGGCAAGAACGAATTGGCAACGACTCGCACAGCTGCTAATAGTGGCTCTAATGGCTTCGTCTTCGCCACGCTGTTGGGAAATCAGAACCCAGCTGGAACGCCCATGGCTACGTGTCATGTCGACGATGTTGCTTTTGTACACATCGCTTCACTCTCACCCGACATCAAAGGCAACCAAAGTTTTGGAGTCAACTATGTCGGGGAGACGCCTGATCAGTGGGACGATGCACTCGGCATTGTCAAGCAGCACTTCCCGGAGGAAGTCGAGAAAGGTACCTTTCCTCTTGGAGGGGCCATAAAGTCCGTCCCAGTGCTTTTCGATGCAAGTAAGACGGAGAAGACCTTTGGCATCAAATTCAAGAACTTCGAAGACCAAGTTGTCAATCTTGCAGGCTATTACGCTACGCTGGAGGCTTGAAACGCGGAGCGAAGGATCAAGGTTAGAGGCCCTGATCCTTGGTATGAATAGATTCAAGAGTACGATAGAATATTTAGTCACAAGTTCAGTACCATAGTGCAAGAATTGCAATCTGGCTGAGAGGGTTTTGATCCATGATAGATGAGATTCCCTGTGGCCCGAGGTTTCGGCGGCGGAAACTTTCCCCAGAGTGGCCTGTCATGCGCATTCCGACCGACCGCGATATCATACACTCTGAGAGACTTTTGCGTCGCTTTAACAAACAGTCAACAAGTTGCATCTGCACATTCTAGTTCAGCTTGCCATACAATTCCCCTCTCGGGTTGCAAGTCCGCCAATTAGTGTGCTGGATTGTCCAGCGCGTCTTCTCGTACATCGTGACGTCTTTCCCCAGGTTCCTCTCCTGACATCACAGTCTCATAGCGGCAAGAATATGCTCCTCGTCGAGCGTTTTGTTCAGATTTGAATCTCTACGAGTAGCTTGATCGTCCTGCCTAGTTGTTTCGCTTACTGCCCTTAGCTCCTATATCACCACCATCTTCCGAAGCATATCAAAGACCTCAATGAGTTCAAATCCAACTTCCAGCGAGATCAAGATGTCGGCTGCCTCTCGCGCCATGTTGGGCAAGGTCCGCAAACTCGTGCCTCCAATGCTAGAAAAATTTCACAAAGGACAGTTGGGCCGAGTTGCTGTCATCGGTGGTAGTGCCGATTATACTGGGGCGCCATACTTCTCAGCGATGGCATCGGCGCGGCTAGGTTGTGATCTATCTTACGTCTTCTGCGAGCCTTCTGCGGCCCAGACGATCAAATCCTACTCACCTAACCTCATGGTGTCACCAATCCTACGATCCACAGCTTCAATCTCACAGGCACAGAAAGAGCAGGATCCCACGGGCGAAGAGCTGGCAAAGCCAATTCTCGATATGCTACCACGTCTACATGTGTTGGTAATAGGACCGGGTCTGGGGAGAGACGTCATCACACAGAAGCAGGTGAAAGCTGTAATCAATGCAGCTCGAAACCACGATCCTCCCGTGCCAATGGTACTTGATGCAGATGCTCTTTGGCTTGTCCAGACAGACCCAGACCTTATCAAGGGACATAAAGAGTGCATTCTGACCCCTAATGTTGTTGAGTTTGGTCGACTTGCGAAGGCAGTAGGTACGGATCAGGACAACAGCGATCCCGAAAAGGCCTGCCAGACACTCTCTAAGGCCCTAGGCGGTGTCTGCATTATCCAGAAGGGTGCTGTGGACTATATTTCGCAAGGCGTAGACACCACAATTTCCGACTTTCAGGGTGGTCTGAAGCGATCTGGAGGTCAAGGTGATACCCTGACTGGATCGCTTGGCACCTTTTTGGCCTGGCGAGGGCTCTACCATGAAGGACTGTGGGATACTGGACCCGAGAAAATGAGCCGAGAAGAAACTCTCTTGGTGGCAGCGTTCGGCGGAAGCGCCATCACAAGAGAGTGCTCACGACGGGCATTTGCAAAGCGACAAAGGAGTTTGCAAGCCAGTGATCTGACTGACGAGGTTCATGAGTCTTTCCTGGCGCTCGTCGGAGAACCAGAAGAGCTCCCTAAGCTTTGAATCATGTTCAATTGGACAGCAAGCATAATGTCTCGTCAACAAGCTAGAGGTGTCTTTGTCGGCTTCCTCTCACAAGCCGAAAGCCGAAACGGCTAAGGTCGGAGGTTTCGAGTTGCCTTGCTACGGTCTCTGACTAGAAGTCCTATGTCTCTCACTGGGGGCGGCGCTGTTGACGACACAGGCTCTCACTTGTCGGCTCGGTGGCAAGTCTCTTCTCGAACCACGCTCAAACGTATCGGGATTCCCTTTAAAAAAAATACAGACTTCTGCCACGGGTTTTGTAGTCTGTTGTGCTTACAGCATAAAAGCCGACTTATTCAATTCTTGCAAAATGCAACATTTCAAACTAGTTCTGAAACGAAAGCTTTTATGTAAAGTCTTGGTAGCAACACTCACAAAGACCATGATCGTGCCAACGAAGGCATTGTCGTATTTCATGGCAGTTCTCGTGCGAAGCACAATCAGAAGTTCGAACGAACAGTATCAATATCATGACGATCTTATAGCTTTCATTTTGTACCGTCGATTCTTGAAGGTTCTCATATGTACAATGCGATGATGACAGCACCCGCCATATCTCTGAGCTTACTCATATGCTGAGACACCATTATTTGTCTTCAATCTTTCAATCCTCAATCTCTCAGCCTCTTTATTCTCATCTTGATAAAATTTCGCAAGCGCAGATAGGTTTGCAGAACTCCCAGCCGATACGTTATAGGGAGAACCGACATTGAAAAGTCTAGAACACATATCTGTCAGTTTCGATCAAGAGATGTCCATGAGTTCGCAAATCCGCTTACTCTGGGTTTCGTAGTGCTGGGCCACTGTCGTCACGCGCAGTCGCCGCAAATAGCTGGCGGTCCGCCGCTGCCCGTTCCAGCATCGTCATGTAAACCACATTTTTCGTCTCGTCGGCCTTCTTGTTGTCTTCATATTGTTTTACCAGTCGGGAAATAGGATTGTCGCTGGGGGAACTCGAAACCGAATACACAGCATACGCAAACGGGATGAGGGCCAGGCTGATGAAGAATCCCCTCTATGATAACAATTAGACATTGTATCCCTTGTGGTGCACTTTCGACCTTACACTTAGCGACTCGTTTCCAGATCCGATATCGACATGAAAAGCGCTCTCTCTGGGTCCTGCATGATCGTGGCCGTGACCGTGACCAGCTTCGTGGCTGGCACTTCTGCGCGTTTGGTGCTGTAATGTACGTCTCAAGGGACGAGCGGCAGTCCTCGCCCCTCTTGAGAGAAAAGTCATGGTTATCCGAGTAGCAGGAATTGGTTCGTCGAGTCTCAGCAGTTGTATCTATGGACATTGACGTCTTGAAGACCAGAGCAACTGCCAAGGAGCTAGACCACTTTCGACCAAGCTCGTTCTGTCGTCTTTCCGGGCAGCCCTGACCAGTTCCAAAATACAACCACCACGAGGCACCTTTTCTTGCTCGCTACCCAACCCAATCAGCAACTGCCACGAGATGTCTGTGAGACTGATGTGCTACCATAATGGTCACTAACGCAGGTGATCACAAACATAGTTCATGCAAGCCGAGGATTTTGTGTGGAGAGGGGAAGATAATGCCTGTCGTCTGGACTTCGGTCGGGCAGCAAGAGCCCACTCTCCTCACCAAAATCCAGTTATGCTGGTGACATACTGAATATGACTGTTCTTTTACGCGCGGGTAGAGCCCAGTCACCGTAGGGCTCAAATTCCATGCATAGTTCTTCCTTCTGCAGGTCGGCCTGCTCTTCTTTTGGCAGTGCCTGCATTTCCTGTACAACTAATCTCTATATAGTACCAAGCATCTGCAACCGATTCTTTCGCCCGGCCTTTATAGCTACACTCTGCACATTGACCACGGAATCGAGTCTAAGACTCACAGGCCAGTGAAATGTCAACAACATCCTATCAGACCAACGCCAAACCTCGGAGTCGGCGTAGCAGCCTTGGTGAAAGTTCTGAGCGGCAGCCGGGCAGTCGCCCATCCACCTCGCCTTCTCTCAGGTTGTCTAAGACTCTCTCACGAACCCTTGATGAGGTTTCGGTCCCAAGGAATAGCAGGCCAACATCGCCTGCTGTGTACGTGTACCGTCCCAGAGCTTACGATCACCGGCAGTCTGATCCGCTTTTGAGTTCATCCCGGCGGTCTACAAGCTCTAGAAGATCTACTAGGTATATTGATTCAGTCATTGAGAATGGTAGACCAAAGTTCGCAGAGTCGGCAAGACAAAGCACTGTCATTTCCAACTCCTCTCATCTCTCTGATCAAAAGGCTGAGTTTGACTCAGAGGCCACTGTGAATGCTCACTCGGCCCCAGAGCAGCAGTCACCTCCAGGCTCCCCTGCAACGACTGAGAACCTGGGCAGCGATGACACAAATACAGAACCTGCTCGATCATTGTCATCTCGGTCAATCAACTCAATGCAACCCACTGTGGCCGAGGAATCGGAGGAGATCGTAACAGGAATTCTCGGGTTGAATTCACCAGGGCCCTCAACTGCATTTCCAGCATCTTCTCCGTCAATAGCGATGTCGTCAAATACCTTGGCCATGCCTGTTCTCCCGGGCGGCTTTCCTCTTCCAATTACAACGGCTCCCCATCTCACATTGAACGATTCGAAATCGTTGATCACCGCATCGGCACCCGAGCCTCCAGTCCAGGATACCTTACTCGCGCCAGCTCCAAAAGCATCGATAGCATTCATAAATCTGGGCGAAAGCGGAGAATCCGAGAGCACAGTGCCCATAAGCAACAATTACACTCCCGATAAAGCTGCATCCGATTCTAAATCACGTACCCCGTTCACATCGCCGCCACGATCCCCGACGTTTCTTCATCACGCCAGCCGCCCGCCTTCTCAACCTCCATTCGGCACATATCCCTACCCCTATCCCACAGTAATGGCCAGTTCACCTTACCAACAAGCCTTCTACCCGCCTTTTGCCCCACCTCCTATGGGCTTCACTTTACCAGAAGCAATCGCCAAGTCCGCCCCAGCAGGTACAGAGGAAGAGCGCAAGAGGCTGTTAGAGAAAGTGTCTAGCGTACTACCTGACATCAATCGTCTCCTACAGTATTATCAAGAAAGTCAAGGACTGTTGAGTGAAAAGGATCACCTTGTAAAGCAGGTCGAAACACAGCACGAAGAAGCGATCAATAAAATGAAAATCGAACTAAGTGTCACAAAAGAGGAATACGAGAGAATCATTGGAGAGCAAGCTGGCGAGAACTTGCGACTGAAAGGTGATGTCAGTGAGCAGTCTGAGAAGATCTCTCTTTTGACTGGAATGCAAGATGAATTTACCAACCTGCAGAGCAAACACAAGGCTCTGCTGGAGGAGCTGGAGGCTTCCAGGGCTCTTAATGAGGAGTTAAACTCGGAGAAAGCGCACTTACAAGATGAAATTGAAGGCCTTAAAGATCGAATCACCGACAGCAACACTAGTCATGAGCAATTAGTGGAGGAAATGAAAGAAACCCACGCGAAACTAGTCGCCGACAAAGACGATGCTCACGCTAAAGCACTCGGCGAGCAAAAGTCGAATCTGTCGAAAATTCAACTCGACTTGGCCGGCATGATCACAAAGCATACGCAGCAGAGAAAGGAGCTTGACTTGGCACGCTCGACCATTTCAAACCTCGAAGATTCGCTAGCTGCAAAGGAGAGAGCTCTAGTGGATGCATGTGATTCGCATAAGAAAGCGCAGGAAGCATTGATGAGCGCAGCCGAAGAGATGGACAAGCAACACGTGCAGGAATTATCGGAGTATACTGAGAAATTGGCAGACACAGTCAGGAAACATGCTGCAGAGGTAGATTTGCTCAAGACTTCTCATCAGGATGAAATGGACCAATTTGAGCAGGCAGCCGAGCAAGAGCGAGTAAAATTGGCTTCCACACTCGAACGTTGCGAAGCACAGCTACAGAACGAGCTCGATGCAGCACAGGCTGCTATGGAAGATTTGAGGAGCGAGCTGGATAAGGAGCGAGGCGCTCGCGAAGCGGTAGAAGCTGAGCTTACGGCCGAAAAACAGGAACACAATGCCTTGAAATGGCGTCACGAGACTGCAAATACTCATCACGCCGACCTGGCAAAGGCAATGCAGAGTCTGAGAGCCAGACAGGTCGAGTTGCAAAAAGAAAGTGACAGGATGGACCAGATCTTGCACAGTTTAGGACAGATCGGTCACGGCAAAGGAGATGGTTTCTTGTGAGTCTGGCTTAGCACCTTCACACATGATCATCTCATTCTTCCCGGCCGGGTTCAACACAAGCCACTGACTGTTGGCTGTAGCATCGAAGCTTTTGATCAACTTGCGTGTTTGATAGAGGAGGTTTCGAAGCACTTCGTGCTCAATCGGTCACACGAGACAAGAACTCTTGGTGTATGTTGCGATGTTTCCGGGATTTCAGGCATCGGCGACATTGCAGAACCATCCCGAGATCTACAGAGCCTTGTGGTACAAAGCCGAATATGGACGGTGCTCCAGAGACGCATCTTTGAGCCTTGCCTCTTCGTTTCAGATTATGACGCCTTGGAGAAGCTTGGTCTAGGCAAGAGCTTGACGATCATATCTTGGATGATGAGACGAAAGAGCCTACGGAGAGAGGCCATCTGGAGGAGCCTCACAATGCAGACCCTTTACGCTAGCGCCTATGGACGCAAGGCTGCGGCAGCTACGGCGTTCTCAGTTACGAAGGAAATAATGCGCAACATTCAAAACGTCATGACCGACGACTCTCATTCGGCGCTACTATGTGGCGTCCGATTGATTGCTAAAGCAGCAATCCAGATTTGGCGAAGAGCCCGCTTGGAGCTGGACTCGGTCTGTTCAAGTATGACAATGGCTCCGGCAACCAGAGGAGATGCGACTCCGTCTGATGTCATTATGTGGATTCGGCCACACATAGCCCGGGAGGGTCTGATGGGAGACTTGGTGTCAAACATGGAAGACGGCAACGGAAAGTCATTAGGTTCTTGCATTTACCTGCAGGGAACGGCACTGCGCCGGAATCCGCCGCTCGTGTTGGAAGAGATATCATGAGGATGCCTCGATGATCAATAACGTGAAAAGATCGTACCGTAGGAGGAAAGGGTGCTAGGGATAGGGGCGGTTACAGTCCTATTGCTCGATCTTAACTGAAGCTTTTCTCCGGGATCTGTGATGCGGTCCTCGGTAAAAGTACAATGCCTGGGCAGTCAGTAGTCTGCGGGACCAGGGATCCGAGGGCGTGAGTTCGTACAGTAACTTGTAGCATCAGCTAGTGAGAAGTCAGAGTCTTAGACGGTGGACCTGGAATCTGCCACGATTCTGCCCTGGCTAATGACACCTCTAGCGGCCTATTGACTTGAGCCACGGCTGGGGGTGGCTCAAGTGGAATGGCACGCATGGCCAGTGAGGCTGTGCTTACTCGGTGCCACTGTACCAGGTAAGTTAGAGCTACCTCAGGTAACCAACCATTGTCCAATACCCTTGGCCGGTAGGCAAGGTAACTAGAGGTACGAGGCCGGTGGTAAGGCTGATTCTGGGTTGTGCTGCAGTGCGCCTCGTGCCCTGGTGGCTCGGAGATTTCCAGGCCAGTGGCCGGCGAAGTATCAACAGAGAGCATGATGAGATGTGGAAAGTTGTCACCAGTGAGTGGTTCGATGACAACTATAGTTCTCCCTGGTTCGAGCGACCCTTCAAGCAGCATTCTGTTAGCACTTGTTTCCATTACCTGGAGAGATCAGCCTGGAGAGATCAGCCTGGCAAGGTCCCCCATGCCCGAAAGTACCGTAGCCACTCACCGGTCAAGACAAAGCTAAACTATGAATAGCAACCTGAAGCTGTCCAGCGGGTAAAGAAGCTCCTCTGCCATCTCGGGGAGTTTAAGCTCACCCAACATAGCCCGCGGGTGGACTTGGAGCTGAGTTCGAAACACCCACTCAGCGATCGTCGTTAGCCGAACTGCGGCGCGGCTGTGTGGCCCGTTTGACACTGAACATCCAACGCTCCAAAACACCTCGCGCGCGACGAGAAGCCCATCGGTCCTATCTCGACACCTTTCCGTCCTGTCCAAATGCCCCGTTGCAACAAGACTCTATCGATCTCTTCCCGCACATGTGCCCCGACTGCCAGCACCGTCCATGGGATGTAGACCTGTTAGGCTGGGCCCCCCTGTCCATTGCGCCGCTGTTCGTATCACTCATCCACCGGACACCGCCTTCATTACCAACCTGTTGAGTCCTTTCGAGTTCGCCGCAGATCCGCCCTGCGACCTTCAGACCCCTTGCAGCGCCCGGCCATCCCCTAGCCACATGAATGCCGGTACAGCCTCTGTAACTCAGTAGGACACCATCTTGCCGCCTCTCACGAACCACGGAAGTCCTGTCGAGTAGACATCAGTGGCTCTCACAGTAACCGATTGATCCAATCTTCGCCAAAGGCCACTACGTGTTTTGGGACTATACGCTTATCCAGGCCACATTTCCACTGATATCTCTGACGTTTCATGGTGATCAGTTCAGGCACAATCCCACCAGCATTGACATCACACGAACATCCACCGTGCCCGTGGTTGATCGTTCCACTTTGGAAAGCAACGTCGGACGACTGAATCAATTCCTGGAGCCCTTTTGCGCGACCCTGTGCGAACGAAATCTGAAGTGCCTACTGCACGGCATCACACAGCCTCTTGACAAGTGGACTCGTGTCTGGCCATGCACCTACGCCTTGAGAATTTGGCCCCTACTGGATTCTTGCGGTCGAGCATTCGGACATACCTAGCTGGACTCTGTCGCTCTAACACCTTTCTTCAGGAGCAACATCACACGTAATATGTCTTCTACTGCCTCGCAACTCCCCGGTTTTGCCAGGCCTGGGCGGCACTCCCCTCAACAAAGCGCATCAACAACATTCAGAGAAGTGCACTTGCAGAGTCAGCACGGATTGCGATCTGTTTCCTCCCAACCTCATGCAGGCCAGCGCAACACGAGCGTGACTTCAAATCCCGTGCAACTGTCGCAGAGAGACGTACGTCAGGGCAGCGAGACTACCTACAGCCCTGCCGAGCAGTTCATGCGCTTGCAGGCGACAACCAGTCCAGATCCCTCGCATATGCTGCCACAAAGCCATTATATTGACGAAAGTACTTCACACCACGACTCTTCTTTCGATGACCTCTTCTCTACCGAAGGATCTTCTGAGAATCACCTAAGCGAAGAGACGACCCCGCAAGAATTTATATGGGAGCAGCAGTTCCTTGCCTATGACTCTACACACCTACAAATTTTCGACCCGTATTCCGCCGCGAGCTACGACCATACCTCAGGTGCGTGCGGGCCCACAGAATTCGAAGGCGCCTTTGAAAGCTCAGATGAACCACTCGAAAAAATATCTTCCGGCGAGGAGCTACGTGGTCAGCTGATGGACACCGCTGCACCTGCGTCGCAATATTTATCTGCGCTCGGCAAGCGTGGGAGTGAAACCCGCCTTCAAAGTATGGACCAGTCCTCGGCAGTATCGAACGCCCATCAAAGGGCAAATTCCCAAACGCTACGAGTGAATACCAATCGCCACCGTACACCATCCCCGAATCATAAAGTAGGCACTTGGCAGCAAACAACGACAGGTCAACGTGCACCGAGTCCTGTGGTGATGGTTTCAAGCTACGAAGCCGCTGACCATGGTTATATGAGCCACGTTCAGAGCTCTAGTAAGCGTGACCGTGGAGATGTCAGCTCTGACGACGACGATGAGGAATCATCTGTCAGTGGTGATGCAAATTCCGGAGAAAGACAGGTGGAAAGCGTATCTCATCTGATGCCTCCTGATGTCAATGAAGTCGATCGCCCGCGACACGGCTCATCTCAGAGGGAAGGACTTGATCCTTATGTCAGAACTGATGAGATCACGTTATCAGTGAAAGACATCGAGGAACAGCGACACTTGGAAGAAAAGAATGCCGAGGTGCAGACGTGGCTTGTGACGAGCGACGCCGGTAACGAAGTCGGCGACGACTATCGTACGGCTCAGCGTTCCCCAAAAGGCAGCAGGCCCCGGGCTCATACTGCAGGAGCACAGTTCGATACTTTGGGCAGAGTTTACCCTGACACGCACATCCCTGGACCTGGTGTTGTCATCCAGGTTGACAGTGAAGAGGAATATTCTGATGATGAATCTATCTCCCCGTCCCAAATACAAGACCATACGGAACAAATGATCACCCATTACCATGAAACGGGCACACCGAGCGTGTCTCCTCATGCTCTGCAAGCATTGGAGTCATCTGAAAACACGGCATTTCCTGCATTGGAGGATGAGGTGACGCCGCCTGAAGAACAGGAACCTCTTCCTCACCAGTTCTATCGCCGTACACCGTGGCAGGACCCTGCTCGTGGTCCCCCCAGTGACACGAGGGAGCAGCCGAGCACATCCAATGCAGCCGCCCACAAATTCAACCAAGAAGCCATCAAGTGGGAAACAGCATCTAGGGCTGCGACCTGGGGTACACGTCGTCGGCTCAGCGAAAGTGAGGTGAGTTCGATTGTAGAAGGAAGTCAGATTCGACATCTATCCCTGTCTAAACGAGGCCGTGAGCGTGGCAGTAGCTTCTTGAACAAGGCTCGAGGTCTCTTGCCGCGTCGCAGCAGCAGTAACATTAAGGCTGAGCAAGCCCCAGAGAAGGGATCTGCAACAAGGACTCATTCCCACCGGAGCTCTGTTGGCCATGCTAAACCAGCTCAAAGAATGCCGAGCCTTAGCAAGCCAAAGTCACCACCACTTGACACAGGTAATGCCTTCAAGGTAATGACTGATCAGCTTGCACTTATCGGGCGCGGAAACACAGTGAAGCAAGAACAGGAGGCGGCAACCAAGACTTCTCGGTTGCGAAAGAGCCGTAGTAAAAGCGACACCCATAGACAAACAAAAAGCCCCGGGTTGACAGAGCTTATGACGAGACATGGCGGCCCACCTGTACCCACGCTTGCATCTCCCATGCACGAACGAGAACCCATCTTGGCTGCACAGGTAATTGACAATGAGGATGCGCAAGCAGATGACGACGACGACGATCAGACGGATGAGGTCGCGATCCGGATGGATCTAACAATCAGGGCCGAGGATATACTACCCACCATCGAAGGATTCAAAGATCATACTCGCAAATTGAACCCGAGGCTTGAGGCATACTTGATCGACCGCATTGGACAAGAACAGATTCGACGATACAAAAAGCTTGTCGAAGCTAAGATCAAGCACACTCGCTCGGTCCAGCTGAGCAAAAATTGCCCCTCTGGTAAATTCTGCTTCGAACTCGGCGGCGATGCTTCGCTATTGGCTCCGCGCGCCAGTAGTAAGGACCCCGACGCGATACTGACACAATTTCAGATCAGCAGTCCCGCTGACGATGAGGTTGACGAGTCCGGGCTTGCTGATGGGGTTGTCACGCCTGCTTTATTCCCGCCTGGCATTCCTTTACCACCCGTGAAGCGACTCCCTGCAGAATTTGAATGCCCTCTCTGCTTCAAGGTCAAGAAGTTCCAGAAACCATCGGACTGGACCAAACACGTGCATGAAGACGTGCAGCCATTTTCCTGTACGTTTCCAAATTGTCCAGAGTCAAAGTCTTTCAAACGCAAAGCCGACTGGGTACGGCACGAGAATGAACGACACCGCCATTTGGAATGGTGGAGGTGTAGTATTCCAGAATGCTCTCACATATGTTATCGGAAAGACAATTTCGTACAGCACCTCGTCAGGGAGCACAAGATGACCGAGCCGAAGCTCAGAGGTCGAGGTTCTGGCAGTAGCAAAGCGAAACCTGCCAATTCTTCGGCATGGCAGCCAGGACAAGAAGACAATGAAGTTTGGCGGCTGGTTGAAGAATGTCGTCATGAGACACAAAGCAAGCCAAAGGATGAGCCTTGTCGATTTTGCGGGAATATCTGCTCGAGTTTCAAGAAACTCTCGGTGCACATGGGAAAGCACATGGAACAGATCGCAATGCCGGTGTTGGACCTGGTGAACATGCGCCAAGTGTCCCCCGATACGGTCATCAGCCCTATCGAGCAATCACCAGCAATCCCATCCACGTTCGCCTCGTTCCCGCCCACTGCGAACACCGTTGATATGACCAACCTGTCTCCCTACCCTAATAGCGCAGCGTCCGCGTATCAGACCTCCTCCGCTGGACACTCGCCGACTTCGATGCACAGTCGTATGCACAACGGTAGAGGCTTCCACTTCGAGCAACAGGGTTATTACAGTCCCCACACCGTGCCTTCGGTAGGACACGCCCAGCCATTGAACGATGTATACGGTGGTGCTGGGGCTTATTCACAAAGAGGCCACACCTTTATGGATTCTGGGGATTACATGTCTTCTAGCCTTGGAACAGGACTCCAAGAACACGGCCTGTCCTCACAGGACCAGCTTGCACTGCCTCGATCTCAGCCGGCAACAATAGACTACAACAACCCAACATTTGGATCTGCGGGAATTGACTTCAGCCAGGCATCGCTCCCCACGGTGTATGCCAGCGCACACTCGATGTCAGGATATGTGCCCCAGTATCCTCCTTCAGTGCTACATGGTTCTTCGAGTCAATCGCCCGTGGCCGTGACCGACAGAACGGGGCTCGGACTTGCAAACAGGAATCAGGCTTTCGGCTACAATATTCCGAGTAATAGTCATGTTGCAGGGAACATGCCATATCCACAACCATGATGCTGCAAATACGTGCCAATTGGTCAGAAAGCTTGCATAGTGCGAGTTTCGGGTTGAGGGCGCCAGGGCGCGACGGAACAGGCCAACGCGGGCGACGACATTCCAACTGAAACTGTTGTCTCTGGATCTTATGAGCAGGATTTCTTCACGTATAGATGATACCCGAAGCATCCGTGGGGAATGACCACCCTCTAAATGATGACGACGTTAACGGACAGGGTAATGATTTGACGACTCTAGTTTGTAATTGCGAGGTACGATTGCAAAGTGCGACATGCAACATTTTTTATAGTTGGACAAGGACAATGTAATTGATTGGTTATTGACGACTGTACTGTGCAAAGCTAGATATTCTTCCCCCTTAGGCAGAAGTTGTCCGACGACCAGGAACCAAGAGTCCGGAAATCCCTTGCATGACAGAAGTGAGACGGTCCTCGTAAATGCTACGTTGCTAGACAAGAATTGGCATGCCAGATGGAGTAGAGAATGTAGGGGATGCTAGTTCAGGGCAGCCGTGGGGGAGAGACATGAGCATCATGGTACTCGTACTCGGGATGGTCATGGGCTCGCGGGCAAGTAATAAGTCGTAGGGATACCAGGCGACGACGCCAGACGAGATGGGTTTAGGCCAGGCAGACACGCGCACCAGCGTCTTCTCTGCAATTCCTCGCAGGGTAAAGAGTACGGCGTAGTTGGGCGCTGGTGGTGCCGTCTCTCTCGTGACCTGGAGCCTGGAGGGGCCGACATGATGGCACCCGCTGCGTCGGTTCTGCTCGTGCTGGGATCGAATTCCGTCATCCCCAGCGCCCGAAAAGCCGCCCAAATCTCATCCACACCGGTTTTGGCTCCGACTTCATCACAGATGTGCACTTGAGTCGCCCATACCGCCTGCATCTCGCCCAGACATCCACTGACACACACGAGTGTGTCTCTCGTGGCGATTCTCTCGCTTGCCGTCTGCCAGCAGAAAAATGGCCTTGCCGACTCCCGGTGCCAGTCCGCTGAGCACACCGTGAGGCTCTGTCAGGCACAATCTCAACTCGACTTCCATCAGCCTACACAGCCCCCGGGTTGTCAATCAATCTCTCCTTCTCATCTTCACCTTGACCTCTGGCTTTGGTTGAGCCTTCCACCCTCCTCCTGGTCTCCTTCCCCTCCCTTGAGCCTCAACCTCGCGTTATCGGGCAAAAACTAGGCTGCTCACTTCGCCTCCGGCACCAGTCCTTCATTTGCTCTTCTTTCTCATCCGGATGGAATCCACAGTGCCGTAGGCGTACCTCCGACAGATTGCAGAGAGGCTGAGTGTCTGGAAGCATCAACCGATGATCGAGGCAGTCCTGAGCAACCCCTGCCGTCCAGACAACTTGGACACTTCCCGCATACTTTCGTCAGCCGATTCAGACCCGACCCTTCAGCAGTGAGTTCTCCCTAGACAGGAACTAGTTGCCTCACTTCTTGCCGCATCGATCTCTCTTTGACAGTTGTGCCAGATGAGCTGGCTGATCAAATCATAACAGGGATACTTTATCATCACCCACTGCCCGTCGGCATGGAGGGAAATCCATCTCAGGCGTTCCCAGCACGTCCTCGAAGGCTTCGGACAGCCAGGTCAAATGTAGCTACCCACACCGCCTCCTTACTCTACTAGACCTTCCCAAATCTAATCCGTTCTGCCAGGCATCGATAGCTCTATCTCATGCCGGCGGTGCCGCTACGCTCGACACAGCCATCGATGCAAACACAGATCTGACGGGGCTCCAGTCCCCTCTGGACGAAATGGACTTGGCCAACACCGAGGCCACTGGGCTTTCCTTCTCACCTTCAGAATACCGTCTTGTTGACTCTTCTACCGCTTTCATGCCGTTCTCCCCTGGCGTTTATCCCCAAGGCAGCGAGCAGTATCTGTTCTCAGAGCCTCACTTGCCTGCGTCGCCTGGTATCTCCGGAGCTATGCATCAGCAGTCGAATTCCCGTGCACCCAATGCCATCCCCTGGAATCACCTGGTGGCCACTCAGGGGCGAATATCCGGCCTGTCGGACGACATTCGGGCTGGGATACCACCAGCAAGTTCCGAGCTCGCTATCAATCATGGCCACAGAAGGGCCCATTCGACATTTAGTGGACAGGAATCTGTCGAAGATTCGGCTTATTGGACTGGGCCGAAAACATACCACGGAGTAGAATCCGTCACCAGCTCCAGTGAAGGAGTCATGGATCGAGGGAGCAAAACTTACCCTACGCATAATTTCCCACCTACGGAAGTAGATAACTATCGGTCTTCGCACTCGTCAAGCACAATCACGCCGACCATGTACAGCGACGTCTCACACCAACCAGATTTCTCCCTTCCAAACGCTTCCACACAACACGGCACACAGGCCGAGGCTGGCTCGGAAATCTTGACGCATTCCAGTGCTGGGCTCTACTGTGTCGACTGTAAATATACTGGAAAGACGAGATCAGACATGAAGTACGTGTCCTCCGGGATCTCTTTGAATTTATTCTGACGGCTTAGGAAACACAACGCACGCCATGAGAGAAAATACAAATGCCGTCATAGCGCATGCCCTCGCCGCAATAAAGGCTTTGCCACGAGCAATGACCTCGATCGGCACTTGAAATCAGTTCACAATGTGAACAACCGGAAGACCAAGTACTACAAATGTTTCGCACCTGGTTGCACCAGAGCTTCAAAATTGTGGCCGAGACAGGACAATTTCAAGCAACATCTCGTCAAAATGCACAAGGGTCAAGACGAGGACGAGCTCATACGCAAGTAGGTTGGTTCGAAGCACGTGTTCATTCCGAAATACTAATTTCCCGTGTAAGGTCCGAGCAATGGTATGCTGACCTCCAGCAACAACACGCAGCCGAAGCGCAACCAGAGGGCGACACACAGTCAAAAACCACTCCAGATGAGATGGTTGTCGACATGACCAACATCCCCGGGGGACAACAGCTCGCGGTCTACAACTACACCGAGCCAACGCAGACCTATAGCTCAGGATCACCTCTTGAGTTCTCTATGATGCGTACGCACAGCTTCGATCCGCAGAATATTGACCCGAGGCTTTCTGTCCCATCGAGACCTTGTGTTCAAAATCATGGCCCTCAACGTCGACGGGACTCGACACCAGTGAACCCGGCGGACGTACATCGCCAACTTCACCTTTCTCAGCGCTTGAGCAGCACGAACCTCGCACCACCTAGGATAACAGCAACAAGGCCACGATCCCGGACTGGATTTAGTCATCATCTTCAAGCATCCACAGTATCACACCACGTGGATCTCGACGTCAAATACAATCCCATCCATGAGGAGCAGTGGGCTGGAGTACAGTCCAATATACCAGCCATGAAGGTGGATTACAACGTCAAGTACGCCTGGGAGAATGACCAGATGAGAACTATCCGGGGGGCCTATACCGTGGCAAATCCCTTCTTGGAATCAGGTAGGATGACTGAGGTGCCGTCGCCCCAAGAAGTCCAACCAGCGATGCTGCACCAACTGAGAGGCGAGCAAGAAGATATTGTGATGAACGTAGGTGGAGGCGCTACCAGCGAGGATGTGACTCCGATCTCGCCTCTGTGTCCACAAGTCAAAGTGACTCCGCCGGAAGGCGAAAGCAAACAGAGCACAACTCGTCTCACCAAACGTCTTGTGGATGAAATCGCCCAGATCTTGGGTGAGCATAAAGCTTTATCGAACAAGGACGGGCCAATCCTCTCTGAAGAGGAGCTCCTCGCTCATTTCAGGTCGAGCCTGCGATCATCTGTGAAGAGCGTCGGGAGCTCAGCCCTCAGCCTCACCGCTGGAGACGAAGACTCCGAAACATCTGCTGTCAAGAAGTGTCCTGCCACGAACCAGACATATCACATATGTCGGGAATGCGGCAAGATTAAATTGCGAGCCAGCGAGCTGAAGAAGCACATGCAACGTCACGAGAAGCCTTACGGCTGTACCTTTGACCATTGTAACAAAACATTTGGAAGCAAAAATGACTGGAAACGGCATGAGCAGGGTCAGCACGAGCAACAGGAATGCTGGCTCTGTCTCAAATGTCGAGAAGTCTTCTATCATGATCAACGTCATTATGTTGCTCATATGAGACAAGCACACTCTATGGATCGGATTGAAAAAACTGAGCACAGTCTGGAGAATCGGAACATCGCCCGGAACCATCAAGGACGGTTCTGGTGCGGGTTCTGCGATGAGATCATTGCACATGATTTTCAAGGAGTGCATGCAATCACTCATCGGTTCAATCATATCGCGGATCATTTTGTAAAGGAGAAGACGAACATAAAGTCTTGGATCGAACTTGGCGAACGAGGCAAGAAGAAGGGCGCTCGCCTCGAATCCTCTACCGAATCGGTGCACAACACCTCACCAGAAGCCGAAGAAGACGGAGAGGGCGAGGAGGAAGAGAAAGAAGGAGAAGGAGAAGACACGATAATGACGTCCGCCCGCTCCGAATCCGACAGCCCGCAGTCCTCATACCTACAGAGTGAATCGTCGCCTGACAAGCAGACATATTTGTCCCAGTCTTCCTCCTCCAAACATGGATCACAACAGCGGCAGAATCTCAATTTCAATCAACCGCAGTCGTTTGCGGACCACATGATGCTCTTCAGTGGCCCTTCTACTGACAAACTTGATGGTCAGGGTCAACAGGCTGATGATGCAGGTGGACCTTCGAAAAGCCAAGGATCCAACGCGCCCCAATACCTCATTGAATGTTGCCAGTGCGGCGCCTCTGCAAGCTGGTCACTCGTGGCCGTCGGCGGGGTTTGTGTGGACTGCGGGCACACATTTTGCACCATTCGGTGTAGATCAAAGGTGTCCAAGGAAAGAGTAGCAAAAAGCAAGAAACGTTCGGGTTGGTCGACATAACGTTTGTCAATGATGACGATGATGACAACGACGACGACGATGATGATGATGATGTTAACGACATGGATAAATCTATGAGATGCCATGTTTTGTTGTTCACGACGACGGTATGAATTTGGTATAGATGGATAGCAATGCCATGTTGATATGATCAATGTCTACGGAATTTTTACGACGGAATCTTTCTTTTGATTCATTGTTTTGGCGGACGACTATGGTTGGTTTTTTTTTCTCTTTGGAAACACTATGAACGGAGGCGGTGGAAATTGAGGTGCAGTTTCTGACAGTTGGCCCAGACATTTCTTTCAGCGTGCAGAATTTGCATATGTATATGTAGCAGAAAAACTGCCAGGTTCCCTGGTAGGCACACAACTTCCCCTTCCTTGGTCGGTGCATGCTCTCTCACATATCATCATGAAAAGATGAGAAAATCAGCTCGCGGCGTGAGTACTTCGGAAGTCGGGACAACAACAATAATAATAATATTGTTATTATTGACTTTTGACTTCTAGCTGGTTGGCACTCGTGCCAGGCGCCCCGACGATACATTGACACTGAAGTGATCCGTGCCCCCTCCGTTCATGCCTTGGGCACATGTCTGTATCATGGAATGTTTGGTACCCAGGTACCTACCTACCTACCTACCTCATGGGGTTGATGATGATGATGATGATGATGATGATTCCACGTGCGGTCCGGTGTCGGTTCGGTTCTGTTCGGTTTTGTCTACGTGTGTGATGTGCGATGATAATTATAAAGCATTGTTGTTGTTGTTGTTGTTGTTGTTGTTGTTGTTGTTGTTGTTATTCGATCTCTGGACACAGATCAAAAGTCCACAAGCCACGTACGAATGTAGTGTGGTTTTTTTCCCCCCCTGTGTCGAAAGCTGTCAGAAGTGACGGTCACGTCAGCCGTCTCAAAACTTTGCTAGGAACAAACCGCATTTTTTTTTTTAAATCTGATGATGGTGAGAGAGGGCTCGGACCATTTTGGCGTCAAGATACAGCAGATAGATGCGAAGGATTAAACGAAACGTGGTGTAAAATAGTTTTATAACCTTTGCCGGATACGAGATGAGTATCCGCCACCTCTTGTACCATCTGTCAGTCATATGACTCTGACTCTGACTACCCTACAGGACAGCTGGTGTCAACGGCGCTTATTTTGTTTGTTGTGATTGTTTTGGTTGAAGTTACCTACTAGAGGCACCGGAGGGTGGTTTGTGCAAGACAAGGCTGCAAAATCCACTTGAACCATCTTACGGAGGTACAAGGCTGAGAATGCGACCACCGTGCAGCCGCCAACTGCTTTCTATGGGGTTCCTTTCTTTCTCTGTCACGATGGCTACTCTTCCCAACACCCAAAATATACCTCGTAGTAATCTACTGTGCTCTGAGACGCGCGTCAACATCTCTCTCTGTCTTCTCGTCCACCCGTCCACTTCTGTACGTACAGTAAGTGCCTGACTGAGACACAGAACGGTCCAGTAGTTTTTAGTAGCCAAGCCAGTTGAACTACTCGACAAAGGGGGGACGGATGACTGTGACTGTGACTGTGACTGACGGAACCATCGTGGACCATGCACGGGGCCTGCTGAACAACCTCTGCCGAAGCTCACTCATCACGGTCACTACCACAGTAAGTCTGGGGGCTACTAGTGACTGGTGACTGTGTGATTAGTGAGGCAGAAACCCGCGGGTCGATCGTGGCAAACGAGTCACAACCTTTTTTTTAAGTCGTCACAACTTAGTTGTCTGTAGTTTTACAAGGTCCTGGGCCCTTGAACGCCGGCTACTCCTCGTACTGGGGACTCGGGAGCGATCACCCACCTCCCGTAGAGTCTCATATTGTATCACTGTACTCCTTGCGGAGGAAGTACGAGGACGGACGGAGTGAGTTGGTTAGTGCGTAGCTGGATGCTTGCAACTTTGCGCCATTTTTTCCCAAGGGAACGAAGGCGGCCCCCAAGAGCGAGGCTGGCGTTTTGCAAAAAACAACAAAACAAGGGTAACAGTTATTTATTTGCGTTCGGGTAGGGGGGTCTCAGGCTGAAACGAGGCGTCCATCGCCATCCGAGCCCCCGACCTTCCTCGCGAGAAAAAAAAAGCTATTCTACTTTGCATCAAACTCCGAGGACCAAAGGTACAGTGCTAGCCAACTAAACCCCCAAAAAGAGTGGTACGGAGTCCTCGCCAGTGTGAAGGCGAGGTCTCAGCCTGGTGAGCCTACATTCACCACCAGTTTCCTGCTCTGCCAACTCCCGGGGCCCTTGGCGAGCTGCCGGCAAGGGGAGAATACAGACCCCAGACGACCAGACCGGACGAGACAGAACCGTATCCATACTCCGTAGTACGGAGTACGGTACAGACTTTATCGACCACTGATGAGACCGTGATAAATCGCTCGCGCGGGCGACGCTGGACGGACAAGGGGGGGGTACATACATACTTTATGTTAGTGTACGGAGTAACGTACAGTACATGTTTGCCTCACCATCGGCGGGATCACCATCCACCCATCCACCGCGTTTCTGATTTTTCTTTTCTTTCCTTCCAGATCAGATCTTCAGGATATCCTCATACAGTAACCACTACATCGTACGAAGCACTTCCCGCCGTCCTGTCCGGAGCAAAATCTGTAACTCTGTACAAACTCTCTGTCTCTCTCTCTCTGTGCAGAGACTCCTCCGGTTCGAAGCTCGCCCTTGTCAAAACACAAACTCACTCCGTAATGCGCGGCGTGGACAAGGTACCGGGGTATATCTGTGTATATGCCTCACTCGTTTCCTTGTAACGACGCTACGACGGGCTGCTTCAACACAGAAAAAAGACGCAACACGGTCAGGGTACGAAGTTTCTTCCAGACTCTACACTCTCGGCCCAGCAAGGAGGAATTCCGCAATGGCTCTGTAGCCCTCGTACGTAAAGGAGTACTGAATTGGTACGTACAAGTCCCATTTCGTCAGTGTGGGATGGGATGTATTGGACCATTATCACGCCGAGGACGTCGATCGTTGCATTTCTTGGAGTAACAAACTACTGTAGTCGAGCAGGAGACACGCCGTCACAAATCCTTGGTACGACAACCGGGTGATGTTTCGGACCGAGGGATATTGCGTGCGGAAAAAAAAGAAACAGCCATGGCCGTGGTCGTCTCTCATACTTGATTGAACTAACTAGGACCGTAGTCGTGATCCGTGATAGCTAGGTGCCCGAGGCGCTCTGGAGCTTTGTGGTGAGCAAAAACGTCACAGGTATTGACAATAGGTCAACAAGTAAGCCGATTGACCTATCGAATCTCTCCTTTTCTGGGATATCCTGATAGTTCCATATAGACATACTCTCTGAACGTTCCGAGCGGTATCCATCACGACTCCTACAACCCAAAGAAAGATATACCTTGGTAGTAAAGAAAGAACCTAATGGTGTGGATGTGTTTTTCTAGCGATTTCTGTTTATCTGACTTTCATAGTCGTGCAAAACTAATACATGAATTTCAATGGCAATACGGAACTTCCTTTTGTCACCGCCCCATTCCATGTCTTTTAGCTCGCACGTATTACACTCTCAAATTAGGACATAAAGGGGAAGATAAAAAGCTTTGCCGTGAGTTACCTGCTCCACAAACCGGTACACAGGCCGCCATATCTTCGCAATTCCGACTCGACTGTTTGCATTTAGAAAACAGGATGTCTCCCAGTACTTGGAAGTGAGTCGAGTCGAGCAAGGTAGTTCCTTACTCCTCCTCCTCTTCCCCAGTGCCCCTTGAGCCCAGAACCCATTTGGTCTTGCCGTGGACATCTGTTTCGTGCTCAATGGCAACACGGCTGAGGTGAGAGAGGATGTTCTCCATAGTGGTATCGGCATGGCTGCGAGATTCACGGCCCAAGTTGTCGATCCACTTGACGCTGAGGAGAAGGAAGTAGACGATGGCAGTGACGATGGTAACACCAATTGAGTAGCCCCAGATGACAACAACAGTGACGATGGAGGTCTGGACACTGTAGTGGTTGGATTGGAAGGAATCCTTGGGGAGGGTCTTGAGCTCGTGAAGACCGCCGTGGAGCCATCCGAAAACACAGAAGAGTGTGGAGATGACGTCGACAGCGAAGATGGCGCCAACCAACTTCCAAGAAGGCCAGGTTTGACCTCCACGGGTGACAAAGATAAGCCAGTTCTCAACCAGTGAGACTTGGAGGAAAAGCATAAGTTGAACATTGCCGAAGTTCTGGACCAAACCGCCAGATGGCAAGAAGAAAGTACCACGCATGATCCAGGTAGAGATGGCAAGAAGGAAACCGAGAATGACTGAGATGAACCAAATCTTAGGCAATTGCCATTCGACAGGGCGGGGTTCGTAATGAGCGTTGTCGTAAGCGACAGCAATTGTGGCAAGATCGGCGAACAAAGCCAAGAACACAATCAAGTCGGTACGGATGGTCTCGTTGATGATGATCATAGAGGTGGTCAAGTAGAGCTCCAAGTGCAAGCAGAGGGCAATACGGTATTGCACGTAAGCCTTCATACGTTGGAAAATCTGGCGAGCGACCTTGATGGCATCGACGATTGTGCTGAGACCGGGGGCGAGGAAAACAATATCGGCAGCGGCTTGAGCGGCTTCGGTGGCACCTTCGACGGCGATACCGCAGTCAGACTTCTTCAGGGAAGGAGCATCGTTGACACCGTCACCAGTCATGGCAGTCAAGTGACCACGTTGCTGCAGCATTTCGACGACCTGGTACTTGTGCTCGGGGAAGACTTCAGCGAAACCGTCAGCCTTCTCCACGAGGTCGTATTGGGCAGAACCAGAAACACCGCCGGCAATCAGGCGCTGCGAGTTGTAGACCTTGGTGCCGAGAGCCAGGAGCTTGCAGGTTTCCTTAGCAATAGCAATGGCGTCACCAGTCAACATCTTGACGCTGAGACCGAGGTTTTGCGCTTCCAAGATGGTGTGGGCAGTATCCTCACGGGGAGGGTCGAACATGGGCAACATGCCAATGACCTTCCAGGGCTCGTCGCCACGCTTGGAGGCAACACCCAGGGATCGGAAACCGCGGCGGGCGAAGTCAGCCGCGGTGTCACGGTAGTGCTTCGCAGTAGCCTCGTCGCACTCAGCAATAGACAGGACGGCCTTGGGCGCACCCTTGCAGAATGACCAGCGCTCACCCTTGAGAGTACAGATGGTAGTGATACGCTTGGACACAGGGTCGAAAGGCATGAACTTCTCTGTCTTCCAGCCTTGTTGAAGGATCTCACGAGCCTTAGGGTATCTCTTCAGAGTCAGGATAGTGATCTTGTCGATAGGATCAAGAGCCTTGAGGTTGTGGGAGGAGGCCAGAGCCGCACAAGCCATCATCCAATTGACGTCTTCGCCTTCAGCGACGTAAGGCTCACGGATGGTCAGTTGGTTGGCAGTCAAAGTACCAGTCTTGTCGGAGCAAAGAACATCAACACCGGCCAGGGACTCAATGGCAGTCAATTTTTGGACGATAGCCTTCTGCTTGGCGAGATAAGCAGCACCGACAGCCAGAGTGGTGGTAGTGACGACGGGAAGACCGACAGGCACACCGATGATAAGAAGGATAAGAGCGTAGCTGAGAAGGGTGACGGAGCTGTCCTCGGGAGTCGCAATCTTGATGTTGTGGAAGAAACCACCGATCCATGCGGCGAGGATGAAGAAAACGACCAAAACCAACAAGGCTGTTCCGATGGAGTCCATGACGGCTTTGAAGTGACCAGAATCGGTAGCACCTTGGACCAAGGAAGCAGTCTTACCGACGAAAGAACCACGAGCAGATTCGGTAACGACAGCGTAAGCCTTGCCTCGCTTGCAACCGGTGGTATAGTAACAGATGTCTCCCATGTACTTGTCGACAGCGAGAGATTCTCCGGTAATGGCCGACTGATCAGTGGCAACGATGGAGGCGCCAACGTGGTGCTCCTCATCGTCGTCAGAGTCAGTGTGGTTCTTGGAGTGGTAACCCTCTGGGTCGTTGACCATTTCCTTGTATTCCTCGAAAAGAGCTGTGTTGTCGTAGGGGCAGATCAGGCGACATTCACCCGCAACAACGGCACCTTCCTCTAGAATGAGCTGCACAAACCAGTCAGCTAGAGCGTCGCAAGAAAAAAGACGGGTGGAGGGAGCAACTTACAATATCACCAGGGACGAGTTCACGGGCCTTGATCTCTTGTTCTTGGCCGTCACGAACAACTTCAGCCTTCATGGCAATGTCACCCTTCAAGCTGGCAACAACATCCGCAGCTTGCTTCTCCTGGTACCAACCGACGACGGCGTTGAGCATCAAGATACCAATAATGACACCAAAATCAATCCAGTCACGCAGACCAGCCGCCAACAGGACAGCAAGTTCCATCACGTAGAGAATGGGACCTTTGAAATATCCGAGGAACTAGAGCGTTTCGTCAGTCAAAATGGAAGGGTTTTGCAGACAGGAAGGGAAAACGTACCTTGAGGAACATGTTCTCCTTCTCAGTTGTCAACTCGTTGTATCCAGTCTTCCTTCTTCGCTCCTCGACCTGAGCCGTTGTCAAACCCTGCTTGATGTCGGTGTTGAGCCATTCTTCAGGGACTTGGTAGAGATCGCCTTCGCCGCTGCCGTTTGTGAACCACCTCTTGTAGAATGGTCGCTTCTTTGGTTGGGAGGCATCAGCTGCATCCTCCTTGGAGACCTGCGAAGGAGCCTTGCTGAATCTGCGATCACGGTAGGTCGAGATGAATCGGATGAGGTTGGCATATTCACCCTCATCCTTATCGGGATCCCATCCGTCGGCGAACGAGATTCTCTCGCGCTTGGGATCGCCGTTCTCGAGGTCCTTTTCGTGGTCCGCCATGTTGTACTGGTGAGTGGAGTGGTTAGTACGCGGAAAAGAAAAACAAAAGAAGAAGAAAAGACACGGCAACGAGGTCAGGCGTTAAGACCAAGCTGAACAGGAAAAGAAGAAGAGAAGCTTGAGCTCGCAGCGCAAGACCCCTCTTTAAAGGTGAAAGGCAGTTCACAACATGGCGAGCAAAAGCAGAGGGAAGGGCAGCTCACCTTTCTCGTCACCTTGACTGGAGAGTTTGCAGGAAAATGGACTCCACCAGCGATCCGTCAAGCCGTGGAGCTGCGATAGCTTCAACCAGGGTCGCCTAGGCGAAATGTGGTTGGCTGCTTAAGCTTTCCTTGAGGTGCAAGTTAGCAGGCATGCCGTGTGAGCCATTTGATAAGAAAAGGACGGGGTGTGACGGACCGGATTTGACAGTCAGTGTTTGTTTGTTGTACCGGAAAATACGAAGCTGGCTGAAATTTCTCGCGCAAGACAAAAAGAGAGGTCCGTGCAGAGGCACCAGGGTGGGATCTTACGCCGGACTGCGGGTGCGATAAATGACGCCGTCACAGTTGCCGGAGCATAGGATGGAGTTGCTTTTATGGGTTGCAAGGATGAAGGGCCGACGTTGAGAAAAAAGGAAGTTTGAGGACTTTGTGAGGGCCTATCGAGGCGACCAACGGTTCAGTTTCTCCACTGGGCGCTGTGTGGGTGCTTGGCTTTGGCTCCTTCCCTCCAGCCTAGTCGGCCGCCTAGTGAGTCCAAGCTGCCACTGGAAAGTTAGTCGGTCCAATAAAAGTGGAAGCTTAACTGCCAGCTTGCGCCTGTTTGGGTGCAGGCATGCGTTTGTTTGTGCCCTGGTCTGCTGTTCAGCATCCTTCTTAGAGGCCCCAGCTGCCCTACACACCGTCGACTAGCCGCCTGTCAAATCTGAACTCAGCAATAGCTGTGCCCTTGTTGCCATTATTATTGAGATCTCGCTCAGGTTGCTTCCACCATCAGTCAGAACGACTAAAACAAGCCGGCATCCCGCCCAAACCTTGACTTATCGGCGCACAACGATTAGGTGAGCTGCCTACAGCCCTCGCCCTCTGCCACATGCGGCCTCGTAGTTGCCAGGAATATTTTATTCCTGTGTACTCCCGCAGCTGTCGTGCGCGGCCTCCTGGTCTCTCTTGACGGCCCATGGCCATGTCGCAAGCAGAGACAGAACTGGACCTACAAGACATCTGGAACACACACACGACCCCATCTACACTTTCCTACGGAGCATATCCGTAGAAGACGGAGTATCCGTACTCTGTCTTGAAACCGCAGCCAAGGCAAGTGTGAGCTTGGGCGAGTACGAGGCGAAAGAAGAGCAAATAATAATACGAACATCTGTGAGTTCGGGTTGTGATATCTTTACCTTGGACTCTGATGCCTGAGGGTCAAACCGCCGCGCAGACAGCCACATTGGAACAGTTCGTCACAGATTCCTTCAAGTGCCTCTCGCTTATAAGCCCTTCTTCGATTAGCTGGGATCTACCCTGCGTGTGTCTACTCATGCTATTCTGCTACTTGCCCGTCCCGGTTGATGGCCCTTCGGTTTGCCTCTTGATCGTCAGAGCCTGCGGAGAGCTCGGCAGCAAAGGCAACTTTCACAAGTGATGGCCCTTTCACCATCTGCCACCTAAGCAATATGTCGGTGATGTTGCGGTCAACTGACAACCATAGCTGCTCTGTCCATCACTGCGCTCGTGCTCCAACTCCATACCCTAGCCAGGACTTGGGTGCAATCGTGGCTTTCCTACGGGGGCGCGAGTCTGACTCGAAACATCGCTTCATCGCTTAAGCGCTTTGGCCCGACCATAACACCTGGTTAAAGGTGCTTTTCAAGCCGCACAAGGTCTGCCGAACCTGGATCTGTTAGCATGCCCAAGTCGGGCAATGTGTCCAGTACCCACGGCCCATGCTCCACGCTGACTTCATACGTCGCATCATCTCAGCCAGACCACTTGCGACGCCGCGGCGCTGGCGGCAACGAATGGGTAGCCCGGCTGATCTAGATCAGAAGAAGTCTAGTCGGTCATCGATCGTTGATTTCTGTCATTTGAAGAGTTTCTTTCTTGCGGATCTGTACGGAAGGTGTATTGAGAGTCGGCCATGACAGAGACCCGAACGACCTTGACCACACATTTGACATCGGCCCTAGCTTGGTGTTTTTCTCCGACATGGCTCCCCAGTACGGTGGAATCAACTAGCGGCCACGAGTACGACGGCAACTTGCCAACCTACGCCCATTTGCTGAAGATGCTTCCGCTGTTAACCTGCAGCTTGCCGTCATCCATGCTCTCCTCCACGCAGCCGCATAGATCTCCTGGTACCTACAACAGCCGATTGCTGGTTTCTGGATTATTCATCTGCCTACACCATCTGATTGAACTTCACTCGAGCCACTTTGGGATAAGACTGCCTATGTCTTTTTTGGATGATTATCCTTGCACATCCAAAACTAAGCGTGGTGATTCCGCCCGGCGCCGGAGAGGTAATCGTTTTTGCGAGAGCGAGATTCAAAACAAAGTCAAGGCCCACAGTTTGATTAAAAGCTTAAGGCTCAGAAATTTCCACTAGTGGAAGACAGGCGAGGAACAAGCGCTGGATGCTCTATAAGTGGTCCTCTCACAGACCCTTCTTGAGCACTAGCCTGGCCAATCCACTGGAACCAAATGGCACAAATGTAAACAACCGTACTGATTGCAGAAATTGGCCACGCCAAATTCGTGAGTTGAAACGCTGGAATCAATTTGAATCAGCCTGATGAGCCATGGCCTCGTTCACCAGCCTTGCAGGCAGATCTCAACCGCAGATCCTGGCAACGGAGATCCATCTTCTCTTGTTTGTTGTGCTGTAGCCTGTATAGTGTGACTTTCCAGGAGAGGCCGCGGATATGTGTGTCGAACGAAAATGCTCACTGTGGAATCTTCTACTGCGCTTCCTTGACGTGCTCGTGGATCAAATTTGCCGCCTTGTGCATGTAACTCGGTGCACATCAGCTTGGGCAATTTTGTTGGTACAGTTCGTCCTTCGTACCAGGCGAGAAATCCTACTTTTTGTGGGATTTTCTCGGCGTCGCGAGGCAATACAGAATGAAGCAAATATCTCTACATACCATCGAGTAAATAGTTGATGTAGACTGTACACCCTAGTCCACACACAAAATGTGGGTAGGCGTTGTTTCAGCGTTGTTTACTCGTACTCCAGACTCATATGGCCCCTGTCTCCGGCACTTTCCCGAACAACAGCTGCAAACCGGTTGCCGTAGCATTCCGAAAGCGTTGGTTCTCGACTCCATCCCTAGAAGCTGCCGCGTATGGACGGCGGGTAACTGAGGGATTTTATGCATGCGACTCCTAGGGATGTGAGCTCGCTGCAGTCGCATTTACAGGCGTATACTTGCCTCGAACGGGCAAGCCGAATAGATCCCTCCTTTCCGTCCTGTCCGGACGGAGTTCTTCTCGCCGCTACTCCAGAGTTCGGGCCTGATTGAGAGGCGGAATGCCGAACAAACAGAAAAACCAACTATCAATATTATTCGTAGCGAGATTCTTGCTACCGACCTCGCAGCCTCGAGAGAAAGTCAACATCGACATTGTTTGTTCAACAACAATGCAGTTCCATTGTTTTGCATCCTCCATCGAGGTTCGATACGAATTCTTTGCCTTCCGGGTGATTCAAGCCTCACATACATTGTGCGGGAACATTCTCTGGGCATCTCGGACGCTGGCGTCTCTCGCGGATTTACCAATGCATGCCCGATGGATGCGCTCTGATTTTCTCACCAGTCGTTATATAACTCTGAATACCAAGCAAAGCTGAACCCGTAGTGAATACGTCCGATCTCTTGACGTCGGCTTAGGTCTGGATTGTCGCACAAGACTGCCCAGACTTTCGGCGTTTTTCACTTGGCCATACGTGCCACAATACACTCATGCTACTGGCGCCGAGTTTTCATGAACGCGCTCGCACTTCAGTAGTTCAATCACACTATCGAATCCAGATGCAGACGTAGATGCACTCGGCTATTATCTTCGTGTCTGGTCAAATCCTCGATACCTGGATCTAAAATTTAGATTACCATCCATGTGAACACTCTCGCATGCTTGGCCGGAGCTAGATTCTCAATCCGGACCTGTCCCGCTGTGTTGCCATCACATTGTCGTTGCGTACTGATACTTTTCAAATTCGCGGAGACAGGCAAGGATAACCGATTGATCGTCTCGCTGACAGTTGTTGGGTTTGACGCCCCCGCACTCAGGGACTGGTCGAGCTTCGATGCAGCTGGCCAGCTATCTTGACAGCTACCTCCGATGATGTGAACGATCAACGTCAAATCGGTTCTGACACCCAGATATGTGTTGCCCAATGGCCGTTACGTGACAGTTCTATCGATCATCACAAACATGCTGATCGATTGCGTATGCCGTGTTCAGAGAGCAACACGTCAAGGCCTGTTCTTTTAAGCTTCGAAGCTCGTCTGCTCCTGCAGCTAAGGCCATTTGAAGCTACGTAGGAGACTTTTGCACTGTGAAATTTCGCTGACATCCTCACGCAGATTCATCAGGCACCTTCAAGTCACGTGCCAAATATAAGACGCTTTCGCCGTCAGTTTTCTTCGGACTACACCTTATTCACAGTTGCGATTCAGACACTTCTGCTAGGACTGTGTTCCATTCTCGAGCGGACCATGGGACAGTAAAGTAATTCATGTCCCATAGGAATGATTGCTGTCGCAACAAACAAACGCTTCCTCTCGAAAATGTGAAAACAACGTTTTCATAGAATCGAGCATATTAGCTATGTGCCGAATTACTCTATGATCGATAACCAACTCCCAGCTTCTATGGATCACAGCCATATATGGCTCACTCAAAATCAAAGACCACTATACCAGGCAAGGGGTACTACTATATTCAAGACGCAACAGGTTGTTGGAGGCTACTGCGACTCCACGCTCGGTATGAGAATCAGCAGCGTTCTCGGTGCAATGGCACTGGTAACACTCACAAAACGGACAGTCTCAAGTTTCTCATTTGTTACTGGGAGAATGTGTCAAGCATGAAGCTGAGTAGCTATAAGGTTGGCTGCTGAGAACAGAAAGGAGAGTCACTTCCTCAAGTCGGATTACGTTGCCTCACAGGTTCTTTCCCAATACCTCCTTCCCTCTCGCACCTACCTTTTTTTCAACATGCAGGTTCGAGAGGCTCAACAAAACAGATGTGTTCTTTTCTCACACTTTTCTCTTTTCTACCATCCTCTCCATCACTCACAGTTTCTCTTTCACTTGTCTTCATCGACCTGCACCAAAGTTCCGCTTGCAGGTTACAATTGCTCGTGCATTCTCTTCATTTGGATCAAAGCACAATCTCTTCAACACGCTGGGAATCACCCCATCGCTCAGTTCACCACGTTTGAGGCTCAACGTCTTCAATCACCATCATGTGGCTCCTCAAAGTCCTTCTCTTCCTCATCATGGTCAATTTCGGGGCTATGACCGAAATACCCATGTGTGGTTCGCAATCATCGTCTTCTCAAACTTCTCACGGCTGTACAATGACCTACACTCCTTACATGGCTCCGCAGATTGGTCCAACCAGCACAGTTTACGGTGCCATCATGACCACCTACTTCTATGTATGTGTCGTTCCCCCGAGATGGTGGCAGTTATTGATCCTAGTCAGGTTGTTGACTGCCACTATTGCACCGTCACCAATCACGAACAGAATCCTGCTCCTCAGGTATGATCGTGTCTCATGAACCCTTTTGGCATCTACTAAAACGGTCAGGGTCCTTTTACAACAAAGACCACAAGCTCTATGCTCACTGTTACTCGGGTTGAGTGCATGCCAGAGACGACTGCAATCACCAGGAGAGCCTACCGTGGTTATGAAGAGGTGGAACAAGCTCATACTCGGACTGCCTCGACTAACAAACTTACTGGTGGTGGCTTGACACACCATCTGCGCCGCTCAAGCTCTGCTGTCACCGGTGCATTGCTTGAGCTTGCAACAACAATCAGCAACAATTCTCCGGATATCCGGCTCCTTACGGGCCCTTCTCAGGAGTCACTGACTGAGATTATGTCAGCCTTGTTTGCTCTCAATGTCGCTGACTCTGGTATGAACCTCACCTCAGCCTGCCAGCAAGTCACAACCACAGAAGTCAGCTACCGCTTATTGGAGTCTGACTTCAACCCTGATCAGGTCAAAGGGCTCATTTGCTGGATCAGTGCCAATGGATACTCCTTTAACAGCACACGGGCCGCCATCATTTCAGCCTTACAAGCTGCCATTTACGGCCTTGAGGTCACTGATGCATTCACCAGTAACAGAACCGAGATCTGTGGCCACCTCGACCTCTTCAACTCCATAGGAGGCTTCCTGGGCATCAACACTAAACAATACCAGGATATCGTCTGCGGTGGCATTTCATCCGAAACCACAACACCAACTCCGTACCCAAGACCTCAGTCTCTCCCTACTGTCGGCCCGTCAGCTTCCACTGGTAGCCCATGGGCCTCAGCCAATAGCTCCTTGACTGGAGGCAATGCCACCAAATGGGAATTAACTTCAACTTCATGGAACTCCAGTGGCACTGCCTTTGCAACTGGCAACCCCTTGGCCTCCACAGGGGCCCCTTGGGTTTCAGGCAATGCTACTACATGGGAATCACCTTCGTGGAACTTCAGTGTCACTGCCTTTGCAACTGGGAACCCCGTGGCCTCCACAGGGTGTTCTTGGGTCTCGGGCAATAGCTCTTTCGTCGTCGAGAACGTCACTACCTGGGGACCGCCCATCTCTTACACGGGAAGTGTTATGAGCTGGCCTGTCAATTGGACTGAGCCAAGTGCAACTATGGGATCTGTTGTTGCGTCGAGCACCCTCGTGGCTTTGAATGAAACAGAGTTGAGAGCACGCACACCACCCAGCCCTACTGCAAAGCCATTCTATCCTGCAGTATCTACTCGAACGCGTCACTCGGTCTTCAAGAGATACTAGAATACACTGAAACCGTCACCAGATTCATCACTATTTCATTGCGATTTGGGCTTGTGCTGGCACACTGTCCAAATTGATGAGTCTGCTGAAGGACCATTGTTGCCGTGGGACTGGCATTGCTATCGAGAGAGAAGGAACTTTACACAACGTAATTTGTATGATGAAGCTTGATGGAACTGGGCTGTGCATATTGTAGACTCGAGTATGATAGATTGATCGAGAGTAACAGATCCATTTCGATTTGAAGTTTACCGTGCTGATAATTTGTACAACCTTTGAAGTGTGCAATATTTTTCACTACTAACTTGGACTGTTCTACTTATGAATAGATTCTGGGACTGGAAACTAATTCACCATGGTTGAGTCGAGAATGTATATCTGTGAAGTCTCCGAGGCGGTATACCCGACACTTGCAAGGGTTTGATCAGGGCTTTTTCTTTGCTGGGCAGGTCTCCAGAGGACAAATAATGCCTAGTCGGAGCGGGTGGTAAACGAACAAGCGGAAAGTGTCTATATGTCTGACGATACCAGAGTAAGGGACGCCGGTAAACAGGAGGCGATCAAGGGGAAAAGGACACGACACTGAACGAGATGCAAACCTGCTCCGTGTGTTCTTTCTCTTGTCTTTTCATTTTCGGGGAATCATGATTCTATTCCTACAAAACATTCCTCATAACGACGTGACTGATGATCATCAGATGAAGCAGCAGCAGCAGCAGCAGTAATCGAATTCTAGCTTCCAGTACGCTCTTCCAGACGTTGCTTTCAACCCGGACCCCGGAACGCCATACCCTGAGATACCGTCATCCTCAAGAAAAAAGTGGTCCCCACAGTTTCAAACGTGATTGATTGGAGGTTAGATCTGACTGGAAGAGAAAGAAAAGACAATGTGACTGTTTCTTTTGGAAAAGGACGAAAGGTGGGACGACATAAAAGGTCCCACAGGCCAACGCTACGAATGCTAACGCTAATGGTGATGGTGATGGTGATGGTATGCCGATGTCGATGTCGGTCAAAGTGAAGGCTGCATATCATGGCAAGTCGATCGAGGACCGTGGGAGAGGCGTAAGGGTCACGGAGTGATGGTGGCGGTGGTCTTCTACAGGGGCAGAACGATGCTCCTTCTTGGTTGTCGCTCAATGATACTGTCGGTGGGATGCAGAGAGCTCATCGAGTTTCCAGGGCCAAGACCGTCCTTGTTCTGGAAGACCTTGTTCAGGTTGATGGCTGACTTGGTGTACAGAAAGTCAACGGCCTTTTGGTCTCGGAACGGGTTGGGCGATTTGTCCCAGCCGTGAGGCACGCGAGGGATGAGTTTGCTGTCGATGTTCTTGCCGAGTCTTTCGAGACGGTCGGCAAAAACCTGCCCCTCGCGCAAGAGCATGTCCCATTCACATAGCCACATTTGGATGTCTTGCGGGAGACACTCGTGGATCATGTGGTCGTGCGCAAGGCCCGGTGAGGCATATGGGCTGCAATGATCGCCGACCACGTCGGGCGGAGGTAGGTACGAGAAATCGAAGAGGTCGGTGAATGTTTTTGGCAGACATTTCTTGGGATTCCGAGATTCGCGAATCTTGCGCGACCGGGACATGGTCCAGTCAAGCAGAGGGTACCAGGCCACGATGCTGCGGATTTGAAGCGGTGTCCTGGTCCGATGTTGGACGAGATTCGAGGTCGATTGCACCGGGGTGACAAAGTTGTAGGTTTCGTGATCGTGTAGGTCATGGTCATGGTCATGGTCATTGGCTTCGGTGTCGCTGTCATCGTGCACCATGCTGCCCATCGTACTCACGGTTTGGGCTGTCGTCGGCCGGGAATCTGCGTCATGCGTCGTGGCGATGAGGTTGCGATGATAGCTGAGTCTGAAAGGAGCTGAGAAGGCTAGGTTTGCGCCCGCGGAGAACCCTGACAGGGCGATGTTGGACTGGTCGATATGGAGCTCCACAGCGTGTTCTGCGACATAGAGGATGGCTTCGACGCAGTCGTCTACAGGTATGGGGAAAGGGTGCTCAGGTGCACGGCGATAGTTAACACTGATGAAGATAGCATTTGTATATTCCATAACCACTCTTGCCCAGTAGCGATCATCTCGTGCATCACCCAAGCAGAACCCGCCTCCGTGGAAATTGATCACCGCGGGGAACCGGAAGTCTGGTTCGTGGTCGAGCATGCCATGGTATCGGGGAGGGAGATAGAAGTATAGTTCAATGGGGATAGTGTCGGTCGGTATCTCGTGCTTGAAAGACGGTCTCGGGGCTCGAGGAGGTGCCCAATCGTGGAAATGCATTCCCAATGTCATCAGAAACCGCCAAAACCGCGCTCTCAATGTCAGTGCCTTGCGTGATGGGATATCTTTGCTAGACAGATGATGCGACATAGACCGCGGTCTTCGGCTGAAAGGCTCGAGTGTAAACGTCTCTGCCAGCATGGTCTCGGGAGGGTCAACGTTCGAAGCACTCTGGAATTCGGCGATGTTGCTGAAGGTGACACTGTGACTCTTTGGGACTCGCAGGCGGTCTGGGCTTTTTGACCGCGCGAAGTCTTTGGCTTCAGTCATGTCGTAGGACTCTGTAGAGGAGTGCTCCTCAGGTCTCGGTGGAGAGTGAGAGGGAGACATCGTGGCGAGGTGTGCGCATCCTGCGGCTATATCATGCGAGAGACGCAACGACAACGGGCGAGGTTCAGCCGAGCGTAAATCAAACCACTCGTTAGCTCGCAAGGTATTTGAGTAGCGAGCAGAGAGGAAGAGGGTGCGATAGCATTCCCGTGCGGGATTATGATTACAATAAAGCGAAATTCGCAGCGACAAGGGAAGAGGATAGAAGAATAGGTTTACCCGATATGGCTGTCATACCGGCCATTCAATGAAACATAGGGGAGTCTGTCTCGTGTTCTCACACTTCGCAAGCGAGCAGCTCAACCAAAATGACGCGTTGGCTTGTGAGGCTGTGGTGATGATGAGATGGGGACTTGGGCAAATCAGACACTGCGGTTCTCTGGCTCCTGCAGGGTCTTGGGAGCCTAAAAGCGCCGCAGGCTTGGTGGCCTTTAACTGGAGTGTCCCCTATCAGAAGCACCGATAGGCTTTGTCTCAAGGGCGAGTTGCCCTCCCAGACTCCCTCTCGGCGCCTAGACGAGCTGTTCACACACTCACCCGCAATGGTATCATGCTACGTTTCCGATCGACGTTTATAGCCCTTTGCCGCTCATTCTCTTCTACTGTTTGATGTCGAGTACCGTCACTGTTGATATCACGCAAAGCTCCAGTCGATATAGAAGACTCTGCTGCATACGCGTCCTCATGCTTGTCTGATGCTTGGCCAAGGGGTAATCGAGGTCGCGGTCGCCGTCACTATGTAATCAGTCATCCAATCGACTCTGGTTGATGACATGACATGATCCGGAAGATCAATTTCGCAGCTTCTGCTTGAGGGGCTGTGTTGCGAGGATGCGCACATACTCCGTGTCTGATTATATAGCTCGCGTACTCCGTATAGTGTCCGCACAGTATTATCTTTCTTTCACCCATCTTGTGTTCTTCGAGCTGGAAATGTCGCGACATTGATTGAGCGCTTCTGAGTCAGCGGTGTTTCATCCAAGCCAGGATTGACCCTTTTCCCTCTGAGGGCGCCGTGCTCGGCCCCCCTTGGACTGACGTTGGACCCAATTTACTGAACGGGATCCCAGCCATCCGGTTACTCAAGTTACGTCTCAATTATGCCACAAGAGACAGCATTTCCATGTGCAGCTACGGTCACAGAGCACTACCGAATACGGTGACTCAGCAACGAATTTTCATGGCACAACTGCCCCTCCAATCCTACGGAGTACTACGACTAGACATGGCAAGCCGCTTGAGGTTAAAAAAGCCACCCAGTGCTTATATACGAGTACGGGATCAATGAGCACAAAGTGGACAGATAGAAATGAAAACGTCACTTATCAGGCAACGAGGACATGGCATCCGATTGGCCCCGGTGGTAGTGTTTTACCCCTCATGACTAAGCGTGCTAACCTTCTCGCTCTCCCGTTAGGATCGTCCATGAGGTGGTTGTCCTATCCGGCCTTGCCGTTCCACCCTCAATCCTCTTCCAACTCCCTCTTGCCCGTAGCTCGCTGTTTGCCTGTGGCCCAAGTATTTTCTTGAATCTTGTGTTTGCGGCCGCATCAGTCAGTGCGCTACTCCCCGCGGTCGAGTTGTTCGCTATCTTCCATCGTTTGCAGGGCGGCCGAGTATACTGCACCAGCCTCCCCGCATCAGCGCAGCCATCAAGGTGTACGTCGGCGCTGACTGGAAACACTTTGCCAAAAGATCATCCTGTCCAATTCCTAGCTCGCAGAGTCCCTCACCTGTGTCCGATTGTTTGGCAAGAAGCCTTGCATGCGAAACACCCTAGTCCTGATATTGATCATCCAGCAACACGTAATCAAGGCATCTTGACAGCAATTCTGCATACAGGAAAAGGGCCCTGTCGCAGCTTCACAGTTCCATCACCTCGCCCCTGTGTGAGACACCTGGTGAAGCTTTCGTTCAATACGCCTGTCTTCGTCGAGTTCAGCCCCGTTGGTCGCAACAATGTCGGTCCTTAAGAAGATCTCGAAACGTGTGCCGACTCTGGGGACTGACTCGCCGCGGGCTAGCGGCGAGTTTTCACCAGTCTCCTCTCAAAGTCCCGGACCTCACCGTCGGTCTCTAGCCCAGTTTCTTCACCTCGGTGACAAAGACTACACCTCCAGCGAAAATGAATCTGACATGAGCGACTTGGACAGCGATGGCTTGAGTAAGAATGCTCAGAAACGTGCCATTGCGAAGCAAAAGAAGAAGGAACAAAAGTCAAAGTTGAGTCTAGAGTCTCGTGATGATTCAGAAGAACGGATCAAAAAGAGATTGGAAGAAGCTGCGAAGACTGAGACGCCCGAGATGAAGGCTCGCTATGGCGAGCTGCCATTGATGCAATCTACCACTCGAGGGACCTCGGAACGCCTCGATATCAGTACCATCACTGAGGAGATGGTTGGACGAGAGATCTCCTTCCGATGCAGATTGCACCATGTTCGTAACATGGGTGCTAAACTGGTCTTCCTCATCTTCAGACAGCAGATTTCCACCATACAGGGTGTCCTCGTAGAGTCGCCGGGCAAGGTCTCTGCAATCATGATCCACTGGGCTGAACATCTCCGCACCGGCAACATTATGCTGGTCAAAGGAGTTCTGCAAAAGCCGCAAATCCCTGTCAAGTCTGCGTCGATTCATACTATGGAAGTCCATGTTACTGACCTCCATGTCATTGTCAAGCGTGATGAGCCTGGTATGTGTCTGTCAGATCCGCCTGTGAAACTCTTACTCACCTTTCCTTAGTCCCATTCTCCGTTCAGGAGGCTGAATTGACCATCTTTGACGATGATCAAAAGGTGGATGGCCGTCAAACTTTGATCCCTGATCGAGTCAGACTCGCCAACCGAATTATGGACTTGCGAACCGCTACCTCGCATTCCATCTTCCGTATCCAAGCCGCCGTGGGTAATTTGTTCCGCACTGCTCTTGACGAACAACGCTTCATCGAAATCCACACCCCAAAACTGCAAGGCGCTGCCACCGAATCTGGCGCCTCCGTCTTCAAAGTTAACTACTTTGGTCGACCAGCTTTCCTAGCACAGTCTCCTCAGCTTGCCAAGCAGATGGCAGTTGCGTCCGATTTTGAACGAGTTTATGAAATTGGTGCTGTCTTTAGAGCCGAGAATTCTAACACTCACCGTCATTTGACTGAATATACTGGCCTCGACTTGGAAATGGCCATTGAGGAGCATTATCATGAGATGATGGATGTCATCGATACAGTCCTGAAGGGTATCTTCTCTGGCATCTATACCAAGTATCGTACCGAGGTGGAAATTATCAAAGAGCAGTTCCCCAGCGAGGATCTCGTCTGGCTGGATGAGACTCCTCGAATTCCGTTCAAAGACGCCGTCCAGCTCTTGACAGATTCCGGTTGGCTCAATGAGGACGGAGAACCAGTCAGCCCACTCGAAGATTTGTCAACTCGAGATGAGATCAGGCTTGGTGAACTCATGAAGGAGAAATACAAGACCGATTACTACATCTTGGATAAATTCCCGAGATCCGCTCGTCCTTTCTACACCATGCCAGATGCCAACGACCCACGGTACACCAACTCCTTCGACGTGTTCGTTCGAGGACAAGAAATCATTTCAGGTGGCCAGCGTATCCACGAGTCACAATTGCTCGAGGACAACATGCGCATGGTTGGCATTGACCCAGACGACATGGCCGAGTACATGGAAGGATTCAAGTGGGGTGCTCCTCCTCACGCTGGCTGCGGTGTTGGTCTCGAACGAATTGTTATGCTCATTCTGAAGTTGGGCAACATTCGTCTCGCCTCACTCTTTCACAGAGATCCCAAGTCATTCCCTGCCAAGCCACAAGTCGAGAAGCTCAGACATCCAGAGGCTGACACACTCAATCCCGTGTGGCGTCAAGAACGCGGCCGAGAGGTTGCAGTGGAAGACCGGAAAATGCCAGATCTCTATGATCTTGTTGCAAACTATGGTGACGCTACATCAACTTCCTGGGGCGACGAACGATACAAGATCTGGCGTCATGCAGACACCGGCGCCGCCGTGGCCTATGTTCCTGAAGGCCATTATGCTATTCTTCCTGGTGACCCACTGTGCGACCCCAGACAGTACTATCGCATCGTTGTTTCTTTCCTTCAATGGTTGAAGAAGGAAACGCGTCTAAAGCCTCTTTGGCTCCTCATCAGTCCAGAGATGGAAGAGGTTCTTGGTGAAAGACTAGGATGGAAGACCCTCTCGTGTGTCGCTGAAGAACGTGTCGATCCACACAAGAAGTCCGCGGAATCAGACCCTGAAGTCGCCAGGAAGATTCGCAAAGCCCAGAGCGACGGTGTCAAGATTACTGATCTTGATCCAAAGGAGCCTGTTCCGGAATCGATTAAGGAACGTGCCAACGCCAGGGTAAAAGACTGGCTTGCTAATCGTAAAGGTACACAAATTCACCTGTCCAACATTGACTTGTTCAGAGACGAGAAGCACAGAAGGTACTTCATTGCCGAAGATAAGGAAGGCAAACTTTGCGGCATCGCCGTAATGGCTATGCTCGCCCCTCGCAAAGGTTGGCAAGCCAAGTACACTCTCGATTTCCCAGGTGCACCGTCGGGTACTATCGAGTACATTACCACCCACGCCCTTGCCGCAGCTGCAAACGCCGGTGTCAATACTGTCACCTTCGGTGGAGGTGCCGCCAATCATTTGACTCCGGGTCATCACATGAGCGGTGCCAAAGTGAAAATGCTGCAGGCTACCTATGATGCTATCGTCAAGCAATTCAACCTTGCAAGAAAGTCCGAATTCAGAGAGAAGATGGGCGCGGTGGCTGATCCCATCTGGATCGCTTATCCCCCACATGGTCTTGGATCTAGAGGTATCAAGGCCATCATGCGGTAAGTATTTCTTTTGTTGACCCTATACGTCCAGTAAGCTGGTTCTAATATTGCATGAACAGATTCTTCCAGGATGAATAAGCACGCTCTTCTTCGGTTGCAGGGGCGGCGCGCCAGGCAAGAGATGGCCAAATATCATGTTTTCATTCTCATCTTTATGTTCCCTGCTCTGTTGTCTTGGCTTACTGATGGAAACACGCACGAACTCACGAAGAGCATGTGGATAGTTCGTCCTCGTACTCCAAGATATTCCTACAACAGTTCATAGTGGAGCGCATTGGTGATAGTGCAAGCAGCTATAGGAGAAAGCCAAGGAACGAAAGTTACGCGCGAAGGGCGATTTTGACACCCGAGCTGGAGCTGGATGAACTGATTGTGTCGCTTGATGGAAGGATGATCACGTTTTCGTTTTGAGACCCCCATGTTCCCCTTCCCTCGCTAGTCGTTTTTATGCATTTCTCAATGAAGACCGATCCACCATACTTTTTCTATTGCGACTTGAATAGCCTATGGTCCCTTTGAGGCCAAAGATATACACGAAGCTATCCTGGAAGAATGTGCGTCTTCGAGTGCTCCGATCCATTGACTGTCTTTTGCGAGAGAAAAGTCCTCGACAGATTCGACGCATACGAAGAGTACCTAGCGTAACATCGGCTGTGACCTACCCCTCGGGGAAGTAAACTAATACCCCATGCTGCTGAACTTTCCCCTTTCAGTCAACGCAGGTGGAAATATGCACCGCATCATCTGCAACCCGGGGACTGTGGTCTAAAGTATTCATGCAGTTGGCCACTCATCATCACTGACCCAGGAGCGGCATTAGGAGACCCATCTCACACTATATCATACACTCACTGTGCAAGAGCCGGCCCAAAAATCAAAGACAATGCTTCTCATACCTATCTGTTCCAAGTGTACGGAAGGCGAAAGTTGCCGGATCATCTCATGGATCTGCTGGCCGTCGTAACTGTAATAACATTTCATTTCACGTCATGATCTCGTTTCTTCAATCATTCGTTTTCGATCCCGATGAAACAAAGATCTAACTACCCAAGCGCTTCCCCTCGGGCGAGCAGTGTGTAAGGTAGGTCAGGATGAGAGCTCATCTGGCTGATCACAGGAGAGGCAAATAACCTCTTTTCCCCGAGGTAGGCTCCATTCTTCTCTCTGCTGCTCGAAGAAACAGTTCTTGGAAGACTTTGTGCACACGGTAAAACGGATGCAGGTGTGAACAATGGCCCCTTCAAAGATCAAGAACTCGTCTTAATGCGCCCACAGCTCGAACACGTCCACCACTGGCTCTCCATCCAATTGCCACAGCCGTGGCACATCCACCCGACCGGCCTGGATTGCGCTTTTGCGTTGGCCTGAGAATCAAACTTTGCAAGTGCTTCCGCGCTTGACAGACGAGGCTTGAGGGTTGTGTGGTCGTGGGCTTTGGACCGGGTGGACGCGGTTGTCTGGGGTTTGGGCCGACCGCGAGATGACACTAAAGGCGGGAGGGCCGGCTGCTGTGCGTATATGGCTGGCCGCTCCGTCTCGCAGGCTCCGCACATGAGGTATTGCATCGGGTTGACGAGAGTGCAAATTTCACATGTCCATGTGTCTGCTTCGGGCTCGGGCTCGGGCTCGGGCTCAGGCTCTGTTGGTCTTTTGATGGATTGTTTGGGGGCATCGGCATCGTCTCGCAAGACATCTCTCTCGGCCTCGTTCTTCTTTGTCTCGCGGAGTTGTCGTTCGATTTGCATTTGCTGTTCACGTAGGGCTTTGGCGTCAAGCGTCTTCGGGAGCATACTCGTCCGCAAGCCTGGTGGGGATGTAGCTCCGCGTATGCCTGCGGGATTCTCTTGACTGGGGGGGAAGTAATCCTTGCCGAACAGCTCACTTTCTTCCTCTTGGATGAGATCGATGAAGGCTTGCATGAGCGCAGCGTCGTTCTCGTCCTGCTTGTCTGCCTTGGTGGTGGTGACCTTGTCCTTCCCCCTTGCAAGCTGGGCCCCTTGGTCCGTCGCGCTGCCGCAGCCTCGTTCGATACGTAAGCGTTTTTCTGCGGCCGCAGCAATGATCTCCCTTGCATTCTGGCCGCGCACGATGCCCTGACCTCCCAGGCGCTGACCACTACCTTTACTGAGATCACGACGCCGCTCGGCGGCGGCACGAGCTTGTCGTCTGATTTCGGTCATCGGGATGCGCCTGCCGCCCAGGCGGTTACCCTTGCCCAGAAATCCCTCGCCCGTGTAGCCCTTGCGGAGGAGAGCCTCGTGCTCGTCACGCAGTTTATCCCACAAGGCATTGAAAGCCTGATTATGCGGGCCGTGGACAATGTGACAAAGTTCGTGAAGCATTGTGTCCAGCACACTCTCGAAAGGGAGGAACTGTGTATCATCACCCGCGTGCCGGAGGCGGAGGCGGATTTTCTCCCCGCCGTTGATGTTCAGCCCTAAGAGGTTTGCTTCTCGAGGGTAGAATTCGGTCAAGACGCCGACACGCCAGTTGCGCTGGCGCATTATCGGTTTGACCATGGAGGCGATTTTCTGAAGCATCTGCAGGGCTTCGCGTGGCCGTGACTTGTCTGATAGATGTTGGAACTCATCGACCAAAGGGTCGAGTTCCGAAGGGTGAGTCACTGTCATTATGACGAGAGACCGCCGGTAGAAAGCTTCTGTACACAAAGTTGCAAAAAGGTTGGGATTCGCTGTACCGGTACCCCTGATTAACTCTCGTTTGAGAATAAATAAAACCGCCAACGCACACCTCCGGCTAAGATATATTTGTCTCCTCCATGCAACAAACCAGGTTCAAGTGACAGACATGCAGAACATTGCAAACGGGTGAAACGCGCAAGACACTGTGCAGGACACCGGGGGTGGTCAGAAGGCACCAGAAACACCAGCCTCTGTCTACGGCGGTGACCAGAGGATTCGTAAGTATCTCAGCCTGATGAGGTGGAGGCGAATTCGGGGAGTTGCCTGCGGAGTCACTAACTCAACTCGTACAAAGGTACAGTCAGGTACAGTAATCCAGCCCTGCACGTGATCGACGTCATTAGACGCCCCGATTGGCCTGTGGTCAACATCTGGCTCTTCGTATATCGCAGAGTATCGAAACCCTCAGGCCACGGCTGCAGTCAACTTCAGAAGTGTAAGGACGACAATGAGATTGACCCAGCATGACGAGCGACGACCAGCAGTTTCTTGATTTGGTGAGTAGGGCCCCTCTTTTCTTTTTAACGTTGTTCTGATATACTCTGTCTGCAGCTTGCGTCCATCCCGCAGGATATGGCGGCCTACGGGAGCCGCATTGCGGACTATATCGAAAAGCACACCAATGCTATAGCCTCCGATATACGCGACGCAATCGACAATGCAGACTGGATACCTGACTCTCTACGGCCCCCGAGACAGCCTGCCAGCGGACCCTCTTATTTCCCTCGCCCACCGTCACCTCCGCAAGGCCTCCTCGAAAAGACCACGACATGGGTCTCGAAGAATCGTACCATCATTGCTGTCTGTGTCGCATTTGCCGGTACAACTCTTTTCATGATACACCGAAGGAAGAAGGCCCATGCTAGAAAGAGAAGGGCGAAGAAATTGCCAAACGGCGGCAAGAAGGAGATTGTGGTCCTGGCGTGCTCGACCTTTCACGACGCTCTGACACGGTCTCTGGCTCTTGATCTTGAAAGACGGGGTTATGTGGTATATGTCACCGTCTCTTCGACAGAAGAGGATTCCCTGGTCCATCAAGAAGCAAAACCTGATTTACGCCCGTTGTGGATCGACCTGACCTCTACTGTTCCAAACCCAGCGGTAGATGTGCACCCCAATCTTGAACCGATCCGAGAATTGCTTTCACATCCCGTTCAAACACAGAACCATATGAGCCTTGCTGGTATCGTCGTCTTCCCGGGCTGTTCTGGCTATGCCGAAGGGCCCCTGGCCCTCCTACCACCGAGCGACATTGTTGACAACATCAACACCCGGCTGGTCTCTCCAGTCCTTACAGTCCAGCAATTCCTACCATTGCTCGCGAATCACAGCGTCGATCCAAAGTCCCCGGCTTCCATTGTCATCGCTTATCCTTCGATCCCGAACTCCTTATCGCCACCCCGTCAGATTCCCGAGTGCCTGGTGACGTCGTCACTTTCTGCGCTTGCCTCGTCTCTGAAACGGGAACTCAAAGCAGCAAGCGCGAACATCACTGTTTCTGAACTCAAGCTGGGTAACTTTGACATGGGCTCTGTCACCTCGTCTCGTACGACCCCGACACAGTCCGCGTACCACGCCTCGAACACTCCAGGGGCATCATCGGCCTTGATGCCGTGGCACTCTTCGCAGCGCGCAGCTTTGCAACGCAAAACACTGGGCCAGCGCAGTTTTATTCGTGGCGCTTCCGCTCGGGAATTCCACAACGCTGTTTTTGACGCACTAGCTCCTCCGCAGACTTTCAAAGCCTTTGGCCGATTCGAATGGACGGCTACTCGGAGACCTGGGGTGGTCTTTGTAGGAACTGGAGCCAGGATCTACGATGTTGTCGGTCGCATTATGCCGGATGGACTCGTCGCGTTCATGATGGGCCACAGAAGGCGTGAGGACGATGAGACCGATGTGCGACAGGCGAGGGTGCGTCATTTCGCTCAAAATGATCAGAGGCGCAGAGATAGCTCTGGTGGAAGTGCTGAACGTGGCCCTGCCGCCTCGACGGTCTGGGGGTTTGGCTCGGCAGGCAGTGAAAGCGGGATCTGGGAAAAGGTTTGAACAAAGCCACAGCCAGATCAAGCAGTATTTATTTGTGACGCTTTTTTCATGTTTATGATGTTTTCTCCGTATGAGGCTTTCCACTCTATCAAATGATGAGTTCTACTTTATGACTTATCGGTCACACCATGCATAAAAAACCTGCAATACCCGCGCACAGTGAGATCTGTCTTCGTCTTGCGGTCAACCAGCATAGTACCTAGGCCTTGGAAACATGCATGATCAATTCTGTTAGAGACTTCCCGACGCGACTCTAGGTCTATACCGGCGGTGAATATACACATGTATGTATTACTTTTGTCTATGGTGTGGCTCAGCCATTCGCGAAACCCAGCAATGCCACCTGATTGATGGTTCTCCGAATCCTTCAGGCAGCGGCAGCAGAAGTAGTAGTAGTGGTAGTACCTGATCCCAGATGCGATTTCTCAATGACTCCATCCATGATGCTTCTCCCACTGATGACGCCAGTTGTGCAGATGACGATCTTCCTTCTCTGACCTGACTCGGCCATCTTCCGACCAATGAACCTGAGGGCGGCGATTTCGGTAAAGGTGATGCCACCGAGAAACATGACGAAGACGGTCTTCCACCCTCCTGCGCCGGCGAGTGCGGCCTTCGCCTTTGCGGCCTTCTCGTCGGTCGCCTTCTGCGCGAGGCTGAAGGTCGGGCCGCGCGCGGATTTCAGTATGTCCTCGAAGCCCGTCCAGCCGGTGCTGGAAGGCGTCAGAGGCAACGACGACTTGTGTAGTGTCTGGAGGTACTGTTTCTGTAGAATGCACTGCACGATCCTCACACTGAGCGGAGCATAGCCCGAGTACACGTAGGCGATGTCTTCGGGATCCTGCTCGTTGTATTCGTCGACGATGAGCCGAAGTTCTTTCCTGAGATAGGCGTAGTTCGTTTTCGTGCCCCTTTCCTGGCTCCCGCCACCGCCAACAGGGAGCAGCAGTGCCGATGCAGAAGAGCGGGGCTGGAGGAGTTCCATCTTTTCAAGCGCGTCAAGAGTGGTGAGGTGCTGGAACCCATAGGCGTGCAGAATCTGGCGCCGGAAGGATTCCAAGTCTTTGGGTCGGAGCCCGCCTGCGATGGCAGACTCTAGGCACAGGAGGCGGAGAATAGTGCTGAGTGGCGCATCTCGTGCGATTAATTCTTCTATTGTGTCGTGTTGGTAGACTGGGTCGGTCCCGGCTGCTACGTTTTGTTGGACCTCGAGTTCGCGGTTGAACGTCTCCGATCGTGTGTGTTTCATCATGTCGTCTGCAAGGTTTGTATGGAGCGCAAGAGACTGGTGCTCTTGTTGAAACCCGGGAAGTTTGTTGACAAAGTCTCGTAACTCATTGATGCCACGAGCGCTGTGACGACCTTCGTACTCGGATTCGAGACGTCGAGCGATCTTGTTGAGATGCGGCCCGATCAATGCAAAGTTGGAAGACCTTAATTGTTCGAATAGCGGGTCCGATGAATCAAGTTGAATCTTACGTTTCAAGCTCTGCCGGACAGCTGGAGGTGGCGAGGTTGAAGATGATCCGGGGGTCGATCGCTGTTGAGGGCCAGCGCCTACTACCGACGAATCCACCTCTGCTCGATTGTGCTTAATCCCAAACATCTCGTCGATCAGACCCTCGTAGGTCAACTGTGTCAGAAGAGCAGTCGCAAAGTCTACATCGCGGTCAATGATGATGAGCTGTTCAATGGAAGTACTCGGCATGCTTGTGTACTGCGTCGCAGCTTCGTCAGCATCCAATTCTCTTCGTCCACGAAGTAGCAGATTCGCTAGCTTTCGGGCGTTGTCACCCTTTCCCAAGATACGCGGGAAAAGACCATGGCGCTGCTGGATGGCCATCAGAGCTTTCGAAGCGAGATATAATGGTGAGGGGTCATGTCTCTATGCAGAGTAAGCTTGAGAACTCGGGTTATGCAGATAAGGGTCAGCCGCATATACCAGGTATAAATCGTGAAACGCCCCATCCAACTCCAGAGAGAGCATATCTTCTTCCAGAGGCAGAAAGTAAAGGGGCAGTTCTGAAATATTGACATCGCCCAAAACGCCTTCATCTTCAAGAATCTTGTTCGAGACCAATGTCCTTCTTGGTACCCATATTACGGAGATCTCATGCTCGATTGTGCCACTTTTCTGAAGCTTTTTTATCTGCTCTTCAAGACAGGAAGTTCAGAGTCAGAACCATACGTGTGATGATCAAATACAGAACAGAAATGGGATGGCCTCTGCAATGCAATCGTTGAGGGTTTTGATCTCGGTAGGCAAGGTGGAAAAGGGCGAAGCAAGTGTATAACAGCATCCTGCTCAATATGATGCACGAGGACAATTAGAGAACAAGACTGACCTGCTACTGCTTGGACCAAGGGGGCTTTCTCTCCGTGCACAAGGTACACAATGTTTCTCTGCGAGGAGTCGGTGTTGCCGTTTTCAAGCTCGAAGACCTTGTCTACGCCATATTCCTTGAGGGTTGGGAATTGAACAAACAGGCTCAACAAGCCTGTTAAGTCTCTTCCGATGACCAGATTCTTCTTTCCTCGAACCTGTGGTGATGGTGAGCAAGTCGCCCCGGAATCAAAGGGGTTGTGACAGCCGTACGCCTTCCAGTAACCCAAGAAGATCCCTTCTGGCTTTGTTCTTGATGTGTTCAGCCTCTTTGTCAATGTTTGGGGCCATGACCCCTGACGAGTACTTGCTGTCTTGGTGTCAATCCATCCGATACTGTGTGTCAACTTTCAAGGAGGAGGTTGGCGCCGATGCTCGTCGTGTTTGAATAAGGCCACTGGGAGCTCCAGGCTCCATGAAAGACCTGCCAAGCGCGGGGGCTTATCTTATCGGCGCCTTCGGTGGCCGGACCGACAAGGTCATAAGACTCTTGTTGTTCTAGAAGTCTAGACTGCACCGCCTTGTCAGCCACGTCCTCGACGTTTCATCTTGAACTCCTGTCGAGCCCTTCAGATTGCTGCCTACAAGAACCCCTTCGGAGACTCAGCAAACACCTCAACTTCTCCAAAGCAGTGCCAACTGCCTCCTATCTGCCGAAATGGGCAAGTTCAGCCTCAAGAAAGGTGACAATGATGACGACTCTAGCAGACTGGCCCTTTTCGGCTCCCGTTCAAAATCAAAATCCCCAGCTCCTCCCACGAACAACCCCTACGCTCAACCTGCTATCCCTGCCGACCCATACACAAAAGCAAAGATGAATGCTGGGATCGTACCCCAGTCAGAGCAAGCTTCAAGAGGTGGCTTCCAGACTGGACCGGGCCTCCAGGGTCAATCTGGGTTGCCTGGCCCTGGACAGCAAAGGCCGTCTCAAGGCCGGGACAACCCATATGCCAGCGGTCAGCCTGGTGGATATGATAACAAGTACGGTCCTTCACAAGGCGGCTATGGCTCAGAGAAATTTGGCAATCAGAATGGCTATGGAGGTGCTGCTAGTGGCGGTAACCCTTATGCCAGCGTACAGCAACCCAGTGGTACATCACGGCAGGGCGGCTACGGTGGACTTGGCCCTTCCAATATTTACGACAATGACTCCAATCGTGACGAGCTCTTTGGTGGTGCCCGGGAGCGTGTCCAGCAAAAGCAGCAGAGCCAGCCGGGTGGCCCTCCTGACTACCAATACAACTCTAATAACGATAGTGGCGACCGGAGCTATGGAGCATATGGTGATCGTCAGCTCACAGCTGAAGAGGAAGAGGAAGAGGACATTCAGGCTACAAAACAAGAAATCAAGTTCATGAAACAACAAGATGTTGCTTCCACCAGAAATGCCTTGCGGATCGCTGCCCAGGCTGAAGAGATGGGCCGGAATACTCTTGCTAGGCTGGGTGCACAAGGTGAACGAATGCACAATACGGACAGGAACCTCGATATTGGGAATAATCACATCAACATCGCAGAAGACAAAACCAAAGAGTTGAAGACGCTGAACCGGAGCATGTTCGCGGTGCACGTCAACAACCCTTTTACGGCGAAGGATCGGCGGGCGCGACGAGATGAACAGATAATGGAACGCCACCATAATGAGAGAGATGCCCGAGAAGCATCAAGAGAGGCTGCGTTTCAAAGTACTCAGCGAATGAACCGAAATTTCAAAGGACTGGATGATACCTCAGCCGCGCCTAGAGCGAAACAAAGTCTAGCGGAAAGAGCGAAATATCAATTTGAAGCTGACAGCGAGGATGACGCCATGGAAGATGAAATCGATCGAAACCTCGACGACCTCACTGGAGCGGCCAAACGTTTGAACTTACTGGCTCGTGCTACAGGAGAAGAAGTCGAACAGCAAAACCAATTGATTCAGAACATTGCGGAAAAGGTGAGTTTCATGATACGCAGATGGATTCTTTAGCTGACAACAAAACAGAGCGACCGATTCGACGATCGCTTGCATTTCCAAACGGAGCGATTGAAGAGAATCAGATAGACCTGGAATGTCTATCTTGCACCGGGACACATAGACGAGGTTTTTATGGCAGTGTATTGTTCAGGAGCTATATCGAGTCGTACTTTACGGAGCGCTCAGGTCACGGCCTACGATTTTGGGGGGGCAATCGAACTCAGTAATGCCTCATAGATCTTGATCAACGTGATCAACCCAGCCCGTGGCTGATCAACAGGCACGCGATCGCATATCAAAGCTTACAACAACTTGCGTATTTGTGCTCAGACAGCTTCCCTATAGGTTCCAACAGCGGCGTGCAGGAGCACCCTCAAGGAAAAGCGCGGCCCGTTGGTTTGCCCTGCGCTCTACGCACGCTGAGCAGATCATCCTTGATCGCACTGGCGACAGGACGTTGTATGGTTGTTTTTAGCTGCACCTGCATGACGCCCCAGTGACGGTTTGTCTGCTACGCGATCATTTCTCATGCAAGGCGCAAGGCGCTCAACCTGCGACAGCTGCAATTCATTTGCAGGGTGTCTTTGTGTACTGAGCATCCGAAAAACCACCGATGTCTAATCTCGTCGCTCGATCTGACACAGTCAGGTCGGAGGCGTTTTGGACAACCCAACATGGTACAATACTACAAGCGCATGATCTCCGGCTCCAGCAACTCCACCGCGTAGACCATAGTCTATAGACTACAGTATAGTTGATATTAGTCACTGAGCTTTTTGGGACAGTGCGTTCGCGATTCGGCTAGTTTGTAGTCTGAGAAATTGTCCTAGCGAGTCGTGGTAGCGAGATTGAATCTCACAGTCTCACAGACCTTGTAGCAGTCCTGCACTTGCGGGACCAAACGGAAAGAAGAACTCGTACTTTACTCACCGAAAGGGTCGGAGATATTTTATGTGGCGTGCCCGGATCTGCAATGATCGTCGATGTGTTGATGGGACACACCGGGGCAGATTGCTGACGAGTCATCGACTCAACGACACAGAATACTTCCCAGAGTTCAATTTCAATAACAGCGCCATCGGATCGCGACGTATTGTTTGCTAGAGGGTCACAGTGGATAGTAGCTGAGACTTGCGCATCATCCATTGTCACGATCTCAGTCTTGGTGAAGGGAGGACTTTGCCAGAACATTCCCACCAGTGCGGCCCTCGAGGCAGCGGAAAGGTGCGTGGCATAGGCTGTCCCCTGGAGCTTGTTCAGCATGGACTTTGACGATTGAAGCCACGGAACAACAGCTTTGACGCGTGTGCCTGACTGATTGTCACCGTCGCTGCCGAAGTCACAATGAGGAAAGCAAAGCTGGCTTGAGCCTGAGCTTGAGAGTGAAACCCATCGCCGCAAAAGGGAAGCACTATCGAGACCCCGATACCCCTAAACTCATCTCTCACAAGCTCACTGGGACCAAAACTTGCAAGCCTATAGTACAAGTTACAAGTGCCTGCAAAGCAGCGCGAACCACCATGGAGCTAATTTCATACTCCTAATCTTCCCCTAATTGGGACGAAAGTCGACCTAATAAGCACCAGCGCAGAAATCGACCTCCACCGAAGTGAACTAAATCTTCGACTCGGTCTTGCGCAATAGCCAAGAAAGAGACATCTTTCTAGCTCTCAGTAGGCCGGCGCTTTGAGGGTGACGCCCCGAGCTGTTATTCGGACGACTCGTTACTGTGCCAGAGACCATGGGTAGAGCAATCAATTATGCCAGGACACAAACCGCCCTACTCGAATGGCTATTGCAGCAAACTGCCAGCCCTTGAGGATGGCCGGTCGACGCCCAAGCCAATAGTCTTGCGAAGTCCAACACCAAAGAGAGTTCGCATGACGTCTGCTGGCGCAACTTCACCAGTCCTTGTAGAGGCGGAAAAAGAGACACGACGAGATCGGTGGGTGGGATTATTGAGGCTATCCACTATGAGGAATCGAGGATCAGGCCTCTGGCGGGCATTCCAAGCAGGGACTTGACGCCACCCGAGCGCCAAAGCGGCCCACTACCAACATCCTTGATCATAATAACGTTCCGAACGGACAGTGCTGGCTTCGTTTCAGAATGCGCTCCACCAGCCCGCTAATCGAAGCCTTGACAACTCCGTTCAGGGCGTTGCTGAGGCGGCCCAAGGCGAAGTGGCGAACCGACGACTTGGAATGAAGTGAAGCACGGCACACGAAGAGAGGCTGGGCGGTTAACGATGGCCAGTACGTCAGCGAGGTCGAGACGACTAATGGGATTCTCAACTTTCATCAGACCCTGCGTCGACGGTTATACCGGCGCATTCCTCTCATCCAGGACCCCTCTGCAGGGTCGGCGTTTCAATTGGCAAGGATTGGACGGGGTATTGGCCTGGCGGTCGTTGGGTGGTCGTGTTCCAGAAAAGGAGGCTGAGCAGTGGCCGAAGGTGATCGGCCATCGAATCACAAAAACTGGAGTAACAACACCAGCACCAGCACAGCATCTGCCGGTGTGACCTACTGTACATATCTGACGACAAGGTCGCCAGAGTTCGCGCCCGGGGCCAAATGCTTCTAACATTGCAACACCAGATTAAGTTAAGTACTCCGCAGGTAGTGTGCAGCATTAGGGGTGGCAAAAATGTGGCCCAAGAGGCCATCGGATGCAAGCACTCGTCCAGAGGCTGGCAGGCTGCGTCCGCCACGAAAGGTGGTTGTTCGGGATTTCCGTGGGAACAGGACTTGCTGCAGGGATCCAACCACGTCCATCCTCGCAGCATGAGAACTACGACTATTGTCGACCAAGAACCAAGCCAGCGGGCGGAATCACTGTGACCAGCAGTGGAAGCTTCAACGCTTTTAGACTTCACGGGGACCAGCTCATTATTCCCCAGCTTGATAGACAAGCGATCGGCCGTGGAGCTGATATCACGTCCTGTAGATATCATGCACATAATCTCGTTTGTTCTCCGACGAGGCTACACACTACCGTTTGTTGTGGTTCAGAAGGCTCCGTGGGTGGTTGCAATTTCAGGACAGGACACAGAAGACTCCCAAGGTGTAGACGACACAGCACAGTAGTGTCCAAGGGGAGGCGCTCGGATGTCGGCACAACCAGACTGCAAAACCCAAACAATGTCTCGATGTGTGGAGACTCTGCTCTGTGTGATGGTTGAGTTTGCTCAAGGCTAGGGATGGCGACCAGGGCGAGTAACTGCTGGACTGTACCTACAGCACTTGTTTGCCTAAAAATGAAGTCCAAGAGAGAGGACGGTTAGGGAGAACCGTTGACAGTAGGGCCAGCGCCGACGAGAGAAAACGAAGGCTGCTTGTCAACGACCGATCTCTGCGAATCAGTGCTTTAGCGGTGTGAAGCGACAAGTGAGGGAACGAGATGGCGCCGGGCTAGAGACGAAGCAGGAAGCAGGTCGCGTCAGCGGCGTTTTTTGGCACCTTTAATCTCTGCGAGTCTTTGGGGAAGGGAAAGGGAGGGAGGGGCAGCACTGGAGCCCCCTGTAAGCCACAAAATTAGGGACATGGGAGCGATTGGGCGCACGGTGCGGCCTCAACGAAACAGAACTACTGTGCCACCTACCGTGCTCCGTCCTGCTGCCGCTCAATCAGAAGGCCACGAAGAAGCTTCGCTCTGGAGCAACACCAATAGTCTCTGGACTGTGAGTACATTCAATACGTACTGTCCCCTAGGGTATGGAAACCTTGTTCAAGGACCCTTTGTTGAGAATACCACCCCTCGGAGGGGAAAATGAAGCGACCTCAAATTCACAAAGAGCACCAGACCTCTAGTCCTCGAGGCAGATTGGTAGAGGCTGTAAGCCACCGATACGGTACATACGCCAGCACTGTCGTCTGCAACCCACCTCAATCTTCCCCATCCCAGTCAACTCCGGACGGATACAGCAGAGAGACTTGTCGTCGATGGACACACACCGCCTTGCCGTGCTAGATCGATGGCCTCCCGACCCCATCACGCTTTGCTCGCGTAGAATTGTGATTGAGTCAAGACTACTGTAGTTAATGCGTGTGCTAACGGAGCAGCTTGGGGCGCTTCTGCAGAGGCGACGCTCCTCCAAGACTCCAAGTCTCCAATACCTCTCGGTCGTTATCTGGACGACTGTCTTGCCTCCCTCTGGCCGGTCGACGTTATTCCACGCTCCAGTGCCATATTATACTCTCAAGCCGTCAAGATACAAGTATCCCGGCCACATTCCATCAATGAAATTTCTGCTTGGCAGGCATCTGCCAGTGGGAGACAAACAACACCAAGTGGGCAAGGTCGACAACGGGGTGGCTGCCGAAGCCTGCAGTGAGACGAATGGGACAGGACGCCACTTGTAGATGTCATCGCGCCAATGGCTTTGGGCCTTTCGCAATCCTCTGATGCTCCGTTTATCCATTTCCGTGTCTCTAACAGGGCGACTACTGTACCTATTCAATCTAGCATTCCAATCCACTTCCGAATCAGCATCCCCCGTACTCGTCGTCGTCCTGGCTCCTCCCTAAGCCTCACCAAGGGTCCATCCGACCTGCGGCAAGGATGCTGAGACCAACCTCCATCGCACACGGCCCCCGGTCAAAACGCTAGCCTTGCTCGCCTGTGACCAGGCTACTGACCTCATCCCTGCCCCGACCTGTGTATCCCTCCGCTACTAAAACCTTCTGCCTCCACCAAAAGTCATCAAGTTCCGGTCTGGTGCAGGGTATGCTGCCAGTCAACATTCCGTCCGGCCGCTCCACTGCGAACGCCATCCAACTGCCATCTCGAGCTAAAACCACCCTGCATTAACAAGAGCCCGAGGGCAGTCCAAGCCGTGAGGGTGATGATGCCGGTCAATCAAGGTTCTGATCACTGCTAAGGGTCGTTCCCACCGACGTAACTTTACAGAGGCAAGCACTGGCACCGCGACGACAGCTGCTCATACAAACAACTTATCTATCCTCACATTCCCCACCCGTTGTGTGAACGGACCTGTTTCTTCATCATAACTCCCAGCAAAGATATCAGAGCAGCGTTCCTCCGTCCAACGCACAAGAACTGCAGACCTCCCAGTCGCATCGCACCGCAGAAAAACACTACATATCGAATACCTTGTAACAACAAACAACCCATCTCCCTCCACATCCTCGGAGATTTGGACCAACGTTGAGATCTTCGTCTGAGCACGACCGTTGAAACCCAACCACTTCCCACAGGCATCACAACCATTGCCCGCCGGCCAATCCTGACGATCTGCCGTTCGCCGAGCTTGTTTGAGGATTGCGCATCACCGCAGCAAAAGGGTTCAAAGTCAAAGGGGCACTGCTCAATTCACACTATCGACGACAACAGCAATAGATCAGCATCCGTCATCTGTGGATCGTTCATTGGGCACTTGTCACCTCCCAGTCTCTCCACACGACATCCTACATAACACTCGCCGATCTCCTGGACCAGAGTTGGATCGTCTCGACACGTTTTCAGGGACCGGTATACCGCTGGTATCATCCTCTCAACTTCGCACCCAGAGTCCGACCTATTCTTCGCCAGAGGCATTTTTCCATTTGACGCCTCCACGTTGTCCTTTCTTCCCAAAACACCGCCCTCATGACGATGGTCATTGATAGTCAAGGTCGACAATACGGTGGCATGGGCTACGATCACATGTATCCAAGCATGCAGACAACACCGCAGTTCAGCGATCCCTGGTCACATCAGACCAGCTCCTCCAACGCGTCCTTTCCTGTTAAGACGGAAAGCTCCAGGTCTACCATGTCAATGCCATATTCACACATACCACCCCCCGTGTCGGGGTCAATGGCCCAAGGTAGCGCCTACTCTAGCACTGGATACTCTGGGACGGATGTGCTAAGTTTCCCTCAAGACATTCCACGCTCGACGTATGAGCAGTCTTATCCTCCCACGTCGGCAACCACGTCGTCTTACACGCCGTCATACACCTCCATGACATATGCACAGTCTCTTGCCGCCCAGCAACAACAGCAACAGCAGCAGCAGCAACAACAACAACAGAATCAGCACAGAAAGATGTCCGAGTAAGCCAAGATCCCCATTTGCATGTGCCACCAGAATCTTCTGACAACAGTTTTGATACAGTGTCGACAGCTCCCGTGCCGCCAATGCTAGCTTCGGTGAACTTGATGCCTCTCGGGGCATGCTCGCGCTGAGCCACCAGAATCTACACGACCTGACTCCTCGTAACATATACGAGGCGCGTGCCCAACGAGCCCCTACAGACTCGTACGGCTTCCCTCAGACTGCCTCGGCCCACTCGTCCATTTCGAATGAGTCTGGTCGCGGCTACCCTTACTACGCGCCGAGCTCTGTCGGCTCTGTGGCCGACTCTGCGACCGACTATAGTTCGGCCGCTTCGGACGCAGGCTACGAGTCGATGGCGGTTTCGCGCACGCTTCCGCGCCCAACCCAAATGCTTGGAGGGCCCATTGGACCTCCCGCTCCTCAGTCTATGATGGGTCAGTTCTCCTCCAAGTTGTCGGCGAACACTCAAAAGAAACACAAATGCAAAGTGTGCGACAAACGCTTCACGAGGCCAAGTTCTCTTCAAACACACATGTATAGCCACACTGGCGAGAAACCGTTTGCTTGTGACGTCGAAGGATGTGGTCGACATTTCTCTGTCGTGTCGAATCTGAGGCGTCATAAGAAGGTGCACAAGGGCGACAACACCTCGACCACCAGCCACTCTGACACGGAAGAGTAAGGTTGCTACAACTTGGGGAATATTATCATGCTGGCCCATGACCGATACGCCGGGGGCGTGTCATATACGTGGGATTCCTTGCTTCATGTACAACACCTTTGAGCGCGACGAATCGGAGCAGCACGTCGCCTATGTACAACAGGAGGTTATTAGAAAGTGGGCCGGGCACGATGAGAGAAAAAGCCAGGTGCTTATCGCGGCAAAAACAACAGGGTGTCACAAAACACCTGCCACAGCTCTGTTCGATTCACGACATTCGCTAATTTTATACGTATATTGTTTATTGTGACGACTTGATACCCAGCGATGACGGTTCCTATCATGACTGAATTCTACTTTTCCGCATTGTGAGCGTTAGAAGCTCACATACATCAACAAAGCAGTGGGCGAGGAAATAGTATGGTCGGCTTCGGGGAACGGCTTTGACATAGAGTCGCTTCCAGAGGTTGAGATTGGATGGACGTTTTGGAGGAAGATGTCTCATGTGGGTTGTAGTACTTTTTTTTTTTTGATACCAACTGGTGTTTTGAGATGAAGAAGGGAACGGGGTTCGAACTTGGGTCTACGGAGATGAGAGGTGTGAGATCACTTGCTACAGGTAGTTAGTTTCAAGCCCTGCACTGGGCGTAATATGGCACAGGCGGATGAGCCATGGGGCGTATTATGTTAACAAGGGTTGTCCGGCCCAACGCTGTAGCTTTTCCCGTGGCAGGAATGAAATAAAAATGTGTCAAAGCAAAGACCAAAGCGTCATGTGTGAAGAAGAGCGAGTCGCGCAGCAAGCATCATTTACAGTATCACTTGTGTACGTATGTAGGAGAACAATGCTAACTAGTTACGGGGTACGAGTACGAGTACGAGTGCGCGCGCAGTAGTTAGTGCTATTTCCGGACCTCGGGATCCGGGGGGTTTTGCTACTCGTACTGCCAGCAGTAACCGTAGGTAGCTCGCAGTTCAGCCCCAACTTTCTTCCAGATTTCGTCCTCCCCTTGACGGAACCCCCAAAGATTGTATACAGTATTTCCTGATGGAATACGGAGTAGTCGTAGTAGTAGTAGTAGTAGTAGTAGTAGTAGTAGTAGTAGTAGTAGTAGTAGTAGTAGTAGTAGTAGTAGTAGTAGTAGTAGTAGTAGTAGTAGT